CGGTTTTTTGGTCGAATAGATTGTGTCCTAATATAGGAACGAATCGTAATAAGTATTTTTTGTTTTTTTTTGGTTTTTCTTTTTTTTTTTTTAATTTTTTTGGTTTTTTTTTTTTTTTTTTTTTTAATTTTTTTTGGTTTTTCTTTTTTTTTTTTTATTTTTTTGGTTTTTCTTTTCTTTTTTCTTTTAATTTTTTTTTTTTTTTTTTTTTTTAATTTTTTTGGTTTTTCCTTTTTTTAATCATATAATGTTATTCTTTTAATTAAATATATTATCTCGCGTCCGGCCTTCACACCAATCTCTCGTAGAACAGTCGTGTGATCTTGGTTTTTGCGCGAATCGCCGAGCTCCTTTTCGATCTTATTGGAACACTCGGTTCATTTTCCGGAAGTGGCGGATTCGCTAAAGCTTCGTCCGCAATCACTTGGATTTGCGAACTCAGCCCTTTCACGACGACTCGCAAAAGGCTTAGCTCCCTCGCCAAATCCATACGCTCAGCCTTTGCCAGGTTGCTAGATGTGGACGAAAGGAATTTCCTGGCATTGGCGATCACGAACAGACCGCAGCTGAACCCGTCCGTCTGGGCCTCTTGATGTTTCTGAGGGACCCATCTGACAGTCGAAAGTGTCGACGGGTACAGTGCGGCAAGAAGTCGCTTCAGTATATTCGAGATGGCGGTCTTTGATTTGCGCGAGCGGCTTCCGACCAGTGAGTCATAAATGACACACTTGGCGGTCGCCACTGTGTAGGCTGCGAGCAGCCAGTGCTGATCTTGGTGCACTGGCAGGAAGAGCACCTCGCTTTGCCTTCGGACTCCGGCCGTACACTCTCTTAGCATGGCGGCGACATGCTCGCCGTCCTCGTCCACCGTCCGCTCGATGACAGCTTTCGTGGCCGACGGAAGGACCACACCGACCTTGTGGCTCTGCGACTGCACCAGGTTCAAGAGCCCGGCCGTCACAGCGCCAGATGTTATGAAGGTCTGGTATCCCGTGGGCAGGTCTTCATCGGTGATGAGACCTCGCAACGCGCCCATCAGTTCGGGATGAAAGTGCACCCTCTCTAAATTGGTGACCACCACCTCTTCCTGAACGTCCACAGACTCCGTCTGTCCTGACTGTTCTACGCCGCTTCCCGCTTCCATCTCCTCCGCCGTCTTCTCCGCCTCAACTGCCTCCTCCGCCGTCTCCTCCGGCACGACCATCAACGGGGCCCGGTCTTCCGCCGCTTCGAACGCCGCCCATTCCGCGTTGGCCGTCACCAGCCTCTCCTTGCGATCCCGGCGCGCTCGATATTCGGCCAGCAACCGCATGGTGTTATGATTGCTGCAGTTGCTGGGAAGGCACGGGCAAGTGCCGTCGCATTGCACCTCGTCCAGGAGACAGGGGCAGGTCTCAGAGCACCCTGTTGCTTCCGAGCAATGCGACGAGCACAAGGCGACGATCGGCTCCGGCTCATACAGCGACTCGTCCTCTGGGCCAAACGTCTGTTCTATTTCGTCCTGGCTGAAGACGATAGGAGCCTTGGGACTTGCTGGGGCATCTTTGAGCTTCTTGAATTGCACTTCAACGAAGTCGCCAGTCGTTCTCGTGCGTTTACGTCCAATCTTTGGACCTTAAAACCAAAATTTGTAATCCGAACGCATTTTTGATTCCTTTAAACGACTTTAAAGACGATATCGCAGGACACAATTAACAGAAACAACACGGAAGACGGACGAAATTCGAGAAACGACGAAAACATCAAAAGCTAGACGAAGAAACTCGGAATTCATGTCGCCTTTAAAGTCGTTTAAGACCAATGCTGAACTGTCAAATCAATCGAGTTAATCAGAATATTTGAATCAACAAATTTTCAATATCACCAAGCCCTTTTTTTAATAATCGTATAATTCTATTAATAATCTCCCCTTCCCGACCCCCTTAATGACCCGTTCCCAATTGGACAAATCGTTATAAACAGCCTGGAAAAACTCGCTCCAAAAAAGCGACGCACGAAAAATGCGAATTTCTGTATTTTTGAATATGATTAGACCTCTAAACCCCGCCCCTTTCCAATTTCATTCTGATTATTGCTCTATTCTTCCCCCACCCAATAATTAAAAAAGAACGTCATTTTCTCGATGACAAGTTCTCAAATTCTAATAATTCTCAAAAATGCCGAATTGAAATGCTTTGAATTTTTGAATTATTTGCTTAAAGACGGGAGACTCGAGAAAACAACGATAAAGTTATGGAAAATAAGGCGCACCTTCAATAACTTCGAGGTGCACCTCTCTCACTGCTTCACGGAAGCAGACTCGCTTCTTTGGAATAGCATTATCTTCATGAGCACTCGGGCTCTTTCGCTTGATGTCGCTTGAGCTGGACATAATTTCTTTCGATAATTATAAGCGTAATGAATTGAAATGCAAATTCCTGATAACATTTTTCGATCACGTTTATTTTTCTCTCAGTGATTCGAACACCGATTTTTTTCTTCATTTCAAACATTTCAAATGCAAAGATCCGCATTTCACAGTGGGTTGTTGATCAGAAATTTCGATTCGTTCCCGATGAGACCCAGTACGTCTGATTGTTTGGTGAAGTATGTCCATCTATGAAAAATTTAAAAAATATATTATTGTATAGGAACTCTGGCAACTCAAAACCAAGCGAAACGTTAAATTAAAACAAATCGGATTCGAACAATTATCAATCGGATCAGATTGATTTCGGAGACAAATTTTGTCGGACCCAATTGATTTCAAAAAAGATGAGCTGGGCAATTAACAAAATCTCCGTTGGCAATCTGATTGACTATTATTCTATTTACATTGATAAAAATTACAATGCCAATCATGGGCATTCTCGCATGAGCATCCAGTAGCATATATATTTCAATTGCAAAAAAACGACCACGGTGTGTATGAATTACGATGAATTTGATACCAGAAAACAAACGCGATGGCCCACAAATCAGCAGGTTGATCGGTATTTCATGGATGTTGCAGGAATCGATGTGCATAGTATCGGAAATTGAAAAAAATACGCAATAGAAGTTAATGAAACCTCCATAGAATAAAATTCTTAAGCTCTATACGCTAGCATCCCACCCCCCAAGGTGTCAATTCCTGGTTCTACCGATTCGAAATTAATTGCACGATGAAATGTTGTTTGCGAAAACGTTTTATGGGAGACAAACAATGCACCACTAATTAAACGACAATAAAATTGTCACGGTAACGTCAATTGGTGGTGCTTACAATCAAACAATTATAACTGAGCAATTTTGGTGGCATTGGAATCAGAAAGATGCAGCATATTTTTCATGATTGGGATTTCACCGAAAAACCGGTGCTACCATTGGGTTGCGGAAAGAAGAACGGAAACGAATGCGTGAATCCCGAAGGTCGCCCATCAGGATTCATTCCGATCTTCTTAACCCAATGGTTCCCCAATCATTCAAAATAAGCTACAAACTTTTAAATCCAATGCCACATTGCTTCAAGATGGACAACGTGTGTGTGTGTGTGTGTGTGTATGGTACAAAGCTATAAAATTATGGACCTATTCTGCCGAATTGAATCCATAATCTAATTTTGGGCTTTTTTATTCAGCGGCCAAAAATAACAAAATTTTTTCAATTCACAGAATAGATCCATTATAGCTTTGCTTTTCAGCGACGCGCTGGGGAGATAAATTCAAACAATAAAGGTAACATTTCTGATTGGGTTTCTCGATCTCAAATATCAATAAAACCATGGGGTTGAGGTTTGTGAATTCCAGCCTCATGAATTGATTGTAGTTCCACTGATCAATTGAAATAAACCATATCGTTTCGAATTTAAAGTGTTTGGAAATGGAAAGAATTCAATGGAAATGACGGCATGTTGGCGATGTAATGAATTCGAAAAACAAAACGACGTGTTGTATTCGTTAAAAGCTTCTTGTTAATGGTTCTGGCGGAATTCGACTTCTCTTGACATCCAACCATATTCACATTGTGACGACATTACCAAAAAATTTGTCACATTTCCATTCCAACACCGGATGAGTCTGAAAAGTATTCCAATATTTATTGATTCAACCAAAATAGAAGTTATTTCGAAATTCGAGACATTTTTTCATTTATCTTTCATAATTATAATAATACCTTGGAATAACTACCGCAAGTCAGATGAGGCGAATCCGTGTATCATGAGCCATGAGCACGTAAACCGGCTCGGAAACCGGTTAATTCCCCCTTCTGCTGTGTGTTCAGGTGGAACACTGCAAAAAAAAACCATGAAAAATATAAATAAAATAATTAAAAAACGCGGAATTTAAGACAGAGTAGCGTTCTGTAAAACAACAGTGAGATACAAATGATAGGGGAAAAGGGGGTCGATACCTATAGACACAGAAGGAAAAAGAACTGTTGGAGCGAAGAAACAGTGTGCTAATATTACGAAATACAAATAATTTCGAAACACGACGACTAACGTGATGCAATATGATTCCGGGAAAAACGGCAACAATACTTAAGGAATTCACAATCGGATTTGAGAAAAAAAAAGCATAATTGATTTTTTGTGTTTTCATTCGTGCTTTCCTACAACTTTGATTACTCGTAAAAGAAAATAATAGAGAAAAAATTTTCCACCGATTTGACTGTATTATTCATCGTTTGTCTATGTATTAATAAAAATAATTGAAGCTTAAAAATATATCGCCGTAAATTACAGCAACATACAGCCACGTTGCCCATTTGTCCCAAAATATTTTGTTTATCAAATAAAAGCTGCGTCGTGATGTGTAGCGCATCTGGTGTATACACGTTGACGGCAGGTTGCAGAAAATTTAGCAGCGAATTTTTTATTTTTTATTTTAGGAGGTTTTGGCGCAAAAAATTGCTGATTTAATTTATATTTGTTATATTTATTCTCAAATATTAGAAAGATAATCATTATTGTATGAAAAACTGTATATATTCATTACATAGTTCAATAATGCTTGATTAATTTGTGATTTTAGGTAATAATGGTGGAAGGACGCCCAAAAACAGAAAAAGAGCTTAAAAAAGAAGCAGAAAAGGCTGCGAAACTGGCCAAATTCGAGGAGAAACAAAAAAAGCTCGCTGAGCAAAAGGCCAAAGCTGCAGCTTCAGCAAAACCAGCGAAAGAATCGAAAGCCAAGAAGGATCCCGCAGCGAATGCGACTCCTGTCGATAAAACCGTAGCCGGAAATAAGAAAGGTTGAGAAAATTTAAAAAAAAGCTAAATATTTTAGTGGATTTCAGATATCTCAAACGATATTCCAACTGCCTATGCGCCAAGCTACGTCGAATCCGCATGGTACGCGTGGTGGGAGAAGCAAGGATTCTTCAAACCGGAGTATATTGAAAAGGTGTCGAAGAATAAGAATCCGGAATCTTTCACGATTTGCATTCCGCCACCGAATGTGACGGGAACCCTTCATGTCGGACACGCTTTGGCCACAACTGTTGAAGACACAATCACAAGATGGTAGAAAAAATAAATTATTTTGTTTTATTAAAATGTTGCTTTTAGGCACCGAATGCAGGGCAAACGTGTTCTTTTCAATCCAGGATGTGATCATGCTGGTATCGCGACTCAAGTGGTCGTCGAGAAGCGATTGAAACGCGAGAAAGGGCTCACCAGGCACGATTTGGGACGGGATCGCTTCAATCAAGAAGTCTGGCACTGGAAGAACGAGTAAGAATCAATTAAATCTATGCGTTTACATGGAATGATATAAATCTAGGAAAGGGGATGTGATCTACGATCAATTCCGTAAACTCGGAGCATCGGTGGATTGGGATCGCGCCGTGTTCACAATGGATCCCAAGATGTGTCGAGCTGTGACTGAAGCATTCATCAGAATGCATGAATCGGGAACGATCTACCGATCGAATCGGCTTGTGAACTGGAGTTGCGCACTTCGAAGCGCCATCTCAGACATTGAAGTGGACAAGAAGGAGTTGACCGGATCGACAATGATTGCGGTTCCGGGATATGAGAAGAAGATTGAATTCGGGGTTCTTAATTCGTTTGCCTACAAGATTCAAGGAAGCGGTACTTTCAAACAAAAATGATTTTTGATTGGTGAATTTTGAATTTTCATTTTAGACGAGGAGATCATTGTATCAACGACTCGTATTGAGACCATGCTCGGTGATTCCGGTGTTGCCGTTCATCCCGACGATCAACGCTATCGGCATCTAGTCGGCAAGAAGTGCATTCATCCGTTCATTCCGGATCGTGAGCTCCCGATCTTCGCCGATAGTTTCGTCGAGATGGGATTCGGTACCGGCGCGGTGAAAATCACACCGGCTCACGATCACAACGATTATGAGGTCGGAATACGTCAGAAGTTGCCATTCCATACATGCATCACCGACGACGGTTTGATCGCGGAGAATTGCGGAAAATTCTCGGGAATGAAGCGATTCGACGCGAGAGAAGCTGTCATCGAAGCGTTGAAGGAATTGGGATTGTATCGCGGAAAAGAGGACAACCCAATGGTTGTGCCGACGTGCAGTAGATCAAAAGACGTCATCGAGCCAATTCTCAAGCCTCAATGGTACGTGAAATGTCAACATATGGCTGATAAGGCGATGAAGGCTGTGGCTGATGGAGAGCTGAAAATTGTGCCCGACTTCCATGTGGCTACGTGGAATCGTTGGTTGGAATCGAGCCGTGATTGGTGCATTTCAAGACAACTTTGGTGGGGCCACCGTATTCCGGCATACTTTGTGAGCTTCACTGATGGACGGGTAAAAGTTTTGAGATGAGCTGATTGAACAAGTTTGGAATTTAGGCGCAGACTCTTCCCGAGGAGGAATATTGGGTCTCGGCGCGAACCGAAGAGGAGGCGAGAACGAAAGCGGCGAAGAAATTTGAAGTTGACGAGAAGCTTATCAAATTGAAATGGGGTTTGGCTTGAAATTGAAATATTTGATAACGAATCTCCCCTATTTGAGATGAGGACGTTCTCGACACGTGGTTCTCGTCGGGAATCTGGCCATTCGCCTTATTTGGATGGCCGGAACCCACCAACGATATGGAATTGTTCTTCCCATCGGCGGTTCTCGAAACCGGCCACGATATTCTGTTCTTCTGGGTCGCCCGAATGGTGTTTATGGCGCAAGAGCTCACCGGCAAACTTCCATTCAAAGAAGTGCTTCTCCACGCGATGATTCGCGATGCGCACGGTCGAAAAATGTCGAAATCTCTTGGAAATGTCATTGATCCGCTCGACGTGATTCGCGGAGTTTCGCTCGAAGGTCTCAACATGCAATTGTTGACCGGAAATCTTGACGAGAAAGAGATCGCCGTGGCGAAAGCCGGACAGGCGAGAGATTATCCGGATGGAATTCCGGAATGCGGTGTCGACGCCCTTCGATTTGCACTTCTTGCTTACACGAGCCAGGGAAGAGACATCAATTTGGATGTGCTCCGTGTGCAAGGCTATCGATTCTTCGGAAACAAGATCTGGCAAGCGGTGAGATTCTCGCTGAGCAAATTTGCGGAGAACGAGAAGCCGACATACAAAATTGTAAGCGAACACATTTTATAGAAGACATTCCGATTGAGAATTTCAGAATAAATCGAAATTGTCGCCGTCGGATCGCTGGATTCTGTCGAGACTTTCATTTGCGGTCAAGGAAACTAATATTGCATTGAAGGATTACAATTTCACGCAGGTACCGTTTTTATTGTATCATATGTGATATTTAGAGGCTCATCATTTCAGGCGACGACGACAACCTACAACTTCTGGCTTTATGATCTTTGCGACGTCTACATTGAGGCGATCAAGCCGGTTTTATATGGAGGTTGACGCTAAAATCGAACTGATTTTATAAAAATTGTTCAGATAATGCCTCTGCTCGCCAAGTCGCACTGTCTGTGCTCTATCTTTGCATTGACACTGGTCTTCGACTCATCTCACCGATGATGCCATTCATTTCGGAAGAACTGTGGCAGAGGCTTCCAAGATTGCCGGATTGTGGTTATGAAGCCCCATCGATTATTGTCGCCGAATATCCCAGAGAAAATCAAGTAATTCTTTTTTGCGTTTTCAATACAAAACTGTTATAAATTTGAATTTTAGTATGATTATTATGATGCCGCGATTGAATTGTCGTTTGAATTTGCGAAAGATGTCGTTGGAAAGATAAGATCATTGAGAGCTGATTATGATTTGACGGCGAAGACGAAAATTAGCAGTATGACAAGTTTATTCAAAAATTGAAAAATTTTGCGCAAATTTAGTTCAAATTGTTCCTGAAACTGAGAAAGATGCTGGTGTTCTGAAAGAGGTTTCCGATATCATCGCAACGTTGACTTGGTGCAAATCGGTTTGCTGAAATTTGTAAAATTTGAGCTAATTTTTCTTCTAGGTTTCAATTCTTGGAGTTGGCGAGACGAGCTCGGTTGAGAAGGGAAGTGCCCATCTGGCGTGTGGAAATCGGTGTCAAATCTACATCAATCTGACAGGAATCATTGATATTGAGAAGGAGGTTCGGACCGATTTCAGATTTTACCAGCAATTTTTCGACTCGTTTCAGATTGTGAAATTGACAGCGAAATTGCAAAAGAATGAGATTGCGGTGAAGAAGATTCGCGATTTGCAGGATGGTGCTGATTATGAGACGAAGGTTCCGCTGGGAATTCGAACGCGAGATTTGGAAAAGGTTGGATAGCGATTGAAAAATCGAAAATGTTATAATTACTTTTTTTTATTTAGAAATCCTCTTTGGAAAAAGAGATTGAGAACATCACTGCTGCGATTGCTCAGCTTAAATCTGTTAATTAGGAATTCCTGGTCGAACCATATTCGGTTATTGTTTTGTTGTTTTCTCCTATGCTCCTTTAATATTTATAAATCGTATATCAGCTTGGAACGCGTCGCATCATTACAGTTTTCTGTTGTGTTGGTTTCTGCTCTTTTCTGAAATTCACCATTTCGATTGTTATCAACTTTCAGCCGCCTACAGTAATTTTTGGAGCACCCAATGCCGAAGAATTTTCTTGTAGCGCGAATTGGTGAGGAGCATGAGCAGATTGGAGCCCATCGAATGGGAAGCGATGAAGAAGACGGTGTTCGTTGCCGACGCCTGTCGAGCGCGAAGATCGTAGTAGATCACGATTCCGATATAGACGCACGGCAAGAGGATGAGCACGGCGGGACTCATGCATTGAGCGGCGAGGCTGAACAGAGCAGAGATGTGCGCTTGATAGCTGTGAGCTGACATGATATGGCGGACACCTCGAAGGGTACGGTAGATGGTGAACGCCATGTATAGGCCGAACCTGAAAATGATTGGCTTGCAATTGAAGAAGGCTGGATGACGATTACACGACAGATGAGGAGATGATGGCATTGGCGCAATAGAAATTGAGTTGGGTGTAGCGGTTTTCGAAGTCGTACATTTCGAAGCCGCGCAAACCCATTAGATGCCGTTCGCAATTTGGATAATACTGAACATTTTCGAGATTTTCGCGCAATTTTTGAAATGATTCGACCTCTTTCAAAAGAAATTGCTTTCTTTCGTTGTCAATAACCGATTTGTATTGCAAATAGCAGCAAACGAATGGGAAGAAATGAATGAAGAAGAGCAAAGCGAAAATGATTTTCATGTTTGGAGTGGCGTGCTGCAAAATTTGAGGGTCTCGTGTGGAAAAGAGCTCGTAAATTGACAACGAACAATTTTCCCTGGAAAAAATGATATTAAAATTTAGCAAAATAGCTGGAAAAGATGGCTCAACAAACCATTGTGTAAAGCTGATTAACGGGAATATTCGGCCAAAATTCTGATTATAATTTCCCGTCCAAATAAGTGGCTTAATAATAATTTACTAGTTGACTCGATAACTTAATCGGTTTCGGGGTTTATTATGGAAATGACAATGCGACGAAAATTCCGTATTAGTGGCGTCACAGTGTTTGCACACATTTTCAACTACAGTAAATTAGTGGAAATTTCTTGAATTTTAGACAATTTGGGATCAGTGTATCTACCCGGGACAGGATTTCCCGGGATCCCGGAATATCGTTTCCCGGGACTGCAATTCCGGGTATCGTCCCGGTTTCGTCCCGCAACTACCCGGGATGAGCGGGTTCCCGGGAAAAAGTCTGCAAACACCGCGCAAACGCACACTCTTCGAATATTGCGTATTCTCGTTTTTTTAAAATGAATTTTCTTATTTTAAAAAGATTCCAATGCTTAGAAAATGGCGTAGGAAGTCCCTATTTGGAATTTTTAAAATTTAGCAGAAAAATGAGCACAATTGCAATGTGCAAATAGCGATTTTTCCAAATTAACAAGAATTTTATACGAAATAATGGTTTTCAACTTTCTTCAATAGACTATTTCAACGAAAAAAATGTATTGGTGATCGATGAAGTAAACAACAAATTATATTAATATATAATATACAATAAATTATAATAATATATAATATCGCATCGCGTTCAATTTAAACCAGACCTGTGAATCACAAGTAATTAATGAAGTGCATCGTTTTCGTGAATTTGTGCCGTTTTTCGCAGAGCTGATTCAAAAAGACCTTTCGTCTTTATCGATCACATTCACTGTCATCTCCTCTTGGCGCAGATTCAAAATTTTCCAAATAGGGACTTCCTACGCCATTTTCTAAGCATTGGAATCTTTTTAAAATAAGAAAATTCATTAAAAAACTAGAATACGCAATATTCGAAAAGTGTGCGTTTGCGCGCGCGGTGTTTGCAGACTTTTTCGCGGAATTTCCCGGGTTTCCCGGGATCCCGGGAAATTAAGTTTCAATGAGTCCCGGGTGGACACACTGTTTGGGTTTCTTCGTAAAAATTGAAGTGTGCAAAAATTATTTATATTCAATTTTGTTGCATTTCTTTTAGTAAAAATTAGCAAAAATCTGTGATTTGTTACATTTTTATTGCATTTATATGCCCATTAGATTATATTTAATGTTTTTTTTCCGCCAAAATCATACCGCGCTAAGCTTTGAGACGAAATTGAGGTGATATGCGAAACACGAGAGGACTGCCGGCTCTTCGAGCACTATTAGAAGGCCGTAGAATGCCTAAAAAATGCAATATTTTCACTTTTTCCGTTTTATTTCTCTCGTTACTAGTATATAATGCGACGGGATGTCAAGTAATGTTGGGAATTTTGAGACATTGAAGCCGGCGAGTAGCGGAAATAAGAAATAGGCCGGATTAATTGCGGAAATACAGATTTCTAAGGTGAAGGTGACGACCTGAAACATTTTGAAATTCCCCATAAAACCTCGGAACATTTTAATTCTATTAAATATTTGTATAATCGGCGGCGCGACTGCTGTACGCGGGTCGATTTACGCGCATGCGCCTTGAAAAGGTCTCGCCACGCGTGTGTGCTGATTTTGCTGTTTTCATGTGACCGATTTATTTTTTCTTGATGAGTTTCGCATTTCCTTGAATTTCCAACGTCATTCGATTAAAAAATTATCGAACCGACGCATAAAATTCAAAAGCAGCCAGCTAGTCCGCGCGAGACCAAGAGAAAGGAGCATCACCGTAAATCTACCCGCGTACAGCAGTCGTCGGACGAAAACTATACGAATATTGAAACGAATATGTAGTTTCAAATTCTTCAATAAACATGAAACCCGCAAAGTTGTGTGCGCATGGTACACATTATATCGAAATTGCGAGATGGCAGTAGAACGATGGATGCACAAAAAGGGTCTTGATAAATTTTATCGGACGCCGCGCGGAGCGGGATTCTATAGAATACATGGTGTAACGCCAATTTCGTAAAAATTCAAAATTAAAAAAAAAACTCTATAAAACCCTCTGGAGAATGGACAAAAATAAAACTGGTTCTTTGAATTTTCTTCCCAAAACCAATATAGAACCACTATGCATAGTAGTCGTCGAGATCAGAAAAGTTCAAAATCCCGTTTTTTTTCACTGTCACGAAAGAATTTTTACCGATCAGAAAATATGCTGTCTCATATACATATGTCATAAATTGATTTCATTTCGCACATTTCATACGTCCACTCGGTGAACTCAAAACCAGTCGGCATCTCCGGAATTCACGGACACCGATCGGACGAACGATATCATGGGGGACAGACGCATTGCATACGAGCAACAGCGTCGGATAATCGTATCGCGCCGATTATTTGGAAATCAGGGCACACAAATGGAATTTTACGTCATTTTATATCCAATTTATTCAATGTGAACAAGGAAAAAAACGTCGAAAATGTTACAAACCTGCACATAAATCAGACAAAATCGATAATTTGAGTCGATTCTCGCCGAGAAAAAGACGACACAAATGCACACCGCATTCACCAAAATCGAGAATATCGCGATCGTATAGAGAATGATATTATAGTATAACGGAGCACTAGTTGGGCATAAATCAATGTCCATATTTGGAGGGTGGAGAGGGGGAGGCAATAAAAATATGTGACTGGCAACTACATATCGACTATAATTAAATTTGTTCGTTTCGGCGAGTACCAAAAAAAACAATGGAACCATTAACAAAACTAACAATGACAGGACCGAACAATGATATTCATTGATACAAATTTCGTGGGATCAGAGAAAGCGGGAAGGGGGATTGGAAAGGTGGAACACAGATGGGAGAAGGTGGATAGGATCCTGTGGAAGCAACGACGGAGCTCATCAGAAGACTGACACAAGAAGCGAGCACGACGGCGGAACTGAGCAAACTGGTATTAGCAAACCTCGGGGGCTTGAAAACATGAGATCTGGAATCGAATGACGAGACGGTGACCTATCAAATAAGGCGTTCAAAATCGGACCATCGAGCCAAGAGAGCTTGCTTTGCCCGTTTTTGGAGACGATCGAGAAAACCTTTTCGAGTTCGACGAGAAAACCGGTAACGCTTTCGACGCATCCACTGTTTCAGAAGGCCGCTGGCGAAAGTAGAATGACCACACACATGTTTTTGATTTCTTGGAAATGCCCGAGCAGATCCATTTCAAGCGATGACGTTGGCTACCCTCAAAATCGCGACGTCTCTTCAAATAAAGCAATATGTGAAGAAAACAATTGGGTTTTTTGTGGAATACAACAAAATTGAAAAAGTCAATTAAGGGCACAATTGAGAATAAAGCGAGAATTTCCTAATCTATCCAACTCTTCGAGACAACCTGCAAATTCTCGAACAGGTTGGCTGAAAAAGGGAAAGGTCGGACAACAAAATAGGGGAATTCTAAGCTAGAACATGAAAAAACAAAAAATTCTTAAAATTCTCAAATAGTTCGGTAAAATAGGGGGCAAGTGAGCGGTATTATTTACAACGAACTCAATAAATCAATAAGACAATTAAAAGTAAGTTATTCTTCACTTAAAATTAACAAACAAATCATAAATTCATCGATTAAGTTTTAAAAAAAACGGCATTACTAAAATACATCGAAGAATTCAATTAATCTAATATTTTAAGGATACACAGTGGTCGGCTTTTGCCTGTTTTTCCTTTCATCATTTTCTTTTTAATCATTTTTTATATGTTCTGATTTTTTTCTTTATTTTTTCTTATTCTTACACTCTTTTTTCAAACAAACGTGGCGAAAACGGGAATCAAAAGGTGTTGAATGGTGCAGAAAATGATGAATTTCCAGTTAGTGTCGACCAAAAAGTGGATTCGCAGTTGGATCGATTGCTTCTTTCTGATGAACGTGTGACGGTTGAGGTTGGTTAACTGAAAATGAAATATTTGAAGACTATTTTATTATTGTCAGACACTTACATTTGAATAGAATTGGGCGAATCCTTGTGTTCAACGAGTCGATGAACTACTTGAATGCGAAAATGTTCAGCGCAGTTTCAAAACTTGCGAGCGAGTCGATTTATTCCGAAAACTTTTGATTGAAACTCCCTTGAGGGCATAATTGAGAATAAAGCGAGAATTTCCTAATCTATCCTACTCTTCGAGACAACCTGCAAATTCTCGAACAGGTTGGCTGAAAAAGGGAAAGGTCGGACAACAAAATAGGGGAATTCTAAGCTAGAACATGAAAAAACAAAAAAATTCTTAAAATTCTCAAATATTTCGGCAAAATAGGGAGCAAGTGAGGGGTATTATTTACTACGAACTCAATAAATCAATAATACAATTAAAAGTACTTAAAATTAACAAACAAATCATAAATTCATCGATTAAGTTAAAAAAAAAACGGCATTACTAAAATACATCGAAGAATTCAATTAATCAAATATTTTAAGGATACACATTGGTCGGCTTTTGCCTGTTTTTCCTTTCATCATTTTCTTTTTAATCATTTTTTATATGTTCTGATTTTTTCCTTTTTTCTTTTTTTTCTCTAATAATTGGAATCAAATGGGAACTTATTGATGGAAATTGAAGGGACTGTTGAAGTTGGCATGTCGAAATCTCTAGTCCTTGGCTTTTCAGTTTTCTGAGCTCGTTGATGTCCAAATTCGGAGTGGCACGAAGTTTTGTTTCCATGAATAAACAGGCTAAGTTGTCTCGTAATCAACTCTCACGAATCATCACTGAAATATGGTTTGAACTAAAAAAAATCATAATTTATTGCGATTCGTACCTTCAATGTCCTGGAATTTGAAAAATACAGACGAGGAAATGAACTATCTGCATCGCGATTGCATCCTTTGCCCTTTTTTCCAGTGTTCGACGACGGGTTGTCCGGACGGAAGTGATAGAGAAGGCAAAAACGTGTCTTACTTAGTCCGAAAGAGGCCGAATTGGTTTAGTACGCTGAAACATACTCAATTTTTAAGTAAATATTCGAAAAAAAATCGTTACCTTGTCCGACTGCCATCGAAATGAGACCCACATGAACGAGCCTGGTCGATTGAGAGGGACCATCTTGCCATCCGACCGATCGGTGGAGGAGAAACCGGCAAGAATAAACGATTTCGGAACGAATGACATTACGAGACGTGGCACTTCATACGCCACGTCACACGTCATTCGAAATTCATTGAAGTTCGAATTTTTTTATTTTGAATTTAATCAAATGGGAAAATTGAAAGAGGAGCGAAGAAAATAAAATGCAAGATAAAAAATTAAATTGATTATTCCAAACCTTGGAAATCTGAAGAAAAATTACAATAGACCCGATATCTGTTGAAGTAATTCCGAGTCAAAAATCGCAAAGCCACTTTTTTTCCAGTAAAATACCATTTAATTTTATAAAAAAAAGAATTATAGCTAACGTAAAAAACTGTGGAACACCAACACTTTTTCGAGGCGGATATCCTAAATCGAATTTAACCAACATTTTTTCTATTTAAAAAATTTTTTATTGCGATTGAAATAACATCCTTCAAAATTTCTTTTTTTTATTTTCATTATTTTTTTAAATACATTTATTTGTCTTGTGTCATTTATGATTATGATTCATTTATGATTTGTCATTTATTTGTGTTGTACTGCCGCACTGTTGCTCAAATGAATGCGGTCATTGCGCCAATGACCACGCCCACCATTTCAAAAAATTTAACAAATGAATCTCAAATTATTTGCGTATTTTTCCTTTTTTTTCTATTCAAATGATTATTTTATTTTTTAGGATGTTCAAACTTACATATCGTAACAGATTTTGTTTAAAAATGATGTTGTGTACCACGGCGATTCAGGGATTTACGGATTTTCTCAGCCTAATCGATTTATCATCAATATTTACATATTTAAGGTGTTAAAAACGCGGATTATTTTTAAATTATTAATTATTCAGAATATGAAACACTTGGGTTTTATTTGTCGCCTCATTGTTTTCCTGTGGACCCGGCCAAGAGGAAGGCCTCCCATGAGATGGTCTGACTCGCTTCGGAAGGAGATCACTACAAGAACAGCTGAAGGAGCCGTTATCACCCCCTGGTCCACCCAAACCATGGACCGAAAAGCTTGGAAAGCTGTGGTTCGCGAAGGCGAAGGACGAACCGACTGAGTGACTAAGTAAATAAGTATGTACAAGAGTTTATCCAAACGATTTAGTGTGATTCAGACCAAAAACCCAAGTGTTTAACTGGATGGGATTCCGACATAAAAATCGAAAATGACAATATTAAATGTAAAACCGCCAACACTTCTCTTGAAGACTGCTGTGGTACGTGTTTATTTGATGTTTATTTATTTTCAAAAAACGCAATAATTGGAGTACGGTGGAAAAAACTGTTAGAAGAGAGTTTTGGTTAATTGAATCAAATTAATTCGTCAAATTTATTATATTACTAAAACGGAGAAGATTCTTAATTAAAACATTATATTGTCTTCCCGGGCGGTGCATAATTCCAGACGCTCTTAGATATTGTGCGAACTTTTTTCTTATTGCCTTCTGCTTAAAAATTGCAGATTCACTAAGAAATTTATATAATTTACCGTCAATTTCTTGCAAAATAAGCTTTTAGCAGAAATCAAAAAGAAATTGTCCGATGTTTTTTAAAGAAATTGCCGCAGTTTAGCGAGGCCCCGCTGGAAAATGAATGCCAAAAAACAATGGCATTCACTTTGGCGCAAAACAAAAAGGTGTAGATTTACGGGGCGAAGCATAAGGAGGGATAATATAATTTTTTGCATTCGCGCGACTTCGACAATATTTTATTCGAAATGTTTATCTATTTTATTTCTTTTATCGTGTTTATTTGTGTTTTCTTTTACTAAAATTTTCAGTTTTACTAATTTCGGAAAATTCAGGCTTATAGGAAATCGATACTATTTAAATGCAAAATTTTCAGAAATTGGTCGTGCGAAATCATTGATTGGTCACAGATTTTTAATTATATTATACAAGTAAAACTATTGAAATCATACAATTTCAGTGTTTTATTTCATTTATAGCAACATTAGAAGATTACCCGGAATGCCAGTCGAATTCGGATTGCGAACCAGGTCACTTTTGCGACTATCTGGTTACCAGTAAAGCCGTTATCTCGAATCGAACGGGATGCTTCAATAGTGAGTTTCCATTTACCTGAATTATTAATAAATTTTAAGCTAGTTGAAAATCGAACTTATGAACTTATGCATCATGTTTCAGTCACCAAAAGAGCCTATGCAGCAACGATGCTCTTCAGCGACTTTGGAATTCGCAAGTGTAAATCGCATGCCGATTGTGGGAACTTCTACTGTCTGGAAGACGGTATCTGTGGAATTGTCGAACAATGCCAGATCAACGCCGTTGTCCCGGCGCCGAAACCGATCGTCCACTGTAACGACGACATGGATTGTGTGCATTTGATGGAAGGACAAGTTGGCAGAGGCGGATATATTCCCAAGTAATCGACATTCTGAAAATAGGAATTTAAATCGACTTTTACAGCGCCTACTGTAACTATACAGGAGGTTTCTGCTGTTCTGGTCTGTTGGAAGTATGCTCGGGGGGCAGTCTCGTCCGGCCACTCCTCAAATGCGAAACTGGCACGATGGCCGGATTCGAGACGTGCAACCCGGATCTTGGAAATGGCGAGCTCAATGGGTTTTGCAACGATATTGGCCTCTGCTGCGAAGGTAACAAATTTCATAAATGATTCAACATAAGCTCATCAATTCTTATCGAATACGTTTTAGGACCATATGAAGAGCCAGTGGTCTGCCCAGACGGGGTGCACCCGCTGTTCATCGAGCCGCGTTGCCAGCGCGGAGCTTCTGGATTCTTCGAGTGCCCGGAAGATATCGAGAATTGCACTTGCGTGTGGGGATGGCCGTGTCCGTCAAGTAACGCATTTGATCCATTCGCATTTAATACGACTAATTTTCAGTCGCAGCCAATTCGTTGTTGGTCAATTTTGGCCGGCCGTTCGTTGGGCAGATTCGGTGCGATCCGTCGCGCCCAATCTGCTCGCGGGCGGTCAACGGATACTGCCATCCTGAAACGAAGACCATCGCCCTCTACGGCAGATATTTTTCGACTTTTTTCGGGTTTAAGAAAATTAGGAATTGCCGGATCAATAGGTACATTATATTAATAATTACAATGAATGAAAACGACGTTTTCAGCGAATGCGAGCCGGATGAAGTCTGTATTTATTACCTAGGCGAAGGAGAATGCACACCGTTTCCAAATCCGCAGTTCCTTGTAAGATATTAGATTAAAGAAGAATCAATAATCGATTAAATTTCAGGAGGATGACGAAGACGAAAATGAAGAAGAAGAAGACGGTTGGGCCGAAATGGCAGTGGAATGGTATCGAAAGACAGCAATTGGCATAGCCATCGTCTGGGTATGCTTCCGGATTTATCGGTTTTTCGAAGTTCGATATTTCCCCAACGCGTTCGATCAAAGAATGGCGTTGGAGGAGGCCTACGAAGCGATGATGATGAACCGAGTGGAGGAGCGGCACGAGGAAATCCTGGAGAACTGGCGCCGTGAGAAGTACGGCACTCGGCATACGAAGCAAACGTGCGAGGTTGTAACATCGACCGAAACACCGTCGTCCCTTTATTCGTCGGAACCGAGCGAGGCTGAAAAAAGGAAGAAGTGGACGAAGACCTTCCGCAGAGGTAGAGGAAGACGAGTCATGAGGCAAAGGAAAAGGATCCACCAAACGAGAAGAAACAAGAAGCGTGCTAGAATGGAGCCCTCGAATGAACAGCATATGGCGCGAAGCACACAAATCTATTTGAAGGCTTTTATTTACGGTGCACCGTTACTGATCATTATCGGAATTGGATTTTTCATCGTACCCGATTTTATTCTTAATGAAATCAAGACGCAAATCAATGAATTGATGAAGCAAGCCGAAGACGTTGGTCATGATGCAATTGGGGAGGCTTCGATTGATAAAGACGAGGTAAAATTATAGGAAAATTGAATAAAACACGAAAAAAGTTGGGGGAAAATTTTCAAAATTTTGTTAGTGTGCATTCATAGTCAAAGTGTTTACGGACTTTGTGTACCGTACTCTAAAATTAAAAATTACTCCAGTTTTGAATATTCAATTCACATTTTAATTTATTGTTTTGCAGTTTCTCAAAATGCTGGCCAATGGGGAAGTGACCATCGCGAATTACGTCTCCCGCGAAGAAGCCATGATTATCATCCCAACACTTGTTCTGACGGCCCTATTTTTGTTAGGTATTGTTTATTATTTGACGCGTCCATTCACTTAATATCATTGTCGTTTCGCTTTGTCTTTTTTGTGTTTCCTTTTTGCATGATTATGGGAACTTTTATTAATTACTTTTTTAAAATTAATTAAAAATTTGTTCAATCGAATAGAGTTCGTTCTTTTATTAATTTTAAAATTCCCTTTTCATTTTTCTTTTCCTTTTTTTAAAATTAATATTATGTTTTTTTTTCGTAGGATATTTTCAATCACTTTTTAATGCCAATTGTTTATTCTAAATACGTTTTTTTGTGAATTGTGGCTTTCAATATTTTTTCTTTTTATTTCTTGTTTTACTAATATTCAATATTTGTTCTATTAACGACATTCCATAAAAATCTTATAATAATCGTGTTTAAATATACTCAGATCTGCAAACACAAAGTTTCCAACCATACAGGATTCCACGAATCTCGAAGAACATTCTTTCTTTCGGCACAAATTTTTAAAAAATTTGCACGAATATCAAAAAAACTACTTTATGTGCATAGCTCATTCATACATCAATTATTGCTGTTTTTTTCCAAAGCACGTTTCCATCATTTCACAGCCTCCGATGAAATATCTCAGGTGGTGATCTCCTAAATTAAAAAATTATTTGGAGACATACGGAAACAGAAAACAAACCAAGTTGAAGAATTTCCTTCAATTGTGCTTTTTACGCTGCTTACTTTTAAGACGCGAAATTCTCTCGTACGTCGAAAGACTATTTCCGATAGAATCGTCAGCTGATTCAAATCGAGCACAAGCAAACGGCGACAAATAAAACCCAAGTGTTTCATATTCTGAAAAATTAATAATTTAAAAATAATCCGCGATTTTAACACCTTAAATATGTAAATGTTGATGATAAATCGATTAGGCTGAGAAAATCCGTAAATCCCTGAATCGCCGTCGTACACAAGATCATTTTCAAACAAAATCTGTTACGATATGTAAGTTTGAACATCCTAAAAAATAAAATAATAATTTGAATAGAAAGAAAGGAAAAATACGCAAATAATTTGAGATTCATTTGTTAAATTTTTTGAAATGGTGGGCGTGGTCATTGGCGCAATGACCGCATTCATTTGAGCAACAGTGCGGCAGTATATGCGAAAATATGGCGGCATTATTTCGAATTATTGACAAATATTTTTCCCAGCGGTTTTCCCTATTTTTCTCGTCCGCAAAGAATAAACTTCTCAAGACTGTCGAGTATGTATTCAACAGATTTGATTTGTGGAAATTATCAGATTCTTTTTTATTATTTGTTTTTTTTTTTTAATATTTGAATTCCCATAATATCAAAGCCGCCATAAGTTTAATAATTATTATGTACATTTAGCGAATCGGTGAGAATGGGATTCATGTGTCAATTCATTATCGATCGACCAAATTCTTTTGAAAAGCTTTATTGAATAATTAACAATTTGCAATTAACAATTAACAATTATAAAATTAAATGGTATTTTACTGGAAAGAAAAGTGGCTTTGCGATTTTTAACTCGGAATTACTTCAACAGATATCGGGTCTATTGTAACTTTTCTTCAAATTTCCATGATTTGGAATAATCAATTTAATTATTTATCTTGCATTTTATTTTCTTCACTCCTCTTTCAATTTTCCCATTTGATTAAATTCAAAATAAAAAAATTCGAATTTCAATGAATTTCGAATGACGTGTGACGTGGCGTATGAAGTGCCACGTCTCGTAATGTCATTCGTTCCGAAATCGTTTATTCTTGCCGGTTTCTCCTCCACCGATCGGTCGGATGGCAAGATGGTCCCTCTCAATTGACCAGGCTCGTTCATGTGGGTCCCATTTCGATGGCAGTCGGACAAGGTAACGATTTTTTTCGAATATTTACTTAAAAATTGAGTATGTTTCAGCGTACTAAACCAATTCGGCCTCTTTCGGACTAAGTAAGACACGTTTTTGAGTTCTCTATCACTTCCGTCCGGACAACCCGTCGTCGAACACTGGAAAAAAGGGCAAAGGATGCAATCGCGATGCAGATAGTTCATTTCCTCGTCTGTATTTTTCAAATTCCAGGACATTGAAGGTACGAATCGCAATAAATTATGATTTTTTTTAGTTCAAACCATATTTCAGTGATGATTCGTGAGAGTTGATTACGAGACAACTTAGCCTGTTTATTCATGGAAACAAAACTTCGTGCCACTCCGAATTTGGACATCAACGAGCTCAGAAAACTGAAAAGCCAAGGACTAGAGATTTCGACATGCCAACTTCAACAGTCCCTTCAATTTCCATCAATAAGTTCCCATTTGATTCCAATTATTAGAGAAAAAAAAGAAAAAATCAGAACATATAAAAATGATTAAAAAGAAAATGATGAAAGGAAAAACAGGCAAAAGCCGACCACTGTGTATCCTTAAAATATTTGATTAATTGAATTCTTTGATGTATTTTACTAATGCCGTTTATTTTACTTAATCGATGAATTTATGATTTGTTTGTTAATTTTAAGTACTTTTAATTGTCTTATTGATTTATTGAGTTCGTTGTAAATAATACCGCTCACTTGCCCCCTATTTTGCCGAAATATTTGAGAATTTTAAGAATTTTTTGTTTTTTCATGTTCTAGCTTAGAATTCCCCCATTTTATTGTCCGACCTTTTTTTGAGTCAACCTGTTCGAGAATTTGTTCGAGAAGAGTTGGATAGATTAGGAAATTCTCGCTTTATTCTCAATTGTCCCCTTAAGGGACTTTTTCAATTCTGTTGTATTCCACAAAAAACCCAATTGTTTTCTTCACATATTGCTTTATTTGGAAGAGACGTCGCGATTTTGAGGGTAGCCAACGTCATCGCTTGAAATGGATCTGCTCGGGCATTTCCAAGAAATCAAAAACATGTGTGTGGTCATTCTACTTTCGCCAGCGGCCTTCTGAAACAGTGGATGCGTCGAAAGCGTTACCGGTTTTCTCGTCGAACTCGAAAAGGTTTTCTCGATCGTCTCCAAAAACGGGCAAAGCAAGCTCTCTTGGCTCGATGGTCCGATTTTGAACGCCTTATTTGATAGGTCACCGTCTCGTCATTCGATTCCAGATCTCATGTTTTCAAGCCCCCGAGGTTTGCTAATACCAGTTTGCTCAGTTCCGCCGTCGTGCTCGCTTCTTGTGTCAGTCTTCTGATGAGCTCCGTCGTTGCTTCCACAGGATCCTATCCACCTTCTCCCATCTGTGTTCCACCTTTCCAATCCCCCTTCCCGCTTTCTCTGATCCCACGAAATTTGTATCAATGAATATCATTGTTCGGTCCTGTCATTGTTAGTTTTGTTAATGGTTCCATTGTTTTTTTTGGTACTCGCCGAAACGAACAAATTTAATTATAGTCGATATGTAGTTGCCAGTCACATATTTTTATTGCCTCCCCCTCTCCACCCTCCAAATATGGACATTGATTTATGCCCAACTAGTGCTCCGTTATACTATAATATCATTCTCTATACGATCGCGATATTCTCGATTTTGGTGAATGCGGTATGCATTTGTGTCGTCTTTTTCTCGGCGAGAATCGACTCAAATTATCGATTTTGTCTGATTTATGTGCAGGTTTGTAACATTTTCGACGTTTTTTTCCTTGTTTCACAATGAATAAATTGGATATAAAATGACGTAAAATTCCATTTGTGTGCCTTGATTTCCAAATTGATTACGAGACAACTTAGCCTGTTTATTCATGGAAACAAAACTTCGTGCCACTCCGAATTTGGACATCAACGAGCTCAGAAAACTGAAAAGCCAAGGACTAGAGATTTCGACATGCCAACTTCAACAGTCCCTTCAATTTCCATCAATAAGTTCCCATTTGATTCCAATTATTAGAGAAAAAAAGAAAAAATCAGAACATATAAAAAATGATTAAAAAGAAAATGATGAAAGGAAAAACAGGCAAAAGCCGACCACTGTGTATCCTTAAAATATTTGATTAATTGAATTCTTTGATGTATTTTACTAATGCCGTTTTTTTTTAACTTAATCGATGAATTTATGATTTGTTTGTTAATTTTAAGTGAAGAATAACTTACTTTTAATTGTATTATTAATTTATTGAGTTCGTAGTAAATAATATCGCTCACTTGCCCCCTATTTTGCCGAAATATTTGAGCATTTTAAGAATTTTTTGTTTTTTCATGTTCTAGCTTAGAATTCCCCTATTTTATTGTCCGACCTTTCGCTTTTTCAGCCAACCTGTTCGAGAATTTGCAGATTGTCTCGAAGAGTAGGATAGATTAGGAAATTTTCGATTTATTCTCAATTATATCATTAAGGGACATTCTCGATCAAATGTCTGGAATATTTTGGGAACTATTTTGTTGTATTCCACGAAAAACCCAAATTCTCTTCACTTATTGCTTTATCTGAGAGGCAAAAACGAATTTTGATGGGTAGCTAACGAACAAATGAATATTCGGCAATAAATCATGGTCTGGATGGGTAGCGCGGTGGAATAAGTTTGCGAGCCTACTTGAAGCTCAGATCCCTTTCCAAGCTGGTCCTTCTTGAGATCCCCTTCAAGCCCAGCACCTCCGAGGCTTTCAGCAACGCTCTGAACGAGAGGAGGGCTAATACCACTTCGCGCAGTTGTTTCGTCGAGCTGGCTGCATGTGCCAGTCTTCTGACCAGCTTTCGCCCTTTCACCGCCCACCAAACGATGATCGACTCGAACTTCGGATGCCGTCGACGGTAGAGATCCTGCCGCTGTTCCCCTGGAAATATCGGGACGGTTCTCTCAATTTCCGACTTCTTGCCACTTTGCCGATCATAAAGGCCAATATGTTGACCTCCGCCTGTTCCTCGCGCCGCTAATTCGTTCTCGTCGAGTATCAGCGAACTTCCTCGGCTCACCATCCTCTTCTTCCGCTTTTTCCATTCTAATCTCTTCCGTAGTCGCATGGCTTCTTATAGCGGGATCAAGCCGCAGGAACCCCGCTCGAAAGGGCTTCTTGTATATTACTCGAACTATTTCCTACTGTCCTTTCCTTCTGTTCTCCAGGAACTCCGCTAGCTACGGATTCAGCGCCTTCATTTCCTCCCCTTTTTTTGTTCTCGATCAGCTCGAATACCAACGGATCTTTGTCCGCTATGGCCAACACGTCATTCTGGTTTTTGAGTTCGGTAATTATATGCATAATACAATCATCGCTCTTCTCGAAAAATGATACGCATGATTCCGTCGTTGAACTTCGTTAGCTTCTTAGCAAACGTCTCTTCGGTCTTCCAGCTGCGGGAGCCGCAAGTCAATCCGCTCCACTAACGCTCCTTCGTTCCACTGGGCTGATGTTGGAGCCCTTGCTGTTCCGTTCTTTTCGGGACGTCGTTTGGTGGGCTGGCGGAGGTTTCAGATCATCTAGGCCATTAATTCCGAAGTAGGCCCGTGGGTATCTTTAATAATCCGCCCGAGTGCTTTACTCGGCTCCCCTGTAGGCAATTCTATGTAGACCGCCTCAATAATCTCCCATTTTTTTTCAGTTTCTGCACCTTTGACCCCCGAAACCTCTTGGATATATGAAACCATTATAGATAGACTCATTGTGGGACCGAGTGAACATCTTCTTCGACGTTTAGGCGTGGATTTTCCATATAGGAGTTTATCTATCTCACTCGAAGGATTTGAGTTCATATGAGTCATCATATAGAGCCGATTGAGCCCTAGAGGTTCCTAAACAGCTTATTGTTTTCAAGCGGATTTTGAACAACTCTTGCCGAGTAGAAATATATCTGAAATAATATAATTCATTTTTATTATTCATTTTTTTTAATTAATTGAAAAAATAGAACTAATGACTAGAAAAAAAAAAACGAAAAAATAGGTGTCTTTGTACAACATGAGATCATTTGGAAAGCCAAAAAATGGACAAAGGAAATGGAATGGAGAAATAGGAATGAACAATGAGATCAGAAGAAAGCCAAAAATTTGGAGAGAAACTTAAGTTGGAAAACAAATCACATGAATTTGGTCAAATTCCAGCCGAGACCAGCTCACACGGGGGTTTGTCGTCTATCCTAGAACATGAATAAAAAATGTGACGAAAAAAATAACAGAAAAAAATAAGATGAGATTTTGAGCAGTAGTCAGTCTAATGGTGCAACTCGCGCCGCTGCTGTTGATACTGTTGGTGATGGTAGTGGTGAGGTGAATGACTAGCTGCAAATATCGTCAGTTTTTCGATTCATGACTGGATTGATTCTGGGGGGGGGTGAGGGGAGACTTCTGACAAGACGACTAGTTGACCAAATCAATAAATTGGTGAATGGTGGATGGTGGCAAGTTGTTGGGCAATGGCAACTGGAGATTGTGGGGGCAGAGACTAGAATGGTGACAAACAACATGGGCAAGAATAATTACGACAAGAAAGTACGATAACGAGGCGTTGAGGTGCAGTTTTGAATACAAGTACTAAGACAATCAATGGTTACAACTATCAATGATGCTGAAGAAGGAGCAATTCGAGGCAGAAAAAAATGATTTGCGATGAAATGAAAAAAGAACACGAATTTGTGGTGGTCTGCATTCACGGCGACGACAATTTGCGGAGCTTTTCTGCAGCGACGCGTTATGATGAATACAGACCATCGCTCATTTCTTTTTCCCCCGATGTTCCTTCAATTGAACGCAAAAAAAGAGAAAACCGCATGCGACGAAATCAATATGGGTTATATATATATATATATATAAATATACGGTGTTTCGACGCAGTAGTAGTAGAAGCCGAGCCGTTACAAAAACGAACGTCAAAAAAAAACATATAAACAAATCAAAAAAAGACAGAGAGAATAGAGAAATAGACAGAGAAATATATATATATATATATAGGTATACTGGCTAATACGGACGGTCGGCACGCGGTCGCTTCAATTGCACTTTGAGGCGCTTCATTCCGATCTGGAAGCCGTTCATCGCGGCGATCGCCGTCTGCGATGAGTGCGCGTTGTCGTATGAGACGAATCCTGAACGTTTTTTGCGGTGGAATATTGAATATTGGTGGATGGCCGGGAGGGTTTTCGCATGCGTTTCCATTCATCATTGGAGCCGAAACAAATTTTTATTTATTTATTTTTTTTTGACGGCTCTTTTTTTTGTTTTGCTTAGGAAGACGTGTTCTTGGTCCAGGCTTAGTTTACCTAACGATTTGACGTTGTTTGCATGTGCTCAAAATTTGTAATTAATTTTTTTCTAGCGATGACTAATTCTGGAATTTCTATAGAAACCTTGGAAGGGTGGATCGTTGAATTTTGGTCTTTCGAATCTTCTAAATGATAAAATGCCACGTGGGTTTTTTTTTTAAATTATTTTTTGTTTGTTATGGATGTTATAACTAGGGCATTTTTGCGTGAAAAAACTGCGCTAATACAAAATGGCCTAGAAATCAATGGCCGTCAAATTCTAGGCCACGATTTTCACTGATTTTCCAAAGATATTTTTGGATTTAGAAATGCGCGGCGTCACCACTAATCCTATATTTTCGGAAAACAAAAAAAACTGAAGCCCCTCGCCGCGATAACAATGATAATAATGGAAATTGCATGCCTAGAAACGACTCATCAATACTACAAAAAACGACTAGGTGATGTTGAAAGCGACGAGAAAAATAAATAAATAAATAAAAATGAAAATAAAAATATTGCTTTTCACAACAATGATAACCGTCACTTCACTAGTGAGAGCTCTGGACAAAGAACCACCGAAACTTCCATTCAATATTGAGTAAAAAAAACGTAGACGAAGAAATCATAAACGGAAACGAGTCGCCCTTTTCTTTCAGGGAAAATTGTTTGGGACGGGGGGGGGGCTGGGAAAGAGTTTGAATGAAACACGAACCGAAGCATTTGCTCTGATTGGTGGCGCGATCGACAAACACTTTGGCGGAGACGACGCGTCCGAACGGCGCGAACATCTGGATGAGCTCGGTGTCGCCAAACTCCTGCGGCAAGTGATAGATGAAAAGATTGCAGCCGTCGGGACCAAGCACTAAAAATACCAAAAAGCGATATCGATTATATTGAATTGAATTGAATCATTCGTACCACACACACACACACACGCACACGCATACACACAGTATGTGCTTGCACCGGAATTGCCGGGATTGAGGGACGGACTACATCGAAATAAAAATAGAGAAGATCACCACCAAAAATAAAGTGAGAGAAACAATGGGCAACGAAATGAAGCATTGGAAGGGGGGTAGGGGGGATTATGAGAATGATCCTGAAATGATGACAAACCTTCTTTCGGTGTCACCATCGGCATTGCGGCGGCGGCTTGTTGCTGCAATTGCGCCAATTGGAGGGCGGCGGCGGCATCTGCAAAATCGAAAAAACGCGGCGCGATGAATGGGGTGATTCTCTCAAGAAGTCGTGTCATCTTACTTTGTTGCGATTCGATGCTGAGCAGATGATTGTAGGGATTGGCGGCGGCGGCGGCGGCGGCAGCCGCTGCCAGCTGGTAGCTCGCATCGCTACCGTTCGCCGCGCCCACCGGCTGTTGGCCTTGCTGGCCCGACTGCTGCTGCTGCTGTTGTTGTTGTTGGGCGGCGAACGCCAACGCGTAATGCGGATTCGCTGGAAAACGAGGAGCAAGAATAAATCGGATTCGTCGCGTTTAGCATAATCGGATTCGACGCCGCTTGCGCCGATAACTTACTCGTCGCCGCTGAAGCCGCGGTGAGACCCAATTGTGCGGTGAGCGTCGGATTTTGAGCAATGACCGGTGCGGCGGCGGCTGCTTGAAGTTGAAGCATCTAGAATAAGCGCTTGGAATAGCGAGGAATGTAATTCTTCCTACCGATGCTGCCGCCGGTCGCGCTTGAAGAAGCGGCAGGTAGGCTGAGGCTGACGTTTGCGCGACATTCGCCAACGCTTGCTGCTGCAAGATGTTCTGAAAGCATCGATTTCGAGATTTGGCGAGATTGAACGCGTGACTCACTTGATACGTCGAATACTGGAGGCCGACCTGGTTGACGAGCATCGGATTAAGCATGCCCATCTGCGCGGCCATTTGCTGCATTCGACGCACCTGTCGCTCCTTCTCGGTGTCGGCGTATTTGACGACGAGACTCGAACTCGCGCCGGGCATCGTCTGGCTGCCGTGCAGCGCCGATATCGCCATCTGCGCGTCGAGCGCGTTCTTGTATTTGACGAACGCGCAGCCTTTCGAGGCGCCGTCGGCGCTGCGAAGCACGGTGACCTCCTCGAGGGCGCCGAACGGCGCGAACATCGCGCGCACCTCCTCCTCGGTTTGCTGCTTCGACAGCATCCCGATGAACAGCTTCTTGTCGTCGAGCTGGAATTGAATCAATGACGGGATGGCATGGATGGTAGCCTACCTTGTCCTTGGGACTCGCCGGACGACTATCGGTGTCAGCCGGCTTCACTTGCATTGCGCGATTCATCTGGAAGACCGAATAAAGTGAAAGTCGAGCGTTTCGCGAAAGTGTGAGCGCTTGTGTGTGCGTTTGTGCAAATCGAACAAAAAAAAGCGGGGGGGGGGGAGGCTCGAAAAGTAGCACGAAACGGCAGGCGAAACGGGGACCACGTAATCGAATTCACCGAAATTTCGCGCGAATTTCGCTTTTCTTCTCGTCGAGATCCAATAAGGAACTCGACTGTGGCGAGGGATTCTCAACGAAGCATTTTTTTCCCGTTTTATTAGCTCCCCTCCCAGGCCATATGGGGTCCGTTGAACGAGCCAAAAGAAAAAAACGAGAAACGTACTCCGGGTAGTGTCTTCTGGTCGTGGAGGGCGGTTTGGCAGCGGATGGCGCTGTCGCGATGGCAGTAGGTGAGAAACGCGCAGCCCTTGTGCATACCTGCAACAATTTTCAAGCTTTAGCTGGGTTTCGCGTGTTTCCGGTGCCGCGCGTTTTCTGCGTGAAATCAATCGCTTCACAAAACACACTTCTATTTTTCTTCCACCCATTTTACGTTGGGTCTTCAAGCGAAAATTGATTTGTCGAACAATTTTTTCTAACACGCTCTTTTTTTGTTGAGATTTTCCACACACACACAATATATCAATTTTTTTATGTCCGCAGGTACACCGCACGCCAAAGTGCACAATTTTTCATAATTGGTTTTCTTTTCGTGAAGGTTTTCAAAAAAAAAAAAATATTTCTTCCAATAAATATAGAGAACTGACATGATTTATATGCAGAAACAAATTCGCGCGAGAATTTATAATTTTTAAAAAAAGCAAGAATTGTCATTTTTTTTCTGAAAGTATTATTTCAGGAGCAATGAAGAGAAAATTAAAAAAAAGAAAACAAATGTTATTTTCCTTTTTTTGCAGTGAAATTTTCGCATATTTTCCTTTTTATTTTAATTTTCCCTATATTAACCTTATATAGTCTGTTTGCGAAAGATTGGTGGCTATCAGAATAAGTCGCTACAAGACCCAACTCAAATTTTGCATTATGTGCCTTTCATCGACCATTTTATTTATTTGGATTAGAGTTTAATCGCAGTTTTCTGTGAAATTTCCTGAAATTCGAAAATAAAAAGATTAATTAATTGATAATTGAACAGAAAAAAATTTTTAATTGAGTGAGAAATATTTTTTGTACACAGTAATCAAAGGCGCATTCAATTTTTGCGCTTGGTTTGTTTCACGGCGTCTGTTTCACGTGTTGTTTTTTAAATCAAAAACTGACTACAAAAAAAAAGTCCGTAATATTTCGTTTGGTGTTTGCGGACCGATATTTTTTGTTTGACAAAATACGAAATTTCTATAAATAAAATTAAGTATTTCCGAAAAATCTGCATAATCTTTTGATATATATAAGATTAATAAATAATTCAAGAAAAAATTGTCTAATCTGCATAAAATTAACATGATTAATTTTCAAGAATTTCCGCGTTTTCATCATCACCGAAATTTTTTTGCTGTCAATTTTCGTTTGAATTGCGACGATTCAATTTGCCCATTCTGCCAACCTGTATACTTGTCCTTCAAAATGGTGAACTCGTAAATTTTGCCAAACTGCTCGAACAGATGACGTAGGTCTTTTTCCTCCAAATTTCGCGGAATCTGAAATCAAAAATTTTTCCCCTCTTATTCGTCGTCGTCCCTCGATTGTCAAGCTTCTTCTAAAACTTTTTTTTTCTAGTTGCGGTCTCGCACACGCGCGCGCGCGCCGCTTTCGTCATGCAAAAAATCCGGCGATCGATAAGTTGTAGCTCGCGCGGCGGAGCCGGCTGGCCGACTCGAGAGCCGGCAATGGATGATGATGATGTGTTGTGCTTTCCAACACACTAATAATTCGATGCTTCCAATTATTTATTGAATTAATTAATTGGCTCTTACTAGAAGAAGAAGAAGAAGCTTTTGTGTGTTTTTTTTTCTCGAAACGAACCTGCCCAACGAAAAGCTTGATGGCGTCGGGATCTTTGACGGGAAACCCATTGGAATCGGTCGACGAGGTGCTACTGGCTCGCATCATCTCGTGGACCATGATGGAATGGTTTTTCTAGGGCTCCCGCGAGCTCCTAAAACAAAACATACGCACATTTCGAAAATTATAATTAAGACGAATCGAGCTTGTGTTTTTTTTTCTTGAAATCCAAAAATGGTGAGGGGAAGGGGGGGGAAGGGATTGAGGGGAAAGAAGAAAAGGGAAAACGAGATGCGAGCGCGACAAGAGGAGGAATGAAGCTGTGACGGCGGCGGCGGCGACGACGTCGTCGAGCTCTAGCCTCCTGCTCTCTGCTGCTCCCTCTTCTCCTTCTCTGCCCATTTTTGATTAATTCTGAGTGTGTGTGTGTCCGCGCAGCAGCAGCACGCGCAATGGCTCCATGACTGACTGACTCCGCCCACTTCGGTGGGTGGTGGCGCGCGGATTCATAATAATGGGGCAAAAAAGGGGGGAGGGGAGAAGCGCTGCGCCTTTAAAATGGTCTCGAAGGAGTTTCATCCCCTCCATCCATCAATCTTCGACGATTCGTTCGCCTCGCGGGAATTCTTTTAGTCGCAATTCTCCTCGTCCCATTTTTCTTGCCAAGGGCTTCTGGATTATCCGCCGAAGGATTACTGTAGTCGCAAATCTTCGAATAGTCAATTTTTGGCATGCTATGCTCCTTTAATTGTGTGATACGGTAGTTGAACACCTATAGTTTGGTGAATTGTTGCTCAACTCTATCAATTTTTTCCCCTCCGGAATTGTCCGCAGCCGAAATTTTACGAAAGTCCAAGACGACATTATGAATGATGGAACTCCGCGGGGACCCGATTCTGGTTGACCTATAAATCGATGAGGAGAGCCCAATACCCATTTTTGGGGGTGCGCAGACCGGTCGGGACCATAAGGACAGATGGTGTTCGCTGACGGTCCAGCTGTCAGCGGATTGTCGACGAGAGAGCGCACTGTTTGAGGAGACATGAATGCGTCGAGTATCTTTATATTCGGTAGCGAATGAATGAAACATAATTACAGTTGAATTGAGGCACTGCGAGTTTATTTCGATTTTTGAGAAGGACGATCGATTTTGACGACGGGACGCAACGGCTTCATTTCACGCTTCGATAGAGAGTGTGCGGCTTCGATGAGCACTGAAAACACAATGAATAAATAATTATTGCTATTATTATTTATAGTTTGGGTTTTGAAAAGAATTGCCTTCGCGGATGCTCATGCACGGCTTCCATGTTTCTTTTTGCAAAAATTTGAAAATGAACTTCGGGCCGGTTGGCTCTCGTCGAAGGTTGATGATGGGCGGCTCGAACGGAAATTTCGACGGGATTTTGACGGTGGCGACGAATTCTTTGGGTTTCGGGCTTTCCTAAAAATGCCATTTGTGTGGCGAATTGAGCGCAACAAATCGAATGTGTGCAATTTTGCGTGAGCGTGTCAACACCCGAAAATTTGAAATTCGAAATTCCTGCACAAATTTTTGAATTTTTTTCTTCGAATAACGCAATTTTAAAAATTCAACGCACTGTTCTCAAAATAACATCGAAACATGTCGCCGTTGGCATCGGTTCGGTTTTAATCGAATATAAATTATTCGCTCCTTCGACGGCGATTTGCTGAAACCCTTATATTCTTTACTTTTTGTATTATTAAAGTCTTACCACTAACTCGGCGTGCCTTTTTTCAATAGCAGTTCCCATTATTTTTTGCGAAAATGAGCACGAAAAGAATAGCGTGTATTTTTGCGAGAATTCTCGTTTATTTTTATGATTTTGCGATGCATTTGAAAGCGATTTTTTTGACTTCTATTCTATATTCAATTTATTATGTTAACGGTACATTCAAATCGTTTTGCTCTTCTTTTTTTTTAGCAAAAATTCATTTTTTAGGAAAAGTGATTCGGAAATTCATCGATTTGCTTGATAAGGATGCTCCGACGCCGTTGAAATTGGCTCCGAATTATAACGAGGAGAGTATTTCGTATAAACGAAATAAGAAATTCGATCCGTGCGTTCAGAATCCGAAAATTTGCGGCAGTAATGGGAAATGCTTGTCGAAAGACGGAAAGTTGGCGGAAATTCGAAATTCAACGAAAAACCAATGTCGCCGTTCAGCTTTTATTGCATTTGCGCTCCAACGCACTACGGGAAAACTTGCGAGCACATTGCGGATCAAACGAATTGCCAATCGAATATATGCGAGAACAATTCGACATGCGTCAGGTGCCGTCGGCAATTCCGCCTCCAATCCCAATTAGAATGCTACCATATTTAGTTCAGAGACACATCGGACCATCATGAATACCACACTGATACAGCTGCTGAGAGCTTCTAAGCCTGATTTTGAGCCGCTGAGCATTTCCGAACTTGCTAGTGCTGAAATTGTCATCAACTATGAGTAATTTGGAAAATTTTGTTGAAAATGAAATGCCAAATTCAGGTGTATCTGCCAGCCAGGATTTGTTGGCGAGATTTGTGAGATATCAGAAGCGCAGAGAAGGTAATCTGTCGTTGGCTGAGTATTAAATGTCAAGTTAAAGGCGCATACAATAATTATTTTTCATAATTTTCAAAAGTCAAAGAAATATTTGAATTAACTTGAAGAAATATTTTCACAAATATTTGTTTAAAAAAAAACTCAGCTGCGGACATTTCCATTATTTCCAGTTGCGAAGAAGATTATTGTCTGAATCGTGGGCGTGGCGTACTTGAAGAAAACAAATGTGTGTGCAAATGCGAAAAACAATTTTTCGGGAATCGCGTAGATTTTTCATATTTTAACCCCTTAAAATTGAAAAAGAAAATTCAGTGCGAACAAGTTTCGGCATGTTATGAAACGAAATGCGAGAATGGTGGAGTTTGTGAAGACGAAATTGATATGAAGGTTAATTTTTTATAATTAAAATAAACGAATAAAGCGAAATTATTGATAAGGGTACTGTAGAGGATAATTCTGCATTTTAGCGTCATCAATATTGCGGACTAGATTTGATTTTTTCCAAAATTTCTTTTTAAATTTTGTTTTCAGTTTTTTTTTCCAAAAATTTTTCAATAGAGTGTTTATAGGCGAAAACAATTTCGGCGAAATGCGTGTGCCCCAAAAAAATAAAAAATGTGGACGCTGTCATCGAAGGCGAATTTTGCGAGAAAGTCAAAATTATCGGAGAAAATAAAAATTTGCCGTGCGCTCCTGGTGGAAACGCGTTCGAAATGATGTCGGCGATGATGGAAAAGTAAAACGAGATGATTTGAATAATCAAAAAATATATATAATATTAAGGTTGCCGAATTTGTTGGAGACTGAAGCCGAAACAAAGGAGCTTCGTGAAATCCAGAACAATTACAATGACGGGACAAATAAACCCAAGAAAATGACAAACGGATGGTGTGAGAATGGTGGAAAATGTGTTCCGCAAGTGGTTAAAAGTGGATTTTTGATCGAAAGGAGTTTTTTTTTTTTTTGAAAAATTGAATTTTCAGTAGCCTCAAAGGAGTTTTATTATCTGCCGACGTGCACATGCACTGATCCTTTGACAGAGGGCTATTATTGTGAGGTACGATTATTTGAAATGTTGAAATAGAAAAAAATCTTGCAAAATTTAGTATAAGCGTAAAGATGCGTGCGATTTAACGTTGGAAGAAATCGCGCGCGGTGTTCGACTCGATGAAAAATGCACGGATATTGCTCACGGAGCATGCGTCGATATTCTAGGAACCGCGCATTGCGTGTAAGTGCGCGACATCTCATTTTTGAAGGCAAAACGAAAGAAAACTGATAATGGTTTGAGGTGCAAGCCCGACTATACCGGAGCAAACTGCGAGAATTTCGATCCGTGTGCTCGGAAGCCGTGCAAACACGGAAATTGTATTGCGGTAAAACGATGTCCCTTTAAACATTTTGCGATTTCAACCAACTAGCTCTCCGAATCCTCTTCGCCTGGTGGTGCCCGTTATCAATGCCTCTGTCCATTGTCAGCAAAGTTGGAGCATGGTAAATTTTATCAATTTGGTCCCATCGAATGGGCCCAATGCGGAGAAAATTAAAGGAGAAAAATAATTTTTATTCCTTCTTTCTGGCTCTGAAAAATTTTCTTTTTTTTTTCATTTCTCTAAATTGACCAAATTTTATTTTGTTGTTGGTTTCCCCCCAATTTCGATGGTAAAATTATGCAATATTCGTTTATAAGATGTTTTTCACACGAGACTAGTTAGGAATAAGTATTCAATGCCAAAAAAAACGGCACCCGCCAACAAATTTCCAGGAACTGATTGCGTCAACATTGAAGAAGGCGTTTGTAAGAAAGGAATCTGCGGACATGGACGGTGTATGCCGTGCGATGCGCCGAAAGACGACGATATGCTGCCGATTTGCAATCAGGCGGAAATCAAGAGAGGATACAGGCTCGATCGAACTCGTTCATTCAAATCATCGAAGCTTCTCGATTTTCAGATGCCTTTGTGAGGCCGGCTTTGTTCCGCCGTTCTGTCGCGCCCACTCGAATCCCTGCTATCAGAATTTGTGTCAGAATAGTGCGAAATGTGTGCCGAATCAATATAAATCCTATGAGTATGCTTTAAAAATCCAATTGAAAAACTGAAAAAAAAAATGAGAGAGATTTTGCAGCTGTCAATGTCTTAATGGAACCAGCGGCACGATTTGTGAGAATATTGACGATGCTTGTGAAGCATTTGGTATTTCGGCTTAAATTTAGAAAAAAAGCGGATAATTGCATTTAGGGCATAGTGTTTGCCAAAATGGCGAATGCATCAACGACTATTATTGGAGAAGAGGATTCTCTTGTGATTGCCTTGTTGGGTATGAAGGCTTGAACTGTGAGATCAGCCTCCCACTGATGGCAACTGGATGGCGTCTGGTGACCAGACATTATCAATTCACAATGCCTGTTGCTTTCTGTGCATTGAGTTTAATCTTGCTTTTCATTTTCTCAACACGAACAGCGAACAGGCAGAAGGAATTGTAAGGGTTTTCTTTAATTTTTGACGTTTTGCTGATAATTTTAGAAAACCTGCGCAACAAGTGGCGGCTTGAAATGCATATATTAGCAACTAATATTTAAATAAAGAAAATTGCACCATTGTTATTAGTTAATTATCACAAGTAGTCGTTCGTTTAAATTACATATTATACCGTATATGGAATACAGCGCTATGTACAAAAAAATGTAGAATGGAAATCATAACATGTTGGTAGGTAGTTTGATGTTGGTGGTTGTTGTACCCGTTGAATGATGGGGTGGTCCGGCCCCTATTATACATCGTATTGTGCCAATTGGTGTAAGGAGCGCATGTATCGCGATGAAGCGGCCCGTCGTGTTGAGAAGCATGGAAGAAGCCACAGTAATCGGGGGCCCGGCCCGCAGACCTGCCGAAGCATGGCGACTTTTGAGGAACGCGGCCGGCGCGTACTATTCGGATATTGGCCGCGTCCGCGACGCTGAACGGTTTCGATGGCGGTCTCGTCGGTGAAAATCGCGCTGAGCTGATCGCACGAGACGGCGATGACGAACATTCCGAACAGCATGCTTTCCATGGCAAGAAATATTGAGTGAAGTCTGCAAAATCTTGTTTCTTTGAACTCCGCTCTCACTTTTTTTTTGTTTGCGGTTGACTTACACTTTTTGATGATTGACATTCTCTGAATAAATGCCGCGAGTTGCTCCGCGAGCATCATCGAGAACCCAACTGAGCGTGAGCACACTGAAACCCCATCATTCTCTCGATTTGTTTGGCGAAAAACGCGAATTGAAAAAAAAATTACAATAGGGCGTAGAAGCAACTGACGCCGACGTAGATGACGAATTGCAGAAAATACTTTTGGTTGAGCTCGCCGACGCAATTATTCACCCATGGGCCTGGAAAATTACAGAATTTGCGAAAATTCTGCTCAAAAAAATTACAGTGATGGTCCATTTTGCGAACACAACGCTTGCATATCCGACAATGATGGGCTCGCGGTGGACGAAATGACTGGCAGCGAGTGCACATCGTCCATTCTGATGCGGAGCCTCTCTGGAACGGTTTTCAGCAATTTAGATGCATTTTCAGATGTGATTCTTTTTTTTTTACTTCAAGCCGCCTTATCATTGCCTCTTCTTCAGAATCCGAATCTTCCGATGAGGAATTTCGCCTCGGATTGTTTGCCATCCTTTAATTAAGCGATTCGATTTTCTACGAAATTTTTGAGCCAATAATTACCCTGTTCGTGAAATTGGCACAATTCCAGGATCGGAGAACATTGCTCGTGAATGTGCTATCAATGTTGTTAAAAGAAGGACATTAAAAATGAAAACGTGGAGAATTCCCCATATTCTGAAAATCGCGTTTATTTTTAAAAAGCAATACTTATTGCTGGATAACTTACGAATAATTAAAGACTGGAACCACTAACCAGACAACTAAAACATAATCAGCGTACGCCATACTTAAATATATCATGCATACGCACATTAACCCACATGGGTCCCAATGAAACATCTCTGTTGTTTCCAATACAGAATTATGGAATATTCATCGAAAACCTGAAAACGAACGAATGAAATCGGATGAAATGGCGAAAAATTAAAGGAAAAAATAGCAGAAGGGGCGGGGCATATTCAAGGCGCATGCAGCGGTCGTGCAGCGATATCTCGTAGCGATGAGACGTTGCTATGCTCGGCGTCTTGCCAACTCTTGGCAACCGCGAAGATTTAATTTTGAATTTTTTTGTTTTTTTTTTTCGATTTATATTGTTAATTCTTATTTTTAGAAAATGTTTGCTGAGGTTGATGAAGGCTATGATAAATCGCCATCTTCGACATCATATGTGCGTAATTATCCAACATTTGTAGCAGACGTAAGTGTTTTTCATATAAAATTTGTGACTATAATGTTTGTTATTCAAGGAGGACGGGGGAACCTTCATCGAACCTCAAAAATCGATTATGATGTTTCCGCAGCGACTGGATTTGAGCAGTCTGAATCACAATAAAACTGAAACAAGTATAATCGAATTTGTTAATAAAAGTATAAAAAAAAATAAATTTCAGGGATCAAAAACCACTCGAAATCTTATTTAAAAGATGATTCCGACTTGAAAGAATATAAAAAGAAATTAAAAAATGTGTGTGGACAAATTACAAGAAAGCTGGAGGTAATTTTTTCGAGAAAAAATTGAAAATAAATAAAATTTTATTTCAGATTCATAGAAGCGCTTCGCTTTCTTCGTCCACAAGTGATAGAGGTTCTTCAATTTCAACACAATCGTCTACTGATCATAGATCTTTGACAATTGAGGTGAGAATTGCATTAAATCGGACTCGATGCGTAACATTTATTCGATTTTCTAGATAGAGCGCGCAAAAAGGCTCATCAAACGGATAGAAAAGCCCAAATTGAGCGACACTAGAATATTCGATGATAGCCATTTTCGGCTAGCTGATGAGGAGACCGATGAGGACGAGACGAGACCGTAAGAAAAAAAAAATAGTGAACAAACCAACATGCAAACTCAATTGTGCGTTTTCAGGCCGTCGAGTGAGTCATCATTGTGCTACCACGAGATGGCGAGAGCAAGTCAACGTCAATTGCGCGATGTGATATCGGAGTTGACGGATGTCGGCGTGCAGGAGGCGGAAAACGCGCGACGACGAATTCGATGCGACGCGGCCACTAATACAAGCGGTGAGAGACAAGTCATGCGTTCATCGCGAATAGTGCAATCGGTTGTGGTGTTCGTTTGTTGAGGAGGGGTGCTAAGGAAACGTTGCGAGGCGGGTTCGTGACCGGCTAATGATGTTCAACAACTTTGCGATATACTACGATCTTGATCTTATTTGAAGGTGGCTGAAAAGCAGCCGATGTGAAGGAAAATGATCTGAAGCCGAGTCTTTTCTTTTGTCTCGAACCTAGAATTGTCTGAAATTGGTTGAAATCGAAAAAAGCCAAAGAGAAATTGAAATTTGGCATCGATTTCTGTTAAATGCATTGTTCGCAATTATTTCATTATTTTGAAGCACAAAATAATGCACATTTTGAAACAATCGTCGTCAAATAAAATGCATTGTGTGCAAAAATGCTTCCTAATTTTTTTTTTAATTTCGTACTTCAATTTTAGAATATTGAGAAGCAAACGCTTCGATTTTCTTTAAAAAAAAAGCACAAATTGCCGATGATTCACTTTAATTGACGACAATACACAAAAATTATCTCCTCGGCCTGAAATTTACCTTATTTTTTCAATTTTTACGCTATGGTTTTTCCTCTCGACTCCCCCCCTCCCTTTAAAAATCTGAAATTCAAAATTTCAGTAGTTCTCACTGAGGATGATATTCGCCGATTCAATGGTGGAGGTGAAAATCGAACATTGCGGAGCAGCTCAAGCTCGGCGAAAGACTCGATTCGAGAAGCATTTGAGACGTTCGGCATCGAAAATGATGAGACGCCCATATTACGAACGAACCAATCGAATAATGGTAATCCGCGCTCGTTAATTTCAACTAATCATATGTAATTATAGGCTCTGAGCGGATCGAGGTCGCGCGAAATGCAAGCTCGGTGCACAATTTGAACACACGCCCAAGAATACGTACGCGTTTTTTTTTGTTAAAAAAGAAAACGAGACATTTTAATTGTTTTGAGAAAAATTTCACAAATTCGAAATTTCCACTTTTGAATTTTCGCTATTTTGAAAAATTTTCTGATTTTTTCAGAAAAACCACTCCATCATTCACTTTCATCTATGGCAATCGCTCCAGCTCGCGTTTACATCGATCAAGATCACAACAGATCGCTGCCACTGATTCCACGGTAATTTTGACACTTTGATCTGTGGTCAATTTTGCACCTGTGAACTGTCGGCAGGTGGAACATTTTATCACTTTTGTCACTCAATAATTTTTAATCTGTTGCATCTTAACAGTTGGTAGCTTGCTGAAAATCAGGCGGGAATTTAGGGGAATTTAATAATTAATAATAATAGTAATAGCGTAATTGAATTTCGAAGAAAACTTCGAGACCCGTTGAAAAATTTGAAGACTTGCGTTTTTTTTGTGTCGAAAATACGGAATTATAATTTTGTCATTTTTTAAATGGAAATGCTGGAAAATTTTTTATTGGATTATTATTTTTTTTTTATTTGAATATAAAAGTATGACGAAGCCGAGAAAATTGAGTCAATCATATAAAATACATTATATTGTTTCGAGAAAAAAAATATTGCTTTAATAGGCCATCGAAATTGTCTTTTTCATTTTCAGATTCACTGTCAAACAGTCGACTCGCGACATTTTCAAAGAGCCGCTCGATATTGATAATATTTGTGGGAAAGGTCTGCGAAGAAACCCGAAAAGGTGATTTTAAGCCGCGATTTTTCGGCCGCTAAATGAGCGCTCTTGAAATTTTGCAGTTCGGTAAAAATATTTGGCGGCGCGCAAGTGGCGCAAACGGTTCATGGAGTCGTTGAGAAGCCGAGCTCGTCGAGAGGACGATCGCGGAATGTCGGAGAATTGTCGGCGCGAGCGACGGTTGCGTCGTCGGCGAAACATCGAAGCGTTTCGAAGGGAAGAGCCGAGAATCAGAATCCGCCGTATTGCAGCGCGACGCAGGTGCGAACCATCGAGAACACCCAACAACCAATCGTGTTCGATTGCAGAAGCTCAACGGCGTGGCGCATTCGATTGGAACCGTCGGACAACAATTGATTGGCACGATCAAATCGCTATTCCCGGACCTTCTCGCGCTTGGCCATCGAATTTTGCGCGAGCCATCCGAGACGGACGTCGCCGTCGTGTTCCGCGACGAACTTCGCCGCCAACTCGCGCACATCGAGCGAAAATACCGCGAGAATTGCGCGACGAGCGACGACGAGTCCGACGAAATGCTGACGAAACTCGGAGTTGTCGAGCGCGTTCGCGAGAAGCTCGACCTTTTGCTGCTCGGCGGCGGTCAACGCTCGCGCGTTCAACAATTGAAATTAATAAATTCGGCGCTATTAAGCGCCTAATCAAATAGGCTTAAAGTCGAATAACTTGTATATTTATTATTGGAATTGTATTAACCTATGTGTTTATTATTCGGACCCCATTTCGACGAGAAATCCCATTTTGCTCAAATGCAGCTGACAGCGAAATTATAAAGAGTAACTTGATATTTTGCGAGTGTGTGATTTGATACAACGACAACAATACCCGTCGTTTGGCACATGGGCTGATCCTTTGTTTGCCGATTGTTCGCGGCGAGACCCACCAGCGAAAAAAAAAATTTAATTGGGTGCCGGTTTTTTTTTGAATTTCAGTTCATACCAATAAAATAGTTGGGACTAGTTTTGAGGGCCTTGTAATTTTTAGACCCCCCCCTCTCTTCTCTGTCAATTGTCCGCAGATGTGCATCAATTTAGAACATCTGGCATCCGCAAGGGAGGGAACCCACCTGGCGCGTGCCTCCCAATTGTTGTCGGCACGAAATTTTTCGTGCCGACAACAAAAAAAAATTTACCGAACGAACGACGATCGTTTTGTTGTCGTACCGCGTGCGTTTCCCATACATGGATTTCGGGCGAATGTCGGCCGTCTCTCGCTCTCTCGCTGTCCGCCGGCCCGGCCCGACGAAGCCACGCGAAACGTTTATTTCGGACCTCCTCGCTGGCGGTGTTCTCATCGGTCGGCGTCCGGCGAAACGATGGCGAACAGCGCAGCAATTTTTTTTTGCTGTCTGTCTTCTTCGATTTTGAATTTCTTTTTTTTGCGTCACAAAAAAAATGCATTTATTTTGGCGACATTTTCCCACACAATCGAATTGAAGATGAAGATGATGACGAGAAATAAAAAAACACACAAAACAAAACGAAATTCTAGTTTTGTTGTGTGTTTGAGCCGCCCATCGCATGTGTGTGTGCAAAAAATAACCTGCTCGGCGGAGAGCGCAGAGAAAACGGGCAGACTTCCAATTCTTCCAAAAAGTCAAACATTTCTTCTTCGTCGTCTTCTTTTACATTTTTTTTTTTGCGTGAATCTGTTTCTCACTTCTCTTTTTTTCTCATTCTTTTAATTAATTGCATGACCTAGAAAATTTTGGCGGCCATGCGAAACCAAGCATGGAACCGATGAGAAAAATGTGGCAAAAATTGCAAAAACCGAATTTTTTTTCTGCATGAAAAACTTTCATACAGATCGCACTTGGCCTGCGCGACGACGGCGGCATTCCCCTCCCCATCCATCCATCAACACTATTTTGCCGAGCGTCGGTATCATCACGGCCACCCCCCCCCCCATCGACCATTTTTATTATATTCGATTATTATTATAATATTACTTTACGCGGGTTTCGGCAGGCATAGATTGCAAAAACTGGTCGCTTCAAGACCGTTTTGCGGGTCCCGCGACGTTCGCCCCATGTTGTAATACATAAATGGCATTCCTTAGGCTCGCTTATCTTTTTATTCGTCATATAAGAGCAAACAAACATAGTAAAATTGTAATACAAAAATGTTTCGTCTGGTTTTTGTCCCCCCCCCCTGTTGAATTGATTTGTTGGAGTGTCGCGATTATTGATGAGAAAAGCAAATAGCCGTCGTTCGTGTGTGTTTTTTGTCTCTTGCTGTATTATTCGCCTTGTGCTCCATTCATTTAAATCGTATTTGATTTTTTTTTCCAGCAGCATCGACGACGACGACAAATTGAATGCGAGAGTCATGAAAATTGAAGGTAATTTATGGCGAAACTATACGAAAAGCAAATCGCGCCATTTCCAATTCCCAATGGGGGGAAGAGAAATGCGCGATGAGCGTTCGTCGAAGAAATAAAAAGTACAAACATGCCGGGACATCGATTCGCCCATTATTTTTTGCAGTCGTCTCGGCGGTGCCACACGCCACCATTCATCAGGCGGTCTTGTCGCGGAGGAATCGCTCGATTTTCTGCGCGGGACCCTATGAAGTGCTGCCGTTGGAGAATTGCTTCGAGCCGGTACGAGATTTCCCTTGAAAAATAACGCAAAAGGCGAATTTTTAAAAAATTTTTGATTTCTGTCCGCATACACTTTGACGTAACATTGCGGACATTGCCTACAGTACCATTCGATTACTAAATTTTATTGATTTTGACATTGAAAAAGCGACCACTTGACAACTTCTTTCGGCTTTATAAGTAATTCATTGCCGCTGCCATTGTCGTTATGCAAATGCGGTCGAAACGCGCGCCGTCCCCATTCAAAATGGGCCTTTTTCGACGGCGGTCTCTATATCCAGATAATTGTTTTTCGTGGAGGGACCGACGTGAAAGTCGTTTTAGTAATCGGGCGATGGAACGAAACAATGCGGAATTAGTCGAGCTCCGCTCGCTTCTCATTCTCGTCGATTCGATTTCGACATTGTGTGTCCGATTGAAGCGCGCGATAACGCCGACGCCAATTCTCCAGCTTATGACACTTTCAATTGTGAATTTCAAATCGATTCCATTCAAAATTGCGAAAAAGATGATAGCGAATTAATATGATAACGAATTGGTGTCAAAATTTCACGCCTCGATAATTATGTTCGTGTGTGTGTGTGAATGGACCGAATTTGCAGCTTCCCAGCACGTCATCGCTTGCCGATTGCGCCGTCGAATGTTTGGAATTGTCGACAGACGAGCGATCGATTGGGGTGGCGACGAACGCGCTTCTCAAAATCGCCGATGTACAAACCGGTAATGATGCTCGATTTAGCGGATAAATTTGGCAAAATTTATTTTTTAATAATGAAACATTACAAAATTTATCGAAGAATCGCGTTTTTCTCGAATTTAAAATAACCAAAACTCAATTTTTGTAAAAAAAATATTTTGGTGGCCTAGATTTTCGCGGCCGCATTTTTTTCGGCCATGAAGATTTTCGAAATTAAAAGCTATTAAAAGTGCAAACGCGTAAAACTATTGAAGATATTTTTGTCTGAAAAGTTTTCTAATGTATTTATTTAATATTTGGAAAACAAATTTTAATGGTTTTTTTGGTGATGGACTAGTTTTTCCGCGGCCAGATTCTCTAGAAACTAGCAGAAAAGATGATTATTTTGTAGGACGCGAGGTGCGAAATCTGTCCGGTCACACGCTGCCGATCAACTCGCTGGCGGCGAGCAAGTTCTCCGTGTACAGCTGGTATACGGGCTCATCGGACTTCTCATGGGCCCAATGGGACACTCGAATGCATCCATCAAAGGTTGGGCCCCTGGATGGCTGAACATCAAAATTTGAGAGCCCCGCCAATTTTTGTAGGTGCTCGGCGCGCGCACAAGCGGCATCGTGAGGAGTGTGGCCGTCTCCCCCGGGGACCGATTTGTGGCCGTCGGAACGGACCATTCAATTCAGCTGTTCGACGCGCGCCAAAGGGAATACATCAAGCAATTCGCGTGCTCGGTAACGAATCGAATTTTTGGGCAACGCGAATTTGGTTTTGTTTTAAAGGGACATCGATTGGAGTTCAATCCGACGGAGGTATTATTGTCGGCGGTCGGACACGATCGCGTCGTTCGGTTCTTTTGCCTCGAGAATCTCGAAATGATCTCACAATCGGACCCATTCCTCGACGACATTCAAGCATCAGCGTTTGACTGTAAGACAATCCAATGAGTGGCGTTTAATAATGCCGGATTCTAGCGCATCTGATGATCGCATCGACAAGCGATTCGATCAATCTCCTCACATGGGAGCCGTGCGATATTCTGGCGACAGTTCCGCTCAAAACCGTCGAAAAGGTCGGCTTGTGCGCGATTTGAGCGCGAGATAATCCCGAAATTCGTAATAATATTTTCAACAATATTCAAATTCAGGTTGTGAATGTTGGCGTGAATGGAGGTGTCGAACTTGATTTTATCTGTATTGGCGAGACGACGGAGCGCGTCGAAATGCGGACCTACTCGATTGAGGTTGGCGCGCCGTTTCGAAATCACTCATTTTTATTTTCTCGCAAAATTAGGAATTATTGTCGTACTCGCCGAGCCAAGATTTGTCGGGAAGCATTTACGAGGAGGAAGACGAGATTGACGCCGCCAACGACGTTTCGCCAATCGACGAGGTTCCTTTTTTTTCTCTTGGTTCTTTTTTTTCTTGCATGAAATTTTCGGTTGTTGATCTACTATTTTTCCTTCCCTTTTAAACAAATATTTTTTTTTCGAAAATTTAGGCGCGATATTGTTTCAAATTTTCTCATGCGCCTTTAAATGTTTTCTCAGTTAGGGTACTGTAGCCAAATTTTCAAATATTTTCGATGGCGGAAAATTTTGCAAATTTTGATTGTTAAACGCGTTCTGAATGCGATCCTAGCGCGAAATGAACATATTATTGCATGTGCCTTTAATGCCTACTGTAGTTTTCTATGCATTTCGTATTAGATCAAACTGAAAACGCCATTCCACGGCGCCAAAATCGAATTATAGAGAGCGAGAGCGCGTCCCAAAATTTCGTCTGTCGTCAACATCGTTAAAATTTTTCTAGAAATTTTCAGCAATATTCTTAGATTTGATAAATTTGAAAATTTATTCGTTTGAAACAAATTATTTTGTGTCTTGACTAACATAACTGAAAAAATTACAGTAATCATCAAAGACGCATGCAAAAATTTGTTATTTTCGCGCTAAGAATTACATAAATATTTGGCCTAAATTATTCGTGAAAATTTCGACATAGATTTCCTCTTGAATACTTGCAAAATAATTGTTCACCAATATTTTATTTAATTTTTTTCAGATGAAAAATATCATTCTCGAACCCGATATTCAAGCTGAAACATCAGAATCATCAGTGCAGTCAGATTCGGTAAATTTTTTCCAATAATATTTTTGAATATTTTTAAATTATCCTTTCAGGCTTCAAGCAATAGCAATCATTCCAGTCCGGCAAGTCCTGAAAGGCCGGTAATTAAGACAAGATCGGCAACGGCGTCGCTGAAAGCCGGAAAACCGTCGACGCGTTCGTTGACGCCCGTCCTTTCAAAGCCGCCGTCGCTGAAATCGCAACCGGCGACGCATCCACGAACGAACGGCACCACACAAAGTACAACCAGTCGCAAAATGGGATTCATGTAAAAACGAATTGAACACATTTAGGCAGAGGCATGCGCGGCGCGAAACAATCTCCATCTCTCGGCGATTTCCGCGGTTCGACGCAATCTCTCCAATCGCGAACGGATATTAAGAAGCGGTCGGCGTCGGCGCAGTAAGTGTCTCATCGGGGGGGGGGGAAAGTTTCCCGAAGAAATGTATCAAAAATTGGTTGCCATGACGCTGAGTGGTAGGGTGGGGTCTCTCAGCGCTTTGCGAATAGATAGATAATCGCTGTCCGCTTCGAAATTGCTCTCAACTCCACAACGTTTTTTTTTTCGTCGTCGCCCATTTCTTATTCTTGTTTGGTGTACTTAATGGCGACAATAAGTGCCTATGATTTGCGTAATATTCCGACGACGATTCGATTTCCACGGCGTTCGAGTTCGACGAAAGCGTCGAAATATGCGAGAAGGCAATCATTTTTTGCGATTTTCAAAACGCAATAAAGCTGATTTTGTTCGGTTTCAGACGCGATTCGGAGACGATAACGATCACATATCTTGGGAGGCCGAGAACGCCGAGCGAAGGCGAGCACATTGCGCGAGCATCATCGACGTTGCCAAGAAAACCGACGACGCTAGACGGCGCGCGACCGAAAGTGGCGGTGTCGAAACGCGGCTCGCCGGTGAAAAAGGCGACGAACGACGTTCGAGAGAAGCCGAGCGCTCAGCGGGATATTATGAATTGTTTGAAAGCGGCTCTCGGGATTTGCAAGCAGCAAGAGAAAGGTGATTTCGGAAAAATTTTTCGTGAAATTTATTGATTTCGCCATAAAGAAATGGTTTTTTTTTTTCAAAAAATGCCACACGTTATTTTTTGTTTGTTAAAAGTTGATAAAAAATGAAAAATAATTAAAAAAATGGTTATTCGTGAAATTTTAATTTCCGCATTTCTTATCTTTTAAAGTTTCTTACAGATACCCGTTCGCTGCTGAAAGTGATTCAGAAGCGCGGCTCAAATGCTTTAGTGTGCGCCGAAGTCAAGAATGACGATCGTTTGTCGATAGCAGCGCTGAGATTGATCAATGAAAAGAATGATTGGTCTTTAAATATGTGTAATTCCTATCTGCCAACCATTATAGGTAGTCTATAAGAATTTGATGTGTGTTTTTCGAAAGCCGAATGTTTCAGACGGGCTTGTAAGCAGTGATGATGAACGACGGGCGGTTTGCCTCAAATCATTAGATGTGATTTCCGATGAGATGCCGGCGAAACTTGTCAAGTTTGCCAATTCGAATTCGCGAATTGGCGTTGATGTTGCCGCCGAGGAGCGCGCCGAGAAGGCCAATAATTGTTTAAAGGTAGTTCGTTGTGTTCGATTTTTAATCGAGAAAACGGAAATTGAAACATTTTCAGATGCTTCGCGATATTTGCAAAAAGCGTGATTGGTATTATAAGCAATTGAGCAAGGAAGATGTCATCAAACTTGATGCAATACTAGAACGAGTCAAAGTGTTATAAATGCACGTTTTATCCAAGATTCTCCGCCCAATTCATTGTCTTTCATTTGCTAAATGGGTTAATGTCGCAAACTGTGATGGCTGTAAATATAATTCATACTACTACTACAACTGTATATGTGTAAAATGTTATTAGTTGTTTTTTTTTTTCTAAAATAAATGTTTTTAGATTTTTGTTTCTAGCCTGAAATAATGTTTCAATGAGAATGAGAGAAATTCCGGTGAAAATGCGTTTTCCGAATGATATTGTGATGGCCTAGGAATTTTCATGGCCGTGGACTAGGTTCACTCATCGGCCATGTTGGAAGAAACGCGTTATTTTTTGTTTCGAATTATTTTTCTTCGAATTCTGCCGTACGTTTGCATTATTTTTGCATTTTAGATTAATTATGGGAAAGCATGAGAAAGGCACACCAAAGGAATTGGCAAATCGAGTGAAATCGAAAGGATTACAGAAGCTCAAATGGTGAGGCGCATTGTATTTAATTAATTGTCGTTAATTATCGCCTAATTAGGTTTTGTCAAATGTGCCAAAAACAATGTCGAGATCAGAACGGATTCAAATGCCATTTGACATCGGAAACGCATCAGCGTCAGCTTTTGTTGTTCGCGGAAAACTCGAACGCGTATCTGCGGCAATTCAGTAATGATTTTGAGAAGAATTTCATGTTGGTTCGTTGAAAATATTGAGTATTTCGAGAAAAAAAAATATTGAGGATATTTTAAGCTCCTACGAACATCATATGGAACGAAGAGAGTTCGCGCCAATGAGGTGTACAACGCTTACATCAAAGACAAAGGCCACGTGCACATGAACGCGACGGTTTGGCATTCGCTGACCGGATTCGTTCAGTATTTGGGAAACAGCGGAAAGTGCAAAATCGATCAGGGCGACAAGGGATGGTACATCCAGTATATTGATCAGGAAGCTGTTGTGAGGAAGCAGGAGGAAGAGAGAAAAGCGAAACAGGAGAAGGATGATGAGGAGCGGCATATGGAGATTCTTCAGAATATGGTTCAACGGTTTGACAATTTGAATCGTCTCTCTTTTTCCAAATAATAGATGTTCAGAGGTTTGGAGACGAGTGAGGCTGTTGAGCATCAAGCGACGGAATTGGTTCGATCGGGCGATGAAAAGATCGAGATCCAATTGAACAAGAAGCCGACGCTTGAAGAGCTGAACAAGCCTTGCACATCGTTCGGCTCATCGGTGTTCGACAAGGTGAAGGATCGGAAGGTGAAGAAGGAGGAGCCGGAGAGCGACGGCGAAGACTCTCGAAGGGCCACCAAACGATCGAGAAGTCCGGAGAAGCGCGGCGAGTCGAAGAAGGCGAAGAAGTCGGCGTTGGATGAGATTCGCGAAATGGAGGAGCGGACGAAGGAGAGGAAGAATCGCAAAGATTATTGGCTTTTTGAAGGCATTATTGTAAAGGTAATTGTGGATTATTTAATTATTAATAGGCTTCTAATTAATTGAAGATTATCACAAAATCGTTGGGGTCGGATTTCTATAAAGCCAAAGGGGTTGTGAAGAAGCTCATCGACGAGTACACCGCTCAAGTCAAACTTGACGATGGTAAATTTTTTCGAGAAATTTTCCGACAACATTCGACGATTTTCAGGGACGTTGGTGAAATTGGATCAAGCGCATTTGGAAACGGTGATTCCATCAATCGGGCGTCAGATGCTGGTGGTGAATGGAGCGTATCGCGGTTCACAAGCGGTATCGGCATTCCATCAAAGCATCAAATCTTAGGGTTTCAATTTCAGACGCTCGACAAAATCGATGAGAAGAACTTCACGCTGAAGTTGACGATTTCGAGTGGGCTGATGAAAGGTCGACGAATCGAAGTGCCATATGAGGATGCAAGTAAACTTGCCTAATTTTATCAGCACATACAGAATTGTGAGTAATAAATGGAGGAAAATGATGACAAGAATGAATATTTACAATTTCATTGAAATATTTCGAACAGCCGCCTCGTAATCGTAGTCATCTTTGTCCAGAAGGCCCTGGAACCCTTTCGCGTTGAATATTTCAATTTAAAACGAAATAGTGATTTTGTACCTCGTCGGTTGTGGTGGTGGCGTTCGGCGCCGAGTTTTTATACGGCTCATTGCCAAACGTGCGGACGAGATCGCAAAAGATGGGGCTCGATTCGGTGTGGCAGAGCTTCGAGCTGCGCGTGACGACCTCCAGGCAACCGCAGAAGTGATCGTCGCAAAAATTCTGACCGCGCTGCTCGTCGTAGCAATTGTCGTGCTGATAGCAGCAGCTGTTGACGTGATCGCGAAGTTTGGGGCATTTCGCGAGAATCTCGCCCTCGCTGATCGCCTTCGTGAATGCGTCGGTGCCGCATTCCCAACTGCTATTGATTTGGACTGAAATTTCAGATTTTCACAATTTTTCAATTAAACAAAAAATCGAATTGGTTACTTTTTGGAGTGACTACTTTAAATGAGGCTGTCGTTATTGTGGGCTCTGTTGTGGTGGTGGTGGTGGTGGTGGTGGTCCGTAAAATTCGGGGCGTCGGTCTTGCTGCTGAGGTTAGTGGTACGATTGTGGGCAGCAGAAGGCAAACGACGAGACGCCACATTCTGAAATGAACAGGTTCTTGGCGGTGACGAAGGTATAACAAAAAAAAAAGAAGTTATCAGTTTTGTCGCAAACTACAAGGTCAACCCCTCATCATTATTCTCAAGTTGAATCGAAAACGTCCATTTCGGTGTGATTGGTAGATCAAATTTGTTGCAGACAAAAATGGATTCAAACGCAACACAGTACGGTCGAATTGGCGAGACGGAATTTTTTGGAAAATATTTTCTCCAATTGAAATCGATATTTAAATAATACATTATTGTCAATAGTGGTCTGGCTTACTGTAGAATTGGGTCTCGCTAGGTGGATGTCGATTTACGCGCGGGGAGATTTACGGCACATTGTCCGTGTGGAGTACACAGCATGCGCATCGCGACCGAGAGTTTTTCTGTGGAAATTGTGAAGAAAAAATCCGTGATTTCAATTTTTTTGCGAGATCTTAGCCCAAAAATTGCAATTGGTTACCGATTTTTGTGAAATTTTTAGACGGAAAAGTCATAATTTGAAACATTGAATTTTTTTTCGTCTAATGACGTTCAATTAAAATTTTAAAATTTCATTATTTTTTCAATTCTCCCATTTTTGAAATCGGGTTTTACACAAAAATTTTAATTTTTTTTGTTTTTCAAAAAAAAAAAAAAACATTTGACACAAAAATTTTCACAAAAAACTAACCATACAGCCTGTCGTTGAATCAAATAGCATTGTTTTGAAAAATGCGGAAATTCAGGAAAAAAAACCGGAATATTGATTTTGTATACCAGCGAAATCATCCACAAATGGGAATGCCTAAAAAATCGAAAAATATTGACGGCGCAATAAAAACGCGGAAAATGGTTTGGGTCTTGCGGCGACTGATTCTGGCGCGTTTCAAAGAAAACGCGGCTGTCAGGAATGTTCGCCGCGAGACCTACAGAATGTCAAAACCGAAAAAAAAACAAACCAGAACGCAACACGCGAAGCAGAAAAAGTTTTCAAAAAATTTTGAAAAGTGTGCAAATTGGCGTGGGTGTGAATGCAGACCAAAAACAAGGAATTCATCGGCGTCAAAATGATTGATGCGGTTTTTCAGCAAAAAAAATTGGTGCGAAGACGATTCGCAACACACCTCGGCGAAGATCAAAAAATGTCGGTGTCCAGACGGCGATTCATCATCGGACGTGTTCTTGTTCGCACTTTTTGTCGAGCTTTCATGTCCGGAGTGTCTGTCTGGCGCGTGGTCATCAAATTAACCAATTAGGCGCTCATCGAAATTGTTCGTTCGCTTTTTTTTTTAACAAAATTGCTCGATGTGTGTGTGTTTTTTTTTTAGTTTTAATCACATTAGTGCAGACCACCCGGTCGGCTTTCCGTGGTGGTCGCCGGCCTCCGCGCGTGTCCGTATATAATCCGCGCGCATCAACCGATCGCGGCAATCAGTTTTATGACAACCATTTCTCAACTGATCACCGCTTTTTGAGGGGGATAAGGTCAACTATTTGGTATCGCATGCTTCTTCATATTTTCTATTCGCTCGCCGTCGTCCTGAATGCCGGCGTTGACGGCCGAATCAAGGAGCTGCTCGGCGAGAAGACGATCGAGGTCAATACGACGCAGGAGGCGGTTCTCGATCTTTCGAATCATTGGATTGAGCAGGCGTTCTCCGCGCTGTTGGCGACGGTTGCACAGGAGAAGTGAGTTGCGCCTTTGAATCGGGTCCCGTAGCGTTTTGAAAATGTTTGCGAATCCAGTCGTTGATTTGCGTCGTTTTAGTTTGAAAATTTCAACTTTTGAAAAGCATTGCCAAAAAACGGGTTACTGTAGCAAATGTTCAGCTGTGTCCAATTTTAAGGGTCAACGAGGTCCCGCATTTGGAAATGAAGCTTCACGAGAAATGCGTCAAGTCGATCAAAACGATCGAGGCGCACGCGAAATGCGTCAGCGAAATATTGGATGTGTCGCGTTTGCACAAAAATCGAGAAGCTGGCGTGAGGAGAATGGTGCACGAAATGCGTCAGGCGAACAGCAACAGCGAATGGATCGGCAGTTTTCGGGTCTCGCGACGAAAACGGCATATCGTCGTGAATCGCGATTCATACACGTTGAAGAGCTCGTCGCCGTTCTCGAAAATCGCCAAGACGATCGTGAAGACGGTGAGGAATCTGAAGAACAAAAAGGAGACGAGGAAGTGAGTTTTGAGACGAAAAATATAACGTCGCGTGCGCCTTTAACCAATCATTTCGTTTAGTTGGCGTCAGATTATGGTCGACGTGAAACAGACGGGCGAGATCATCGAAAAACGAAAAAAAGTGAGAGAAATGCTCTCGAAGAGCATCAGATCGTCGCGACCGCGACGGATTCTTCTAAGCCCGCGAGACGAGTTCCGAAATGATGAATCCATGTCGTTTCAACGTCCTCTAGCGGTACGAGTTATTTGTGAAGCTTCGGATCGTTCATGATGGATGAGTAAATGCATGGCCGGATGGACGTGGCCTTAAAAAACTAGGCCATCGAAAAATAAATTTCGAAAAATTGAAATTTCGATTTTTTCGTTATTTTTCTAGATAAAAGGGAAATTGTCTAAAATAAATATTTCACGGTTTTTTTTAAACATTTTGCACCATTTTTATCTTAATTATCGCCAGATTCAATAAAATTCGTGTTGTTTTCAGAATGACATCGATTCTGGTGAAGATGAGGTCCGCTCAAAAACGCCCGTCGACGCCGAGAAGCTGTTCCATCAGATTCAAGAGCATCCGGAGACGATTCTCAGCGATGAAGCGCCGAACGCTTTGAATATGACGACGAGCGAGCAGGAATCGATTCTCAAAATCAAATTGATACGCGAAGGTCTCGCGACGATTCGAAAGCGACATGTGTTACTGTAGAATTTGCAGCCGTGAAAATGGGATTGTCGCTTACCGGACAGAATGTGACTGGAATCGATCATAAGAATATGCGGTTCGCTTCGCCAAGATTCTTTGCAATCGCTCCGGAACCCCACAAAACTGATAATGATATGGTAACCCAAGGTGTTGGAATGTTTCGAAGCGATTCGGATTTCAGATCAACATTTTATCGCCATCGTTATTCAGTCTGCACGACGAAGGAACCGAAGACGAGCGCAACACCTCACTTCACAAACTTTTGTCGCTGCCAACCGGAAGCAGCGACAAGGACGCCTGGATCGATATGCTAACCGAGATCACAGGCATCGCCGATAGCGTCGACGACGCGGCCAAGGTATTGTGAGATTGCCGTCAAGCGGACACTCGTCAGACGTTTCCAGAAAGTGTCGCAACAATCCGACGGCGTTCTGATGAACGCTAATGGCGAAGAGGTGGCGGTGAGCAAAGAGAATCTCATCGAGACCTATGGTGCTGAGAACTATCGCAAAATCAAGACGCTTGAGAAGTTGCACCAAATGTACACACCGGAGCAGGTATTTCTCTCATTGTTGTGGATTACTGTAGTCGACGTTGGTCTCAGCTGGAACATTTCAACACGACCGGTTACGCGGTGATGACCGATGAGCAACGAGAGATGGTCTATGGAAAAGGATCGCCGTTCGAGAATCCCGTGACGTATGAGGCCGGAAAGAATTTGACGATCGGCAAGGCGAAGCGAGCAATGCATTCGGTCTCATAAATCTACAACAGTCCGATTTATATGGGCAATTTTCTTGCAGATGATTCGCGAAATCGGCAAAGGCAATCTGAAAATCGACAAGTATGATAAACGAATGAAGGACATCGTCGCCTCGCCGGTAGATGAATCAGAAATGTTGAAAACCTCGTCAAAAAATTCCAGGTTCTGTTCTCCTCGATCATCGGAAACGCCGCCCTCGCTTCGCAGCCTCTCATCCTCTCGCCGGTCCTGTTCACCTCAATTGTCCTCTCGCCGTCCATCTGGGGAGCCGTCATCCTCTCCCCTTGGGTGTTCGTGCCCGTCATCCTCGCCCCTCGAATTCTTGCCCCGATCATCGTCTCGCCGGCCATCTTCTCGCCGATCGTCCTCTCACCTCTCGCTCTCGATCCTCTCGTGCTGGTCCCCGGCGTCGGCAACCCTGTCGTCCTTTCGCCGTTCATCCTCACGCCTTTCATCCTCTCCCCTCAGGTGATGACACCCATCATCCTCACACCATTCGCCCTCTCACCATTCATCCTCACACCCACCGCATTATCCCCGTTGATTCTGAGCCCCTTCGTGCTCTCCCCTGCCATTCTGTCGCCCTCATTCGCCACCGCTGTCATTTTATCGCCATACGCCTTATCGCCATCGATTCTCAGTCCGCCGACAATGATATCAGTGTTCGCCTCGCCCAGCATTCTTTCATAATCGTCTTATTGTTATTACTTTAATTATAATAAGCCATTAATAATAATAAATTGTTTCTATTTGTTTGAAAAATCTTCATTATTCTCAGGATATCGCTCAGATCGCAAAATAATGCAACAAAACGAGTGGTCACACTAAAATGCGACAAAAACGAATCACAATCGAGTTTTTCATTTAAAATTATTGTACCTAGTACAAGATAACAACGAGCCAATAAAGATCATTTGAAGGTGGATAACAATGCGAGAAATTGGGAGAAGTTGAATTAAAACAATTTAATATCTGTAGTGGTCCGGTTTGTATGGTCCGTTGACTGGAACTCCCAAATAGTTGGCCTGATCCTCGCTGAGCTTGGTGAGCTTGACTCCAAGCTTCTCCAAGTGGAGCGAAGCGACCTCCTCGTCGAGCGACTTTGGAAGAACGTAGAGTCCGAGCTTGTACTCTTGTGGGGTTCCGTGCTTGGTCCAGAGCTCAATCTGGGCGAGAACCTGGTTGGTGAACGAGTTCGACATGACGAACGATGGATGTCCGGTGGCGCATCCAAGGTTCACAAGTCTTCCCTCAGCGAGAAGAATGACGTGACGTCCGTTCTTCAAAGTGTAACGGTCAACCTAAATAAAAATCAATTGAACAACCAGTTCTGATATTCGCTCGACAAACCTGTGGCTTGATGGTGTCCTTGTGGGCAGCGTTGGCATTGAGCCACTTGACGTCAATTTCGCAATCGAAATGTCCGACATTGCAAACAATCGAGTCGTCTGGGAGAAGCTCGAAGTGCTTTCCGGTGACGATGTCCTTGCATCCGGTGGTGGTGACGATGATGTTGGCCTTTGGAGCAGCTTCCTCAAGGGTGGTGACCTCGTATCCTTCCATGGCCGCCTGGAGGGCGTTGATTGGATCGATCTCGGTGACGATGACGCGAGATCCGAAGGCCTTCAATGAAGCAGCCGATCCCTTTCCGACGTCTCCGTATCCAGCGACGACGGCGACCTTTCCGGCGAGCATCACATCGGTGGCGCGTTTGATTCCATCAGGAAGCGACTCGCGGATTCCGTAGAGGTTGTCGAACTTCGACTTGGTGACCGAGTCGTTGACGTTGATTGCCGGGATCTTGAGCTCTCCCTTCTGGAGCATCTTGGCCAAGTTGTGGACACCGGTGGTGGTCTCCTCGGAGAGTCCGCGGATTCCCGGGATGTACTGTTGGTATTTGGCGTGGACGATGTTGGTCAAATCACCTCCGTCATCGAGGATCATGTTGAGTGGCTGTCCATCTGGGAAGACGATGGTCTGCTCAATGCACCATTCGTACTCCTCATCGGTCTCTCCTAAAACCAATTAAGATAAGATAGAGAGATAAGAGCGAAAGTAAACAAATAAATTACCCTTCCAGGCGTAGACTGGAACTCCGGTCTTGGCGATGGCGGCGGCGGCGTGATCCTGAGTAGAGAAGATGTTGCACGACGACCATTGGACCTGGGCTCCGAGAGCGGTCAAGGTCTCAATGAGAACGGCGGTCTGGATGGTCATGTGCAAGCATCCGGCAATTCTGGCTCCCTTGAGTGGCTGGGATGGACCGTACTTCTTGCGCATTGCCATCAATCCTGGCATCTCATTCTCGGCAAGGGTGATTTCCTTGCGTCCGAAATCGGCGAGGTTGATATCAGCAACCTTGTAAGCGGGCTTAGAAGCGGCCATCGTGATTATACCCTGCAAAAATTCGAAATAATGTCTGCGTTGAGACAAAAAACACGAAAAACGACGAAACGGAACGACCGATCTTGATGCAACTGACCACATTGCTAATGATCAAGATTGCAAAAAACTTTTAAGGCGGAGTCAAGATAGACATTGAGATAAAGAGCGCCCGAAATCACGTCATCGAAGATAAAAGGGCAGCGAGATAGATATTTCGAAGTGATTTCGGTATTTTTCAAACAATGTTGTATTATCGCAATCGATTTTAATCAAAGATCATTGAGATTTCATGGAATTCTGAAGAAATTCGATAAAAACCAAAAGTTTAGGACGAAAATTCAAAAATTTGAAAGACGACGGTTAAAGGCGCACACAATTTTCGTCGCAGGTCTCGCCACGATTTCCAAATTTTTCAAAAATTTTCGCATTTTTTCGCGTTTCTTAGACATTTCGAGGTTAGCAATGGACACGAAAACGTTAGAAAAATTCAAATAACTGATTTTAGGCTATTCTAGGCGATTTTTATACTCGTCGGCGACCTGGGTCGCCAGCGGGTGGCCACGTTTTCAATTTCCCACCCAATATTTTCATTTTGTTCAATATTTGCCACGCCACGTCCAACATTGTTGGAGTTTCGCTTCGATATTTGTTCAGCCCGTATTCCTACGGCGAATTTTCTGTCGCCGACGCTCGTCTTTTATAGCGTCCGATTCGCGCCGAAAGCCACGCCTCTCTCTCTTCAAAAAAAATTCGACGTGTCATCGCGCCGTCTGCGCCCTCGAGCACCGTGTACTCTGACGAAACCGCGCTGATAAAACCAACGACAGTAATTCAATTTCCTGCCGATATCACGCCATCACATCTCTCTCTCTCTCTCCCTTTCAAACAACGCCAAAAAAAGAAAAAAACCGATCATCGTTTCAACGAAATTTTTATGTATGTCATCGAATCAAGAACCAAAAAGAAAATAAATTAATAATTAATAACAGTCCATGGGGTAAAAATTCGTGTTTAGTGGTTTTTTTTTCTTCAATCGCTTCAAATAAAAATATAAAATATGAACAAAACAACAATTCAGATCATTGGAACAAAAATGATGATGATAATAATAATAATAACGAAGACGATGCGATTCCAAAAAAAAAGAACCGATCAATTAGAACGCGTATCTTGTGCGAATATCCTCAAGCTTCTTCGAGATCTAAAAAAAAATGATTGGTGAGAACCCACAAATCTTGAATCGATTTCTTCTACCTCACTAACAGTCCTTCCCAACTCTTCGGCAACCTCCTTCTGCTGTTGCACTTCCATCATGCTAAACTGTTCGCAAAGATCACCATCGATCACGCTCTGCAATGATTCGATTCGATTTCAAGATAATCGGCGGCCGCCCGAAGATCGCAATCTTCTTCTCCCCCCTTCTTACCTTGCACGGCGCATAATACGAACGATAGGCAAGATGATCGCGACCGCACAACGGCGGATACTCGCTTCGCACATGCATCTCCAAATTCGTGAAGAAATCGGCTTCCTGGAAACAATTTGAATCAAATCTCAATTTTTTTCCCCCAAAATCTCTTCGCAATCTCACATCTTTCGACATAAAGCTAACAAGGCATCCGATCGCTCCGCCAATCGTCGTGTACACCAAAGCCTCATTGGCGCCTAAAATGATCTTTAGGTAATGCGTAATCCAATAAACGCCAATTGATAACAAAATTCTCTCATTGATAACGGTGTGGGGGGTTGAACTTTCAATTTTCGAAATGTTTCGAAAAAAATCCAATAAAATCCATTGTCAAAAAAAATGCGATTTTTTCGATTATTCAAAAAAGAAACACTTTATTGTCATCGCGGCGAGACCATTTCATTTTTGTTTCTCTCGCTTTCTATTTATCCAGCCGCTTAATTCGTTTTTTTTGTTGTCTCTGTTGCAAACCTGGCACTAGTGAAGTCTTCTGAAGGCTGGTGATCATGTCGCCGACATAAAAATTCGCCACCAAATCAACCTTCTGCGATGCTCCATTCAAATATCCGCGATCCCACATTGATTTCGAGGCGGTCGGATCCTCCTGAACATCCTCGTTGACCTTCTCGGGAAGGCGCACCTAGAGAAAAAGAAAGAAAAAATAACAATGGGAAGCAGAGAGCCCGCGAAAAAAAAACAAAACGCTTACAATCGCCAAATTGCCAAATTTGTCGCCAATCGCCACCGTGTGATAATCGAGCACGCAAACACACGACACATAGCGTGGCGTTGTGTCATCGGCAAAAATCACCAATTGGTTATCCTGCAAAATTGTTTGTCGTTTTTTTTTGACGAATCGAAATAAACGCTCAAATGTATACCCGTTTTCGATAGCGCAAAAAGTGCACCGATTCCTGCGCGTCCGACACAATGATTCGCTGTCCCGTCGACTGAATATTGACAATGCTGACCGGGAAATTCTGAAAGCCACTTCTAGTCTCATCAATCATATGTACTTCGAACAACAACTCGAGCGAGGCCTCAAAATCTCGCAAGATTGATTTTCATTGTCAAGAAAAAAAAAACACACACAGCAAAGCAAAATAGCGAAACATTTCGGCATTTGGTTGATATTTCTTTTCTTTTTTTAAGCCCAATTTTCACTTGCCAAGTCGTAGTCGAAAAATTATAGTCAGCAAAAAAAAAACCAAAAAAAAACAAAAATCCCCCGCGAAAATTCAGCTATTTTCGTAATCACACTGAATATAGAATTTCGAATTTTCAGCTATTTTCAGCCAGTGTCAATGACGTGTTAAAATATATCCGGAAATATATCAAAATGGATACTAGTTCAACTTCGAGCCGGATTCGAATATTTAAGATTTTCAAATGCTTAAAATGTCAAGTGTCGCCTGCAAAAGAGAACCCCCAATAGTGTCCACAGCAACAACTAATTTCATTGTCGTTATCAATCCACAGCCCACAACAGCTTTTGCCGAAGCTATCAATTTACCGGGTATTTTTTTCTATCATACCGTTCGTTGAAATTCTCAATTCTGTCATTCACCTCATACCCCGAAGCATGTCCGCAGACAATATATATTTATATAGCACCAAGAAAAAAAAAACGTCGATTTCGCTAACACCGTTCCAAATTAAGATTTCCACGAAAGGGAATCCTCATGAATTATTCAACAAAAAAAAACACTCGATAATCTCTGATGAACACCGACAACGACGAAATACAACAATTTTTTCTCCTGCATAGAAAGCAAAGCAGGTAAATCAAATTGCACGTCTCGAAGCGAAAACGATTAAAATTTCGGGTGGCCGTGGGAGGGGAAAGGGGAGAAAACAATTTCCGGCTTAGTTGGACGAAAAAAAAAACGCACACATACACGCATCTACTATCCAACATTCCTTCGAAAATTTCGAATCGGCTCAAAATCAAACTTTTTCCTTCGGTTTCGCGGTCCTCTTCGTCATCATTCTCTCAAAAAACATTTCAAGAAAAAAAACCGTGGCGCTTACTCAGCAAACCGGCTACAACAATAATATGACCAAATGGAAAAAGAAGGTGGGCTTTGAGTTTTCCCAAGGTTTCTCTCTCTCTCTCATCAAGCGTTTCAGAATTTTCAACTAAAATTCATTTCGTTCCACTCCCCTCTCCGACAACTCATCTATCTACTATATCGTCTCATCGTCAATTTTCACGCAATCTTTGACCAAATTAGGCAACTCGTGTCGTCGCCACGATTCAAATTTCGCACCAACTCGTATTTCTCGTCAACAACTCCGTAATTACCGCCGAGAACAATGTGCTCATTCGCGAGTGAAAGAAAACACACACACACGCGCACAAATGAATAGTGCAGAGTTCGTCGTTAAGTCAAAAAAAAAAATGGGCGTGGCCGCGCGGCTTCATCCAATTTGGAATATATTAGGCATTTGACGCAAATCCACTCCCCCCGCCCCTCCTCTCCCCCGGAACCCTTATAAAATGTTCGACTAGACTGTCAATGAATGAATGATGTGTGCGCCTTTAAATGTGTATAAATCTCGTTTAAATTTTTTTTGGATAATTAGCGAATCAGCGAGAAAATTCCTAATCCCTTCAAGACCTTAAACGCGCATTCCAATAATTCCATATGACTAGTTCGTATCAAAATAAATCGCCACCCCCCCCCTCTTCATTCTCCATTCAAGACCAAATTTAAAGGCACATTCAAAATAGCCGCCACTTCCTTGCCAATTAGCCAACTCCACAAATGAATTATATCTAATTGAAAGCACAAATAGACACACGCGCACACAGATGGGTCCCGCCCAGCTCAACAAAAAAAAATTCTCTCGATGTCTGTAGCTCGAATTTTGTACTTCTCACAACGACAAAATCAATGTTGTCGTCGTCGACGGCGGCGGCGGCAAATTTTATTAAATTTACACTCCGACGTTTGACACAATCAGTCAAGCCAAAGAACGTTCTCAACAAAAACAGCCTTCGCTCATCCAAAAATTTTACTAGTCGTGCTTCTCCTCCTCCTCCTCCTGCTCATCCTCCGCTCCCGTTTTGCTCATTAGCGAGCCAGTGTTCGTCCGATTATTTATTGATGGGCGAATAATAATAAAAAGAAAACAAGAAATTGTAAGACGTATTTTATGCGCCTTGCTCCGGCCTCACATACACACATAATATGCTAACAAGGAGCACGCAGAGGCGGCGGCGACGAAAAATATAACTTTATAACACTTTTTTTTTCAAACCCTATTTTCAGCTGCTTCTTAAAATCAACCACAAACAATTCTTTTTTTGAAACAAAACAACAGATGATTGGGGGAACCTCGAGATCGACTCCCCCAATTGGTTCATTTTCAAGTTGTAAAAAAAATGAAACCTAGAGCATAGGTCATCACATATCGAATTACGCCAATCGATCATCATCTGCCATTTCTTTTTCTCTCTCTCTCTCACTTAATTTTCAACACAGTGATCCTCTCGAATGTTTCAACACACACATATACATATATGCATTCCGTCGGCGCTGCCCCCGCTGAATCCACGTGGCACTGTCACACACTTTCGTTTCAAGACCAGACCACTGAGATCTCAAATTCCTTTTGACATCCAATCTTTATATTTACGAGATCAGAGCAAAACATAACTTCAAATTCTAAAAAATACGTTTTTTTTTTCATTTTACTTGCTTTGAGACCCCGAAAATTCAGATTTCCGACAGCCATTTTGCATCAACACACCCGAATCAGTGTGTCTACCCGGGACGAAGTTTCCCGGGAATTTCCGGGTTCCCGGGAAATTCCCGGGAAAATTTTCCCGGGACCCGGGACTCATTGAAACTTAATTTCCCGGGATCCCGGGAAATTCGTTTCCCGGGAAACGCGGGATCCCGGGATCCCGGGAAATTCATTTCCCGGGTTTCCCGGGAAATTCCCGGGACACCCGGGACAATCCCGGGACAATCCCGGGAAAGTCTGCAAACACCGCGCGCGCAAACGCACACTCTTCGAATATTGCGTATTGTCGTTTTTTTTCGAAATTTTATGAGTTTTCTTATTTTCTTTGTCATTCTGATTCGCGACATATTCAAATCGAATCTTTTCAGTCAGTCTTTTCAGATCGAATCAGCGATATTATTTATTATTATAATTTATTGTTTACTTGATCGATCTTCAATAAGTTTTTTCGTTGAAAAAAGTATATTGAAAAAAGTTTAAAACCATTATTTCGTATAAAATTCTTGCTAATTTGGAAAAATCGTTATTTGCACATTTCAATTGTACTCATTTTTCTGCCAAATTTTAAAAATTCCAAATAGGGACTTCCTACGCCATTTTCTAAGCATTGGAATCTTTTTAAAATAAGAAAATTCATTAAAAAGAAACGAGAATACGCAATATTCAAAGAGTGTGCGTTTGCGCGCGCGGTGTTTGCAGACTTTCCCGGGATTGTCCCGGGTTTCCCGGGAATTTCCCGGGAAACCCGGGAATTTCCCGGATTTCCCGGGAACCCGCTCATCCCGGGAAATGAATTTCCCGGGATCCCGGGATCCCGAGATACCGGGATCCCGGGTAGTTGCGGGACGAAACCGGGACGAGACCCGGGATTGGAGTCCCGGGATTTCCCGGATAAACCCGGGAAACGAAATTCCCGGGATCCCGGGAAATCCTGTCCCGGGTAGATACACTGACCCGAATCCTATAATTTTCGCTCCAAAACTCAAAATTAGGGAACACAACAATCATTCTATTCGATTCGCATCGAGATCCATAAATTTGCAATTTCTCAAAACCACCGTACTTCTCATCAGTAACCAGAATTTCTCAAAGAAAAATCGGCCAATATTCAAATCAATAGGCCCCCCCCAACCAATTTCAAATTTCGCTTCAAGACCCCTACTACCGTTTAAACAAAAAAAAGACAAAACAAAGAGGTCTCCAACTTGCGACAACTTCAGCTTGTAAGTAATTCAGTGACTACGTAGTAGAAAAACACACACACACAACAAGATGGAGGAGAAGCAAATCGAAAATGTTTGAGACGTCGGGAATTGTCCGACGCAAGATGAGAGAAACAAAAAAAAGGGGGGGGGGTCCCAAAAAATGGAAGAAATGAAAATTTCGATGTTCCAGCTTCCTCACCACACAAACAAATATATAAATAAAAATTAATTATTGGCGAAAAAGTGGGGGGGGGGGTTCACGACAAAAAAAAAGAGAGAAAAAGACTTCTATATTTAGAAATGTCAAAGTAAATGGGAGGGAGGGAGAGAGAGAGAGAATAAGGAAACACGATAAATTATTATTATTATTTCTACATTTGCCAATTTTTTTTCCGTCCTCCTTTTTTTCTCCAAAGAGCTTGTCGTCGGGGCGCGGCCTGCTCGCCTCTCACCCAACTCCGCCCCTTCCCCCCCCTCCCACTCATCTCAACGCATCGCGCACTATTTCAAAAATTGTGACACGGAAAAGCTGAATTCATTTTTTCGAGTTTCAAATAAGGAATTAAATCATTTCTCGCCTATGATTCATCTCAATTCCCATATCATTTATGTATTATGCGCGCTCTAGGCCATCGCAAATCTGAAGCTATAATTATGTTCTTCGTCGCAAAGAAAGAACGAATGACTCAACCCGAGGGGGCACACACACACACACAAAACAATGCCCCAAATATGGTTTTGCTTCTCGCCAAACTATAATTTGTTCATTCCCAATGTCATTCTCTCACCGGTAACCAAAACCCCCCCAATTATGCGATAAGACTTTCTCACGTCGTCAGGCAAACAAAAAATCGATGAAACTCGGCCCGCTCGACAAGCACCACCAGCTCTTGCCGAATTTCACCTGGCCGATCGTTGAGCCATTCATGATTTCAACGAAATGTGTATTTCCAAAATAGGCATATCGTTCGAACCAAAATCGCCGAGAGCGTGTGTTTCCCTTACATCCAGCTCACTCAACAAAAAATTCTCCGTTTTCACACACACACACACACAAGCCCAAAGGTTGCCAACAATTTTCGTCGTCGATCATTATTATGCCGAGAAATCCAAAGCTCAACACAATTGCTGCTATTTGCAGGCAGATTTTGTTGCATGGGCCTCCTCTCGACGTAATTCTCCAAAAACGCGTCGAACACAATGGAATGGGTTCGCGGTTTGTCGACGACATCAAATTCCTCCTCCTCGACGACAAACGGTTTCACCGCACTGGATGGTTCGTTGATATTTCGTGCAGCAAACCAGAACACGATTTTCAGATGATCAACCGAGTTGCTCGTTCTACGAATGGTCGCGTAATCCATCGCACGCGCAATTCTTTCGAATCTTCTCCATTATCTCGGTGCTCACCGTGTTGGTCGTCGTCGTCGTGCTCGGCAACGCGCTCGTCATCGCCGCCGTTCTTCTTCGACGCAGATTACGCTCGGCAACCGGCCTATTGATTCTCTCGCTCGCCGTCGCCGACCTTCTCGTCGGCACCGTCATTCTGCCGTTCAGCATCGCCAACGAGGTCCTCGACCAGTATTGGATATTCGGCGAGACGTGGTGCACAATCTGGTTGACGTTGGACATCTGGATGTGCACCGCTTCCATCTACAATCTCGTCGCAATTTCCATCGATCGCTACATCGCCATCATCAAACCATTGAACTATCCGATGTTGGTGACCAAATTTCGCGCCCGATGCACCGTCGCCATCGTGTGGATCGGCAGCTTTCTCATCTGCTCGCCGAGCTTCTTTCTCGCCTCTTCTATCAAAGACAAAAACACACCGTGCCGGTGTACGCCGGCCAACGCCGGTCGCACCTACGTCGTGTTTTCCGCGTCGAGCTCATTCTACATTCCAATGATCATCGTCGTTTTCGTCTACTTCCGGATATACGTTGCTGCGCGCGCCGCCACCAAAAGCATATATTCCGGTAATTAAATATCGCAATTAGGCCTCCCTCCACTCCGTCGCTGACTATGAGGGACCACGTTATTTTTCTCAACATCATCATCATCTTCTTCTTCTTCTTGCAGGAATGATGAGCATCACGGCGACGGCCAACAAAAAGCAAAATCCGAAGAGCTATCTGCTCAATCATCCCGATGTGATCAGCAAAGATTCGATGCCAATGCTTCGTGTTCATCGCGGCTCGTCCGTCGTCGCTCAGGTGACGTCAACGAAACCCAAGTGAGTCGAATCATTTCATCCAACTCGAATTCTCTCGTTGTAGGCCTCGCACCGAGAATGGCAGCATCGCATTGGGGAAGCTCAATGAGAATCGAGTCACCGAACGTCCGCAAAACACAAAGGTGGGGTTCGACAGATACTTGTGCTAGCGAAAACGTTATCCATTAATTTGCAGCTCGCCACATTCAAGGCAAGTTGTCGAGCACAAGACGACAGCTCAATGGAGTCGATAGCTCCGAAGAGCGACGCGATTCTCGAGAAGAGTCGCAGCAATTCGACGGAATCGCAACCAGCTGAATTCGTAGAGAATGACTCGATTCTCGCTGTCAGCAATAACAGTGAGGCGACGAAAAGCATCGACGATTCCGGCGAGAAAAAGAAGAAAGGTTGGAATTCCAGACATATCCTCGAAAACGCCCCACCATCCAAACTATTCAGGTTTCGCTTCCAAGATCAATAACTTCATGAGACGCGGTCCCAAGAGAACCCCGTGCAACTACGAGAAGCGTCTCTCGCTGGAGATCAAAGCAGCCAAGACGGTAAGACTTGATTCGTTTCTCAAATCAATCGTTTACCTGCCGCCGCATTCATTTAGGTGGCCATCGTAACCGGCTGCTTCATCTTCTGTTGGCTCGGCTTCTCGCTCGTCTACGGTCTCGAGATCAAACTGAACGACGTCGTCTGGAGCATTGTGTTCTGGTTGGGCTATTTGAATTCGGCGCTCAATCCCGTCATCTACACCGTGTTCAATCGCGAGTTTCGCATCTGCTTCAAACGCCTCCTCACCTGTCACCATCTCAATCATCCGATTCATAAGGTAGACATGAGAGAAGAACGAAAAAACAAAGAAACCAATTCGTCGCCAATTTCAGTACACCACCAACAACAACAACAATAACAACAACATCAACAATTCGTATAATTCGACGGCCGTGCGTAGCACCAACAACCTAAATCGAGTTCCGGTGACAAGCATAAACAGTGCTGAGAAGACGCCAATCATAAATACCCCAAAAAGTTGATTGTCGAGTTTCGTCAGCTTTTCCTCCAACCCGCTCTACCCCGGTACATGTTTCGCCAATGGGTCTATTCATAATTCATAATTTTATTCCGCCCCCTTTCTCATTTGCCGCAAAAATTTCAAAACAATATATGGGTTCTATTTGAAATTATAATAAAAAAAACGTTTATGATTCGTCTGAGCAGCAGAGTGAGCACACGGAAACGGAAATCACCACAAAATTCACTTTTGCCTCGTTGCCTACACCCGTCAAAAAAAATGAAGACAAGTCAAGTGAAAAAATAAGACGATGAAGATGAGAGGAACGAGAGGAAGTCGGCGGCGTTGAAGTGCTTCCGAGCCACTAGAAACTTATCATATGGGAATCCCCACGTTTAAACGAATGCAAAAAAAAACGAAATAGGGAATCGCAGATTGGCGAATCAAATTCGAATAATATTAAAACTCGCTATTTCAATAACAATTTTTTCACTCTCTTTTACAAATTTCCAATTAAGAAATGCACAAAATACAAATTTAATGCAAAAAAAACATTTTTTTTTGCATTTCATGTGTGGGGCGCTCGAAAATGTTTAAAGGAGCATACTAGAAACTAATGATGGGTCTCGCCAGGCCACTCCTGTTCGAAGGTAATATTGTCCATTTCATGAAAATTCTTAAGGGCGCATACTCGATTAAAACAGTTTTTTCGACAATATCCCCCCGTCACTCGTCATTCCACACAATTCGCAAATCCCAATTTTGTCGACATCAAAGCTCAACTCTCAAATTCGTCAAACAAATCGCGCGCCAAACTGGTTGCATTCATCGTCGCCAGGAGCCGAGCGCTAATCAAATTCGTCTCGGTCTAATAATATCATTATATATTCGACGAACAAAAAAATTTGTCTCTTTTTTTGGTCTGCTGGGCGGTTTCAGCTGCATTCGCCACCAATCAAATTATTTTCCAGACCTACTCGTTCACCATCCCCACAAATACAAATGAAACGAATCGAATTGGGTCCCGCAACGAAAGACGCACCTTGTTTTCACATTTGGCGAGAAGTTTTTTCTGTCCAATATCGTACATTCTCAAATATTTGCCAAATCCGATCAGCGCCATCCCTCGGAAATCGTGAATCGCTCCAACCGGCTGAAACAAAAAAAAAAACGGACTTAATCTCTCCAATTCCCATGAAAACGAGCGTTTCAATTCATTTCATCTTGTTGGGAGCCGCGCAAGGCAAAAAGAAAAATGAAACTTTAATTTGAGTGTGTGTGTGTGCTCAGTGGGGGCTCTTCAACGATGCTCGAAATGATTCATTTGATAGAGCGAAAGAAAAGCGACGAGGCGCTTCGGCGAACAAATAACCGGAAGCGCATTTCGAATTCGTCACATCGCATTTTCGAAGAACGCCCGATTATTAATTTTTTATTGCAGAAAAAAAAGAAACGCAAGTTTGGGAACATATGGGAAAAAAAATGGAAAATATGGAAAAATTTCCATTGTCAAAATTTGTTTTTTGAATTTCGCGGACAGTCAACTAATTGGTCTCGTAAAATAAAATATGCTTATTCTCCATCATTTGACACTTAAAATTCATAGAAAATTATGTTCCTTCTTATCATGTTGGTCAAATTAAGCGGCAATTCAAATTATACAGTATTCGCACTCCAAATTCGTCCGTCCTTGACTAATTTTTTCTTATTGTAAAAAATGTTTTTTTGTTCGCTGTAGCTTTTCCAAAAATGCGAAAAATCTTTTTTTTTTAGTAACGCCTACTTTATGTACGACTAAAATGTGATCTAAAAACGAATTTTCGTTTCGCGATGGCGTTAACCTATCTGCGCCTTTAAAACTAAACAATAGTCTCTGAGCTTCTTAAAGAGAGTCATTGAACGGGAAAACATATCAATTTCGTATCAATTCTTCGATAGATTTTTTTTCTCGAAAATTTCAAAAATAACAAAAATTACACACATACCAATGGTGTTTCGGTTCGATGCCAAAAATCGAATCTCTCGCCACCCGGCGACAAAAGGAAGGTGTACACACATCCACGAAGTGGTCGCAACGGATTCGGCGGCGCCTGATATGGATGAAGGTTCTCATTGACACCGCATCCAACAAGAATCATCGTTGATTCGGGATGTCTAGCGAATTGCACAAGAGCAATGCTGGAAAAAAAAGAACAATAACAACAATTTTATTTCGACTAAAATCAAATCGATTACCATTTGGCGCTCTCATCCTGCGGCAACTCAAAGTACGACATCACCTCGCCGCTCTTCACATTCCGCAACGTCACCGCCGACGCCCATTTGCCTTTCGCCGCTTTCGGCGCACCATAGATCGTCTCATCGGGTATCGTGTTCCTCAAACCATCAGCAATCTCCTTCGCCAATTCAATCTCTTCCTGATCGTTTGCCAAACGTTCGATATCCTGAAGAGCATTCGCAACTTTCCGGCGTCCCAACTAATAGGCAAATTACCTCAGCCATTTCATTTCTCTTCATATTTTTCGTCGTTTCCGTATAAGCTGCGTGATCGCATTCAATGGTGATGATTGCTGGCGCATTCGGATGAACAACCGCCTACAAACAGCGAGCTCAAACCAAACTGCTCATTAGTCTGCTTCATTACCTTTCTCGGCGTCAGCTTATGGTTGAATGATTGCACATTAAACGAAACTCCAAGTTTTTCAGTGGCCAAAATTCTGCAAAAAATCACAAATTTCCATTAAGTGGATCCCTTTCCAAAAAAAACCTCAATGTGCTCTCACTGATCGCCACAAGACCTTCGGGACATTGATCGGAACAAAAGCTGGCCGCGTACTCCAAATGCACATAACTCAACGGCGTCAAATGGAATCTTCTTTGGAAATGATAAAGGAGCCACGGGCGAGATGAAGTGCACAAAATCTGAGTCAGATTTTATCACAAAATTCCTTTAAGTAAAATGAGTACCGCAGTTTTTCCTTGATTAATCATTTTGAAAAGCTTGACCGGTCTAGTTCCAAGATATCGCGTTCTAGTGTCCATGATAGCGCCAGTAACATTATCAACCGTATTACGGAACAGGCAACCATTCTAAATAAGAGAAATGTGTGTCTAGGGGGGGCATTAACAAGATCTTACCTGCAATCCAATATTCAAATGAATCGTTGGAAGACCTTTTCCATCCTCATTCGGTGTATCAACAAGAAGCAACGATTCGGGAGCACACGGCAAATTTTGAGTACTGCAAAAAAAATTTCAAGCCTATCCATCAATTCCTGGTATAATTGAGCACACCTCAATGGCATGAGCATATCATTCGGATCAAGCGAGATAATGCGAACCGCATTGTCGATGGTTCCAATGGCGAGGAATCGAGAATTGAGCTCGCCTTCGGAAATCTCGCTGAATGACATACAAGCGACCTCGGCGTTGAACAATTTTCGCTCGGTGAACTCGTTCAACGTTCCATTCTGAAGGCAAAAATTGATGTTAAACACAAAAATTTCGAAAAAAAAAGAAACTTACCAAATCCAACTCGAAATAGACAACTTCACCACCAGTCATTGCAATCGCGACTTGTCGTCTAAAAAACGATGAAGAAATATTGATTTTTTTTTTTCATTTTTGGTATTAATGATTACCTGTTCATGGCACATTTCTTTATTTCCCTCTTTGGCGGTGTTTTCCATTCATTCACACGTTTGTCGGCGCGAATGTGCCGGATTCCTTCCGAGTAAATCTGCAGCAGCGAATCGTCGCCAATCAGACCGCAACCCAGTGTCGTCGTCGTTCCCAGAAATCCCGAATCTTGCGCTTCTTCGACGGTATCGCCAATGGTGAGAACAAGAGTCGCACTAACGAATGAAACCACGATATATGAATCATTCTTGTCTGAAAATAAGGATTTTTGAAATTTCAAAAAAAAAAAAGCGAACGTACCATCAACGTTCTTCTTAACAGTCCAAACAGCGCTGGGAACTCCAGGAAGATCCGAAACCGCCATTTCAGTGACTTCAAGGCCGTTTCGAAGGATTTTGAGCTTCGAGCGTGGTCCTCGGCCCACAAGGGCGTAGACTTGTGCAGCATCTTCATGAGCAACATCCCCAATCTATGATAAATTCAGGTTTGAGGAAAAATCCGACAAACATGTGACACCTACAATCGCATCAGTGAGAGGGCTCAAACTATCAATAGAATCGACATGAATCAAGGATTTCAATTCGCGAACGCCGTAGAAGAACGTCTCGCCGTCTTCTAGTTGCATTCTAGACGAGAATTCGTCTTCCTCGTCGTCGCCAAGATTCGAAATTTGGTACAATTCGCTAAAAAAATGAATTCCTATTTTTTTCATTCAAACAACGCTCACTGATTTCCAAATTCCGCGGCGATAAACAAGAAACCGCTTTTTAAAATGCACATGGAATTCGCTGGCGGCACAGTGTCGAAATACTTCATTTTCATCTCAGTGACGAGATCATCGTCGGTCTCCAGTGTTACTTTGAAAATGTCGCCTTGTTCAGTTTGCACAAGGAAAAAGTACATGGATTTCGTTTTATGCGTTGCTTGGCAAATGATCATCAATGTACGGTCAGGATCATCCAAATCATTCTAAATTTCCTCATTAACCTAAGCTTTTCCATCAATACAATCATACTCTTCGCCTTGGAATTGGACATTTGATGTCGGGCTGATCTCCAAGATTCTTATAGACGAGGTAGTTCTCACAACACACAATCACCCCAGATGGTCCCTCATTTCCACCGGGAACTGTTTTTTGGAAAAAAAATACAGTTTAATAATTATTTTTCGAAAAATACCTGAAATGAGCAAGTTTCCGGGCTCCGATAGCGGTTCAGCGTATTTTCGGACGACATGATTCAAACCAAGATCCAATTCATAGAATGTCAACGTTTGCTGCGTTTTCTTTAACGCTTCACCGGTTGGATCATTGTCGCAATCCTGAGAACACTCGCTTTCAAGTTTCTAGCTTCTCAAAACAATTACCTCATAATCATATTCAAGGCATGCGAATGTTGGATTCTCATAGCCCACGTCAATTCCCACAATCGCGTAGCACAATGTGTATTGTTTATGTGCTTCTAATGGCGAAGAGATCGTCAAATGAGCTTCAGCGTCTCGATTCATGATATAAACAAGTTTCTGCCTTTCTGCAGCTCCGATCATTATAGCACGCCCTTTGGGATCGATGGCCAAATAATGTCCAGGCACAATTCTGCGGCATCCAGTTTTGCCATACGTTTCCTAGAAATTCACAAAGCAACTTGTTTTCAGCAATTTTCAACCAAACCTGATGGATTCTTTCAAATGCGCTCTTTTCTGGTTTATATTCTAGAATCACAATTCTGCCGGAATCCGAGCCGATCGCCACATAATCCTTCGTTCCTCCTGTTAATCTGAACGCGAGAAGTGAGCGAATGACACCAAATATCTCGATATGTGCAAGCGTCTTCAATTTTCCACTAATACTATCAATCTGCACTAGTTCTATGGCAGATCCCCGACCAAGAACAATCTCCTAAACAAATTAGAAAATTATTTAAACCAAAACACGCTCAAGTCAATTGAGTGAAATACCTGGCTTTTTGGAATTCCGGAGAAATTGCCATGGACGGATTGATTGATTGCCGTCTGGCCTTGTAAGGTGAAATTATACAAATGCATATTAGTTTGAGACTTAAATCTGTAATCATGTTAAACTAGAGAATGAATTTAAATTTTTTTATACAGAAATTAAGGAAAATTTTATTGAAAATTGAATAAACTAAAGATTTTCGTAGAAAAAAACCGAAAATTCAAAAGATGGGTGTGGTCAATGTGTAGCGTGCGGCAGGAAATTGTGCAACGCGACCGCACACTATATATTTGTGCTAATGAGCGTCCTTTTTGATGGATTGCTCAATAGAGCAGATGTACTTTCATGTAATTGGGGGAGTGTTTAAGACATTCTAATAAAGAAAAACAGAACATAGAAAAAAAACAATGGCTTACTGGCTATTTAAATCAATTTTTTCAAACTTTAAGAGAAAACAATTTCCGTGAAATTATTTCTTCATTTCTTAATTTATTCCGAAAATTGGAATGTAGGTTTCTTTTCAAACAAAAAACTGTTTAATTTTAAGGGTTTGCGAGTTTTTTAATAGTCAATTCTACTGTTATGACATGTTAATGTTAGTTCCGCGTCCCAATCTTGAAAATCAAAATCAATTTTCCAGTGATATTGCCGGAGCCGTCTGCTTCGGTTTATGGATTCTATTTTTCATTGCTTTGTATTTCTTCAATTTCCTCGGAATTCGACGAAAAACGATTCGGGTAATCCGTCAACTAATTATACTCTCAAATTCTTGGATTTCTAGTTCGATTAGTTATGTCATATGGAAATAAAACTATTTATTCGAACATAGTTAGTAATTGATAAACACCTAATTTGGAAAAAAAATAAAGAAAGGAAAGAATGAGTTATATGGTTTTACGGGTGTTATAGTTTTCAAATCGAGTTCCGTAATGAATCAGACCGATATCATAAAGTACAGATATTTGGCATATTATCGCATTGGTCAGCATTACGTCAAATAAAAGCACGTCTGCAAAAAAAAATAATGAATTTCCATATAGAAATTCGGAATGTTTTTCGCAGATTACTGTAGCCTAGTGGATTGTGCAAACACCGTGACGCAAATGCTACAGACATAATTTTTTTTCTCCCCTTCGCGAAATTGTCCATTTTTGCTTCATCTCAAGGCAATTTTGAGCTTTTCTTTTTTCAGACCCTTCTTCTAGATTTCAGAAAATCTTAAAACTATAAAATATAAAGAAGTTTTTGTTAACAATTCATTAAAGAGCCTAAAAAACAAAATGATTGCATTTTGCCATTAAAAAAATAATGCATTCAGCGGTGTCCCCCCTAAAGAAAATTATTTGGCGTTTGATTAAAGCATAGCATGCAATGCACAGCAGAATTATTATTTTTTCTTTCAAACCTGAAACAGTGAACAAAGTTGCCAGCATTAATATAAAGGAAAATATGAATTTGATGGCCTGAATAATTCCTTTTTGAAACAATTTAAACGCGTATATTAAAAACCTCAACGGCCAAAATTAAAAAGTTGAGATATCTGCGGCCTTCTCGCGACAGCAGAAACAGCGAGAATATGGCGATTCCCAAAAATTCGAACAATGCGACGACGCCGAATATTCCAGTGATCACGAGAATGCTCTTATTCGATTCGATGCTGAGTAGGAACACTGTCAACACGGTCGTAATGGCAACTAGCAGTTTGGATGGTAATAACATCGCCACAGGTGTCGGCCATGTTCTCTGAAATTGCCGACGATGTCGGTCCAACTCGTGCTCCAACCTGGTACAGCTCAATGAGCGCCGGCGGAAACGGCACATCCATGTTTTGCTCATCCATTTCTCATCGAAATAAACCAATAATTAAAATTTTGAGATTTTCACGCGAATTCCATCGGTTTTTGACATTGTTTTGCAATGGATTAGAGCCAGCTCAATTTCATCACTGATGCTGATTCGTCGATAATCTCTTTTTGAAAAAAAAACGGAAACTCGGTGATAATTTATGCGAGAAGGCGAAACAAAAACCGCGCATGTTTCGTTGATGCCCACTTTTTGTCCGCAGATCGAAATTCATAAGGAAAGTTTGAAAAAGTCGAACTGGTAAAATTGTCGGTGCGCATTTGCGTCATCGTGTTTGCGTACATTTTGCTACAGTAATACAAATTAAATTGCGACTTCGATGGATTTCTGCCAAAGGCTACTGTAACCCAGATTTAAGTGTGTTTTGCGGCCAGCTTTCTCACTGGATTACGGTAGGACTAAAATCGTGCTCAAACATCATTTTCTGGCGTACTATTCTAATTATTATTTATGGCTTAGTTAGTTCAGCCCCGTAATTATGTTTTTGGATGAATTTGGGTATAAAAAAGAGCCTTCTGCCGGCGACGATTATCGAATTATATTGGCGACAATGGCGAAAAACAATTGAACCGATTCGAAATCTAATTTTCATCTCATCTCGTCGTGCTCAATTCGTGTGCGTTTGGCTTCCAGCGCCTCTCATTTATGCACTTTTTCGTTTCAAAAATGCCTCGATGCTTCGTTTAATGAATCAAACCAAAAATGAAGAAAGAAAGAATGGTCCCAATTAAAATGGTTCTCTCAGGCTGTTTCAATCATCTCAAATCTTGCCCCAAAATATTTTTGACTTAAAAATTTGAGCTTCTGCGATGATGGGGCACGGTATCAGCGTCAACACATCGTGAATCGACCCAAAGTACGAGCATCCTCATTTGAGGACCTGAAAAGATGCAGCAGCCGACATTCAACCGATTCGTGTCTAATAGGAATGGCATTCCATTGCAACAAAAAAAAAGCGGAGCTAATGAGATTTCGCCCCTAATAAGGTCAATCTGCGCCCTGAACCAACAAAATTTGAAAGCAATGCGCGGCGTTTTGCATTTGTTTCATTTCCTTCGAAGGATCCTCTCTTATGAGTTTCCCCATCTGCGGACAATTTTCCAGGCGCGATTATGAAATCACATCAAGACCTTCCCTTCAAGAACATTCTTCCTTATCTTTCTTCCATGTGAGCCGCGAGCTCAGCGCATTTCAAACAACTCTGGCTCAAATGAAACAAAGTCGAAAAAGAACGAACTAAACGCTTTTCAAAAAAAAAACACACATATATATATAGAGGAGTCGGAGAATTCAAGCTTCTTCCTTCTCTTCATGGCTCTCTTCGTCTCGTTTCGCCAAGCACTCAACATTATTGCGGGTGGGATAGCGCAGTGAAAAAGGCGCGGTGGGCGGAGCGCCGCGTTTTTTTCCCTTCCCTCCCCTCCTCCGGCCTTCGAGCTTTTCCTCTTCAGAAGAGCACCACGCGAGGCAGCCAGCAACACGTCCGTCTAAGGCACCAACTCGCTATTACCACCTCTTTTCAAAAAAAAAAGCGTCCCCCCCCCCAACCAACTCCTAATAAAAACACGAATACCATTGTCATTTCTATTCTTTTTTTTGGGGAATAGCATCACACGAGTATGTCATCGTTGGTACGTCAATCATTGATTGCCGTCGCACTTCTCTCCGTCGCCATGGTCGAGACGGCGCCAGTGGTAAGTACTTCAAGTGGTCCCTTAATTGAAACAACCCCCTCAACCGCCAGCTGAACCAACGCGTTTCATTTGCAGGACGGCGGCAAGAGCACGGCGAAATCGGTTCCAAAAGCGGCAGCGATGCGGAAAACCTACGGTAAATTGAATTAATTATACGATTGCAATGTATGGGATCGCAAAACTGCCATCGATACTCAAGATAATAGAATAATGCTGCGGACATTGTTGCGGGCGTTGAAAACAAATCCATGAAAGGGGGGGGGGGGGTCTTTGCGCGAAAAACCACCCCGGATCATCCCAGATTTCGTGATATCATGAAATTCTGGCTCATTGCACATAAATATCGTGTTCTCGGAACCTTGTAAGGGCAAACATTTCAGCTGTTTCCCATCTCGTTCTCTCCATCCCGAAAAAAAATGTCACAATTTGTCCGTTTTCTGAATTTCTGATTGCTCGCTTCTTTTCAATTTCCGGTCATCTATCCATCAAACTGAAACACAAAAAAAAATGAAAAGTTGATATTGACGAATTGCGGCATTAAAAATCAACGAGGCCCCCTTACTCATTACCATTTTTAAGGGGAGAGAGAGAGAATAAAATAAAATCAGCTGCGGACATTTCTCCAAGGCGATTAGTATAATAATTTCCAGAAAAAGGCGAACGAATTAATGAGTTTTCGAGAAAAATTCGCATCTGCGCGTAATTGACAAAACATTGAAACGACTTCCGCGATACACGACAAAATTAATTAGCGAAAGAGTTTTCGAATCACAAGGTTTTGACTCATTCTCCAATTTTTTGTTTCATTTCAAATCAAACAACTCGTTTTTTTTCTTGTCATGCGTCACAAGAATGGTCAAGTTCCATGGAAATCAAAAAGCCATTCGATTTTTATGGCAGCCAGGAGAACATTTATGAAAATAATGGGTTCGCTTTTAATTTTAGGGCGCAAAGTAGATTAGAAAAATAAAAAATGCTACAGTAGCAGTGACATTGCTGCGAGACCCTACAATCGGCAGTATATGCGCCTTTGAGGACAATGCTACGGTAGCTAATGTTTTTGAATATTTTCGATTTTTTTCTCTGCAAAACCCTCATTTTCCTGTCTTTAAACCAATTTAGCCGTTGGAACTCGTAAATTTTTGTGACAACCTTGTCAAAAATGTTGCCGAGTCATATTCCGCTTCCCGCGAACGACAATAAAACTCCAAATTTGTTGTGCATCGATATTTTTTAGTTGATTGCATTTAATATTAACTTCTCATTTTTTTTGTGTGGCAAAACATTGTGTAAAATAACGCGAATAAAAAACCCAAAGAGACAAGGAGATAATTGAATACTTAATGTATAGAATGCACTATTCTCATCGTGGAACACGATGTTTCATTTTGTCATTTCAGCGGCCGCAAACAAAGCGCTCCGACGCGGAAAACGAAATGTCGTCGTTGAAGAGATTCCAGAAGCCGACGAGGAAGATATTCTTCGCGAGCAGCTCTCAGGTTTCGCCATTTCTCTCAATTCCATTTTTTTGCGACCAAAAACACACAAATTTTGTATTTCGCGATCATTTTTCAAAGCCACAATTATTGTTTTTCACATCTCCCCAAGAAAAATTGTACTTTCAAAAGAATGTAAGTGAGAAAACAATTGAATGCGATCTCCCCAAGGCGTTAATTAACTTCCGCTTAATTAATATTCTCCGTCAATATCGAGTCCACTAAAAAGGCGGAGTTGAGAGGGGAGGTGCAAACAAAACTTAATCATCGCTGCGAGACCCTACCCCGGTTACTGTAATCATAAACAAGACTGCCCGTTCCTAATTGGAACATTACTCATTGCCACCATCCACGTTCAGCTTCAAATTCTGCAAGAAGCCTCAACGCTTCAAAAATCGTGAGGCTTCTCGATTCGAAATTGGCTTTTTCGACTGGCTTAGCGTTCAAAAATTGGCTTGATTATAGCTTCTAATTCGGCCTCACAAATGAGGGGTTGCATTCATTTTTTTTCGTCTTCTAGAGCCCTCAAATATCGAGCAGCATTTCCCCGCAAGCTATTTGCACGTCCGATGATGATTAATTGGGGACGACGGAGCACACAAAAAAGCGGTTCTCTCTTTTTTTTTACGTCGATCCCATGCAAATCTGACACCTAATCATTGAATATTCAATTGCTCCCGGGGGTTCCGATTTCAAAATTCTTATAATTTTCTATCATGTAAGATTTTTTGAAATAATATCTCAGAGGGAACACCAAGAAGCTTCCATACAATTGTAGAAGTATGGTGCTTCTAGGGACCAATTGAGGTCAAGGGGCCCTTCTATAAGAGGGCAGCGATTATGCTGAAACAATAGTAGTCATAAATCTTGCAGAGCTCAGCGATGATCAATTGGCAATGCTTGCCGACATCGTTCAAAACGAGATTGATCGGTATGATCCGACAGCAGAAGCCTATGACATCGTGGAGATACCTGAATACAGTAAGCCTTTCGAATGTTTAAAGGCTACCGTAACCCTATTACAGTAACCAATGACGCATATGGGCCTCGCGATCGTCGAAGCGTCGTCTACGATCCATATGCGCAGGAGGACGAGCCAGAAGACGCTGACGCTTATGAGGAGGTGGTGTTTGTTCCGGAGCAGGTGCTCGTTGAAGCCGCTCTCGAGGCCGAAGCCGAGCAGGAAGCGCAAGACGAGCTCGACGAGTTGGAGCTTCGCGAACGCATCGCCGAAATCGCGACGATTCTCAACGAGCGCGCCACACGACGAATGAGACTCATCTAGACGAAGCACCATCATCAACAATTCCTTCAAACGGTTACCATCTTTTCCACAATCCCCACCACCCCAATGCACACATTTCCAATATATGAGAGAACGAAAATAAAAGACAAAAAATGCACACATGCGACGCCTTTGTTTCCAACCAACTAATTTATTGATTGTGTCATTCCGATTTCACACCCGAACCATCATCTTCTTCAAGTAGAAATGAATTTTTACTTTGTTTCATGTGTTTTCAAGGAACCGCCTCACAATCTCGCGGTCAATCTTCACGTCTTTCAGGTAATCGCTGCTCTCGATCTGCTCGCCATCCCAACGATCAGCGGGATCCCATTTCAAGCTCAAATCTCATAATTTTTTCAATTTGCATTCCGGTGGCCGATCCTACCAATTCTTTATCAGAGTTGTCAACGATTCGGGAAATCCAGGGATTCGGGGCATATTCTCCTGAATGTCTTCTGCAAAAAATGAAAAGAAATTAATTGGATATAATACGACACTTGAGTCTCAATTTCTCATAACCAAACTTGCTTTTTGTTTTGTTGGTTAGTTTAACGTGCCTTATGCGCGAAAAAATCCCAGCACTCTGTGTATTTGGATATTCAAAATTTAAACTATGTGAATTCGAGTCTACCGTACTACATATAACCTGCGAATCAAACTCATCATAAATCAACGCAGGATGTTCGTTTTTTTTTTGTTGGTGACTTAAAAACATAATTACCAAGGGCGTTGAAGTATTCTTCAATGTTCTCTCCGACGGCCAACTCCCACAATGTGAGTCCGTAGCTCCAAACATCCACTTTATTGCTGAAAACAGCCAAAAATAAAGGTTGAAGTAGTCCTTTTTGGTGCCATATCAAGTACTCGTAATCTCGTCCACTTGATTGCTCCGGCGACTGGTAGAATAATGTGCCAGCGGCGGAGCACGCAATTTGATTCGTGTTGTCGATTCGCTAGAAAATAAAAACAGAGCTAAAGCTATAATAATACTACTACTAATAATAATAATAATAATCGTATCGAGACCAAAGATGAAATATGCGCAATGCTATTCCTTTAATTGCGTTGAAGCCAAACTAAAGTTTTTTTCCATAAAATGAACAATGCTTCGCTTCGAGTTTTAATAGACATCTGGATTTAATTCATTTTCTTAATTGCTTCAAAGGAACATTCTAATTCAAAAATATCTCGAAGCGAAAATATTTTTTTTAATCAAAAATAATCAGCGTTCGGGTCTCGCCAAGAAATTAATGTCGTAGTTTAATGTTTTTTTTTCGGTTCTCTCGACTCCTCAAAACAAACAATAAAGCAACCTTGGCTTCTCCCAAATCGGCAATTTTCACCGATCCGTCCGATTTGAGCAGAATATTCGCCGGCTTGATGTCTCGATGAATATAGCCGGGACCACTTTGCCACACGTCCCTCAAACCTTTGATAACCGCCAGAGCGACTTGCTGATGAATCTCGACGGGCAGAATTCCTGAACTCATCGTTTTTTGTCGTTTTTCAAAATATTCGAGAGAGAGAAAAAAAACAAAATCATGTGAATGTGAACTCTTATTATTTTCACCTTTTTTTGGGTCAAACAAATTTTGGGGGAAAAAAAACTCAAAAATAACTTAATAATTTGTTTCAAACTGCATAGGGTTTTTAATGAATTTAGATGTTTTTTTTTTATTCAAACGTAAATTTTTTTATTTCTCTTTTTGCGAGTTTATCATTTCCAGCAATTTTTAAATAGTCGAAATGGACCCCTAAATTTGACTACCCGCAATAGTACATCAAGAGCTGGTCGTCGAACATTAATAAATCGGCAGAAAATCCACGTGTATTTCATTCTAGTCTCAAAAAACTTAATTAAATATGAAATACCAAGATGTTTGACGTCTCCTCGATCCATGTGCTCAAGAACAAGCTCCTTCTTCTGCGATGACACCTAAATCCCACATAAAATTATAATAAAAAATTTCGCAAAATAGATAAAATGCAAAAAATTGATTGTTTCGTCCTGAAAATCTATAACAGGAATGTGTGCGGAGGATTCTTCCTGAAAACTTTTATACCGGCCCAAAATTCCGGAAAATTTCCTTTTTGTTTTGCTTTTTCCACTAAAACTATAACGAATCGCCCATTTGCCAACAGAAGCCAATATTATTGAAAGAGAATGCCAAGAAAAAATATCGGTACTTTTGAAAATGATTTTTTCGCAACGTATTGTAGGTGCCAATGCGTCTCGAGGCAGCGAGAAGTACGCGAGATTGCGTACATTACACTATAGTGTACGCGCATTGAATATTCAGTCAACGAAAAATTTAAATCGACACTGATTTCGCGAATATGAATGGTCCGCCTCCTTTCAGTCGTTTATATATATTTTTTTAAAATGATTTTTCCATGAACCTTTAAAATCTACCATAATTTTTGTCTAAAAAATTCGCGAACAACCCACCGCGTAAAAATGGGAATTTTCCCCGCACATTCCAAGATCTACAAATCGTGTTTTGCGACAAGACCCCCCCCATTTATAGATTTTTGGCATTATCACCTCTGAGCCATAGAATCGTACGACAAAATCGGATTTCGAGCACTCCTGATAAGCCAATATCTCCTTCTGTACCGCTTCATGGCCGCCATTCCTCGACAATATCGTTTTCACCGCGTACCAAGCATTCGTCGGCTCATGAAATCCTCTAAAAATCGGCATTCAATCAATGAAAAATATGAATGAGGTCAACTAAAAAAAAAGGTGAATGTCTTCTTACAATCGAACAGCAGCGTGCGTGCCATCGCCAATATAACGGCCAAATTGAAGCGATGACGGATGAATTGTCAAGTCTAAATTTTGGCGATTCTTCTTTTTTTCAGCAAAAACTGTCTGAAACCTCCAACCTTTCTCATCCGCCAAATTCGTGCTCAACGCCTCATCTTTTGGATGTTCTGAATAAAAAAATGAAGATTTCTGAAGATTTCCAAATAGCGTTTCAATATTGATGAGTCTCGCAGCGAAACAAAATACAATATAATCACAATAATCAAGATTTCATAAGTTTTTTCTATTTTTTTTTCCATTTTAAATAATCGATTTCTTAAAATGAATCTTTAATTGGCAATTCTCCAACAAATTGAAAAGTAATATATTTCATCTTCAGGTCTCGCAGCGAATATGCACTTTTCTTTTCTCCCACCAAAAAAAATACAAATCTACCTAAAATCAACACAATTTGCTCATCGGGCTCACATTCATCGCATCGTTGCACAAACTTTTCATAATCATCGATTCCTCTAATTTTATGAATTTTTCCGTCCGTATCGCTATCTAATTTTAAGAATAATTATTGATAAATTAATCAATTAATTAATTTGGCAGTACATTTGATCTTCGGCGGACAATTATGAATAACCGTCGACAATTCGGCGGATAAAATCTCCCAAAATTTCCAAACATGCTCGAAAATCTGCAATTGTTTCAGTTTTCGTGTCAGGACCCCCCCAGCGCCCAGCCAAAATAACTCACCTCCATCTCAATTGGCTCATCGCAAAGCTCACGATGCTCATCTTCATAATAAATTAAGAATTTTCGAGGCAAACTCATGACGAATTGAATAAGGTTTTTAAAAAAACGTCACACTAGTTGACGGTCGGTCGCTAATGCTATTTGCTTTTATCTTATCAGCTCCAGTCAGCCACAAACTCGAGTACCCGGCTCAGCGGAGCCCAAATTTCACATAAGTTTATTTATTTATTTTTCGAATATTCAGCAATGCGCGAGTAAACTGTTTATTTTAATAGATATATAAAAATGGTAATAACGAGAAAAAAAAAGAAAACGGAGACACGAGAGATCTCAAAACACAAAAATGCGACCAAAAAATTGTGCCGCTATTAGCATTTTTCGAAACCCAAAAATGGAAAAAAAACGAATATTAAAAAAATAAACTTTTTCTTATTCTTTTTCTTTGATTTATAAATCGCTTATTATTATCGCAAAATTTCACATAGTGTAAATTGCAGAACATATTTCAAACAAGGATGATAATGATGGAGATAAATTTCAAAAAAAAAGGGAGACGCAAAAAGAAAACGAAAGAAAAAAATCGTGCCGAATTTAGTATTGAAATTTTGCTCTAAAAATAAATAAAGGAAATCAACAATTTTTCAAATTGCTATATCTCCTGTTTAGCTAAATATGATCAATTTTTGACTGTTTCTTTTTTCTTAAACGGAACACTTGAATTCTGATAACGGATGATAATGAATAAAACTGGTGATAAAAATGTATATATGTATATTTGTGTATATATATATATATATATATAGTGTGCGTTCGGGGGCATGTATGTCGTATTCCATTAGTTACTTTTTGCTTGTGGTTCATTTAATATTTTGTCTCTCATTTTTTTAAAGCTGGACGACAACTTTTAATACGGACGGAATCTGTAAATGGCTCAATTTTTTCTTAAATATTACATTTACAATTTTATATTTTATCAGTATTTTTTAAATTGTTCATATTTCGTCTAGAATCAGCTAAATACTTACCCATACGGGGCTCCGCCTCTTCCACGACCACCACGATTCATTCCACCACGTCCATAGCCACCACGCCCGCGTCCACGTCCTGCAATTCATCCCAACAATTTTCTAATTGCTCTTGAATCATTTCTCACCTCCACTTCCATTTCCTTCACCACTATTTCCAGCCTCTTCGCCTCCTTCTTTCTTTCCTTCGCCACTATTCTCCTCACCATTCTTCATATGACTTGGTGTCGTGTCCTCGTGAACCGGTTGAAGAATACGAGCCAAATCCTCAATTACAGCCGCCACACGTGAATAGGCGATGTGAGCCGGCGCGACCGTCTCGATTTTCACGTGAAGTGGTCCGCCGAAATGTGCATGCTGTGCATCACCGCTTCGCAAAAGCTCCGCCTCTTTCGCCATGTCTTTTGTCGAGCCGCGACCGAGCACATAAATGTGGCATTTATGCGTTTTCGCCATTGATTGAAGTGTGGCTCCTTTTGGGCCCAAGATTTTTCCGACAAAGTTAAACTGAAACGTTTTTGAAAAACATTTTTTGTTGACAACAATGGTCCTTACGTGTGGGTGTCGATAATTTGGAATCAACACTTTCTTTACAACCCGCACTGGTTTCGCGATGTCGACTTCAAGCCACTCGGGATCCATATTCGTCTCCAATCGCTCTTTCTCATGATCCAATAGCCGTCTGGCATTGCGAAATTGCTCGGTTTTATCGGTCGAATCCAATGTCGCCAATTCGGTATGGATCTCGCGAAGCACACATTGTATCTCCTGATCTAATGGGCTTACTATTTCCGGCTGGAATCCACCGTAGCCTGGCGGCATTCCGTAACCGCCGAATCCGCCATAGGAAGCATCGTAATCCTGATACTGAAGAAGAAACAAATCGATAACTTTTTCCCAAAAATATTCACATACTCCATAACCAGGTCCATATCCTTGTGGTCCTGGATAAGCGCCTTGAAACTGCGGCGGATATCCGCTGGGTCCACCGGTCATACCACCTCCACGTGGTCCGCCGCTACCGCCGCGTCCGCCACGATTTCCAGATTGTCCACGAATTGGACCGCCAGCTGTTCCGCGACCGCCTCTTACACCGTACGACATCGTTTTTCTAGATATAGGAACGCTGAAAATGCCTTAGATGACGGGGATAACGTTGCGAGACGAAAAATCGATAATTTCGCGAAATTGCAATATTCGAATGTTCACACAAGCGTTATTTATATGAAAACAATATTTTAATTATTGCGAATCAAGCATTGTTCAAATCTTAAACATAAAATAAACATTTAAAATGTCAAAATGTGGTTTTAGATAAATTATGAATGTAAGTGAAGTTCGATCGAACAGCGTCACCAGAAGCGTCACTGCTTCGGCCACCAAAAACTAGGCCACTCAATTAGCTATGAAATAATCAAAAATCCATTAATTATTTTATTAAAGTATTGTCTAAAGAATACTGGAGAATCATTATTTAGGAGGAAAACGATTTAGAAGAAAACGTGTTTCGCAAATGCGACGCCGTCGCAAAAACCGCGATGGCCGAGGAATTGTGGCAGTGGAGCGCACTTTCCCACACGTTATTGCTGGTGTCAATTTAATTCGCATATTTAGTTTCGATACCAAATATGGCGACTTTTGCGTCGCTTGAGCTTTCCGAAAAATTGGCAGACGGCGCAGAAGATCCAAATGAAGAGGAGGAAGTTAAAAAATCGGGACCCAAGCGGCTTGCAGCTGACGAGGTATCGAATTTTTCATTTTTGATTGAATTATCGAAATCACTTCGTTCAGGTGTCCTCAATTTTCACATTAAAAAATGAGATGTACAAAAAGAAAAATACGATAATAAAATCGAATTTCGATAAAGGATATGTCGCAGGAAAATCGGTATTCTTGAACTCAAATTTTGTAATTTTTGAGCGGTTTCTAAAATTTCAGTCATTGTTAACAACAAAAAAAGAGGAAAAAGAAGCGCAAGAGAAGGAATCGCGTGAAAGAAGAGCAAGAATCGAGAAAAATGAGCAGGGATGGAAGCGAGAAGAGGAAGAAGCTTTCAATAGGGCCCAGGAGAAACTAAAGGTGTGTATTGTCTGTCATAAATTGTCGAATTTCGGGTGAGATTTTAAATTGCCGCATTGGGTCTCGTACGGAATATTTTCACATTTTCTAACCTTTATAATGTGAAAATGCATATTTCATTAGAAGTAGCCATTTTAGAAAATTTTAAATATATAGCAGCCCGCGAAATTCAAATTTCTCTCATTTGCTCATCGCCCGACAATTCTCAAATTTTGTATTGATCTTAATAATTTCGGCCATTTTCAGGAAAAAGCGAAGCTCTATGAGCGACTAGCTGAAGGACATGTCGTTATAGAGCAGTCCGACAATCAGCCAGTTGAGTTCATGGTCGATTTCAGCAGTAAAAAGCGTCAAGTGGAAGAAGAGAAGAAAGCCGAGCGGGATCGTTATCGCGAAATTGAAGAGGGACCATCGACGTCGTTCGGAAGGGCACCAGTACCTGAAAGGTTCCATCATAATGAAGGTAACCTGAATTATGCGCCTTTAAGATGGGTCACCTATCATTTTTAGGAAAGTAGAAAATTTTGAATGAAAAAATAAAAAAATTAATTTTCGGTAGCATTTTATCAAATTTACGTCATTTTTCTAGAAATTTTCGAAAGATTTAAAAATTCATTGCAAGAAGAAAACACACACAAGTTATCATGAAATTTTCGATGTTTTCCAGAACAACGCGTCTATGGTGTTTCCCATATTCGATTATCAGCGAATGAAGAAAAACGAAGAGAGGAGATTCAGGTTCATTTTAATCCCCCTCGCTAATCCCAATCATTCCATTGCTTTCTCTTTACAGAATCTTTTGAATTTTTCCAAAAAGACTAACGAGGAGCGTAAAAAATTGAAAATCGAGAAGGATGAGAAAGAAGCGAAGCGTCGAGAGAAGATCAACAAACTTCGCATCAAAAAGGGTCTACCGCCGTGTAAGTGATGATCAAGGTGATTCGAACAATTCGGAAAATTTCCAGTGAAAGATCCCTCTCCTGAGCCGGAGCCGAATCTCGACGAGATTCCGATTCCCGAGCCGCACGAGACCCCCGAGCAGCGGCACGCGCGATTAATGAAGTCGAATCGCGAATGGGATCGCGGCAAAGGCCTCTACACCCAATGGATCGAGAAGCAGCGCGACGATCGCGACGATGAGTTCCGTCCGCCTGATTCATATTTCAAGTGAAATCGTCTTCATAATAATTTACGCTATCGCTAAAATAATAATATAATACAACAAAAATATGACAAAAATATTTCCGGATAAAAAGAAAAAAGAAGAATTGTAAAAAAGGGCACATTTTTTGTAAAACAAAAGAAAAAACATTTTTTTCGCAAATATAAAAAAATAAATAATCAAAGATCGCGGAGTTCCTTATGTGTGTGTGTGTGTTTCTGTTTTTGGGCAAAATAAGAACCGAGATAGTAACACTTGAAAACAAAGAAGAAATCGTCAAAGAATTGAGCAATTTAACACAAAAACTGTTTACAATTGTAATATTACACAGTTACTATAATTACATTTAAATGCGAGAGCCTAAAACTGATTTTAAAGGAGAAAAATGGAGAGAGAGAGAGAGAGAAACAACTGAAAAAGGGCTATACATACAATTTGAGCAATTCTTCTTATCAAAGGGTTAGGCTGAAAATACAATGTTAGACTGTTTTTATATTTATGAGAGGAAGAGATTCGAATGAGAGGCAATTAACACCAAAAACTCAGGAGGATTTGCATATATATGTAAATATGCAACAAATCAAACAAAAACGTCAATAAACCACCGGTATTCAACGAGCATGGATCACTTTTACCCAAATATAATATTATATATCAAAGAAGAAAAATGAAAACAAATGAAAGAGTCTGAGAGAGAGAGATTTCTATATCGTCTAATTCTGAAGAGACCGGGAAAGAGAGAAGAAGAATCATTAGATCATTGATGAAACAAACAAACGAACAATAACAAAAACGAACCGCATACACCATCATAGCACCGGATACAGTTCTCCATGAGCTCTTAATCTTGAGGTTTCACTTTTTCATGGCTGAGGTTGAGGTTGTTGTTGTTGCGGTTGTTGTTGTTGTACAACAGATGGTGGAGGTGGTGGTGGCGGCGGCGCCTGCATATGGTGCAATTGTTGCATTTGAGCCATTTGCTGCTGCTGCTGCTGCATAGCCGCCATCTCATCAGGCATCGGATTCTGATTTGGTATCGTTGTTACCGTAACCGTCGCATTCGGCGGCTTCTTCTGTCGAGGTTTCCTCGTCTGTTTCGCCTGCAAACAGAGAATACAACAAATTTCTTTAATTTTACAAAATTCAATACATGCTTTTCGCATGCTTTTTCAAAGCCTACACAAAAATGATTTTCTCTCACAAATTTTACAATTCCTATGGTCCATGCTTTTAGTTCTTCCAAAAGCTTTCAACCTTCAAAAAAAAAAAGAAAGAAAGAATCCTAGTTTTCGAGAAAAATCAACTCAAACAAACGAGGAACTAATAAACGAAGTAATATGAACGATATTCAAGACCTTGTGCTCGGCAGCCGCCGCTTTGATCTTCTTGTCCTTTTCGGAGACCGTCTTGGCGAATTCGGCGATTTGCTGTTCGGCCTGATCATCGCCATCGGCATGCGTGTTGCGACGTGCGCCGTTCGGCTAAAAACGATATACAACACAAAATTCAGCGTGCATTTATTTTTTTTGTTGCTTTTTGGCTCAATGCATCACGGACGCGCAACCTCGCTCACACTCACCTGCTGCTCATGTCCGCCGTTCACTAGCCGCCCGTTTTCCATTCGATTCGCACCGTGAAACGCGTGAGCTCGCATATTGTGCTCATGTGAAATGTTGCCTATAAAATTCCAAATTTTGCTTTTGACAATTTGCCAAATGAATTTCTCGATTACCCGCAGGACTTCCCGCAATCAGCTGCTGGCTGTTTCGACGCTGAAACGCCGCATACTCGCTGCTTTTCATGCCGCCTGTCCTGGCAACCATTTCAACTACCGATTCTATCGACGCGCCTATCCGATCCGCACGATCGCCATTACTAGTGCTCGGCTTTTGATCGAGCGCATCCGGCATCATTGAATTGCTGAGAAGCGGATCATTCGATTCGACCAAGTCTCCAAGATCTCCAAGATCACCGAGATCGGCTACTGAAATTCAACGGTTCATGCATACATACTGGAATCGAGGGAATCTTACAGCAATCCGTTCCAGAACTCGTCAGAAACTGCTCAACAACCATATCAACATCATTCGGTGGTGGCGGCTGCTGTTGTGGAGTAGACTGCTGACTCGGTTGCCCCTGCTGTATTTGCTGCTGCTGTTGCTGTGGAGGTGGTTGCTGCTGCTGCTGCGGGGTATGAGATGGTCCGGAACTTTGCGAATAACCACCAGAATAAACACTAGTAGTCGATTCGCTTCGATTAAATCCCGGTTGTTGCTAAAAGAAAAACGAAATGAGAAATCAATTTTTCTTTGCATAAAAATGTGGGCAATTTCGAACCATTTGTACATTCTGCGAAAACTGCGGACCACCTTCCTGTCCAATGACGCTGGGCGGCGCCGAAAAATCTCCCGAGAGCCGATGTTGCGGCGTCATTTGTTGCTCTGTAATTCTCCACAATTTCCATCAAGATTTCCCCAATTCTATACCATTCGGCATTTGATTCTGCCCTTGCGGATATGGCACTGGCGGCCCACGCTGCTGAGGCCATCCACCCATCTGTTGCTGTTGCTGTTGTTGCTGCTGCTGTTGGTACATTGCCATTCGTTGTTGTTGCTGTTGCTGCTGGATCTGCTGCTGCTGCCACATTTGCTGTTGTTGTTGTTGTTGTTGTTGCTGCTGTTGTTGTTGTGGACTCGGACCACCGCCAGGGAACCCTTGCGGATAACCCGGCGGCATTTGATGCGGCGCATAGCCAGGCGGCGGATATTGTTGCGGCGGCGGCTGCTGCGGCTGCATCATCTGCATATTCGGGTGCATCATTCGATCACCGCCATAGAATTGATGATGCGCGTGCATTTGCTGTTGCTGCTGCTGTTGTTGTTGTTGCTTTTGGGCGGCTTCAGCGGCGGCCGCCGCCGCTGCCGCCTCCTTCTGCTTCTTCGTCGGCCTCTTCTTCTTCTTCGGCGGCGGAGCAACCGGCTCATCCTGAACAGGCGCCGGCCGGAATTGCGGTTGTGGCGGCATTCCGCCAGGATACGAAGGCATCCGCTGAACAACGCCAGGACCACCTGGGTACATTTGTCCAGGCTGTGGAACCATTCCATATTGCTAAAAGAAATGACTTCTCATAATTATCAATATCAAGCTTATTTTCATACCATTGGCCTTCCAGGCGTTCCAGGAGCTTGCTGCTGTCCTGGAAAGAGCGGAGGACCTTGTTGCGGAATCGCCGAGTTTGGCGTTGTCGGAGGAGCTTGTCCATGCGATGGTCCTTGAACATGCATCAGGTGCTGCTGTTGCTGTTGCATCATTCGCTGTTGATACTGCGCCTAGATGAACATAACCAAATCAAAGAGCCATCGATGAATCTCAAACCTGTTGCTGCTGCTGCATGGCCATCTGCTGTTGCATACTTACAGGCATCTGCTGTCCATAGCCGTACTGCGGATGCGGTGGTGGTCCCTGTCCGGGCGGATGCTGCTGACTGAGCAGATTCACGAGAAGCGGACTGTTGTTGGCGTTCGTTGATTGCTGCTGCTGCAGCCTCTGCTGTTGCGGACCAGCGGCCTGCGGCGGTCCCTGGTTCATCATTCCCGGGTGTTGATGGAGTGGTGATGGTCCCGCATGTCCCGGCGTGTGCTGAGCACTTCCAACAGGCGTGATTTGACCCTGCATGGCTTCCGGCGGAGCGGCGAATCCGCCCTGCGGCGGAACTTGCTGCTGAGGCGGTTGCTGCTGTGGTGGGAACATGTCGGGTGGAATCTGTCCCCGAGCTCGCATTTGTGCAAACTCTTCAGCGGTCATATTCGGCGGCAGTCTTCCAATCAAATGCGGCGGAATTCCCATCTGCTGAGGCGGCGGCGGCTGCTGCTGCTGTTGTTGTTGTGGTGGAGGTGGGGGCTGTTGCGGCGGCATCGGGACCATTTGCGGATGAGCCGCTGGGTATCCCGTAGAAGGTGGTTCCCTCTTAATGATAGGTTGCGGTGGACCGTTGACAGCTGACTGCTGCTCTGGAGCAGGTGGCTCCGCGTGAGCCGGCGCCGCTGGAATAGGCGTTGCTTGCGGCTGTGGCGTCGTTTCATGCGACGTTGATGGAGCGCTGGTGATCGCCGATGGTGTTACCATCGACGGCGCGGCCGAAGGCAATGGAATAGGTACTATTGGTGGCGGCGGACCGTCTGCCATTCGAATAGCTTCACCATTGCCTATTTGAACAGCGTTGAGCCCTAAAAATTATCATTGTTTTAATTATTTCAATAAAATTTTTAGCCGCAAATTTAAAATTTGAACGACGGGATTTTTTTTTTGAAAATTCTCTTTCGTGAATATCGCATGTCTGCGTCTCGTCGCGATTTTATTTCATACAACAGGCGTTCGATATTACAATAATTTTGTGGGGAAAAATAAACCCAATTCATGGTTCAGATTGTAAATTTAAAAAAAACGCAAAATGTGTCTCGCAAAATAAAAAATGAATATTTAAAGAGAACTCTGGGAAATAAGAGCATTGACCAAAAAAAAAAAAGAAAAATATATTTGAAAAATGAATAATATTCCCGGTCAGGACCAGAATGTAAAATAAAAACAAAAATTGCTTACCTATCCTCCTTAGCGTATTTGGTTGAAACGTAGCTATCCTTTTCAGCCTTAATGCAACTTTCACAGGCAACCGAAACGAGCAACGTATCCGTTTTAGAGTGGCTTTTGTTATAACTTCTTCTAAAGAAAAATTTTTGTTCAAAAATTCATTGCAAAATATATTACCAATATTTGATGTACTCGGCTGAGGATCATCATGAGGTTCATCAGTACCATTCGAATTGTTATCCTTTGAGCTGGTTGGCTCAGGATCATCGTCACATGATTTGATTTCCTCCTTGACTGCCTCAGTAGTGGGTGAGAGCTGCGAGGAGCTGGAGCACGTATTATTGTCATTCTCTATTTTGGTTTCAGAGCAATCTTCAATTTCTATAAAAGAAAGAAACTGAGAAATCAATTGTAACATCAAATTTCCAAACCTATCCGCTCAATCTTTTCAATTGAACGCTTCAACGGATCATCGGGTGTCGATGAGGTTGAAGTGACTGAAGCGGTGATTCGCGCAGATGCCGCCCACGAGGTACCGGCCTCGGCGAGCATATCTGCATTGAGTAGGGTTATCGGTTGATTCTGATTCGGCGACGGCATACCCGGCGTCCGAATCGCCGTCGTCGAATTGCTGGAATCGATAATCGTCGTCGTCGGCGACACCACGGCAGCGTTATTGTCGCACTCTTCAAAAAAATTTTGAAGGAAATGTTTTTTTTAAAGAAAATCTTACTAGTTTGCGGTATCGACGATTGCTGAGGGGGTGGCCAGACTGAAGACGTTGTATGTGCTGAGGCAGATGCTGCTCCCCGCATCGACTAACCAGACCATTCAGCGACCAACTCTTCTTCCCAAATAGCAAACCTGAGGAGGGATAAAACAATTAGACAATTCAAAACAGAACAATTCGATATGTACAATACGTTTCAAAACAATTTAAACAAAGAAATTCAAAAAATTTCCATAAAAGGTCAGTTCTCAAATAACGCGTCTTTAATTGCGTTTTTCAAGCGTTAATTAACATTGAGAAATTCGGAATAAATTCGTGCAGCATTTTGAACGTTTCGCTTCAAATTTAATGCATTCTGAGAACGCGAAAACCGCAAAAATCGAAATTCGATATTCAAATATCGCACAATTTTCACGCATGAAAAACCATGAGAAACAATTACCATAATGTGTAATATTTTAAATGAAAACCAATTTCAATGTGAAAATTTGTTGTTAAACGCTAAATTTTTGATGGCAAAACTCGAACCCCCGGTGCAGATCCGACGGTTCGGATTGAAGGGGTACGCTCACGGTCGTAACGCGACCGCGCCGCGGAAGCCATGCGTCGCGGTCACATTGATCCTCATACTGAAAATCGACTATTCTGAAAGTTTTTCAGCGTATCGATAGCGATTTTTTGATTGATATTAGTAGATATCAATGGAAACTATTCCTTTACAAAAAAATTTATCTGATTTGATAAGGTATCATGGATTTAGAGGCTTTCTAATCTTTCAGCGTATCAAACCAGCTTTTCATTGCGATATTGTATTATTTTTGCATGACATGTTGGTTAATTTAACTCCCCGGACAACATTTTAGCAATTTTAGATTGAAATTCCGCATAAACTTTTCCATATTTGATAATTGGATAATTGTCAGAAATTGGAAATTTCCACAGCTGACATTGGTGTTACCGTAGTATTTAGCGATTCTCGCCGCGACTTCTCTTCTCTACGTCTCGTTGTTAGGTCTTTTAACCGCCAGAATCCCAAAATTTTTTCTTTTTTTTCGGGTATAAGGGCCTATTTTTCGTTTTTGGTGCGTGTATATGGATATTATTCTTCGTAAAAATTTCGAATTTTTAAGTTTACTGATTAAAAAAATCGATTTATTACTTATTTTTAGTCGTTTCCAATTTTTTTCACTAAACATTTTTTAATTTTCAGCCATGAAATACTTGGGAGCTTATCTCCTCGCCAACATCGGTGGCAATGCCTCCCCATCGGCTAAGGACATCCTCAAGATCCTCGGTAAGGAATTTTTATTGGAATTTATTATGTCAAACCAATTTTTTTCTAGTAAATTGTGTTATGAAATTTGTTGACAAAATATTCTTTAAATATTCAACACAGAATTTTTTAATTACTTATTTGTCCGAATGAAAAAGTAAAGCTAGTTTTTAAAACTGTTGTCGAAATTATGTGTGCATTTTCCGAAATTAATTAGTCCCCTTGATCGTAACCGAATTTCTTTTCAGAATCTGGAGGTCTTGACTGTGATATGGAAAACGCCAACAAGGTTGTTGACGCCCTTAGCGGAAAGACCATTGCTGAGGTTATAGCTGAAGGAAAAGCTAAGCTCGCTTCCGTCCCGTCCGGAGGAGCTGCTGCCCCAGCCGCTGCTGCTCCAGCTGCTGCCGCTGCCGCCCCAGGTAAATAATATTCCATTGAAATAGTTTTTTTTTCAATCGAAATATCTTCAGCTGCTGCCAAGAAGGAAGAGCCAAAGGAAGAATCCGATGACGATATGGGCTTCGGTCTCTTTGACTAAAATTGTTGTTGTTGTTATATTAAATCGTCATTTAATGAATGACTTCAAAAAGTTTATCAATGTTCTGTGCCGCAAATCAGATTAGATATTTTTCAAGAGTTCAATCCTACTAAAGAAACGTGTTTAGTCAATGAGCTTAAGCTTGTCTTCCGCAGCAAAATGGATTTTAAAGAACACACTTATCACAAATGAAAGTCTAACATCAGAGTTAAAATTACGTTTGATAACTATTGCCAGCCCTCTGTGGATGAGTACTCCTGATAAGTGCCCTCTACCAGACCCTTATTGGGCCTTCTATTGGCCAGGTGGACAAGGGCTTACAAGGTTTCCTTCGCTCGGGTTTCCGAAATTACCGTAGCCATTCTAGGTTCATGATTGATAATGATGCAGAATTTCAAGGTTCTTCAATTCTAGACTTTGGTGCTGGGTGCGGAACAGCTAGTATAGCAGGCGCTATGTGTGGAGCAAAAAGAATTCTATCAAATGATATTGATAAATGTAACCTAAGATACCAAGAAATCTTAATAATCGGAGGAATTTTAGATGCTCTAGTTGCAACGAAGCTAAACTTCAAATTAAATTGTGTTCCAGATAAGCAGGTGGTTTATTCGTCGAAAAATTTTCTAGAAAACCCGGTAGATGTCGACAATTTTTTCAAAGTCAATAATAGAAAACGATTCATTCTTCTGGGAGATATGTTCTACGATTCCCAGTTTGCCGAAATTCTGTTCGCCTGGCTGAAAAGAGTTCAATGCGAGCGAGATGTTCGGATTCTGGTTGGTGATCCTGACAGACATCCGCTGGCCGAGGAGCAATATCTGACAGCGTTCGCATTCCAATTTCTCGGCTTCATTCTTATTTCCGGGTTTTAGATATAAGACAAAGTTCCGAAAGAGGCAATTAGCTGAATATTCGCTTCCCGGCTATGTCATCAACGAGCACTATGGATTTAATACAACGAAGGTTTTTGAATTGACGTTTTGACGCCATTTATTGTTGAATCGTTCATTTCAATATTGTATAAAGATTTGAAATACTTCAAGTATTCAAGAATATGTCAAACGATTCGAAACCGTTCGAAAATGATAACAAGGTTGGTAAAAAAAAATAAGCCCAGAATGGGGAGGATTGGGAAAAAATTGAGGAATTTTGGTTTTTTGTCCAACAAAAATGGTAGAATTATTGACTGTGAAGCACTTCAGCTTCTTCCTCATAGGTTCTATTAAAGAGGCCATCTTGGAGTATGATTAATGCCAATGAAGCAGTTTTAACAGCACATCGAGTTTGACGAGTTTTTTCAATTCGCAGAAAACCTGCACAAAATACTTCGACCACGTTTTGAAAATTAAAATTTTCGTTTAAAACAATTCCAAAAATGAGTGTTCTGCTGCACGGTACGTGCGTATCGAGCTGCTGAATCGTCAATTCAACTAATAATTCATTTTAGAAACAGGAGAACAGTCAGGGAAACGACGAAGAATTCAAGTTAGAAAAAACACAGATTGATTTAGGTTATTAATAAGGTCCATTTTTGTTTATTCAGTTGTTTGGGTTCAGCAGCGCAGAGTCGAATTGACAAAACCGCAAAAGCGATATCGAAGCCTGAGAAGACTCTAATAAATACTGAAAATCGGGCGCAATGGATGAACAAATTCTATGCGAAAAAGGTTTTTTTCGTCTCGATTTCCCAAATATGGTGTTTTAGCAATCCGTAAAAGCAATTTGTCGAGAGTTTGTGAGTCAGCGATCGTTTCAGCATAAATTCACAACAGTCGCACAAAGTAAAAATAACGATAAATGCAGGTGATTTATTTTTTTCGAGAAAAATTAGCCTAAAATTGCCTCTCGTAAATCGATTCGAGTTAAAGGCGCAGATGGGTCTCGCCGCGTCGTTAGCGATTTACGAGCAATCTTGCCCACAATTTTTTCATTCTTTGAATTAATTTTGTTCCAGATATTCAGATATTTCTGTGATTGATGCAACTCGGGTTATTCTCAAAGATCGCCCACCCAAGGATGATTTCATTCATGCAAATTGGATGAAAATGCCCGACGGATTTCGATATATTTCGACACAAGTGCGAATTTCAGACATTTGTTTGTTTTTTCATCAAAATTTTTGATTGGGTTTCAGGGACCACTTGACAACACTGTTGAAGACTTCTGGCATATGGTCTACACGGAAAAAGCAACAGCGATTGTGATGATTTGCGATTTTGCTGAAAGTGCGATTTGTCACAAATACCAAGTGTTATGCGAAAATTGATTTTGCAGATAATTTAAGCAAGTGTGCTTTTTATATTCCAACCGATAAACGAGATAGTTGCAAATTTGGAAAGTACACAATCAAACGGATTGGCAAAGTGACGAATCCGTTGGACGACATCAAAATGCAGGTTTTTGAAATCACTCAAAGCAAAGGGTTTCGCCATTTGAACGATTTCATCCAACAGTTTCAATTTATTTAGAGATTATAAGCATGTTGTCAATCATTATCAATACCTTCACTGGCCGGATCATATTGCTCCGAAAGCTTCAACAACGGCTCTCAAGCTTATACGCAGTTTCAAGCAGAACTCATCGGTAGGCGTTTTTCTTTATTAGGGGGATCCCATAGTAAATATAATTGTCGAAACGCTTGGGAACTTGAAAACGTGTTTTTTTTTTGGATTTTGCTGTAAATCAGACTAGATTTGAAAGTAGATTTATGGGATGGGAACTCTCGCTCATTCTCACCAACTAGTTTTTGTTTTGTATTCCAGTCGCCGGTTGTTGTGCACTGCTCGGCGGGCATCGGACGCACGGCGACATTCGTCGGCATCGATTACGGCTCACAGCGACTATCGCAGAATCCCGATTTGGCGTTGTTCGACATTGTGCGCGAGATGCGCGCGATGCGCGACAAAGCGGTTCAAACCTACTTCCAATACGTGTTCATGATCATCTGCATCACCGATTTGTTCTCATCGGAAGGCGTGCCGAGAAATGAGCACATGAACTCGTTCTACGACGAATACGTCGAGCGTCTCGAGCGCAATTGCAAGAAGCGCGCGCTCGGCCATAATAAATCGCAGGACAAATGAGAGACCGGTCCGTTTAAAATTTATGGTATCCAGAATATAAATTATGTTAAGCTTATATTGTTGTTGTTGTTGTTGTTTTTTCTCGCCGCTTGGTGTGCGATGGCCCGCCTTTTTGATATATGAGTGTTGTTTGGCGAAACTAACACAAAAAAAAGCCAAAACTAGTAGTAGGGGAGGTCAAACGATTTTTGGCTCCGCGAGCCTCGTCTCAATTCTCCAGAGACAAATTAAAAACCACTGCCTTCGTTTGCGTGTGTGTGTTTTCCACTTCCAAGTGTTGTTACCCAAAATTTTTTTTTGAAAACGGAAAGGCATAAGAGAAGTTCATTTTGAAGCTTGGCAGTGTATGAAACAAGCATAAATAGTAATAAAATTAAAATATTGAGAGAGAGAGAGAGAGATAGAAAAAAAAGAATGCGTCGGGAGTGTGTCTAAAAATGAAAGGAAGATTTAAAAAAACGAAACACCCGTAATTTGGCGGCTTAAAAAAGTGCTGAGAGAAAGCTAACGAGAAAATTGAGAAAATCCTAGAAATTGATTTCGGAGATCGTGGTTTGAGGCGCGGCTTCACACGAATGAAACCTCGTAGCGGCACGGAATGTCGGTGAGATAGAGTCGCGAGTAGTTTGGTCCCCAGCCTTTGCCGACCGATATCACGAGATCGTTGGAGACGAGCGCCGGGTCCTGAACCGAAATGATTACGGTGATGCGGTGATGAGGTGTGTTGAGAAGAAAGGCTGGATGGGGACGCTTACACGACTCGGCCTTCGCATTTTCGATCGATCGGTGGCTGGATTCGAGTTGGTCGCTTCGCCGCGATGTACCCGTATACAGTAACCCGGCGACAATCGTCGAAGAGTGTCTTTCGTCGATGTCGCCGACATTGAGAGAAATAATGGACGAGTTCCACTTCAAAGAAGCATTCGCAATATAGTTGAATTGAAAATGTCAAACCTGTTGTATAGCCAAACGTCTTCAGGATTGTCAGATCCGATCGGATCGGATTGTCGGATGAGCGCAAAAGACACCTCATTCCGAAGATCCCATTGACTGCACTCCGGTTGAGCGTCGTGCACCGATTTCGACAGAATGCCGACGGCAACGAAGCCGCCGTGAAGGAACACCGGATCGCCGATCTGCTCCTTCCTCTCGAATCGCGTCAGTCTCGCCCACGCTATAATGACGCCTCGTTGAATTTCAAAAAAAAAATGAACATCGTGTTCGCAAAGGCTTACAATGATTGGCGTGTCCATGATGATAATGGATGAGATCGGGCTCCGTCGAACTGCGCGAGGTGCACGGCGGCGAGTCGTCGGGTATCGGCGGTGTGCCGGCGGCGGGTATCGTCGGCGGCGGTCGATCAGGTATCTCGAGCGCCTTGGCCGGCGGCCGACTCATTTCGTGTTCGTGGATATCTGCAAATTGGCTCCAGATGTCGTCGGCGATTCGTGTTTATTGCTTTCTGTTTTTGTTTTGCCTCGTTTCGACTAGCGGTGGTTGTAATATGAAATGAATGCAATCAAACTCGCCCCCCCCCCCCCCTGAGTCAGACTCGGTCAACAAATGAATTTTTGATTAATGCTTACGATCTCGATTCCTATAAGTGATATGTCCATTCCCAATAATTGACGATCGATGATGGTTGTTCTGAAGAATCAATTAATGATGATGGCATTCTGAATGAATCGACTCACATGCATCGAGTTCCTCTCCGACATGTTGTCCTCGTCGCCGCCGCTGATCTCGGGACGAATCCAGAGCGCGTAGTGGTATGGATTGCAGCATGAGACGGTCGCGTTGTTGATCGTCACTCTTCCGAATCGGCACCACGGCAGCGCTTCGAGGCGATGTAGCGCGGCGTCGACCTGGAAGACTAATTTGAGTGTTGAATGATGGAATTGCGAACCTGAAGGTCCTTCCAGCGCCACATTTTGCAGCACAGGTACGGCATACTCATCGGTCGATCGATTTGCGGTATCAGACCGGAGTCCTCGTCGGGCGGATCCTCGTCGACGCGCTCGTCCATCGGCGGTCCCGGCGCGCACGCCTTCGAGTCGACGCCGCCCGACTCGACGGCCTTCCGGATGACCTCAACGTCTTCGGCGTCGAAGCCGCGCATCAATCGAAGGAATCGACGACGCGCGCGTCGCTCGTCGGAAGTGACGAGGAGACGACGACGCCAGAGGCGCTCGACGTGCCGCCGCCGCTCGCTGAACACACACCACATGCCGCAGTCCATCGCGACGCATCGCCTTCGGGTATGGTTTTGATAATGAAACGCGACTTTGTGTTGTGATGGAAGGGGGGGAAGGGGGAGGGGAGAGGAAGTGGGAGGGGAATGGGAGGGGGCGCTCTCCGACCAAAAAAAGGGTGGAATGCGCCTTTTTTTGGTGCGTTTTCGATTTCCTCCTGTCCGCGCGCGCTGCAAAATACGAATTGTGAGAAACACGAGAAAAAAGAAACAATTGAAATCGCGAAAAAAAAAAAACGGAAATTGCATTGAAGAGCAAACGTGGACCATCGCAACAACTACCATATTGAAATGAATTTTTGTTGAACGCAAGTCTGTGGTTGTGTGTGTGTGTAATGCATTAATTTTGATTGATGGCTTCTAACTAATTTCAAGCTGCCGGCGGGGGTGGGGGGAGCCGGGCGCCAGAAGTGATGCAGAAGCAAGCAAAAAAAAAACATACAAGAGATGCGGAGAGGGTGGAGGGAGAAGCATACACACACTGACTGACTGACTGATTGACTCGAAGCTGCGTTGAGTTGTCGTTTCGTTCAATTTCATCTGAGAGTGTGTGTATGTGTACGCCTTAGACCAATAATCGAAACCAAGCAGTCAAACGGGCGGCGGCGGCGGCGGCGATGGTCTGGGAGGAGGGCGAACGCCGCAAATTTTTCTCGCCCCCCTTGACGTCTTTCAGATTGTGCTGCTGCCGACAACTTGCCGGGTTTCGCCTGACGACCAACTATTCAATTTTTATGTTTTTGTTGGAAATTTGTGGTTTTCGCTTCGGGACCATCACATCCCCCCCCCCCACTTTGCCTTGAATTATTCAGTTTTATGCGATTCTCTTGGGCACGTGGGGCAAACGATTCAACTTTCGAATTGGTATTGAAGTGAAATTATCAAAAATCCATGTTTATCTTCGACGAAAAAAAATCATATTTAAAGGCGCATACGAGAAAATTGGATAACTCAATATTATAGGGGGAACGAAATTCCCCATCTTCGCTGTAAGACTCAAAAATAAATTTTTACTTTCAATTTTAGTGTGTGTATAAAAATTAAAAGAATTGAGGGGAAAAAATCAAAAAATCGATGATAATTTCATTTTTTGAGGAAAATTGAAAAAGAAAAAAAAAATGGTAAAATGTAGAATTGATGACCAAAAGAAATAGTGATAGAAAAGGTAGAAATTCAAAATTTCGAGATGTGGGAAAAATGAATTTTTTTTGGGAAACCGTACACAAAAGAGAAGGTACCAAAATGTCAAAAATGTTTGCCTCGTCGGACGTCGTCGTGTCGGGGCGTTTTGGCCCCAAGAGGGGGGGGGGGAGCCGAAAAGAGCTTGGGCCGAGTCGTCGAACAAAACCAAAATCTTTGGGAGCCTCTACCAGCTCTCCGAGAGCATTTCACGCACAACGAAGAGAGGGGAGGCGCACTCGACTCGAGGGTCCCCCCACACACACACAAAATGTTTCAATTTATCTCAATTCTCACGACCCGCTCGCCTTGAGCTTTGCCGCGTGGTGATGATGGTGGTAGTGGTGGTGGTGGTGCCACTCTAAAGTAGTAGCCAACGTTGAGGAGTTGCATTTATGCTGGCCAGGTCCTCCCCCCCCATTTTGAATGAAGGTGCTTTTGCTGTTGGTTTGCCTCCCCTCCTCCTCCTCCTCCTCCTCCTCTCCCCGCCCCTCCACAACACAACTTTATATATTATAAACAAAAAAACTGGAGCTTTTCTCGTCCCCGCCTATTGTTTATAACAAATGGGGGATTATGAATCGGGCGGGAGATGCAAAAAATCAACAAAACATTGGGTCTCGCGACGGAAATGCCGGCGGCGCGCCAAATTTTCGAGCGCTCAATAATTGTACATTTGCAGAAGCGGCTAGCAGCGTGTCGGCAAAAAATTTTGCAAACAAAAAAGGAAAAGGTCCGCAGTGTTGATGCGGTGTGATTGCACAAAATTGTGTGTGGAGGAGAATTTTAATATTGTGGAATCGCGGAAAATTGAATTTCAGATTCTTTCTTTTTTTTTTTATTAGTCGCGAATAAATTAATTAGAATTGTAGATTGGAATAGATTTGTGAAATTTGATAAAATCATGGATGGGTTCAAACTCACACCGCTCGTTTTTTGAATTCTCATCCAAGAAGGGCGTCGCGAATGAAACGCTAGAAATCGAATAGCATCTGCGGACAATTGGCAGGTGAGGGTGGATCAAAAAAAGCTCAGAGTGGCGGCGAAGCGCGCGCGCACTTCAACAAAACTTCTTCGTTTTTTTTTCTTCTTCTTCTTTCGAAGGCCGGCCGGAGCCCGCCGACAAAACTCTTCTGACCCATTGGAGACCAACACACGGAATCGAGGACAATGGAGGAGAAATGAGCGGCCGGCCCGGCCCGGCCGAGCCTTGTGTGAGTGTGTGCCTATTTTTTTTCGTGTTGCTTCTCAGAAAACATTTGCGACGAACTTTTTTTTTTTTTCCTATGCGCCCCCCCCCTTCCCTAGGAAAAAAAAAACCAACTCGCCTCCTACCGTAATCCAGTGTCCGGAAAGCCAATTTGTATAATTTTAGTGACAACACGAGCCGAACCCAACCCGACGCCGTCTATCGCGCACTATTTTGTTTCTGGCGGACCTCGGGGTTACAGCTCCCATGGGGTGACTCTACGCACACACACACAGATGCTGCACACATTTATGCTCGCAGGCCCCCTTCCCTTCTGCCACCTATATCCGCAACATTTTTATGACTTTTTTTCGCTGGATTTTGGTTGGCGCAATTCGGGATACTAGTGTTTGCACAATGCCAATTTTTTTTCTTGCAAAATGCTGGCAAAAAGGGGGGGGGGCATTCTTTGTACAATAATTGCCATTAAATGGGCGGTTGCAAATAAATGACACACCTCAACGAATGCTACAGTAATTCGAATTGTTGTGTTCTCGAAATCGCCACGATTTTTTTTAGAAACAAGTGAAACGAGCAAAAACCAAAAGGCTGGACGAAACACGCATATGATAGTAGGTCATTGAATGTGGAAATGACGCGTGACATTCTGGTCTCGACGAGAAAAAAAAAGGATGAGAAGACAAAAAGTGCAATCGAAGTGGAAGAATGACCAAAAAAAGAAGAAAATATTTGTGTTGTGCTCAACTTATAAATACTTTAAAAAGCAATTTATGGAATGGCCTAGGTTTTCGCGGTCGTGGCCTAGTTTTTCGCGGTCTTGAAAAAATGGGTGCAAAACGAGTTTGTTGGTGAGGTGAAATCATGGAAATCCGAGAGACGCGATCTTGATCTTTTGCGAAGATCAAGGCGAATAGAAAGCGAAACAAACATCGAAATCGAGCCGATATTGGCGAAACTCGACACCGGCCCGATGATGCTCCAATTTCCGACATCTTCGTCGTCAGACTTTTTGGCGGCGTAGGCATTTCCACCAATTATCGCGAATTCCCATGAATATTCCTAGTCGTCAATTTGTGGACACATCCGACGACGACGACGGGATGGAAGAAGCGCAGCGAACAGAAAATTGCGATTCGAAATTTCGTTACGCCGACTTCCTCTCGCTCGCGATTCCTCTGGTCTCACAATTACGCTACTATTGTGCTTATTTTCAAACTAGATTTTCAAATGCGAATATTCGATGTGTGGGAGTTTTTTTTTTGGTTGACTGGGCTTAGTTCCCGCTTTTTTCGACCAATTGGGTAAACTATAAAAATTGTGTGTGTTCAAGATTGATGATGAGAAAAGGAAAGCGGCGAGAATAATTTATTAGGTCTCGACGCGATCAACAATTTAAAAACAGGGATTTATCCCAAAAAATTGAAATATATTACTAAACAACCTAATTTAAAAAAAAATAAGCAAACAATTTCAATCAATCATCATCCTTCCTCAAGTGTATCCATTCGATCAAACCGCCTTCCATGCCTGGGAAACAGTTGCTCGCGCTCTTCCGATGTGGACCTCGCTCGCCGCCTCGGCGATTTCGGCGTTGTCGAGCTTCTTCTTCTTTCTTTCGACTCGCGCCTCGGTGATTTTTTATGCTAAAATAGCAATAAAAACTCACTCGACGCAATAAAAAAACGACCATCGACGAACCTTTGAATGACTTTTTTCCTTATTCTTCTTTTTACTATGCGAATGATTGTGATGATGGTGGTGGCCGTGACGGTGCTGCGATGACGTCTCCGAGTTGACCAAATCCATATTGTGCTCGATTATATCCATATCCGGCGGTTTCGGGTTCACATATCGATCGTTGATGATGATGATACTCCTGAAAAGCTAGCGAGTCAATCATAATGCTCATATTACAATTTCCGCTAGAGGAAGGAAGTGTTCCCCTCCCCTTTCGCGTAGCATGAACCCTATTCGTATTTTACTTCCTCACCTATACGTTTGTAGTAGAATAATGAGCATATTCTTGAAGAAGAAGAAGATCATCGTGTAAGTCACCAGATTATGGACGGTCATTAAATATAAGCGAACGAGAAGGAATGGGACATCTTGTAAAGCATTCGCGAGAAGGATTGCCCATATATCGACATCGTAAATTGCCTGAAATTCGAATTTTAGTAAAAAAAATATGGATCAAACTGTGAAAAAATTAATTTAAAAAAATTGTCGTCATTTAAAATGCCGTCTGCATGTACACCGATGACTACAAATGCAGACATCATTTTTGAATTTCTTTTTCGGCAGAATGGTTTTTTTTTTGAATTTTTGAAGATTTTTCCAGAAAATACCTTAAAAATACTACGCGGTCGATTCCTTCTGAACAACTGCTCATAATCATTGGTAATCGCCACGCGCATTTTTCGCGCTCGGCTCACGGTGAGCACAAACGGGAATTGAAGCAAGCTGAGCTGAAAATTTTGCAAATTTTCTCTTCTCTTCATATTCGTTGAATCACCGTCCATGCAGCTAAGACAATCCGCTGGACTTTGGTGTTTGAAAAAACCTCGCGCTCTTTGAAAACATCGAAAAACTCGACAATATCCGACGATATGGCCTAAAATTGAGTGGGCGCGGAACAAATTGTATAATTAAGCGCCTAATTACCAAATAAGCGAGAAGAATCTGCGAGAGCTGCTCCCTGGATATATCTCCTTTTGGCAAAAGCCATCTGCCGACAATCAAGTTGACCAGCAGAAGCTGCTCGAGCATTTGAAGATAAAGCTCACCATTATCTGATGCTGAAATCGAGGCAAAGCATTGTCTCGTCTTCTTCTTTTTTTTTCAAATATGTCTCACATATGGAAATCGGCGAATGCCCATCACTGGCCATACTATTCCGCCACGCGCAAATTTTTGTCTCGAGAATCCAAATCGGCGGCGCCGTCGCGACGATGTACAAGAACACGCTCGAGCAAAACCATTTGCGCTCATCGCCGGCTCGCATGATAATCGCGTAGCCGCCCTCGAACACTATCAATAGGGATAGAAGGGCAAACGCCCAAACACTTTCCCTAAATTCGAGAATTTCATTGAGGAAGGAGAGAGGGGAAGCGCTGGGGAAGTTTACCGTTCCTCGATTTTAACAGTATGACGAATTGTGACCAGCGAGTGCACAATGAATAGAGAGCGAGCCAGGATTGCTCTACAATTGGAACATGAAAAAATTGTTCCGGACGAATTCAGACAATTTTTGGAATATGTGCAATCACACTGTTTCAACTCTACGGACTTGCATTTTAATCGACGCCTAATTTATTTTGGCGCAGAATTTGAATGAGTAATACATTTTTAGGAATTTAAATTTTAGAGAATTCAAATTTAAAAAAAAAGGAAAAATTTTGGAAAGTGATAATTCAAAAAACAACAAATAATGGAAAAAATTTTTTAAATTAGAGCAACTGAAATTTTCAATTTTTGAAAACCATTTCTATCATCTCAAAATGAAGATTTGAAGAAAAAATTTGGACAACCTTATACAAGAAATCAACACATGGGTGGCATCAACACTATTCGGCCGTTGAACGATGACCTGATGGCCGCCATAATGGTGCGCCGCTACCGTGGTGTCCATCAGAAGTGGCCGGCTTCTGAATCGAAAGTTTCAAAAAGCGGGCCCCAATAAAAAAAAAACACAAAACGAGGAGAGAAGAATGAATGGAGTGTGGTGGTGTCGTCGTCCCCAAGGAAGGCGGCATTCGGCAAAAGTTCGAAACTAATATTTTTATTCGTCTCTTTAGACACCTTATATGGAAGAATCAAACAAATAGACTTGAATAAGACAAACAGAAAACGAGTGTTCTATCGAGATATTGAGCATCATTTGAGAGGACGGTGCCGACAAACGTGTTACTTTTTTTCCCCCCGCCGAAATATGATGATTGGTCCCGTGGGGAAGCTGGATGGCAGTTGAGTTTGATAAACCAAGTGCAGAGCCGTCTTGAGAATTGAGCAACTCGACTAGTACGGCGAGTTCATGCCTAATTTGGTGTCGAAGTCGAATTTGGTGCGACGCTGCTCGCGGCTGAACATTCGAATCCGTCGGATTTTGTTCAACTCGTTGACGAGTCCAATGAAGACGATCCAGACGGTGAGGAAGGCGAGCGGCGTCGGATCGAATAGGTGCGAGAGGTGAACGCCGCGGGCGGCGGAGAACACGATCTGCAATTGGGACCATTGCGATTCACACCACCTCTCAAAGGTGCACCTGCGAGACGAGGCAGATGATCGTCGAGGCATTCCAGCTGACGCATTTGAACGGCACGTCTTCCCAGAACGACGACAAGCCGAACACGAACGCCGATGAGAGCACAACGAGGCACGTCGTCAGCTGAAAATGGTGCCGATTCAATGATTTGGTGCGACGTTCTACTTGAAATCCCATCACATGTCGAATTGTGTCGGTTGAGAGACTCGTGTAATCGATCGTCTCGTTGAATTCGAGCTGTCGGGCGCCGATGGTCCCGTCGCTGTTCAGAATGCAAGAGATATCCGAGAATGAGCACATCATGTTCGAATTGCTCACTAGCTGAAATACGATTTATTGAAAATGATGAATTTGTCTCTTCGTGTTGAGACCATCCCGAACTTTTTTGACAGATTAATCGAAATGGAACAGTGACAAAAATTTGAAAAGGGTCTTGTCACGAATAGCCCAAGGTGTCAAATTACTAAAAAAAGACATTCGCGTCAAGACCTCAATGATTAAAAAACAAAGGTTCTTCGCTTACCATGAAGAGGAACACGAAATTCAAATAAACCGCCGATGGCGCGAACTGCAAAACGAATGTTGTGATTGTGGCGATCTTCTCCGCCTTCGGTATCTCGATGCAATTCTTCGGCGCGATTCGGATGACGGTTCGCGACGGCTCGAAATCGGTGAACATTGTGCCGATGAACAGCGCCGGAATATGAATCAATGAAGTGAGAAGGATCTGATAATGGGTGAAGATGATCGGCAAGAATGCCAGTGTTGATAGAAGCATCACTAATGTGACGAGAAGCGACGAATGGAGAAGGAAGAGGAGCGACGAGCGATACGAAGACATCCGATGGCGAGCGCACGCAATTAGAGAAGGTAGGCGGAGAAGCTGAATGAGAATGAAGCGTGAGGTGTTGATCTTCTTGATTACCCCGTCATGCTTCAGTCGGAAGTCGGTGGCAATTGAGATAAGCTTGCTCGAAATCGAATTGACGTTGCTCAGCTTGTTCTGAGCTCTGTCGACGCGACACGACGCTTCTTCGACGTGATCGATGCTCACCGAGATGTTGGCTTTGGCGAACAGCATCGTGTTGTTGAGATTTCGCGACGAGCCGACGACCATCACGATTTCGCCGTTCTCCTGAATTCTATTTTGGTGGCGAGCCAAGTTCGATGATCTACCTGAAGGATGTCGATCATCTCCTCGACGGCCGACGTCGTCGAATCGGTGAACAATCCGACGAGCAATGGCACGTTGTCGACATTCTCCAAATGCGGTCGAACGTTTTTCACGCCCGTCGGCAAGCGGGCAATATTCGGTATGGGACCCATTTTGCCGGACGAGGTGCTGAATTTTCGAATCGACGGGGTGCTGCGTGTTAGCTTTTCAGCGTCCCAATTTTCCAGATGCGATTCGCTTCTGAAATCGTCCACTTCAAATTTTCCGTTTTTTTTCTTTCAAATCTCACATTGCCATTCTTCCCCAGAATTTGGTCTTGCACGGAATTTGCTCGACGAATTGCTTATAACTAACATCGGTTTTCGTTGTGCAATCCTCGTCGTCGGCTAAACTAATATGGCAATTCCAGCCAGCTTCAATACCTGGAAAATTATAATTGAAAAATCGTCGATTTTCAGAGATTTGCACCTAATTTTTCCGCAAAAACCCGACTTCTTAACTCGTTTTCTTTTGAGAAATATACGGGACGAACGCAAATTCCGTCAAGTTTCTCTATCACGGAGACTGCCGACGTGATCGCCTGAAACAATTTTTGTATGCTTGGTTACTGTAATCATTTCCTGTGTGCAATTTTGGCGCCGTGTTTGCAGACCAGATATTTCCGTCGATTTTTTTTTATTTTCCCTTATTTTTTTGGTTTAAAATATTAATTCTCACCTCATAATGCAATACAACAAGCCCGCAGAGCACATTTCCATCAAAACAGCGTTCTATTGCATCGTCTGCGGTAGATATCGGTTGACTTTGTTCCTTATCAAGAGTTTGTAATGAATCTAAACAAATTCGGGTAATTTTTTCAGATTTTTAGTTCACCAATGCTATGAGATCTCGCAAGTGAGGTGATTAATATAGGCACTTCGTGATTTAAAGGCACTTCCACGTATTTTCCCGCAATTTTTTCATCAATTTTACCAAAAATCGGCCGATACGAAACCGCCAAGCAATGCCTAAACTTTTTGAACATTTGAAATTATGTCTCGAATTGTTTTTTACCCTGTCATCGAATGCCGCTGGTAGAAATCTTTGACCGACGAGGTAATTCGTTTTGACAGCGGAACAACATTGGCACCATTCCAAATATGTGTGCAACCCTGAGAATATAAAATTCTTGTGTGCTTTTACGGCATTTACTCACATCGACCACTAGATTCGCTGTTCCCTGACAAGCTAAATGCCGATAAATCGATTGATTATCATTATGAATTGTGCAAAATGCCATTTCCACAGGGGTTCGATGTTTAGTAAGCCTAGAATTGCCCTATTTATATGGATGTTAAAAATAGCCACAAACCCTGGCAGTGGGGCTTCTCCAGGTTGCCTCTTATAAATTCCTAGGATTGTTGGGTTCGAGAATTGCTCTAAACTTTTCTCAGTGAACCTGAAATTGTCTATAATTTTCTTTTTTTTTAAATTTCAAACCCCATTAATGCTGGAAGTTGACACATGCATCTTCGATTAGCTGTCGCAATTGTTCGTGGCACCTGAAAAATATTGTTCAACCATTTTTAAGCATTTTATTCTATTACCTCTTGCGAAACAACGGAGAGATGATCCAGGAATCGATGGAACTCTTCAGATTGCTTGCACGAGTTTAATAGCAAATTGTGAGCCAGTGGAAGAAGGTTGGTGACATACTTTTGCCAGGTATTATCATCAAACGATAGTTCCCATTTCGATGGATCATCGGGTCTCTGATCCGATGACAGATTCACCACGTCAAGATGGATTTGCTCAGAATCGAGCGATCCGGTCTCTTTCTCTGAAATTCGATTGGTTCCGATTCTCTATTAATTCGGTCTCACCGCATTCGTTTGTCGCGAACACCAGCTTCTCAATCGATGGATGTGCCGATGATAGAATTCCTTTTTTGTCGACGAATGAAGTGCCTGTGATGCCAGCGAGAATCGCGAGCAGATCTTTGCTCGTTCGGAACGTTTTCGTGTCGAGATTGAGGTATTCAAAAATTGTTCGATTGTTCAGACATTTCACCGAGTGCAGGAGGAATGGGAGTTGAATGATGAGCATCGGGAATATGGTGAGCGCGGGCACGGCGAACACAAAACGCGTTCCGAACAAACTCTCATAATCGGCATAGAGGAATCGGACAGTGGTCCCTAATATGGATACCAATATGGTGAATGGCAGAAGGATTCTCTCGAACACATAGTGAATCAGGTAATGCACTTGATGGTCAAAGAGCAGCAGGGATTCCTCGTTGGACAACGTCGCCTCCAAACGGGTCTTGATTGGATAGGTGACAACTCTCGCGTATACTGGCTCGAGCGGCTCGACGACATTGGTTTTCGGATCGGGTTTAATGAGCCAGGTTGGTTGTTCGCCTTCGGCAATATATTTTCCATCGATTGTTTCACAGGCGCAAGGTGCTGGCTGAACCAACAGATAATGGCCGTGGCCGGGGGTGGCGGAAATGAGACTGGATTACCTTGCCGGGTCTTAATAGGATCACATCGCCGACAACAAGAAGGATTGTCGGCACTTCGACAATTCGGCCGTCGCGAATTGCCGTCTGACACAGTGCCACGTCATCAGTCACCGCTTCCAAATTCGACGGGTATACGAATTCGTTGGGCTTCTCCTTTAAAATATGGGGTTTTTTTTTAATAATGATTGAAACCTCTTCAATTCTCTCAATTTCCTCCAACGCCGCTCGAAATTTGAATTGTTTGAGATTCTCGCGTAATCGCGTCTGCCAAATTTGGAGGAGAATTGTGTAGATGAAAATGAGCACGTAGATAGTGCATATCTCGAGACTGATTCGATTATCGCTGAATCATTTTTTTTTGTCAAAGATTATCCGAGATGAAGCCAATGAGCTCACATATCGACGGCTCCGATGATGAGGAAGAGCAATGCGAGCCGAATGATGGCAAATGTTCGCTTGCAAAAGAATCGGCCATGCTTTCGCACCTTATCGGTTTCGACAGGCTTGATTTTGCTGAATTCTCGAGTTGTGAGGTATCGGCTAGAGTGTTACGAGTCGTTGCGAGACCCTCTAGCAAAGGTTTGTCTTTCTTTATAGGAAATAGAAAGCCCACCAAATTTCTTGTTTTTTTTTGGATTTTTTCAAACATTCGAAAAATGTGAACAAAACAAGAATAGCAAATCACTGGGGTCTCGCAACGACTGCATAAAGCTTCATCCATAACGAAACAAAACAACAACTAACTTCACGACATTAACACTATACCACTCAGCGATCGAGAGTTTCGCTTCTTGTATGAGATGCTCGAAAGCCTGATGACTAGTGAGCCCTGGCCATTTTTCCATATTCGTCAGCGCATTTTATTTTGCGAATAGAATGCGACGGCCGACCGATGGAGCACACTTTGAGCAGACGCAAAAACTCGGCAGCTGTTCGCCGTCTAGCCGCTCTGCGTCTCGTCGCCCAACGAAATTGGTGAAAAAATTAGGTGTGCACCAAATTTAACGCAAGTTTATTCGCCACTTACGCATTTTAATTTTATTTTCTGTGACCTTTTAATCATTTTCTGAAAGTTTAATGGAAATTCGTTTCGTTTGATAGAAATGACAGCTGATTCAATCCATCGCGCTGCAATCATCGACTTGGAAAAGAAGGAAGGTCTTGCAAGAAAAGACATCACACCCAAATTTGAACTCGGCTAAAAGCGGCCCTACTGATGGGATAAATTGGTCGTCAATTACCATACCCGAAGCGTCTGCTCTGGTAACTCAAAATCAATCGGATTTGACAAAATTCGGCTCCGAAATCAAACTTGTCCGATTGGAAATTCTACGGATAAGATTGTGAAATTGTGGGATCCGATTGGTTATTAATCGAATCCATTTTGTTTTCATCTTTCAATTCGAATCCGATCCGAGTCGAAATTTGTCGGATCTAATTGGATATTTGCCGGATCCCATTGGTAATTTGTTGGATCTGATTCAACAAATTCTGATTCGATTAATAACCAATCGGATCCGACAATTTTACAATCTTTTTTGTCGAATTTCCAATATTGGAAGACCGATTCCGGAGCCGAATTTTGTCGGATTCGATTGGTTTTGAGTTACCAGAGTGTTAATGAGCTTATCAAAAATCGAGAAGGAATAATCGAACAATGTTGATTAATTCGTTATTCTTATATATTCAGTCAATTCGATGCTTTTTGGAAAAGTTTTTTTCGATTCACATGTAATTTTGCCGCACCGTGTACATACATAAATATATTTATATGCATTTATAGGGAAACAATGATTAGATTTGAATCTCTTTTCCAATATCCTTCTTCGTGTTTTGATTATTATTATTATTAATTCCGGAATTTTTTGGCGGCTCGGCGGCTCCGATCGGCCGCTTCTCCATCTCCTTCTTTTTATTCAGCGTTTGCGATTTGTAATTTTTGTCGATCTTTCGAAAATCGTCTTCGAGCATAATCTCATCGCCGCGATCATCGATCTCCTTCTTGAACACCTCCTCGATCTGCTTCGGCGACAACGACGGCGTCGCGCTTTGGCTGCCGACCGTCTGACGCGTCCTGCAACGAAAACCCTAATTGCGACAAATTCGCTCGGCGTGTCGTCTCAAACATTTGATCGTCTCTCGCCGAATATTGCCCGCCATAATTGTATTGCTGCTGATTGGTTTGAGGGCTGCTGAAAATTATTGCGATGATTTTTTGTTGCTGAAAAAAAATGAGCAAATTTCGCTTACTTGTTATTTCCCCATCCGTTGTTGTTCGCATTCTGATTTCCATTTCCCCAACCGCCGCCTCCGCCATTATCGGACATGCCTTGAATTTGACGCGGGCTGAAATTCCCCTCCGAATTATTTGTGACGCTCGTGTCTGCGTCTCATCTGCACCGCACCCTCTCGCGGCGTCTTTGCACTCTCTCGATTATGCACACTATTGTAGGACATTCTAGAGATCTTTCAAAACAATTGCGATATATGCTCGCCGATTGTGAGATTTAAGGGAACACGACCAGGTAATTGGTTTAAAGGCACATGACTCAAACACACGTTTCGCCGCATTCAAATGGGAACGCATTTTCAAACGATTCCATCGTGACGAGACCCGTGTGTGTTAAAGGCGCAGCGAACCCCCCCCCCCGGGGGCTTTTAAGACATAAAATATTAAGAATTAACTTTGACAAATCGGCTAAATACCTGAAATGGTCTCGAGAAGACGAGGTGCGGGTTGTGTACTCCACACGAACAATGCCTCTCAACAACAGGGTGGTGCCACGTAGAGAGACGGCATTTTAAAAATTTTACTTCCCCGCTTAACGCGTAAATCGACACTTGCGTTGCGAGACCCATATCTACTACAGTAGATGTGTATTTCCGCGGCGAGACCCCCCCCCACACCACGGACACTTCAATGCGCTTACTTATCCGAATACACCGGATTTCCGCCAACATTGCATCGATCATAGCTGCAACAGCAAAGGCTGACCGGAATCGCCTGGAACGTGGTGAAGATGCACGTATCTTTGGCGAGCTGAAAACCGACAACGTCGCCGCATCGCAATACCATCGATTCCGATCATACCATACATCTCCATGTTGAGCATCCGGCCTTCACGACATTCACCAATCCGACGTACGCCGATGTCGACATGTTGTAGCAGACGGCCGACGCCGGGCATTCTTCGGTGCTCTCGCCGACGCTCTGCATCGCCAGCAACTTCATGCCCTTAAAATCGAGAGTCGAAACAACGAGCGATTCAACGCCAAACCACCAACATTGTAGCACGTGAGACCGTACGACGGGCCAAATAGAAAAGCCGCAATGAGAATTAGAGTCCGCATCGGAATGTGGCCAAAAAAACGTGGCTCAATGAGTCGGCGACGACACGCGCCAACTGTTGTTTGGCTCGCGAGAGAATCGATCGAATGAGTCATCGGATTTGAGCAAGCACATTTTATAACATTGAAAGAATATCATTGAACCCGGACGAATAATGGATAAAAACCAAATCAAAAATGCTACAAGTGATTTTGTTCATGAAAGAGCATTTCGGAAATTTGCAAAAAAAAAGACGAAAGAGTGAAGGAAAGAAATGGTCCCGAGGCAGTTAGAAGAAGAAGAAAAAATATATAAAATTCACAAAATGATACAATTAATGGTTAGGAAAAAAGAAAAAAAAAGAAATGGTTAAAGAAAAACGATTAGTAAAACAAAAAAATTCGATAAGCAATAGCTTGGGCGGAATGAAAATTGTCGTTTAAAACTGTATTCGTCAGAATGTTACAGACTAGATCATCAGTGGCTCCGAATATTCAATTCTTCGACTTCTCCAATTCGCTCAGCATTCGATTCCGTTCACGTTTCTCAATCTCTTCAGCCTAAATGGCAAAAATTATTGTCGACGTCGCGCGACTGCGGAAAATTGGCTAAAGGCCAAAAAATTTCGGAAAAGGTCTAAGTACGCGGTGTGCGCCTTTAACCAATCTTAATACATAGACCCGTAAATCTACACTATTCGTTTTGCGCCAAGACCACTGCCATAATTTTTTTTCGCAGTCGCGCGACGTCGATAATAATTCAAAAAAAAAAATTAAATTCTCACCACAAGCTTTTCAACATCTTTATATTTGAAATAACTCTGAATATTGTGAACGTCATCGGGCGAAATCTGCAAAAGAAAAACATAATACATTTTAGGCTTCATCGCCGAATTCAAACTCGATCATTCGTCGGAAGCGGGTCACCAGCGGCTCGAAGTTTATCAAACACCACCACCACCGGATCAACATAATCAATAACGCGAAGAAGCTGATCAAACATGAATCCTGAAATGAAAAAAAAACGCCAAAAATGATATCAATTTGCCATCCCATTCAACCTGTTGCATTTTCAACAGCGCTTCTCGGCTCGTAGCACGCGAAGAGCACCGCAGCGGCGATTGTGCGATAAGTGTATTGAAGAGAATCTTCCTCAAACAGCAAATAATCGAGAATCTGAAGGGAGCGCTTTGGTGGGATGGTTGCTTGAAATACTCAATACTACCTTTGCCATATGAATAAAATCCTCGCGCATCAATTCCGGCACAAAATAGTTGCTCTCGCAAACATGCTCATCCTCGCCAACCTTCTGAACCTCCATTTTGAAGGTGAGAGCAAGCTTCTTAAACTTCATACCTTATTTGAGCACAACAATTGCAGATACATCGACATCCATTGTAAGCTAGTAATTGGTCCCAGCGTAAAATCGAGGGCTCTCGTGATCAACACTTCCATTTGTCGCACCTGATCGCAACTGAACGCGCCATCCGTCAAATTCGCAAAATCGCGACATTTCGGCGGATAGATCTCCTAGAGCAATTCTCAAAATTGGCGATTCCGTTTAAACGCGATTCAAGCACACCTCATATTTGCTGGCAACAAACAACGCCGCGGTTCCAACCAATTGGAACGAGTACTGTGTGACAGTCATAATCGATGATTCGAAGAATCTGTCGACATAGTCGACCGCGAGATGGAACGTCTCACGATGAAGGTATTCCGATTCGCAAACCTCCATGAGCCAATCCAACAAGACTGCTCGCATGTTGAAGCTTAAATCTGGATGATTGTTGAGAAGGCACTTCGACGCTCTTGAGATGTCATCACGAGACACCATAAGGGACCAAACCTGTAACGCATGAGCCTTTCAAATCATTCAATGAATCATCTACCTTCTCCGGCGACCCGATTCCATGCAATTTGTTGGGTAGCAACGCGCTCGGCGGTTTTATCGGCTGCACATCATTGAGGCGATCGCGCATCGCGGCGAAACTGCTGTTCTCGAGATCCAGCTCGTTCTCCTTATCGAAAAGCTCGTCTCCATCACTATCCGATGATCGATCCGTCGAATCATCAACCATCAGCGAAAATGTTTCCGAGTCAACGGAGGCAATACGCAGTGGCGCGAGGTCCAACGATTCCTCGATTTTCTAAACTCGCAATAATTAGCTAACTATTATAATTAATTAATTAATTAACGTCAATTTGACTCAATTTTGATGTCTCATTTCTAATGTTTTTACTTGCCCTAATAATTATTTTTCCTTATTTTATGTCAAAATGTGCGTCTGTGAACCGAAATAAGCAACGAAGGAGGGTGCTACTCAAAATTTCGGATGATTTCTTGGTTAAAAAAAATAAATTAGCCAATTAATTAAGATAGTTTAATTAAAGGACCCTGAGGACCCGACAACCGCAAGTTTGCACGGCATTTCGAGCGAGCGCGTTTTCGACAAGGACATTGACGAGCTCACAACAACGTCGAATAAATAAATTACCGGTGATTCGTCGCTATCCTCATCATCCTCGTCTTCTTCGATAATCGGCGCACCGCGCGTTCTCGACAGCATCGGCACCGTGTACGAAGTTTGTACACGATTCCTCATTTTCGGTTCCGTTTTCTCGATTGATTTGCGTTTCGCGGGAGGACCGTGCTGCAATAAAAATCAACTCAATCAATAATTGAAAACCGTTATCTATTACTCCATTGTAAGAACATGACCGTCTTAATATGATTATGTCATTCGCGCTGTATTTGTAGATCAAATTTACAAAAACAATTTAAAACTTCGATAAATTGTGATGAAGGTCAAAAATTAGCGCTATTTGATCAACTAAAATTTGTAAAAATAACTAGGGGGCACCCGGAGTTGAACCGGGGACCTCTCGATCTGCAGTCGAATGCTCTGCCACTGAGCTATACCCCCGGCGGAATTGTGGCGGTTTAAATGTGTATACACGTCGAACAGCAGCGGACAGTGAAAAGTGTAACACAGAGATTCCGAGAGACGACCGACGACGAGGGGGTCACTAGACACGATGAATGAATGACCAAAAGCGACTTACTTTGAAAACACATGCCCTTTTTCGGGAAGATTTCGCCGCGATTGTGACATTTTTGAATTTCGACATCGAGAAATTCGAAGCAGGAATTATAATCATTTTTTTTCAAAAATGAATGAAGTGACCATTGTTCTTCTAGGCCTTATATATTACGTCTAATTCAAAAAATTATCTAATCAAAACTACTGTGCAACAATGAACGCGTGATAAGAATCGTATTGAATATTTGAACAAAAGCCCTCACCCCTGGGTTTCGGCGCTTCCTTTTATCTGATGAAGAAGCTGATGAGCTATCGGGCTGCGAAGCGATTTTCGAACTTCGTGTCACGCGTTTTGAACGTTCGGGAATATTTTCTTTTATATCGTTTGCGGTTTCAATTAATTCGAGTCCTATGTCGGTTTCTGTTGAGCTGAAATTAAAACAATAATATTTTTGAAACATTTCCTTTGGAAGCATACAGTTTCAACACATTCCGTCCAGCAGATTTGCGTCCTTGCTTTGGTTGTGATTTTTCGGCTTCCGCACTTACTCGACGACTTTTTGTCGATTTACGGCCCGCCATAGATTTTCTCGGCTTTAATTAACCTATAATAATTACTTTTGTTGCTTATTTAAACGTAATAACGTTCAAAATGCAGAATTATAGCGATTTCATCATAAACATTCCCCGAAAAATGTAAAAACTATAAAAATTTTGCAGAAAAATTGAAAAAAAAAATTAAGAAAATAAAAACATGTTAGCTACAGTACCTCACGACGCATGGAATTTTTGCCACGGGTCTTACAACAAAATGATTACGATAATTATTTTATTTTTTTTTTCATTTCCAAAAAAAGCATGGTTTCTTCGATTTTGCTGCATTTTATCCTCAAAGTGGATTGTTTAATTATTGTGACAATTTCCCAACATTTTTTTTGATTCAACACAATCTTAAGTACAAATTGCACGTGCTATATCTATTTTTGTGCACAAGCAACAATTAATTCGAAGAATACTAATAATCGAATAATGCATAAATTGAATAAACAAATTAAAACTGCTTTCATGGGAATAATTGAATTCAAAAAAAATTTGCAATGAAAACCGCGCGCATTCGCGATGAGTGCGCCAAATTGAAAATTTTCAAGTCTAGCGGGCAAATGCGAAAAGGGGGAGGCGAGCGGGTCTCGCGGCGACATCGCTGCTGCTTTCTTTTTGTTCGGCCATCACCTTGGCAGCGCTGTGCGTCCGTCACGGCCGCTTTGAAAAAAAAGTGCTTTTTGTAATAACATTGCACTCCATCCGCCAATATCTCTTATCAGAAAAAAAAATGTTAGGCCAGTGTTCGCATCCGCGTCAAACCCAAATGCCTCCAATTCGTCAATTTTTTTTTCTTCTTTTTCGTCCTCTTCATTTCCCGTTTTTTTTTGCGACGCCGTTTTGTTGTAACATGTCGACGTATTGATTACAAAAAAGTATTACAGGTTGAGAAATGTCGGACGATGAGGAGGAAGGACGACTAAGAATTGCAGAAAGCCCATCGAATGATCAAGCACCATCAATTGGTGAGCTTTAACGGAAAATCGATACAAGTCGCCGTTTGTTTTTTTTTTCCAATTTACAGGCAATCAAAGCGCCTCATCGCAACCGATCGACATCAAGTTTCCCGATTTTAGCGCAACATCAGGAATAAGTAAATTAATGCAGTAATTGATTTCATTTTCAAATTGAAAAATGAATTGTAGAACTTGACGACCAGAAAGAGGAAGGCGAGATCGACGATGACGACGAGCAGAAGGCGATTTTGCCGCTTCTGCCGCCGGAGCCGGCCAAAGAGCAAATTTTCGATATGCCTAATATTCCTGAAACGGCGACGACGAAACGCGACGCGAACGGCGGCGACAAGCGCATATTTGACATTGTCGATCATAAAACGCCGACAGCGAGTAATAGGAAACGAAAAGAAAGTGAGCGATTGGGTTGAATTTTGAATTATTATCCAAAATTAGCAGTAGATGGTCACGTTGAGAAGCGCAAGTCGGGCGTTGAGACGATCGCGGCGACCGCTTCGACGCCGACGCATCGCACGAAGCGCACGAGCCATCAAATCGCGTCGGCGGCGATTTCGGCGTGCTTCAACGATGAGGAGCCGATATCGATACCACACGTCGTCAAAACGCCCGAGTCGGTAACGACGACCGCAAAAAAGCCGAAGAGAGATGCTAGCACGAATGTATGGCAGACGAAGGCGTCCGACACATCGGACATGCCCGAGCCATCGATCATGGAAGCACCACCGGGAAGCTCGATGCTCATCGAGGTCACAGTTTTATACAAAACTAGTAAGCAAGCAGAATAACCATTTATTTCAACCGTTTTTTGTCCTTCTAGGGGATCATTTGGCTGTGCGCGTGAAAGGACAAGAACTTTATGGATTCTTCAGCATCGGACTACCACCAATGTTCGCGGCGGTCGCCAAAAAAAAGTTGGTTTCGAACATTTCTCAGTTTTTCTCATTTGAATGTAGGCAAATGCTTGCGACGAATGGAGAGGAGAAAGAGAGGTTTTTTTTTGCTGTCGCATCCGTTTCGCCGATGTAATTATGTTCGTTTTTTTTTTCTGCAGAAGCTCGTCGAGCAATGGTCGAGGTACGCGAGCGAACTCGCAATTACGCGAGCCGAACGCATCGAAACACGAGAAGCGGCACAAGGATTCGAAGAAGAAGGCGACGACGTCCAAAGATGGTAAAAAAAATTGGCACGCGATAATCGGCATTAGTACGGGGGAATTAATCCTTAAATCCCCCCTTCGCTCCTCTCATGTTTAACCTTTTAATTTTGAAAATTAATCGGGAATAAGGAAGGAATCAAGTTTCAGATGATGAGGAGATCGATGTTCTCAGTGAGGATTGGGGAAGCAAGGAGGTCGAGCTTCATGAGGTTGACATGTATGTTGGAGAGATCCACCGGCTTTTCCTAAGCCCTCTTCGTTTTTTTTTTCAGAAATACAATGCACACTTGCCATTATGATGGGTGTGAGAAGCGGTATTCGCTTTCTAGTGAACTTGAATATCATATTACTAAGGTTCACCAAAAGAAAGTGGTAGGATTTGAGGGAGTTTTCGAAAAAATTGTCAGAAATTTCGCGTTTTAGGTGATGCTTGAATCGATTTGCACTCAAACCGATGTTCGAATGGTTGAGAAGAGCACTGAGACGGACGAGGCGGCGTCGGCGATGCCGATTCTGAAAAAAGAATCGCCGACGAAGGTATCGCGATTTGGTGGCGAGTTTTTGGCCGTTCGTACATTTCAGTGTTTTCAGAGTTGTTTTGACAAAATGGGAACACCGCATTATTCGGATTTGTCGGATGATGAGCCTGAGAAGCCCGACGAGAAGCCGCCGATTGTTACGCCAGCGATTTCCAAACCATCAGGTACTATTGAAATATGCTTGAATTAAAAACAATTGAAAAGCTGTGAAATATTTTTTCGTCATTGTTTTTTACAGTCAAATTTAATAATTTTTGTTTAAGATGTTCTCTAAATTGCACACATTTTGTTATTCGGTGCATTCCATTTTTTATTTGAAAGAAAAATGAGAATTGATTCAGAAGCTGGTGACACTTTCACACCAGTGTTCCGTGAATTATAGAATTTTTTTCGTGAAAATTGAAAATGTTCGCCCACAACTCAATATTTTCTTTTTCACAGAATTTCCTTCGCAGCCGCCACCGCAGCATTTACAGCAGCAGCAACAACCGCGATCGGATTTGTCGGCGTCAGCGGCGCTTAAAGGAATTGCCGGCGGTGTGGCATCGGGAACTGGCGGCAGTGTAATTGGCATTAATCCCAATGTGCTTAATAGCACTTTAGGTAATTTACCCAAACTTAATTGTTTAATTTCTGTTTAATTGATCGATTTAGACAAGAAGCTGCCGATGCATATAAATACGCAGGCGGCGCAGAATCTGCAAAAATCGCCGTTTATCGTGCACTCACCGAGAAGTGAGCATTTTCTTTTCTTTTTTTTTCTCAATTTTTGTTTTGCGTTGAAATTCCCCCTCATCGCTGTTGATTTTCTTGTTCCAGCTTCGGTTGCCCAACAGGCGGGAACGTCTGGAATTGCGCATGGTTTGTCGTTTTTGCCGGCGAACTTTATGATGCCGGGCATGATGATGGGAATGCCGGATCCGCGCGTTGTGCAGCAGCAACACTCAAATATGGCGAGAACGCCGTCGCGTCAGGACGCGCACAAGATTCACGAGCTCGCCAAACCCAAAGAGATGCTCATGACTCCGCAGCCGAAGCCGCAGCAGCAACAGCAGACGACACCCCAACAGCAGCAGCAGCAGCAGCAGCAGCAGATGAATCAGAATCGTCAAATTGGTTTCATGCAGAACCAAATGTTGCAGCAGAGTAGGATTTATGTTTTAGAATGCTTTTAGAAAATTGGTATTGTTTTTCAGCGATTGCTGCTCAGCAACATCAGCAGCTTCTGAATAGTTTGACAGCGCAACTTCAAAGGCCGATGGTAGGCGTATTTTTTATTTTGTTTTTTTGGATGGAAATTGTCCGCAGATGAGGATTTTCAATTGCCAACTAATTTACTAGAATTTCGAGTCATTAATTTTTTATAGGGCAAGAAAAAAAAATCAGAAAAATGGAGAAATATCAATATAGTAAAAATCGAAAATTTTTCCCCCCTGAATTATGTCTAATTTTTCTCCGAAACCAAACCTTAGGCAATTGAAATAAAATATTCCATGAATCTATTAAATTTTCGACGAAATTTTTAGAAAGTTTTATAATATTTTAAGATGTCGTGGAAAAGAAGGAATTTTTAATTTTCTTAATACATTTTTAGGGAATCTTAAAATTTTTTTGAAGAATGGTAGATTTATGGGTATCCTTTTTTTGCTATGATCTCGCGTTGAAAAAATGAGTTATTTTGCATTTTAAAGGGTTTCGATAGTTTTTTTTTGAAAATTTTAGAAAACTAAACGATCGAGAAAATTTTATCAAGAAATGTCAAATAATCCACGTGGAAATGTAACAATAATGCGTGGCGAGACCATTTTGCTCGTAAATCTGTCGTCGTCGGACGCTCGACTATAATAATTCATAAATTTTATGAGATATCAAATAGACTTTACAATTGCTTCGAATATTTTTTTTTTCATCGATTATCGGAATCTTATAATAGTTTAAGAGAAGGTCGGAGAGAAAAATAGTTTAATTCGAATTTTCAAAACTACTGGAAATTGTGGGTCTTGACGCGAGTTGGCGCCCCCTTTAAACAAAAATTATGTGTTTTTTTTTTGAAATAGCCCTCAAAATTGGCGTTCTTGTTGAATCGCTTGAAAGGATATGAGGTGAACAGAAATTTTGATGAATTCGTTGTCCCTATTAATCATTCGCCTCTCTCGCTGTATCTGAAAAAAAAAAATAATTTCGATATATTGTAGCAACCGCAGCAGCAATCCCAACAACCGGATATCGCGGCACTCTGGAACGCGGCCGTCTATGCACAGAATCAGGCGGCGGCGGCGGCGGCGGCAGCGGCGGCGTCGTCGTCGCAACCGCCGACGGTGTACCCGCCGCAATCTCAGCATCAGCCGCCGAAATAATGATTTGTTTTCTTTTTTTTTGATTATGATTCCTACGAAAAGATGAATTTCTTTCAAATTTCCGGGTATTTATTAGTTTTGTTTGCGTTTCTTTTTTTTCCATTCTCCCCCCCCTTTTTTTTTTATTATTTCATGTATCCTGAAATAGATGGTCCCATCCGTGCCCCCTGCACCTCCCACCCGACCCATTCTCCATTTTTTTATTGACCGGTCCGTGAAATTGTTTTATTTTTCATTTGTTTTTAGCTTTTTTTTTATAAAAATGGATATTTGAAAAAAAAAATAGAAACTGGATCCCAATTTTGCGTGTCATTCATTTCCCAGTTGCCCCCCAATCGAAAACTAACATACAGCATCTTTTTTTTCTCTCTCTCTCTCTCTCCCTTTCTTTCTTTTTAAATAGACGCTAATTCTTGTTGAAATTTTGAATATATCCGGTTTACTGTTGATTATTATTATTATTATTATTATTCCTTATATGATCGCTATTCGGTTCATCATCATCATCATCATCTTCTTCTTTTTTTTTTTTTGAATTCCAAAAAGTATCATTTGCTTCCTTTTCGAATTTTCATTTTTTTCTTTCTTAAAGGCCCATTTCGTTTCACATAAAAATTTCTTGAATCTCGCCTACTCGTCGGCGGTCGAGATCGGCAATAGTGTAATGGGCCGTTGCACTGGCATGCGAGGACCCGAGACGGCCCTCGCTTCTGTGCTCACCGCCAACAGAAAAAAAAAAGTTTTTTGTGTTTCTTCGCCGTGCTCCTGTTGTTGTTTTGTGAAATCTTTCATTCTGCTGCCAATCGGCGACCACGCATCAAAAATTAAACGCGACGCGTTTCCCCACTGTGTTCGTCCATCGGCACCGACGTGACGAAAATGGGCGGAGCCTACGATCATCAAGATGGGGCATCGAATTTTCTGGTGGCAAGCAAAAAAATTATTGCGCCCAACCCGCAATGATGTCCGCTGCACGGAATTCTGATAGGGCATCTCATCCTAATTTTCCTGTACGCGTTATAGGCGACGAAAAATAAGAACGGCGTGCTGCGGACAATTTTGCCGAATCTTCATCATCATCAACACCTCATATTTCACAATACACAACAACAACGAGAGCAAAAAATGAGGAGGGGTGGAAAAATGAAAACGAAGCTCATGATACGGCTACCGTAGTCGGCATCCCGCCCGTCGGATGTCTCCGGAAAACATCTACGCTTCTGATTTCTCTTTCTCTCTCTCTATCTTTCATTTTTCTTCTTCAGCGATGCGATGCTGTGTATTTGAGGGGGCGTCGTCAACGATATCACTTGTGTAATATTTCGGTTGGTAGGAGGGTCCCACGGGCAACACACACACACACACAAGCAAGCATTGGCTCGGGACCATCATTCCGTCGGCCTCACTCGGGCTCATCATCATTGTTTCATCGCGTGCCTATTTTTTTTTGTTGCATTTCCTATTATTAGTAATCGTCTATAACAATACAATAGGCCGACGCGTTTGCCTCGAAAAACCGTGATGGTTCCTCAATTCGTTTTGTTCGCCTTCGAAATTGTCGCGTCGCTCCGCTCTATACGATTTTCGTTGCAGGACCCAATATGCCGCCAACCGAGGACCAAGTCGCCGCCGCCGCCGGTAAGTCAAAAACGTCAAGAAACGGTTTGACAGCATTACGATGGTGATGAGAGGGGGCCGCTTTCATGGTGTGTACACAAATCGCGCTCATTATCTCGTTTCGACGATTTACATTGAAGCTTAAATTGTGCAATTTCTTTTTTGCTCTTTTCGCTATGCACCTTTAAACCGAACAACTAACATTCATTCAAACAACAAAAATGAAAATTGGGGGAGGGGGGGGGGCCAAAAAAAACGAGGGAAAGAAAGAAAATGGATGGCGAATAGGCATTCGTCTGGTAAAACAAACACACAACAATTACTGTTTGCTGCTGTTGAGCTTCATCTCGCATCGCTCGCGAAGCCACACACACTCGACAATCAATTTTTCGCGCTTCTTCAATTTACGCGAAAGCGATCAATCAATCTGGAAGCCAGCATAGCTGGTAGATCATCATAGATTCAGTAATCAGCCTGGGTGTGTGCGTTCGCGCGGATCCTAGTCGATTTTAGTTGGTTGGAAGGGTCGGACGTCTCTCTCTCTCTCTCGACGAGACGAGACGAGCAAATAGGCGATCGGGGGAGGGAGGGGGCCGAAAATAAACTGAACGAGGGCGTTGGCGCAGAAAATGAAGCTACCAGTTTTTCTCGCGCGCCGCGCGTAGCGCCAACCTCTCCTCTTCGATCCTATCGAAACTCCATCACTCGATTCCGAATGCTCTCGTTCAACACGACGACGAGCTCGTCGCAATTCTCGGCGAGCTCCACCAAGTATTCGGTGCGCGCCGCTCCGACCACATCGCCAAACTCGACGATGATGTTCCCGTCGCACTACTACGCGATGAACGCGGCGAAACGCGGCGACATCGGCGGCGAGTTAAGCCCGAGACAGTCGGACGTCGTCGAACGACTACGACCCGAGCGAATCGTTCCGATCAGCAGCGTTCAGCCGCCGTCGATTGTGCCGACGTTCATTTCGGAGCAGCGAGCCGCCAATAATGGTGCGCCATCATCGACCGCCGCCAATTATCGCCAATTTGTCGCCGCACCGCCATCGCCAAAACCGTTTGGCAATTATCCAGAGTTGACCGGCGCCTCGCCTGTTCAGATTGTCATCAATCAACAGCCATCACCGCAACCACAGTATAAGTATGAGCCGAAAGGTACCGCCATGGAAGACCCCACCTAGCTCTCCCGTTCAAAATCAATTCAATTCAATTTTGCTCGACCGAAACCCGATCCAATTTTTCAGAGGAGCAACCAAATGCGACTATGGAGACCAAGGTCACCGGTCAGGGAACTCCGAAGCGCGTCGGACGCTGGACACTCGCTCAGCTTCGTCAAACCGATGGTAAGAATGATTGAGACGCGTTTCATACGGTTTTTTTTTTTCGTCGCGCAGGAATTATTCCGAGCCAGGCCGGTTGGAACAAGGGAGACTCGCAAAAGTTGATGACCAACTTCGGAACACCGAGAAACACGTCAACGCGCGTGAAAGCCGAAAATCTTCAGGTTGAGCGTGACGCGTCGATTTGAGCGAGAAACGCCGATTTCAGGAGATTCCCGAAGACATCGCCCAAAAGACCCACGGTGAGGTCCGCCTTCAGTCGGGTACCAACAAGTACGCCTCGCAGCGCGGTATGACCGGCTTCGGTACCGGACGTGACGTGTGCCGAGAGGGAGTGCACGTCTCGCAGAATCCCGCCGATCTTCCAGTGAGTTCGCGAAATCCTATGAGCACGAGACACGCGCCATTCTTTTAATTTTCTGCAGGAGCTTCCCGAGGAGAAGATTCGCCTGTCCGAAGGAATCGTTCGCCTTCAGGCCGGTACCAACAAGTATGATTCGCAGAAGGGCATGACCGGATTCGGAACGGCGCGTCGCGAGACGACGAAAATGCTCGACTCGAAACATCCCGAATACGATCACGAGAAGCCCGATCAGTCGGAGATCCCACTTCAGTCAGGTACCAACAAGTTCGCCTCGCAGAAGGGAATGACCGGCTTCGGAACGGCGCGTCGCGAGACCACCAAAATGGTCGACTCGAACCATCCCGAATACTCGCACGAGTGCTCCATCGATCAGACGACGATTCCGTCGCAGATGGGCTCCAATCAATACGCGTCGCAGAAGGGAATGACCGGCTTCGGACAACCGAGATGGGAGGTGTTGGACCCGTCAATCTCGTGGCAGAACCGCAAATCGCAAGGAATGGTCCGCCTTCAGTCGGGTACCAATCGATTCGCCTCGCAAGCTGTAAGTCACACCATCGCGTTCGAATCGCCAACGTGCATTCCAGGGTATGATCGGCTTCGGAACGTGCAGAAACACAACATTCGAGGCTGAAGGTGGCGAGCTTCCATACGAGGCGATGAAGGTCTCCGAGACCATCATCCCAAGCCAGGCCGGTTGGAATAAGGGAGACTCGCAGAAGGTAAACACCAACATTCGTCGAAACCACCTCATCTAATCGTTCGATTCCAGAGAATGACATCGTTCGGAGCACCGCGCGACGTCAAGGGCAAGCATTTGAAGAGAATCTGGGAGCTCGAGTACCCAGAAGAGGCCGAGGTCTCATTGGATCGTCTTTAAACATCCGTTTGACATCGCAACTTCAACAAAATCAAAATAATACCTGTGCATACGAACGTTTCGTCTTCTTCATTCTTTTTGCTTATTGTTATTTTCTCTGACACAAACCACACCCACCCCCAAACTTTCCCATCGCTGCCCCCCCTCTCAAAAATCCCCGATCAGCAAAAATCCCCTCCCAATTTCATTAATAAACCCATTTTTTTGCTCATTGACGGATGTGATTGAAATTTATGAAAGAATGAACAAGATTACTACCCGACTAGATTCCGAAGTTCACACAAATACGAAAATGGCAAAGACGATATGATACAGGTAATAGTTATGAGTCCGATGTCGTCGGCTCGATGCCAAGACTCATTGGCTTTTGTGTTGATAGGGTTCCGGGAACCACTTGCGCCAAGACTAGCACATCATTCACCCGATTCATGTATTCAATATGCTCCTGTAAATCCTTAGAATCCACAATTTTCGCCATATCGGCAATCGTCACTTACCGCCGTCGTCGTTCCGATGGCACCCTGAATCGCGCATTCCGACGGCGTCAGTAGTCGGCAGCCCTTCTCGGCAACCGGCACCAGACCATTCGTCATCGATGGAATCGCGATGAGGTGAATATAGTCGCCGACATGGCTGCGTTTGGCGCGAATCGGATGATTCGGATGCCACGTGTACACAATCCGTCCGCACATTCCTTTCACCGGCTGATACAACCACGCAGCGCGTCCGGACATCTGGAAAACAAAAAAAAAAACAATTCGAAAGAGTCGTTCTCTCTCCGAAACGTACTCGCTGAATCGTCTCTTCCGGCCACACCACCAGACATTCGCCCGTCGATTTGAGCGGCTCGTTGAGGAATTTGAAGATCTGCTCTTCGTCAACAATCTGCACCCATGCTCCGATGCTCATCTCGCGATCTTCGGACAACCCGCCAACTGTCCGCAGCATGTGCGCCAATTTGCTTGTCGTCGCCGCCGGCGTTTCGCCCGATTGCTGCTGCTGCTGCTGCGGCGTCGGCGGGGGCGGCGGCGTCGCCGGCTCAAATGTGTCGCGTCGCTGCAAAACACTCACACGCGCGCCGTCTTTCGTCATTTCGACAATCGAGTTCTCCATGTGAACGTCTTCCTCATTCTCCGTCGATCGATGCGTTTGCGGCGATGGTCGAATCGGCGGCTGAAGAGGCGTGAGATGGATAACCGTCGATTGTTGATTGACCGACGTGCTCACGGACGGATCGAGATGACTCAGAATGCCCTGCCACACGTTTCGTCCGAAATTCAAAAGACCCTGACAAAGAATCAAATGTCGATCGACAGGAATTCAAATTTCTCAAATATCCTACCTCAAAACTAAACGTGGGTCCGAAGACGTTCTCAATCTGAGAATGTGATTCAACATGCGACGTCGTCAAAGGCGACACATAGATCGGATATCCGACGGGCTGATCAGCCGAGCTGTTGATCATATTCCGAAGGACTTGACGCGCATTCTGAATACTTCCACGTTCGGGATTTCGGTTCCGCAAGAAGATGAGCTCCTGCTGTTGTCCAGCCCAGAACGCGCGAACGCATTCCCGATTGAGCTTGATAACTCTGAACAAGACATGCACTATTTGGCCAAATTCACAGAATCCAACACCTACCTCATATTGAGATGCATCTTATTCAGCATTATGATCTTATAATCGTCTTGACCATCATCATAGACATGTCGAAGCGCGAGAAGCGACGGCGTGTTCGCAAGAATCGCGTTCCGCCATCCGGGATCCTGCTCGTGCGAGATGAACATTTTCGTTTGATGATCGCCGATCACATTGTACAGCGATTCATGATCATCAAACTCTTCAAAGTGCGTAAAATGGTCCTGGTGCAGTTTGAGGGCCATTTTGACGGCCGGCGCAACAACACATCGAAGCAGATCCATATCGCTGAACACCCATTCGTCTCTCTGGCATGTGATCCGAAAATCGCCTTTGAACAACGCGTGAAGTCCATACAAGAATGATTCAGCGGCATTCGAATGCCGATTATAAGCAGCGGTGGCTAGGGATCGGCGAGCAACCAGCGAAAGGAGATAGCAGAAGCAGATGACGTCTTCACGTTCCCTAAAATCCTTTAATTAGGATTCCACGGATTCCGAATCACATTACCAATATTCGCCTTGATGCGTCTGAGCTCGTCTCGCCAGACAATATTCAACCCAAGTCGAATAGCATTTCGCGAAGCTCGTTCGCGAAATTCCCTAGAATAATCACGAATATGAAAATTATTTACGATTCTTACAGCTTCCGACGGATCGTAATCCTCGTCATTCGTCGAGCAGAACGTCGAATCCAAATCCGTATATTTCGGATTGTCCATAATTGATCGGATCGTCGAAGCGATCATCTCATTCTCAATCCATTGCATCATTTTCTTCGAGTTCACCGCATAGTAAATAATGCATTGAACATATAAGGTGACGAGAAGACGACGCAGCTCATGAACCTGAACACATCAATGATTACCAGTGTCTTTGGATTCAAGAACGGAACCTGAAGAAGATTGACGGCCGAATTATCGGAAATACTATATCCATCAATGATATATTTGCCGGAGACGACCTCCCAGGCGAGCCAGCGAAGGCCCCACGCGGTGTTCAGCGAGAGGAATCCGGGAAGAGCTCCTGGCGAGCAACAACAGCATCCGGTGCCGTCGCGAATATCCTCGGAGATCGCTTCAACCTCTCGCTGATGGCAATAGGTGCCGCGGAATTCCAATCCGCGTAGTTGGAATGTGATGAATCCATTGCCAACCTCAATGATGTGCACAAGGCAATTGAGGTAGAAGCTGGCGAGGATGAAGCAGTCGCCCGGTTGGACACTCGTCGACCAGCGACCCATCGCAAGATCGCCGGCAAGACTCTTCTGAAGGCTTCTGAAAAAAAATGACAATTTGAGAATCTGATTCGACTGCGACGATGTCGAACCTCGTCAAATGCTCGTAGAACACCGCATTCAGATTGCTATCATCAATCATTGGGCCGCGATCGAGCTGCGAGGCGAGTCGCATATTCGAAGCATCCGCTCGCTTCGTGTTATAGTCTCTCTCCCAAAACTTGATCGGCCGGACATACGAAGCAGTGAAGAATGATGATCCAAGGAATGGATTGAGCGGAGCGCTGATGATACTAGCGAATGCTGTCTGAAGGCCGATCAGCGCCGAATGAGGCACCGAGAACGGTTGGGCGAACGCGTGGAACGCGCTTCCCCAGCTGATTTGCCATGGGGCGACATAGACGAGCACGAAATTGATCTTCAGATAGAATTCGACGAGCTTCGGATACACGAGGACGCACACATACATTACGATCGGCAGAAGCGACCAGCTATTGAGATTCTGAAACGTCTAGCGGTGTCGAGATCATCGGAATTGCGAATCGAATACCTTTCCAGCAAGTTTCGAAATCAATGAGTTGAGTCCGATCAAATTCCGAAGATCAAACGCGGAAGCGAGGAACGCGAATCCGATCGGAATGCACATTAGTTGCGGCTGAGCGAATCCGCCGCGCAGCAGACGCATCGAAATCAGCGGGTATAGAAGCCAAGGGTACGGTAGTGACCAATTGTTCTCCGTCATCACCGAGCAGACCATAAGAGGGTAAAGCTGAAACATCGAAAAGCGATTAGAGTGAACAATCACGAAATCCTACGATATTCCTCTCGATGGCCACCATCCACATATGGATAATCTCAAAGATCATCAATTTCGCCGCGTCCGGCGATTCGAATTGCGCGTGCTCGGCGGATCGCAAAATCGGCTGCGAGATCAACTTCCAAGGTGTATGCGATCGGAGTTGATGGTACAAGTAGTGATTGACGACGCCGATTACAACGCAAATCGTTAGAATCGTTTTCTGCGATGAGTACAGTTTACGGTTTGACATTTAAAGGCGCACAACTTACCGTGAAATACGGCTGAGTGGCGGTGAACAAAAACGTCGAATGAAGCGCAAAGAAGAACATGACGAGGAACATCGTGAAGATGACGTCGTAGCGAGCCCGCTGTCCGATGGTCCGTCGAATCGATCGAGGCATCTCATCGGCAAACCGATTGCTCGACGCGTTTCCATTCTCATCGCTGTCGGCGCAATTCGACGATCGCGACGAGTCGGCTCGTCGAAACGGCGTGAGCAGAATCTCGAAGAGGACAATCGTGAGATTCTGATTCGACGAGATTCTGAAACAGCGCGTCACACAAATTTCAACACACTCGTCGCTCTCACCTGCTCAACACATATGACAATGCGATTGTGACAGCGATGAACGACGAGAATATCGGCGATTGTGTCGAGTTGGGTGAGAACGTGAAAGCCACGTGGCATCTGAATAATCAATTCAAACAGATTCGCGCGGGAAATCGAAATGTTACAGTGAGGCGAGAATCGCGTAGACGAACGCGCTTTTCAGCATCTGCATGATCGCCGAGAAAACGCCGAATGAAGCGGTTCCGCCGAAGATGTGCATTTCGAATTGCTCCAGAATATGGTGGAACAGCGTGTTCACCTCAAATAACACGCCCATTCATTTAGCTTTCCGAATCCAAGCTACCTGCGGCAACCAGCCGAATGTGAACGCGACTGGCATGAACAACAAACAGAATGCGGCAAAATCGCGGAACGCTAGGACGACAGCGGTTGATGACATTAGATGAAGCCTGAATTGAACCGTCGCCTATTGGGAGCCGTTTTGACGATGCCTACCTGTACGGATTCCAGTTCCACGGCACAACGTCTTCGCTATCTTTGCCGCCAGCGAGATGATGAAGGTAGAGTAGAAGGCCGGCGAATATGCAAAAGTAAATCGGTCGACTATACGAGACAACCCAGTTGAATCCATGAATTGGCGACGACGCATCCGGCTGAACGCTCTTCAGAAGCGAGAAATGGGCCGAGGCGACGACGATGGCGAAGAACAGAACGCCGAGATCGAAATAGATGTCGGCATTGATGACGCACGCAGCGAGGAATGAGACAAACGCCGCCAGGAGGACATCAAACAGCAATGACCAAATTCCGCGATTCCTATCGAATAGGCGATCGACCGAGGGTCGATCCAACTAAATCAACACTAGAATATCAATCACGTATCAATCTCACCTTCAAATTGAACGTCTTCTGAGCTTTGGGGAACATTTTCATCTGGTAGTAATAACTTTTTCGAATATTCGACGATCGTCTCGCCGCAAAATCTGGCGTCGACATCGGATTGTTTTGCGGCATTCCGGCGAACGCGAGCTCCGATAGCAGTCGGAAACGCGACGATGGTCCGGTTGAAGTCGACGCGCTATCCATATGCAAAAGGCGTTCGTTCGGCGGCGCCAGCGTCTCAACACGATTCGCCTCCCTTCGATTATTATGACTATTCTCGATCAGCTCCATTATTTGCTCCATGTGCCAAGACGCATCCGAGTTGTCATCATTATTGGTTCCCTCGTTGCGAAGGGCCGCGCGAAGGCGCGTCGACGCGTTTGAGAAGCAGACAATCTGATTGCCACGGTTTGATCTAAAAAAAACGAAAATCTTGATGGAGGTTGATGATCTTACGGTAGCCTCGTCGCTCCCGATCCCGAAGGCGCATGGAAGACGCTTGAAGGAATCGGCGGCATATAAGTGCAAGACTCATTAGACGACGACGACAGCGCCCGCTCTCGTCTCGTCATCGGAATCGGCTCCTTCGACGTCGACGGTTGTTGCTCTTCGTCGACACGCTCCGCGGAATCCTCCTCATCCGAATTCTTCTCATCTTCCGTACTATCGTACATGCTCTCCGGTAGCACTTCAAGCTCGCCGGGCCGCGGCTTCTTCTCGGTGCTCTTCTCGCGCTTCTTGTGCAGAAGCTCCATCAATGCTTGTCCGGTTCCGAGCGGCTGCGCAACACCAACACCATTCTCGTCGAACGTGTACGTCCACCACGTGCCATTCTCGTCTTGAAACGAGTGCACGGCGCCTTGCGTCGTGTCCTCGTGAATCAACGCGATGTGCTGATAGCGGTCCGAAGTGGAATTCGAGTTCCAGCCAGGCAACGGTGGTCCAACGCGTCGTCTAAATCGAATTTTTTTATATCTTCAAAAATTTGAACAATCTTGTCTTACGCGGATCTCTGCGGAATCGCTTCCAATGCCGACGGCTCGCGCGCGCAATTCAACTGCTGCTGACCCAATCTATTCATTCTCACACTCTCAATCGCGTCGAGCGTTTCCGGATGTTTGTCGATGAGCTCTTCGAGGAACTTCGTGATCTCCCCTTTAATGTCCGAGCCATTCTCCTCGTCGTCTCCCGAATATCGTGACGTCGACGGCCGGCTCAGGTCTCGAAGCGAGACGACCACCGGCGTCCATCCGACACGCGACGGAACACTCCGCGATGATTCGTCCCTTCTCACTAGCGCACCCGGAAAAACTGCCGGTGATCCAGCTCGCCTTGTGGCTCTTCGTCGTCCCGTCGTGCCCACCGATGAACGCCTTCGTGAAGGTCTCCTCCTTGCCGTCGATGACGCGATCTCCTGCACAGACGTCGACGGTTTCGGCTCGTCGGCCGTCTCCACAATCTCCTCCTCTTTTTTGTTCTCCGCGAAAATGTCAATCTCATCATCATCATCGTCATCTTCCTTCTCATTCGTCCCAATGTAGAATATCCCACAAGGAACTGAGCTCCGTCGTTTCTCCAAAACGTCGACCGATGATCCGATTTGTGTCATGACCGGCTCCGAGCCTTTCCGGCTCATTTTGCCTGAAGAACTATTCCGTTGTGCCAGTGTTCTGAAATCAATGCATTTTGCGTCGGAAACCTATGCAATTCTTACGGCTCAGAGCGATCTTCAATATCTTCTTCATCCTCATTCTCAGCTTCCTTGATCTTCGAATCAATGTCGGATTTATCATCAGCTTGCGCCGCCGAGCTATTCTCATCCTCAATTCGAACGCGTCTCGAAGACGAGGCAGAAGCCGCTGAAATTATCGAATTCAACAATTGAAATGATTTCGATGATGCCTGTAGTTCTTCCAACGCTTCGCGATCCACTCAAACTTCCTTGATGCCTTCCTCCGCTACTCTCTCGATCGCGGCTTCGATCTCGATCCAGAGCGCGTTCAGACCCTCTCAAATTATAGCCCATATCTCTGAGCTCAATCATCTCAATATCCATATTTTGCTCGGAATTCTCTAAAGAGGACATTCTTTTAAAAATTCAATTGTATTGTTGAATTCTCACGCTCGCTATCCCTGAACATTTCCTCAATGGAGTCATTGATTGTGCGAGTGACGACGATCGGATCAGTGGTGTCGAAAATCATGTGAAAATAGGAAATTGAAACCTAGATATAATTAATTAACAATTTAATTGGTTTTTAATTACCTTGATAAATGTGAACAGAAACACAATGAAGCCCGTGTAGGCAACCGCCGTGCCAACACTTATCGATCCGGAGGCGAAGATGCCGAGCAGAAGCGGCACCACCATGAGAATCAGCCATACATAGACATGAACGGTGTTGCAGAATATCGAATAGCTCGGCTCATAGTACCATCCACCCGTCAATGACGCCCAAATTCCCTGCCGAATCACTTCGGCGATATGCGTTGTGACACTCATCGCGCAAACAACAGCCGCTCACAACTCGTGCCCGAATGCAACATTCGCCGGGCGGATCTGCAAATCAAAAGTCTTCTTGTCGAGTAGTTGTGATTCGTTGGCCAACAAAAAAAAAATAGGCAGGCGCGGGGCGGCGACGAAATTGATTGGCGAGAAGAAAATGGAGCCCAAAAAATGCGGGGAACGAGAAAAAATAATGCGACGACGAGGGGTCGACGATGAAGGCAATAAGTGAGAGAGCGCACCCCGAGACACGCAAAGCGAACAGCCGCAATTCGTCTTGACGACAAAATGCACAGCCAGAGTCCGCCGACTATGAATGGTAATCCGGCTAAATTGTTGGAAAACCTAACAAAAAAGATAATTGTGAGATTTTTCTTTTTTTCTCCCTAGCATTTTTTAAGAACTACTGTAACGATTAGAAATTTGAGAAAATTTTCGCCGATATTTATTTATCAATCAAAAAATGTTGACGTGGAATATTTTTTGCGAAAAAATGAAAAAAAAATTTAATTAAGAATATTAAATTTGAAAAAAAAAATCATCACGAGATATTTCAATTTTCGACTGTATGCGCCTTTGAGGATCTACAGTAACCCTTCGCTTTTCGAGCAGAAGAATAACAATTTTTTGTAAAAAAAAATAGCATTTTATGAATGGACATATAAAATGGACAATTTTAATTTTTAAAAATACAGTTATTCTACTTCATGCGCCTTTGAATCCCTACAGTACCCCTAGGATTAAAAAAAAACAATACTGCTGAGGATAAAATTTGAAAAATCAATCTGCGGACAAACATGCGGTTCCTGCTCTTGGAATGTTTCAAGGCTGACCTCTATTGCGGAATTGAGAGCCCAATTAGCGGTGTCTGCGTCTCGTCGACATGACAGTAATACCATCTTATTGTCATTGCGATGAATAATCGAGGACACTCAAGGTCGCCCCTCCTCCTCGACCATCATTCCCCCCATCCATTCGCATCCCGCAGTTACATCTAGCTTATGTATCGTTTACTTCTATTATTATTACTATTACAATCTTTTGGTATGATTTTGAAAAATCGATTCATCGAAAATCCTAGTATCATATTTTATAGCGAATTGCTCAATTAATAGTGCCGATGTTGGTGTTAAACGGGGCAATATCGAGGAAAGCATTCCAATAATTGAAATTCGCGGCGAAGGAGCTCCAATGAGCTCAGCACAGATTCGACACCTTGAAGAGCTTGATAATGGAGGTCCATTGGACATCAAAGTGGGGCTGTCACTTTAATTGTTCGATAATTGCCACCCAAATTTAGATTGACAAGACATTTGTGCCGGCGAAATGTGGCGAAAAAGCGAAACGCTTGGATTTTATCACATTCCACTATAAAGTGTTCACCGAGGATAACAAAAAGGTCCATCAGACGTATGGCCTTGGACCGGTAACTATTCAATTGGGAACTGGAATGATCATGCCGGGTTTGGACAAGGTAATCGCGCGGTCGGCTACCGGTTTCTTAGAATAACTGGGTTAACATAACTAACTAGATATGTTATAGGGATTGAAGGGAATGTGTGAGGCCGAGATGCGCAAAATTCAAGTGCCTTATCGGTTGAGTAGAAAACCGAAGACAAAAGGTTCAAAATTTGTTTTCTTGTTTTTCAATAAAAATAAAACATTTTAGTTTGGAAGAGTATTCCGAATGATGAGAATTGGCTAACCTTCAACATTGAAATGCTCAAAGTTCGTCCGTATTCCCTTGAGGAGCAGTTTAATCTTCTCGACTTGAATAATAACACGAGGCTAGACGCTGAGGAAATGATTAATTGGCAGAAAAAAATGAAGAAGGAATTTGGCAAAACGTGGAGGAATGAGGACATCGACACAAATTCGGCGGCGAAATATTATATTAGGTAAATATTGCAGAAAATTGCAAATTTTTTCGGATATCACGGAAAATAAAAAATGCGGTGCATTTTTACGTCATGGGCGCCTTCACACCATGCACATTAATTTACGACAAATTCATTTATTTTATTTAAAAACTATTTTTCTTCATTATATCTCGATGCATTTTAGATACTTCGACGTTAATAATGATGGAAATGTCACAAAATCCGAATGGATTAGTGTAATGAAGAGAGATGAAAAATTAATGGAGCAAACTCAGAAAAATTCCAAAGAAAAGGGACGAAAAAGAGATCCAGGAATAGCGTGGATTTTAGATTTCAATAACGATGGAATTGTTACAGCAAAGGTTTAGATTTTTTATATGCTTTCCCTAGACTTGAATGAATTTCTTTAGGAGCTCGATGAGGCGCCAGATCTCTTCGAAAAAGAGCCAAAGCTTCTACCAACGAATATAAAAGACGAGCTCTAATTAAATTTTTATTAAGGTCCATTATTTATGCAAAAAAAATAATCATTTCTTTTCATCTTTCTTCTCCTCCTCGGCAGGAGCAGGTTTTGGCGGATTTTTGAATTCGTCAATTTCCTGCGCCTCCCAGTCATAGGGAAACTCCGATTTTCCGCTAAACAAAATTGCATTCGTCAGAAGACCATAAATTTCGGTGTAGTTTGGCTCATCTTTAAATGACAATTTGTCAATCTAAATTTGAACAGAAAAAAAAACAAATCAATGATAGCATCTTTCAATATTTACATTTCTCATGATATCCACAAATTCCGCAGGTAATCCGCCAAGCAGTTCCCTCATCGGCAGCCCATTTCGACACAATTTCTGGTATTCGAAGACCTCTTTGGCGTCCCTCAAATGTACCCAAGGAAGGCAGCCTTTGACAAGTTCAACTGTCATATAAAACCACATTTCGAGGTCTTCCATTCGACTAAACTCCACCCATTTGAACGCGCTTCGAGGCATATGTCTAAATAATTCTTTGCGTCGGACCCAAATGAATAAAATTAATAACCGCAAGCTTCCCACATATTTCCATGGTTTCGGATTCGGCGGCTTCAAAGTCCCATCGGGTTTCATATACTGATGGGCAAAACCAAAATCGAGCAAGTAAATCTGAACAATTTAAAGGCGCATGGCCGATGAAGCGTTTTAGCCCCCCCACATTTCTGAGCTCCTCCGAATTTGAGCCGTTGTAATGACCGATCGCAAATGTCGACGGTGCCACGTGTCGATGAATAAATCCGAGCTGAAAAAAACCGGTGTTGAGCTTTTCGCAATGGGACCAATTCGACGACTTTATGCAATTCCTCAATTCCTTTTAAGCATTGTTGTCCGACACTCAAACCGCAAGCCAATGACAATTTTCCACCGGGTTGTCGTTTGCGAAGCGCCTAGAATTTCGGCGGACCATTTCGTCGGAAAACAACAATTTAATTACCCTCAGGTTTTTGCCGCACAGTGTGATGGCTATCCAGTTATAGCCAGGCTCATTACCCTTCTCGTAAACCCTGAAAAATGATTTTTCAGCACACATGCGCCTTTAAAGAAGGCCGAGATTCTCGGAAAATCTAAATACTTTCGAATTTCGAAGTTTTCAAGAAAAAAATAATTCAATAATATGAATTCTATCAATTTTCTCGTAAGAGAAAATTTTCAGTTTCCGCTTTAAAGGCGCATGCTAATACTAAACTTACTTGCAAAACTGCTTACACTTCTTCTGCTCGACTTTGAGCAAAATGAATAATTCGAATTTGAGCAACTGATTGGGCTCCCCCTTGGCTTCAAGCTTCACCGCCGCCAGCTGCTTCTTCTTCACGTGCTCGGCAACATAGATTGTGTTGAAGCCCTTCTCGGCGTCGATTGCTCGAACCACTTTCCAATTTTTACTGATTTGATCACCCTTGAAATCGAACCATTTATTTTTTTTTTTTGAAAAAAAGACTGGTATGCCAACGAACCGCTTTGAGATCCTTGAGATCCTTGGATTGTTTCACGTTTCCGGTGTAGTCGACCTGCGCGGGACACTGTCGATCCGCATCGGTTATGTTACGATCTTCCATTTCTATAATCATCGTTTAATTGCCACCCAATTATTCAATTGCATTCCACCAACATCTTCTTTGAGTCGAATGTTTCGTTGACAAGCAAACTGCAGAAACTCTAAAATAGTTGAGCGTTCGTTTTCAATCAGATAATTGTCACGTTCGCCCCTAATTAGGCAATTCAATTAATCCAATTTAATGTGTCGTTATTATTATTTTTTTGTTCATTTCAAAAATATTGAAATGAATGAGTGCGGCTATTGCGGCGTGAAAATCGGCGAAGAAGCTGCGCTGTTGGCAAATGGCCAAATTTGGCACGTCAATCATCTTCTATGCGATTTGTGCAATTGTCGAATTAATGACGGCGAAAGGTAAATGCGCCTTGAAATTTGGTCTCAAAGCTTTTGGGTAGATTTACGGAATGCGCCTTTAAATAGATATTGCCACGAAGTCTGCAATGTTGGGTAATTCCCTAAGAATTTTCAAAAAAAAAAGGCCCAGGAAAAAAGAAAACCGAAATTTCCACACGAGACCCGTTTAAAAGTGCCTATTATATTTAAACCAGGGAGAAATTAATTTTCGCGACGAGACCATTTTAAAGGCGCATCATCACCAATCAACTTTCAGATGTGTTCCTCAAAGCGGCATCGTCCTCTGCCATCAATGCCACATTAAAACGACGCGTCCGAAATGCAAAGGGTGCGCCAAATTCATCGAGTCGAATTTGACGGAAGCCCTCGGAGCCACGTGGCATCCAACATGCTTCCAATGCTCCGTGTAAAATCGCCAAATCAGCGTCCATTCCAAAAAAGTTTTAAGCGAACATTCAGATGTCAGCGAGCATTGGAAGCCAATTTCATTCAGCTCCCGAATCGAATGACCGTCCATCCCAACTGCTATTGGAATCTCGAGCTGCGGGTGGCGATTGTTCAAAAATTAAGTTCTTGATTGTTTCATATAAAAACAAATATTTGAATATTTCATTGTGCAATATATATACAATTCACTGGGCTCCGTCTTTCTCCGTATTTGTCTCATGCGTCGCGGCTGAAGTGGGCGACTCCTCCGTCGGTTTACTCGGCTTCATATTAATCTGCCATCCGCCGCTCGCGTTTTGCGTCATCTGGAAGTTATCCGTCGACATTCCAAACGGCGACAGCACCGCATTGCCCATTCGCTTCAACGTCGCGAACAGCTTCTCCTTCTGCTCTTCGATATCAGCAGACATCTTCTTTTTCAATTCCTCAACGCGTTCCCGATATTTCTTTTTCTTCGACGCTTCACAGAATGTCTGAAAATTAAAAAATCATGGTTGAAGTTTGAAAGTCGCCTACCAATATCTCCTCAATATCCGCAATCGCCTTATCATAGAGATGTTCGCCTTCATAAGCATTTGCTCGTCGTTCCAACGATCGCTCATTCCAAACCCCAAGCTTCAATTCTAATTCCATTCCAATCAACTAAAGAAGCCTACCTCCAACGCCTCTGTCGCCTTCTCAATCGCACTAGTGAATTGTTTCTTTCTAGTCAAAACCGCGCTCAAGTTCGTCAGAAGAATCGCTCGTCTCTGCTTCTCCGATTCCGGGCACATTTCAAGTGCTTTCTTGAAATGGCGAATAGCTTGATGACAATTTTTTTCGAATTCCAAACAACCTTATACGATTCCTCGGCTTCATCATACTGCTCGCGATTGAAATGCGCGTTTCCTTCAAGTTTCAGCTTCTCGCACCTCCTGGCAATGTCTTCCACGCCTTCAACAACCTCCTCAATAATGGCCATCTAAAAAAGCAAGTTAACATTTCAGCAATTAAACCGTTTCATCACAATAATCAAAGTTCGATAGGATACGAGATGTCCAATAAAAATAAAAAATATATATTATTATTTATACAAAAACAATAACAAAAAAAAAACAATGAATGAAGCCTAGATGCTCTAAAATCTCTAGAAAAGACACGTAATCATCATTCGAATAGATTCTTGTACAATTCTTCATAATGTTTGACGAATATCGCCTCAATGTCAGTCTTCATGAAATCCGGCAGCTCTTCAAAGTCTCGCTGATTCTCGAACGGCAAGAACACGCGTTTTGCGCCAACTCGGCGAGCCTAGAACGAAACCAATATGGGAATAAATGACCACGAGTCAATGGATTACCGCAATAATCTTCTCTCGAATTCCGCCGACCGGCAGCACCTTGCCGGTCAATGAAATCTCGCCGGTCATCGCCATGTCCTGGCACACGCTTCTATTCAACGCCAACGAGAGCAGCGAGGAAACCAGCGTCACTCCAGCCGATGGTCCGTCTTTAGGTGTAGCTCCCTGAAAAAAGGCAATTAGCTTCTTTTGGATTATGTCTAAAATAATCAAACCTCAGGAACATGAATATGAATGTGCGCTTTTTCCAGGAACAAATTCTCCGGATCGATCTTGGCCAGCATTCCCTTGGCAACCGTCAACGCAGTCCTCACACTCTCCTACAGAACAAAAAAAATCATTTCGAGGGAAAAGCTGACAATTCCAACCTTCATGACATCACCAAGATTACCAGTCGTCTCCACCGTTCCATCTTTTTCGCTCTTCAAATCCACCGGCCTTTTGAGTACCGTTTCAATGTACAACGCCGAGCCGCCCATCGATGTCCACGCGAGACCCATAATGACACCCGGTGGCGTCACCTCATACATACGATCCGATGTGAATTTCGGCTTGCCGACGAACTTCTTCAGATTCTCCTTGGTGACCACAATCTGCTCGACGGTTGATTCGGTTGGCGTCGGCACCGTTTCAACCGCTTCCGTGGTGTTTTGCGCGACAGCGCTCGTCGCTTTCACTGGCTCCTCGTCGCATTGTTGCTCGGCGATTTGAAGAGCCGCTTTTCGGAACACCTAGAAGCTCAACCTATTTTCAATCAGGTTCCTGAATTCACGTACTCGTTCAATATGCTGCTGCAAGTTTCTCACACCCGACTCCCTACAATAATGCTTGATGAGCTCCTCAAGAGCAGATTGCTCAATTTTAAGTTGGTTTTCCGTCAATGATCTGAAATTTTATAATGCGAGGAGGTTCCGTACGACAGTAGGGATGTCTACGTGTGTTCCCGAGCCTGCGGGATCAAATAGTGATTGGCAATCTCGATCTTCTCCTCCGCCAGATATCCGCTAACATCGATCATCTCCATTCGATCTCTCAATGGTCCCGGAATCTTGCCAATCTCATTTGCGGTACAAATAAACAGCACTCTAAATCAGAGAATTTTCGAAAATCCACAATAATGCATGAAATGATACCTTGACAAATCCACAGGAACATCAAGAAAATGATCATTGAAGTTGGCGTTCTGTTCAGGATCAAGCAATTCGAGCAAAGCCGACGCCGGATCTCCATGGAATCCAGCTCCACCGATCTTGTCAACCTCGTCAATCAACACAAGCGGATTCTCAGTTTTCACCTGAAATTTGGTATGGGAACGAAGGATCTGGTCTAGATTCGAACCTTCTTCAGACACTGAATCATTTTTCCTGGCATTGCTCCAACATACGTCCTTCGGTGTCCTTTGATCTCCGCAACATCGGTCATTCCACCAACAGAGAATCGGAAATACTGAAAGGCGAAGATTGAGGCTTCAGCAAACGCTTGCAAGTTTAAACCTGTCTATTCAAAGCTGCTGCAATCGATTTGGCGATACTTGTCTTTCCGACTCCCGGCGGTCCATGGAAGCATAAGATCTTACCACCAATATTCTGCCTAAAAACTTCTTCTCTTGATTCCCCAAATCCTCTATGAGGAATCTTACTTCAACATATTGACAGCAATGAATTCAAGGATCCTCTCCTTCACATCCTTCATTCCATAATGTCCCTCATCCAACGCCTTCTTGGCTTTGCCCAAATGGCGATTCTCCTCCGAGGTCAAACCCCAAGGAACCGAAGTCAGCCAGTCGAGATAGTTCCTCGTCACACTGAATTCACTCGAATGGGGATCGAGGAATTGAAGCTTCTGCTTCTCCTCATTGATCACTTTCATCGCGTATTCAGGCACTTGCAACGATTTCACTCTCTCGTCCATTTTCTCGATGATCGTCGATTTCTCGTCCTTCTCGATTCCCAGCTCCTTCTTGATCACTTTCAGCTAAACGTTGTGTCAGCTTTACCTCTTAATTTCCAAAAAAAAAACATCTTCTTACCTGCTCATTCAATAAATATTTTCGATGATGATCCTGAACCTTCTTCTCGACATCCTTATTAATATCATGCTTGAGTTTCGCAACAGTCTTCTCTTTTTGAATCAGCAGCAGCGCAATATTCAGCCGTTTCACAACCTGCAAATATCCGATAAAACAGTTATAAGCACAAAAAATGAAAAAGAATTACATCCGGCTCGTCCATCATTTCCTGAAGCTCTTTTGTGTCAGCCGATTGCACCAATGTGGCGACGAGATCGCAAAGATACACCGGATTATCGATGACATTCTGCGATGGGTGCAATAGCAAATTGATTTGTTGTCCGAATAGCTGATTGAACTGCACGACATCTCGAATCGTCTGCACAATCGCCATCATCGTCGCCTTCGTCTCGTTATTCTTCTGAACCGGCTCGCTCGTCACATTTTCAGTGCGGACCTTTAATTCGTATGTGGAAAATGAACGAAACGTTCGGAGGTTTTCAATTATACCAAGACAATCTTCTTCTTATCATCTTTCGAAGCTTCTTCGTCCGGCTTCGACGATGTTGCCGCTTCTGTGCTGGGTGCGACTGGTGGCGGAGATGGCGGTGGTGTAGGGAAACCACCAACAGCTCGTTTCCCTCTAGCCCGCCTTCCATTCAGCGCTGCTCCTTGAGTCGCATTCACTTGAGCAACATGTTGAGATTCATCGACCGGCTCCAAAACTCGAATTCTAAACGAGAATGATTAAATTGGTATGTTCATCACCAGAAAACCTTCTGTGAGCACTGAGCACCAATTCCATAACACTTCCCTGGTCCCGAACCTCGATAATCTGGAAAATTTCAATAATTTTTGTATTGTGAAATTTCGACAGAAAAAAAAACATTTACAAAAAAAAACATCAGTGTGTGCTCTCGAGAAAAATCGAGAAAATTAACCGGTACCGAGAGAAATTCTCTCGAGAATCTCTTCGAGACTCCCGAGACTTTCCAAAAAGTACCGAGACTTGCGAGAATTTCTCGAGAAAAATATTCCGAGACTCCCAAGAAATTTTCGGGAGTCTCGAGACCTTCACGGGAATTTTTTTAGTGAACAAAATTATTATTTTTTTCCTTTAAGTTCGTTTCAATACTAACAAATGCTAACAAGGGAGGTCTTTTTGCTGTCCGTCTTAAAAGTTGTCAATTTTTTGCATACAGATTCTTTAGAAAATTTCCAATCGAATGAACTAGGTCCCTCCCTACCTGCGAATACTTCTAGTACGCAAAATTCACGTGGGTGGGGCTAAAACTTTGATGGTCCATAACTCGATAACTAGAAGTTTTCGCAGTTAGGGACCTAGTTCATTCGATTGGAAAATTTCTAAAAAAAAATCTGTTTGCAAAAAATTGACAACTTTTAAGATAGAAAGCAAAAAGACCTCCCTTGTAAGCTAAAAGTGATTGATATGCCACCCAAACTAAATAGTCACATTACGCATCAGATAAAGAAAGAATTTAAACGAATGAATATATTGCATACATATTTGTGAATATTTTCGAAACTAAAATACTATGTAGTTGTTTACTGTTTCGCTTTAACAGCGACGCATACGCGTCGCGTTTCGGTTGTTAATCGCGATCGGCTAAACACGCGAACTTGAAATTTTGGTCTTGGTGAACATATGGCACTAAAACCTTATGGTACGAAATCCTTAGACATAACTTTAATCGCAAACAATCGTATGCAAAAAAACGATTTATTTATGTATTGATTCCCTTTTTATACTGGCAAACATTTTCAAAATATGTTGACTATGCTAGTTTTCAAAACCCTACTAGTTATCAATTTAACTACTGAATTTCATCAATTAAAAAAAAATCCCGAGAAAGTCTCGAGACTCCCGAGAAAGTCTCGAGACTCCCGAGAAATTCTCGAGAGTCTCGGAAAAATTCCCGAGAAAGTCTCGAGACTCGCGGTTACCGTACGCGCGACTACCCGTATAGTACCGAGACTATTAATAATTGCGAAAATTTCTCGGTGCTTCCGGGAGTGTCGAGAATTTTGTTTCTGGGTAGTTTAGGGAATTCTCGGGAAATTCTCTCACGAGAGCACACACTGAAAAACATTACCTGGACGAATGAGCCAGTTTTATAAATCTCCGACAGCGACGAGACAGTTTCAGCCTTATTTCTAAAATTCTCAACGAATGGAAATTTCTAGAATTCAATGCTTACTCATCATCTTTCTTCACGAAAACTCCAGCATACGGCTGATTGAGTTTCAGCTGCTTGCGAATTAATGCTTTAAGGTTCTCGTCTTTCACAATCTACAATTGAAAATAAAAATCTATCTGCGGACATTCAACGAGGCCGCTTACATCGACTTTTTTGATGAATCCCGGAAATAATGGATATCGATTGATCGCCAAAATCGGCACAATCGGGTACTCAGCGGGAACTTGAATTGTTGACATTCCAGTCTAAAAAAACTGAAATTTTCAGACAATAATTCGAACATACAAAATCTTTGGAAATGATCTCCAACGCATTCTCCTCTTGTGCACTTATCGGCTCATCATTATTATTATTATTGTTGCTAAAAAAATCAAATCAAGTTTTTCGAATTGCAGCGTTATAAAAACCTGCTATAAAATCGCTTCTGAACATTTGTGAACTGCAAACTAAGGCTAGTCGACGGCGCGAAGGTCTTGAAGCGCAAATATCTCGGCGCTCTCGTCGCGCAGCGAATCACCGCCAAACTGCATCGATGCATTTTTCTGACTTCAATTTCAAGTGTCATTGGGACCAAAATTGAGGCAAATTTCAACCGCAAAACAAATATTTTTCAAAACCGATTTTATACGGGAAAATAATCGAAAAGAAAACGCACAGCATGTCAATCTCCAACAATAATTTATCCCGAAATCAAAATAATGATGAAATGCAATTAAAATAATATTCTTATTATTATTTACAACAAAATAATTCTCCCACCCACAAAACATAAATTATTATTTCGATTTCTTCGATTCCTGTTGCGCTGCTTTCGGCGTAAGCCACTGAAATTTCCAACCAGTCGCGAAATAAAACATATTCAACATACCACAATCGGGTGTTTGCGGAAAAGGAATGGCCATGGTGGAAGAATGATGAGAGCCGTCAGCACTGCAGCGCCAATAACGAAGAAGATGGCATGCGAGAGCTGCTGATTCTTATATCCGATGATGAATCCAATGAATCCCGCAATCGTCATAACCACCTGAAATGCAAAATTCGAACGAAAATCTCTTTTCTTTTTTAATTGCGAAAATTACCTGATAAATTCTTTCGGCAATTTTCTGTCCATGAAAGTCATGGTGCGTCGAAAGCGCCTGAATCGGCTTCGGCAGCATCGCAATCAGACCATCCATCGTTTTTTTGCCTCAAAAACAATTTTATCGTATTTCTAGAGTTCGATGTCGAAGAAGAATGCAAAATAATCAAGTCGCTGTGGTTACGTCATTTATATTGTCCAGTGGGGCGCGTTTGCACAACATTCTCGCATTTTCAAGAATTTATTCAATTTTTATTAAACGTGGATGGACGAACGAGACACATCAAAAATGCGCTAAACAAAAAAGAAGGGAAAACCTAATTACAAACAGATTCCACTACTAACAATATCAAAATCATTAATAAGATCTGACTTTCGGCTCAATCCAGTCAGTCTCAGCTTTGTTGAGGGTCTTATCGATAACTGGACGATATTTAAGGTTGACCTTTCCAGTTTCAACATCGATTCCAATAATCGAATGCTTCCTCCAATGATCCTTGAATTCTCTTTTCTTTTGTCCTTCCAACGGCTTACTATAGTCAAGCTCATCAATGCGCTCCTTGAAGTCATCGCGAGCATGAGCTCCGCGGGATTCCTGCAAATCGCATTCTACGAATAACCAAATCAGTGAAAATCTCAACCTTTCTATTCTCGGCGGCAACAATAGTCTGCTTGGCATTGATAAGAAGATTTTGCAATTCCAGAGTCTCAACAAGCTCGGAATTCCAAACCCTTCCGCTGTCTCTGCACGCCTTCATGTTGAATTGGTCTTTGTAGAGCTTATCCATCTTTTTAACGCCTTCCTGAATCATTGAAATCTCAATTTAATATTATGAAATCACAAACCTGAAGCAAATCTCCACGTCTGAAGACCGCTGCATGCTTCTGCATAGTTTGTTGCATTCCTTGACGGATTTCTAACGAAGTGATGTCACCCTTTAACAATAAATTCACCAAGTCGCCATATTAAGTATACCTTTGAGTTGAGAAGTCCATCAATATTTCCAATGGATTTCTCTTCACATCCCTTCGGAAGATCTGGAATCTTGTCTCCTGGCTTGTTCTGCTCCAAAATGCTCAAAGCACACGATCTTCCGAAGATAACCAAGTCCAAGAGCGAATTTGCTCCAAGGCGATTGGCTCCGTGAACCGAATGAGCAGCACATTCACCGGCAGCGTAAAGTCCAGGCACAACCTGATCTCCAGTTTCTGGCGAATATTTCAAAACCTTAAAATCCCCCACTTGCAGAAAAGTCTAGATTATTAAATGTACCTGTCCTTTGTAATTTGTTGGAATTCCTCCCATGTTGTAGTGAACAGTTGGGATAACAGGAATTGGCTCCTTGGTCACATCAACATTGGCGAAGATTTGAGCAGTCTCCGAAATACCTTTAAAGACCGAATAATTCACGGATTACAAATGTTACAGGTTTTGATTACCTGGAAGTCTTTGATGGAGCTGCTCAGCAGGAAGATGGTGCAATTGAAGGTAAATATGATCCTTATTAGGTCCGACTCCACGGCCTTCAAGAATCTCCATCGTCATCGATCTTGAAACGACATCTCTTGATGCCAGATCTTTGGCGACTGGTGCGTAACGCTCCATGAATCGTTCTCCCTTCAAATATTGCGAAAAATTTTCAATATTAAAAATTATTCAAACCTTTGAATTGACCAAATAGCCGCCTTCTCCTCTAGATCCCTCGGTAATCAAGCATCCGACTCCATAAATTCCAGTTGGATGGAATTGGACAAATTCCATGTCAGAATTCTCAATTCCAGCGCGCGCCGCCAACGCGGTACCGTCACCAGTGCACGAATGAGCCGAAGTGCACGAGAAATAAGCTCTTCCATATCCGCCAGTAGCCAACACGGTGTTCTTTGCACGGAAGCGATGAATTTGTCCAGTCTCAATATCTAAAGCAACGACTCCGATGCATGTTCCCTTAAAATATAAATTTAAGAATGTTTTGAGATTTATCAAAAACCTTATCCATGATCAAGTCCAATGCGAAATATTCGACAAAGTAGTTGCAGTCGAATTGAAGAGAGGCTCCGTACAAGGTATGGAGAAGAGAATGTCCGGTACGATCAGCAACACAGCAAGTTCTATGAGCTTGACCTCCACGGCCATAATCATTCGATTGTCCGCCAAAAGCACGCTGGTAGATTTTTCCCTCAGATGTTCTTGAGAATGGCATTCCTGAAGTAAAATTATAAAAGAAAATTAGCTATTCAACTGATTCACCATAGTTTTCCAGTTCAACAATGGCCCTTGCTGCTTCACGAGTCATGTAATGAATCGCATCCTGGTCACCGAGCCAATCCGAACCTTTCACAGTATCATAGAAATGCCATCTCCAATCGTCAGGATTCATGTTTCCTAGAGCAGCATTGACGCCTGAAATTATATTTTATTTAATTAATCATAAGAAAAAATTACTAAAATTATACCTCCCTGAGCGGCAACAGTGTGCGAACGCGTCGGGAACAATTTCGTGATCACCGCAGTTTTCATTCCACCTTCCGACAATCCCATAGCAGCGCGAAGTCCTGCACCGCCGGCACCGACAACAATAGCATCAAAAGTATGATCAATAACATCGAAATGTGATTTGCTGTCGATTGGTTTTCTGAAAAATGTTCACTAATTTTTCAAACCTGATGAAAACAGTGCTACTTCATGTAGTTTCTACGGAAAACCTGTTGAACAACCGCTTTCCGGGCAGCATTTTTGGCTCCCAACATGATTTCTGAAAGAAAATTTGATATTCATTAATTAAATATGTTGAGAAAACCCGAAGAAATTGTTTTTGCAAAATTGAAAATATTGCGACGCGCATTAATTACAGTATCATTCATTGCCATGACCATATAATTCTTAACGTTATGCGCCTTTAAGCTACTGTGAAATTTGAAAAACATTTTTTGCAGAAAAAAATAAGTTCTGGAATAGCACTGCAACTGCGCTAACAGACGAAAAATAGTTAAAAAATAGTTGAAAAATAGTGCAGACTTTGGATGAAAGAGGGATCTGTAACAGATCTATTTTCAAGTCTATTTTTCATCAGCGCTTCATCTATTTCTCAGCCATTCTCTATCTATTTAGCATCTTGGATTCATCTATTTTTCATCCATTTTATGTCTTGTCTCTGTCCCTCGTTCTTGCATTTTTCATCAGTTTTCTATCTATTTCTCATCCATGATTCATCCTTTTTTTAACCCATTTTTGTCTACTTCTTGTCTCTTATTCATCTATTTTGCGTCTATTTTTCTTCTGGATGGTTTTTATGAAAAAACAACAGTAAACGGAAAACAACAAAATAAAAAAAAAGAAAAATACAATAAATTGTTTAACATTAGAAATATCAAATTTCAATTAAATAGAAAAATGCTGATTGAAATATTCAGCGGCATCGGGCTTCAGTTTTTTGAGTTGGTGCTCTTTTCCAATTTTGATAGCCAAACTATGCGCCATAACTTTGCTAGCGTGGTGAGATCCTTTCTGATCGTTATAATTTGAACGAAGGCGATCGCTAAAAGTACATGGTGTTATTTAGTGAAACATTCGCATAACTACATGAAAGTAATCGCAGACTCTTTGATTTGCACAGCAACTGAAGTAGCTTGATCCGTCGTTGGAGCAATATCTAATCCAATGAACAATGCTTCTTAATTTTTTTTTAACATTGTTCACATATGTATGTATTATCAGAATTACCAGATATCATTTGATTAACAGCAGAATCCATGTGGAGATATTCCAGACGAGCACCAGGCGTTCCTAACAAGGTATAAGCTATCAGGTAGTTATCCTTATCGTAAATCTGCAAAATATATATGAGCTCTATCTAAGACAACTTTAAACCTCGGCAAATACATGACGCACCAGTTTCGATGCCGATGTCAGAAGGTTTTGACCAATACTTCCGACAAATTTTGAGCAGATTTCTGCGATATCGACAACTACACCCGACGGCAGTGTGTATTTACAGTGTTGGTGATTCAATAAGCAGCCTTGGAATAGGTAGATGGTCTCATCGATATCAACTTTATTCTGAAAAAGTTCACTGCACATATCATTATGCATTCAATACCTTTTTCCAGATGCGCGTTCGATATTCGTCTAGTCTATTAAACTGAAAAAAAAAACTGTATAGTCCATTGTCCGAGCAGATTAAAATTTTCATACCATAATGGCCATCCCGCACATACTCATCCACATTTCTTTCACGCCCTCATCTTTCTCTGCTTCGGCTTTTCTTGCAAAAACGTCCACGTCAATTCCATTTGTTGCGTTTTTTACAAAGTTATTTACTGAACTCTGGAATGAATTTATCTTTAACAGCAAATCTATGTTCATTAATTGTTACCTTGACTTCATCGTAAGATTTCGCTATGTCGCCACCAGAGAAAATTACACGGCGTGCAAGCTGTGATGCGTTGAGGTATCCATCTTTAACCAGCGGCTCATTCGACTTCTATATTGAATGAAACATTAAAGATATTGGTTGTATGGCAAGGTGTTCCGAGTGCGACGAAATAGTAGACGCAGACACCTATACACTCTCACTAATGCATAGGCGAGTTTTCCTTTGCATCTCTGCGCCTCCATCTCACTATGAGAGGGAGGCCCAGCCCTTTTTTTGGGAGTTGGTACGCTTGCCGCTTTACAGGCCGGATGCCTCCGGGCACCGGCCCATCTACATTTATTCACAATAAACCATATTTAATCACACTGTGGATATCTGGTCAGCTAGTCAGGGCATTGACAGGTTAACGGTACTCTCCCGTATGGCGCCGGGAGAGGATGCGTTACACGAGGCAAATAAAAGTGAAATTAAGAATTTACCTTGTTTGTGCGGACATGGGTAACTATATCCAAAGGATCGCGCTCCGTGGTTGGCTTATTCCGATGCAATGCATTTGATGATGTTTCGTAATACTGTAAGAAAGACGCCAGAACAATATTAGTAAAAGAATAAAACAAAATTACATCATAGTATTTATGAGGAAGATGTGACCTCCGGTGGCTTCTTCTCTGAAAATAATGCAATATATGTAATTTTGAAGCTTGTTTTTATTTTTCCTATGTCTGTGATTACTGTTGTTGTCCGTGTTCATAATTTTGTGTATGGCATAATTATTTAATTATGCATATTTTAACCCCTTCCAGAAATATTTCAACATGTGACCCACGAGTAAAATCAAAGTAAAACATACTAAGAATACGTCCTCAGCCTTATTTGTCGATTCCATATCCTCAATTAGCGTACTTCCTTCTTCTTCTTCTTCTTCATATAATTGTTCTATAAGTACAAAAATAGCTTTAAAAATACACGAGTGTCGTTAATTTTTTTTCTGAGTGAAACTAATTGCTTATCGTCGAGAATATTTGAAAAAAAAAACAAGTGTAAATAAAATGTTGTACCGTTGAAATGTTCTCGTGGCTGCAGGTATTCAAATTTTTTCTTCTTCGACAATGGTGAAGCTCTTGGCTCATGTTCTGCCATGCTGTTCCTAAATTTACATTATCCGATTTAAATTACTGTTTAAAATGTATTGTTCAAATAGGTTACAAACCAATTTAACGTGAGAAAATTGATGAATTCAACGACATGATAAACGATTTATATATTTTTTGACCCAACAATTTCATCCAGACCGATAAAAACCTCCTCCGTTGAGAACTTCCCGTTGCATAAGAATGAGTACTTCCTGCAGAAAAATAAAATCGATAGAATACAGTTTTAGAGAGTAGTTTTCTCACCGCACAATCTCATACAATTTTCGATATTTCAAGTTCCTTAACCACGTGAAACTGTTGTATTCTTCTTCAAACTTCTGGACGCAACACATCCATCTTTCGGCTTCTTTGAAAACATAGATAAATCTAAAAATAACGTCATAAAAATATATGAACGATCTTTGCTCACCTGCAGACTCTCATTGAAGAATTTTTGGTGAACAATATATCTTTCTTTGTGTGGATTCCACAATGTTTTGACCGAATGATTCCAAAATTCAAGTGGTACGCTCCAAACGTGTTTTCTCCGTTTGGTCCCATAATATCTAAAGGTTTCGAAGCTCCAGAGAATGGAGTTTGCAATGATGGCGCATATTTACAAAAGTTGTTCAATAACGCCGATGGGCTTTGTGACAATCTTCGTTTAATCTCTCGTTCGAGGTTCACTCGCATAACATATCTGTAATATTCATTCGTGTTTTTTTAAATATATTTTAATACCTATGAAGTACAATTCCAGGAAAATTGTTTGTAATATGGGTACAAAAATCCCGAATTAGAAATTTGTACATTGCTTCAAATGACGCAGTAGATAAGCACGCAACGTTTCCAAACATCTTGACGTTGTCAACGTAGTGGTAAATGAATTCCTATATATGAAACCATGATTGCGTTGTTCAAATATTTTGGACATACATGCAGTTTGATTGTGAAGTACGTTGGAGAGTTATCCAAAAAACATTTTTTTGCAACGTCACACAAGTCAAAAGTATCCCTATGGTTCAACATTCCATTCGTGCACATATTATTGAAAATAAGACCTAAAGCAATAATTGCACATCGTCCATCTGAGGGTAAACTTGAATTGCAGATAGCAAACAAGAAAATTTGAAGTCTGAATAACTATAAGAAAAATCTAAAACATTATATCTGAAACATACATCTAGTTTTTGCCTTCCGTTAGTGAGCAATCGAGTCAAATCGGCTCCTTCAATTGGCAATTGTAGATGTTTGTCGAAGTTTTCGAGCATGGTTTCATCGCATTCGAACATTGCAGATTTTTTCTTTGAACATCTAAACTTTTTAGGCATGAGCTCTGGAATTTCTGCCGTTTTTTTGGTCACACTTAATTTTGATACCTTTTAGTATCAACATTACAATTCCATCTGAACAAGTGTGAAGAACATCCAAGATTGTATTGTACGGCTTGACATATTGCACCATTTTCGCCGCAACAGGACCAAATCCATTAACACCGCGAATACTATCTTCTAGAGTCTTATCCCCAAATCTGTCCAATCGTCGATCTTAAATCAATATAAGCGATGAATAAGAGGGTTTAAAATTATTATTGATTATTACCGTTTCCAAGTAGTGGTTTGTGCAGAGTTCCGTGAGAGTCGCAATAAAAACAAGCTTGTGGACTTGAAAAACCGCTCATTCCAAGAATTTTTCTTTTTGCCTTAAACTGAAATCTATAGAAATTTTTATCACTTAATCCTTACTGGTTGGTCAGAAACGAGTGACACGAGGTATGGAGAAAATAAAATATTGTTTACAACAAATGTTGACCCTTCGCCTTCCAATCGATTCATTATAATTTCCGTGACGGTATTCAAAACAAGGGTTGTTGGATTATTAGCTTTTAATTGCAGCATTCCACAGACTACAAGATTAATTGAAAGTTGCGACTTCATTGTAGGCAAATCCACTAACTGTAAAGTAATTGGCCACAAACTTCCTCTAAATGGCACATCTTTAATAAACAAATAATAATAATACCTGAAATGTCCTCGGGGATTGACGCCGTCCAGACTTAGCACCATGCTCAGATCACAATGATTTTCATCCTCGTATTTCCATGAACTGGAAAAAGAACTTCCTTGAAGATTGTGTGTGAAGTTTGGTGCTTTTTCCTTCAATTTCTTTCGAATTTCCATTATATCGTCAAAGGACGACTCCACAATCCCGCGAATTTGTTCGGTGAGAGGCAGCATAAGAAAAGTCGCCAAATCGCCGCAACTGAAATTGATCATAATAATGTTTGAAATGTGGTATATGTGTTTACCATTCCTTCTCTCTTCGACATCCACACTTTTCGCATATTGAACGCTTCATAATATTCTTCTTGAAATCATACCACAATGAGCGGGCTCTTTCAATCGGGATGAAGTTTTTAATTGTTGCCAGTCGTCTCAAAAAGCCTGCAACCATTTTTTGTCTTTGGAAAAGTATTAGTTTTACCATTTTCTGTATCTTTTCCGAGTACCGAACTATACATGCACAATAATAGTTCATCGGCCAATTCCGATACACGATCATGTGCGGGGTAATTCGGTACGCATGACGGCCCGACTACTTCGGAGAATTCTTCAATTTCGCTTTCAGATCGTTCTCTCATGAGAAAGGATGTTGTTGATGCATCATTTTCATTATTTTCGTTGTTCGACGATTTGTTTCGAAGTGAAAGCCGGGCGTTTTTTCGAGCAAAGACCACACGTTTGGTCGGCATGCATCGCGAACCAGCAATTTGATCTTAAAATAATAAACAATCAGCAATATTAATATACGAAACAAACCTACCTTTCCTCAATTTGAGACCTTCTTTGGGTAATCGATGGCGAAGAGTTTTAGGCATTTCCAAAATTGATTTTTAAAAAAATTGTGATTAACATGGCGCCATCTGCATTCACATTACGATCAACTGCACAATTCCATCTATTTTTCACCCTTTCAGTGTCTATTTCTTATCATTATCTTCTATCTATTTTTTCCCAATTTTTCATCTATTTGTCATCCATTTATCGTATATTTTTCACCAATTTTTGAGATAATCTATTTTTCGCCCATTTTTCTCCTAGTTTTTATCTACTTTTCCGAGTAATCTATTTTTCATCCACCTTTTCACCATTTTTCGTCTGTAGCACAGTTGCAGTGTAGAATGGGTGTTTAAAATGCTTAAATTGAATTAAGATGCGTTTTGAACTGAAAAACTAAAATTTTTTATCATAAAATCCGTTTTTATCATAAAAATCACCGAAAACTCACCAGAACAGAACTATATTTTTTTAAATATTTTATTCTTACATTTATATGCAATAAAAATACACTTCGTATCCATTTATTCAAAAAAAAAAAAAAAATAAAGGCAGAAAAGACAAAAATCAATAAACTACACACCTAAACACGAAATAAAAAATGAGAAAACATTAAATAAATGTCCAATCGCCTTTCTACAATTCACTTCTTTTTTTGGGTGTTCACCAAAAGTACTTCGAAATCGACTGTGGTATCCATTTATCATAAAATTTGGGTCCCGCGTATTCTGAATGCTGACGCCACAAATGCTCGCGAGCTTCCACTGAGCCCCACGAATGTGCGAAAACCTGGAACATTTTTTTAATAAAAATTACGAAAATTGATTTTTTTAAAATGTTATTTTCATGAAAAATATTTCTTATTAATGATTCAAACTTTAAAAAAATGAATTTTAAAGGAATTTTTACAAGACCAAACAAAAAATACATCCTTGTAAAGTTGGAAATCAATTAAAAAAAAAAAAAAAAACATAAAAATGTTAAACTTTCCTCGGTTGCTGATGGATCCCACCATTTATCTCCGAGAGTGAAGTACACTGGCTCACCATACCACGTTCCTTTAAGTTATTCATTTTTTTTAAAGCAAAAATCGAATAAAGAAAACCTGTTTTCCATCCAGGAACATCCTTCATAATTTCTTCCTCGAGGGCACGATTCTTAGCAAGAAGCTTGAGCCAGCTGAAAAAGAAATAATTTTGTATTTGAATGAAAAAAAAACAATCCGTCCTTACTATCTATCTCTCTCCGCTGTGAGGAATGGCTGCATAGCGTTGTTGATATCTACATCTTCGAACTTATCAGTACTAAAAATAGGGAATCTAAATTTTATTATTTCCTTGTTACTTACATAGCTTTCTTTTTTCCTTCAATAGCAGCGTACACTCCATACGCAGTAGCACCACCGATGACGGCAACAACTGCGGCGGCTAAAGAATTATGAAATAAGTAAATATTTCTTTATTCAATTTTTAAGATATTACAATTTAGAAAAATGAATAAAATAACTCACGATTCCACACCATTTTTGGAAATGTTCGATGGAAGTTGAAACTGCGATATCCCCCTTTCGGAGGCATATCCTGCCGAAATTCAGCTCCGGTGGCCATTTTACCTTAAATGGAATATTATTAGTTTAAAAATATAGCATATTGGTGGAAAAAGCTTAAATTTTAAGCTGAAAAGAAAGAAAATTAAAAATAACCGTGCATTTGCGGCATCGAAAACTGGGCGGAGCCACTAGTCTGCAACCAGGCGGCGCGTTTTTCGGCAGGCGCTAAAATTAAAAACGATTCGAACCTGAAATCCAATTATTTTTATTTTTTTTCTCATTTTCAGATTGGTTTTTTAAATTTTAAATTTTTATTACAGAAATTGCATAATATGAGCGAAGAAGAGGCTGTCAAACTCCTTGAGAAGACGGCCAACTCAATTGCGAGAAATAATCTCGCAAATATGGGCGAGTTTCTTGAGAATGCGACATTGGAAGCGTTGAGTATGGAAGATTGAGTTTTTCTTTAAAAATTGATTTCTTTCAGTGGATAAAACTCAGGATCATCTTATGAATGTTTTGAAAAATGAGAAGAGAATGTTGGAAGAGAGAACAAAATTAAACGATATGGTTCAAAAATTGACCGGGTTGCAAAAAGAAGCGGGTAATTTTCAATGGTTTGTAATTAAGAAAATTACAATTTTTAGAAAATACGGTCAAGCGCGATCTTGCAGAGTTAGATTTGTTGGAAGAACAGGTTTGATTAGTATAATTAATTTTAATTAAAATATTTTCTTTAATTTTCAGAAGAAAAAAATAGAGGAGGACATTGCTCGACGAGAAAAAGCCTTAGAATACGTAAAAATTTAAGAATTTTTCAAAAAATGGAGAATTCTCAATTTTCAGATCGACAAATCCGTATACGAAGTGGAAATGGCTCGTCTCAAGCAACTCGAATTATCCGCAGAGAAAAATTCAAGTGAAAAATGAAAAAAAAAACTGAACGTGAACTAATATTTCTGTGAATAATCGAAATTGAGCAATTGTGCAATAAAAATTGACAAATGCAGCACATTTTTATATATTTGTGCATTTTCATAATCGGAGTAAACTCAGAAATCAACGTTGAACACGTTTGTAAGTGAAAATCTGGAAAAGTTTAAAGAAAACCGCAGAGAAGATCCGGAAGGCTGGCTGAATACGGATATTTGCAAAGATCAATGGCTGTTTGCCGACGGCGTTGTCGCGTTTCAAAGCATTGAAGCTGTGAATGAGTGTCCGAATGGTTTCTACCATATAAGGACAACAATGGGGAAATATTGTTGCCATATCGGTAAGAGTTAAAACTGGAATTTTCTGAAATTCTAGTTTCTCAGGGTTCCCTTATCATCGCTATCGTGAGAGATATTCAATTGCAAATCGGACAAAGAGAGAAACCAACGAAAAAGATTCAAAGGTTTCCGATGAAGGGAGAATGAAGAAGAAGCTCAAAGATCCTAAAATCATGGATTATTCGAAGATCATGCTTGGCGCGGTTATTGGCCAAGTGATCGTCCTTATTTGGGTTTTAATTGTTTCAATGATCACAAAATACACTATAGTTTTAGGCAAGCTCAACCTTTTCTATACATTAATTTTGCTTTTTAGAAGCTCCTGAAGACGTTCTGAAGATTGACGAGATCTCATTCGATTCCCATGTTAAATACGATAATGTGAGAATTATTTTTGCTGTAATATCAATATGAAATTTTTCCATTGTTTTTTCAGAGTGTTCAAGCTTCTCCAATGTCAGATTTGCAATCGGTGGGTGCGAGTCAAATAATGCCGATTTGAAAGAATTCGTTAATAAATGTTTTATTATTAAATCGGTATCATCAGGAAACATAGGTACCCGCTGTACGTTTTGCATGGAAAATCACAAAATATAACAAATCACAACCAAGATGATGAGGAGAAACTCGAAAATTCTAAAGCTCGATGGTTTTCGATAATCCGGTGAGCATTGAGCCGCATAATGTGACGAACATTGCGCATCCGAGAATCGCCAGATTCCGACGGCCCTAGAAAATTGGGTAAAAATAACTAAAATGAAGTTATTTTTGAGCACCTGGATTTCTTTGAAATAAAAGACACTCCAGGCGGATGCGATGCATCCAGGGACCATTGAAATAATCGGGAATGTAACAGCTTGCGAGAGATTCTGATTTGCGACGAAGAATGAGGTCTGAGCGACGGCCCAAAGGAATCCGGCGGCAAGCGATGGAAGGCAGAGCTCGGGCAAAACGTATGGCTTATTTTTTCTAGATTTTTTTCAGTCATTTTTTCTATACGCATCGTCTTACTTGATCAAACTGTAGACTACAAATAGGGATGTCGACGTTAGGAAGATTCCGAAGTAATGCGAGAAGACGTACGAAAGGCCATCGACAGGATAGCCGGAGAATTTGTCGGGATTGTCGATCATGTAGATGACAGGCACAAATGTCATTCCGTAGAAGAAGCCGGAGATTAAAGCGGCGATGATTGCGCTGGAATTTGAGCATCACAAGGGATTGAAGAATGCCAAATTTACAGTATTCGGTGTTTTTCGTGATGGTTCGAAGCGAGTACTTCCACATCACCATTCTCGAGCTCGTCGTCCGAGCAGGATGACTGGAAAAAAAAGAAACGTCCAAAATTCGACTATTGAGATTCGCCTACGTTAAGCGCTTCCTTTTCGGCATTGCTCACGTCTTTGAGCGAGATTCGACTTTGACGCTTCGCAGCTGGCATTGTCGGCGACGATTTGACACGCGAGAAGAGGAAACCGCCGATGACGACGCACACGAGGCCGAGGTAATTGAGAAGGGGACTCGCTGGAACATGAGCCTTCATGCCGAACAACCCGAATCGACCGCCAGCCCATCCGGTGAGACAGTTGGTCGTGTTCCAGATGAGAATTGAAATCGCCAAGCCGAGACGCGAAATGATTGGAATCGCTGTGGCGTTTCCTAAAAAAAAATGAGAGATAGAGAACGTTGCTTGCAAATTTTGCTTAATTACTCACCAAGACACCATGATGCACCGCCAATCATCGCGAGCGGGTAGAAGCCCGGGAACTCCATGAACGCGTAGGCGATGAATCCAACGATCAGAATTGCCATTGACATGAGCCATTGGGCGAATATACCTGGACACAATTCATTTAAAGGCGCATTATTTTTGAATGTTATTATCATTCATTAATATATTCTTTTGCGTGACCCCAGCTCCAGTTACTGTGTGCACCTTTAATCCCAATTTTATCGAAATTGATTTTTCTTTTTAATCTATTCATACTTTAAATTTGAAAAAAAGTAATTTTCGTTTTCTCAATCAAAGTATCATATATAATAAGTTCAACAAAAATTATAAATTAGGCAATATGTTGCTAATAAATTTTTTGTTTCACTTCGAAAAATGTTACGCAATTTCCCTTCTAATTAAAAAATTTATTATTTCTCCTCTCTAAAGGACCATCGCAATATATTTGTGAAGGTTCTTGAAAAAGGCTATTGAAAAAAAAACTGCCTACCATCACCGGAATTATGGTTTTTGATTGTGACGAACATGGAGCCGAAGAATACCGAAGAGACCGCGCATGCGAACAACCCAATGCCAATCGCCATGTCTGAAACAAGAAAAATACAAGTTCAAAGGGTAAATTCAAGGCGTTTTTTTGTTTGTTGGGTCCCGCGAAACAAGATCGCGCGAATTGTTTGCATTTGGCCGCGGCATTGCGAAGAGTGCTAGTAGACAGAGCGAAAAAAGCCATAAAAATTGGCGGCCAACCAACAAGATATTTATTATTCAATATATAACATATAATTTTGTGTTAGTGGACGCAGCAAGCGAATGGTTCGGACAACAAAACAAAACATATCGTTTTCAAAACATCAATGTTTAGAAATATGAGCCCCCGCACGATGATATCAATTGACGAAGCGGGCCAAAAAAAAACGTACCATTGGTCATGGTTTTTTTTCTCGTAAAAATTGAGGTGAAAATGAGATCGGGTTCACGTGGAATAATTCAAGAAATTCGTCCATATTCTTCAAAAAGAACCACTTTTGTTTGAAAATGCAAAAAGGAATGCAAAGCTGAAGGATGTCTGCGGACCACCTCGCCGCCCTCATCGATGAGCCCGCTATTTCGTCGCTGACCATCTGGCAGCTCGGCCGGGCAACAACTATCCACCCATTGTTCAACGAGACGTCGTCGTCATTGGAAACCGCACATTTCGGACCATTTTAAGACATTTGTGCTTTTAAAATGTCTGCATTTTACTCGATTGTCCATAAAATCTCGTTTTGGATTATTTTGGCATTTGTTTCAAGTTTTGTTATAAGATTAATGTAAGTTTTTCTCAAAATAAAAGTTTTTCTAGCGGTTTTGTGAATTTAGATTGCTATTAGACCCTAATAAACGGGTTTATAATCATACGCCGGGACCATGCCGAATTCTCACGGAAGCTTGTAAGATTCTTTTTTTTTTCAAAACAAAAATTTTTAAAAAATGAATTTAGACAAAGGGATTGCTGGAATGCATTTAGTTGAATCGCAGAGTAGAGTTTATATTACTTTCGGTTATGCTAAAGGTAAACAGAAAAAATAATCAGTTCGAAATCGGAATTTTTTAGCGTTTGGGGTAAAAGCGAAACCGGGAATTGCGTATTACGAGGTGAAAAAGGCGGATAATACAAACCAAAATCCGCAACACACGTATGAGCTAGTTGCTATGACAATTGAATGGAAAGACGGATTCGATTCGAAATATTTTGCTCCGGCCGGAATCGCCTCATATGTCTCGAAGGGCCGCGTTCTTTTATACGTCGTCAATGCTCATCCAAATTACCAATGCATTCACTTTTTCTCTGTTGATAAAAATGCATTGAAGCATCGAAAAACGGTATGCGATGCGGAATTTACAAGGTAAATCTCGAGAGACATCCTGCGAATTTTCTTTCGACCGCCCAAATTCAGCATTCAAGATGTCGCAGTTGTTGGTGCTGATCGTCTATTCATCACAAATCTCGCATATTTCTCACATGGCTATTTACAAGTCGCTGAGCTTGCCGCTCAAAGCAATACTGGAAAAGTGCTGCTTTACGACGGACATAATGTGAAAGTCGCAGTTTCCTCACTTCCATCTCCTTCCGGAATCGCTTATGATAAGGAACGGCAACTTCTATTCGTTGGATCGATGCTGAACGAGGTAAAATTGGCGAAAAACGGCACTTCTCCTAAAAAAATAGGTTACTGTAGCCACGGGTCTTCACACGATTGAGAATATTTATTGCATGTGCCTTTGAATTGGTTACTGTAATTAATTTTTTCACCAGAAATTATTTTTATTTTATTTTATCAAAAAAAAAAATTTGATTTACATCAAAAATCGTTATCAACACTACACTACAGATGATCAAAGTATACGATGTTGGTAAAGACATTTCGCTGAACCCAAAGACAGATATTTCAATTCTCACTTCACCAATGGGAATTCATGTCGATAAAAAGAGTGGTATCATAGGACATCAAAGAATCATTTTCCCATAAAAAATCTTTTTAAGGCGATATTTGGGTATCATGTCATCCGGTGGCATTTCAAGCCTTTCTACACTATCAACATCCTGATGAGGAAAATATGCGAAGTCCGAGTCAAGTGTTGCGGATTAGAATGCAAGTAAGTGGAGAATAAAAGAAGGCAGCGAAATGCATTGTACACATGTAAAACCACCTTTCGCAGCGCCTGCCACAGCGTTCGTGGTGTAATGGTCAGCATGGATGCCTTCCAAGCATTCGACGGGGGTTCGATTCCCCCCGAACGCAGAAACTTTTTTCATTTTGTAAATTAAAATTTCAGGAAGATGGCGTGTCATGGGTCATCACAGAACCCTACGCGAACGACGGAGCAACAGTATCGGCGAGCAAATCGATCGCTTATTACGAGGAGCAACTATTAATCGGCGGAGCATTCGGAAGGCTGTTACACTGCGACGTTCTCAATCCACAGATCACATAGATTGCGCTGATAAGAATATAACAAGCACGGGTCGATTATCAATTTATTTCGTGAATTAAAGCATTGAACATCATTATCAAACTCTTATTCTCTCTCGTACTCTCGACGCGAGGTGACATTGCCAGAGGTGAGAGTGGTGATGAGACGATTGCCCTCCATATAGCGGACGATCACCGAGTCCTTGTCGGAATCCTTGATCTTCTTCTGTGTGTGCACGAGTTTGCCGTCCTCGAACACGATGATCGATTTGAACGTGCGACCGTCCGGCGTTGTCTCGGTGAACTCCTGCAAATCGCTCAATTATTATTATTATTATTGGTGTATTGGTGTGATGGCACCTCGCCAAGTTTGAATGTCAACGTGGTGTTCTTGAACGTCGAATACTGATTCGCATGCCAAACGTCGCCCTCGTGCTTGAACTCAAGCAACGGCTTCAAGTTGGCGGCCGCCTTGCGGGTGATCAAACCAACACCGACTTCCTATAATTGCAAGGGGGGATGGTTAGATGAAGCTGACGGGAGAAGCCCAACCTTCATGTACTCCTCGAAGTTTTCCGAGTGGACGAGCTTCCAGCGGCCGACGAATTGATCCATCTTAAATTAAAACAAAAAAATTTGAATTCAACAAAAAATGAGAAACTGTTAGAGGGGGGAATGGAAAGGAGAAATGATTACGATCTGCCAGAAAACGCTCTTTTTGATAACGCGTTCAATTGTGGGCGGAGCTTGTGCCGACGAGAGAGGCGGAAAAGAAGGAAACGAAACGCAAAAAGCAACGTGGCATCAAAAATAAATGTTCAGCAATCAAATACCATCTATAATTGAGCAATTTGGCCAATAATAGAACAGGACGGCAATCGATAATCAAATGCGGCCTGCTGTCTTTTTTTATATTGAGAGCCTATGATGAAATATATCAAATAGTATGTATGAGTCATGCAATTTCATTTTTGCCTGCCTGACGAATTCGATTGAAAGGCGTTTTTGTTGCGGTGGTTGCAACATAGATATAGGACGAGATAGTGAATTAATGTTGTCAAGGACGTGGGCGGAAGGAATTTGGCGGCGATTCGGCCGATTCGGTACACTCGAATACTCGGAAAACGGTTTCTAGTCTTGGCGAAAAACAGCTCAATGATGTTCTCAGGATAATCAAAAAAGAAAGTCCAATCCGATTCGAATTGGATACATTTTACAAAATGATCGGAATAGTTATCAATTCGGATCCCTCAACCCCCAAAAATAGATTAGATTCGAAAATTTCACAATCTTATTCGATGAATTGAAAGTCGATAGCGATTGGTTTTAAGTTATTGGAGTTTTTAGATTCCTAGAATTCAGATCTACGCCCTATGAAGGTTCTGAAAATGGTGAATGCAATTTCCCAACACCAATATGTAAAATTGCATTTGATCGAAACTATTTAAAATTCTGTCGGTCGAGGGTGGGGGGCTACGAACGATGATCTCTAAATGTAACTTGGAGCTATGCTTTCAGTATCTTCACGTAAGGCCATTTAATGCTTTATTAAAATATTGTCGGCGTCAAACGACTAAAGGGAGGTGGAGGCTTGAATATCCGAAATTAGTGTAGATTTAAATTTATCGTTGACTGAGTATTTAATGCGCGTACACTGTAATGCAATGTACGCAGCCTCGCGTACTTCTCGCTGCCTCGAGACGCATTGGCACATAGCCAATCATTTTTTAAAATTTTTTTCCAGTCATTTGACTCTGATATATTAATATTGTCGAAGTCGACTAACAACGGAAGTCATATTACCTCACGTTCTGGAAGTTTTGTAACTTTGTACTAGAAGGTCTTCTGAGTGTGTCCACAGAATTCCAGCTTGCACTGGTTTCAGACGGGTTATGGCCATCTGAAAATTTAAAAAAATTCAAGAAAAGGGGTCGTTGCGCGCCTTTAACCTATTTTTATACATTGGCCCATAAATCTACACTTTTAATTTCGTGTCAGGACCACAGTCATTGTTTTTCTAGCCCACTTTTCCACAGTCGCACGACGCCGACAATATATGATAGTGGGTGGAGTAGGTGAAGTGAATTGTGGTCCCATCTCCGACCTGTCGATGAACAACACATGTAGTAATTTAAAATATTGTCGGCGTCAAACGACTGGTGGCGGGGCCTTCAAATTTGCGAAATCAGTGTAGATATGAATTTTTCGTTGACTGAATATTCAATGCGCGCAAGTTTCAAAAAAATTCTTGCTTTGTGAGAAAATTTATATTGTTTCACTGACCTGCTGTTGTTGTTATTTTTTCCTCGTCAAAAACACAATGAATATTCAGCGACGCACTCGAACCAGAAATCCGAAGTTCATTGAATGCACTCAGTCGATTCTCTTACGGATTATGCAAAAAACTTCCGTTGTTTCTATAAAATGGTCAGTAAAATTGTCATCATTTCGTTTTTCTTGCTGACATTTTGTGCAAAATGCTGGTCGGTTTGGGAGCATGCATTGTAGCTTCATTCTGTCTCGGAACCATATTCGTGCCGGTCAAAATGTGCGCGCCTAGTGACGGTAATGGTCCCTCTACAGCAAACCCAACTATGAATGCTTCTAGGATTCATGGTGCAGTTCTTGATGGCAGTTGGCGGATTCCTGGTTAGTTTTGCCGTCAACGCCATCCTCCAATTTCCACCAATTGCGCCATTGGCGATGATTGGCGGCGCTTTATGGTGCACTGGTAAGCGTCCTCCCCTAAAAAAAAGTAATTTTCTGAAAATTTGATTTTTTAGCAAACGCGTTCGCCCTTATGATAATGAATCGCCTTGGAATGGCCCTTGGCATCCTTATATGGAGTTCAGTGTCGTGTCTGACAGGCTGGGCAACTTCGAGATACGGGCTCTTTGGGATCCCGCAAGTTGTTCCAAATTCCTCGCTTCTTAATTATGCGGGAGTAATTATATTAATTATTGGGTAATTAACGCCAATGTTCAATTGTTATATTCGATTTTTTCTTGTAGAAGCTTGTTTTATTTATTCATCAAAAGCACAATTCATCGGCATCCGAGTGAAATCAAAATGGAATCAAAAACTAAATCGGAGTTGGAAGTTGGGACCATCGAAGAGCCGATGGAACTTGGTCATCATCATATATCACTTCCGGTTCGCTTAATGTAAAACCGTAAACATGTTATAATGATGATGCGAGGGGATTATTGTTTTCAGTTCGGTGGCTGGCGCGATTTTCAGCGGATTATTCTACGGTTCAATGTGCACCCCGGTCACATATTTACAGGTGTGCCTGCAATAAAAAAATACTATGCTGAAACTGGTTGTTGGCCTCAGAATCATACCGATGAGTTTCCGCTCGCCTCAAAAATGGGATTGCCTTATCTTTTCTCGTTTTTCTGCGGAATTCTGCCAACTGCAACAGCGATTTTAGTGATCTACTCGCTAATAAAGTATTTTTCGAAAGAGCAATTAATAAATTACTGCATTTGATTTAGGAAGAACTCGCCCTCGATACCACCAACTCTTGTCCTTCCTGCTTTGATGGCTGGTGTGCTATTCGCTTTTGGAATAGCGGGCTTTTTCATCGGCAATGAGAGATTGTCGCAGACAATCGCTTATCCGATTTGCTCGTTTCTTCCTGGCGTCATTGTCAGCCTGTGGAGTGTATTTTATTTCAAAGAGATTACGGTGAATTGTTACACGACGCAAAAAAAGAATGAATATATTTGATTGATTTGATTGTTCAGGGAAAACGAAATTTGTATCTTCTTCTCACCGCCTACGGTTGCACGCTTCTTGGCGTATTATTGGTCACAATTTCAAAGGATATTTGAAATGGGACACACGAAAAATAATACATTTTGTTGATTGTTTTTGTATATTTTGCGATTTTTATAAATTTCTATTTCTGAAATTTATTTAACAACTACGTGAACTTTAACGCTTGTTAGAAGAATTAGATCGAAAAAAAAAAAACATTTTTTCTAATTTAACCGAAAGAAATGGTTGAGGTATTTATTTTCTTTAAAAACAATGATATTGCCAATTAAAAAAATACGAAAACAGAAGAAATTGAACCTACCGTATATTATAGGAGCAAATGCAATTTTACTAACTGTTTTGAATGGAAACGGTACTGTACCAATAGTTGAGATGTGTAAATTATTTTAATATTTTCCAAAAAATTTTTGTCGTCAAAGTTCAATCGCAATGACTCATATTATATTTTCGTAAATAGCTCGTCGCTCATTCGGCGCTCTCCCCTTTAGTGTCCTCGCAATACAAAAACCTTCGTTTATTGTAAAATGTTTAGGCCGCACGACATTGATTTATACATTTTTTATATTATTCAAAACCAATATCAATGGGAAATCGAATAATGTGTTTTTTCTTCTTCTTTTTTGCAATTTGCTCTTATCATTTCAATCAAATTTCTCCTAGTTTTGACTCTTATATGGAGAAAACAACTAACTGTTCATAATTTGTATTTTTCCACTGCGGAATCAATCATAAAATGCCATTAAAATTTGAAGAAACACAATAAAAGACGTGTCGTTTTGCCGCCGAATAGACTATTTTCGTTGTTTTGTCGCCGAAAAAATATCGACTAAAATCAAATAATTTTTAGCGAATATTCACATTTACTAATACTAATGGGAATCAACGGTTTACTACAGATCGGTGATGAAGATACCGTTGTGGTCGACGCTAACGAGAATCTAAAAAAGCTTCGCGATCGTGGTTTTGAACGACCAAATAAAAAATGTACCCTTTTGCCATATTTTGACAAGTGAGTTTTTCAGAAAATTTTTGATGAAAAAAAAATTAAAATTCTGAAATTCTAGCCTTGAAATACAATTAGATAAACATTTACAATCGATTGTTAATGGACTCGTCTCAGTCCTTTTAACCGAAAATTCGAGTGATCTCATCGATTATATGGAACAATTCACAAGGTATCTCATATTCCCAACAAGACCATTTCATTATCAATTTTTAAAGGTACATCGAAGATTATGGATTGCGAATGAAGAGAGAATTACTGATTGATCTAATAAAATTGTTTTATGAAGGATTAATAAAGAAGGACCAAAAAGCTACATTAATCAAGCACTGTGCCACAGGGATTTTGGCGATTATGAAGTATTCGCAAATTTTGCAAAAAAAAAAGAAGGAAAGCAAAGTTTTTAGGAAAAATCGCGAAAATTCGCTGTCTTATCATGATATTGCACTGGATTGGAAGCCGCTCTACGATTTGTGCACTCGGGTGTACTATGGGAAAGTGCGCGATGTTACTGTAGCCAATGTGTCTGCCGCAATTGACACCCTTTCCGTATTTTATCGGCCGCAAGACCAACAACAGATTTGGGAGCAGGTTGGCTTTATCGGAAAAGCTCCTCTTGAACAGGCGATCGTTTTTCTTTTTGTTGCAGATGCAAGTCCATATATCTATCAATTTTTCAATGAAAACATTCATGGAATTGTGCACGGTGTTTCTGACAGTCGACGGGCTCTCAGCCGACGAGCACCAACGATATGGCATCGGTGTTTGGTTTGACGCATTCTGGGAGATTTATGTGAGCGCCGAGATGAATGTGGTTTGGGGAGAGCATGTCATGAGAATTTTCTCAAGGTTCGAATGATTCTCGTCAATATTTCGAAATTGCATTTTTAGAATCGCGTTTTTCCATCCGGAAATTATTGATTGGAAGCCGTATTATGATGTGATTTTCACGAAAGCGATTCGATCTTTGGAATTGTCGTTGAGAGGCGGAAAAACCGCGGTGGGTGACGGCTCGGAGAGCAATGGAGTCTCTCAATTTGCTTATTTCATTAGCTCGACGATTGGAGGAGAAAATTCGTTAGTCTGTCATATTCTGATGCCAATGCCAGTTGGTTTCTAGATGCTTGTCTCATTTTGCCAAAATGATCAAGGGCATCGAGTTCTCCATGCATCCGTTGAACACCGGAATTCACGTTGAGCAGATTATTTCGTTTTTCGAGAACTTCTTGATCTACTTTACGAATCGAATTCGACGCGAGAGATATCGCGAGAAGGCACGAAAGGTTCCAACTGAGTACTATCTCACGGATGATGAGATTGACAATGTCACACTTCTCATCGCTGATCCGATTCTTATGCTTCTCTTCTCGCCGGATGCCAGCTATAAGAAGTTGTCGTCAATTCTTTATCTCGTCGCGTCGCTCAATGTTCGACTGGTTGCGCCGAAACTGCTCGATCAGTAAGAGCTTGGTTTAAAAAACGTCTGACAAAAAGAAAAATCGCCTTGCAGCGTTTACTCGGCGCTTTTCGCTGTCAATGAGCCCGAGAGATTGTCGACGACAATTGACGCGCTCGTCGTTGTGATCTTCGAGCTTCTTCGCGATAATACGAACGAGAGGAAGAAATATGAGGAATTCTCGAATGAATGGATTGTTCGAATGGAAGCCGAACGCATGAATTGGCCGACGTTTCGTGAAGGCAGTCAGATTAGAGACGTATGCGATTTTGGCTTGAAATTTGGCAAACTCATTTTCAGATTGAAAGTCGAAGAATCACCACCCTTCGGCATCATGCCATCTATATTCTGGAGTTGTATGTGAATTCGATTGACGTGAACGATGTAAATCGGACAGAAGCTGTCTTGAAGGTATGAGTTTTTTTTTTAATTGGTATTTAATTTGATCTACCCAAATTCAAGTCGATTGTCCTTATTTGCACATCAATTCCGGTTATCGATTTCTCGAATGCGGACCAGTATTACAAGTGCGAAATGGATGAGGATGATGCTCTTCTCTGCCAACTGTCGAAGCGTCTTCCGATTATTGTTGAAGCGATTTTTGAGAAGTTTGTGATTTTTAGCGTTGCTGATTTCAGCGTTGGTTGAATTTCAGAATTCTTGCCGTGATTTGCTGCATGGCGGTGTGTGCGCCGAAGGATTCGATGAATAACATTGGGACAATGAATGATTTTGTGACGTCGGACGGCACCGAGGAGCGCGTTTTCAAGAAATCGATCGATGAATGCGTTGCGGCAATATTTGCGCACTGCGGAAAAGACGCGACCGACAAGCTTCTGGATCGTCTGTTCGAGTTTGTGAGCACAACGCATTTCGAGAGCAACCTCGCCACCGAAGTCCTCTCCGGTTTCATCACCTCGTGCATTTGGGCGTGTCCGGAGGCGTGGAAGAAGTTCACGATATTCCTACGCAATAAACTGAAGACGGTGTTCACCGGTTTTGTTGAATCACGATTCATGATAATGATTGCTGAAATCGCACTTCAGATGAGATTCGAAAACTGAAAGAGCCGCCGCCGTCGGTGCTTTACTATGCCGTTTTGACGACATCGATTTTTATGGTGGTGCCGAGCATTATGATTGAGAATGAGGAGCTCATGCTCGAAGTCATTGAGCTTTTGCTTAGCTGTGATAGTCGTACTGCCTACCATGTAAGGGACCATTCATTTTTATGAGAGCTAATATCATTTTGGATTAATCAGATTGGTGCGCGAGGATTGTCGATAGTGTTCTGCATTCTGACATGTCTCTTCCCGTCGCCTCATGATTTGCCGTATTTGCGAATCAAGCAGCCGCTTGAAGAGTGGAATCCGTTTGAGGTTTGAATTCAATAATTCGCCGCGCTCGTAATTCGAGTTTGATTACAGGAATGGGGTAGATGCTACAAAATCGAGGACATCAAAATGACATGGATTGTGCCGACGCGAAAAGGTGTCGGCATGCTTGATCGTGTTGTTCAGCGATTCATGATCCCATTGATCGACTCGTTGAAGAGCGAGCTGTCAAGGTGATGGCTAGGCGATGGCAATTTTGATTGGTCATTTAAACTCGTATTATAGAGACGATCTACGAAAAGCGGTTCATATAATTTATTCGACGTTTCCGATGCTCAAGGATGTGTGTCCGAAGCCGAAAAGTGAGGTTCTCGCCACGAGTTTCACCGTCCAATGCATGCCGCCAGTTTCGAGCCAAGTCGCCGCGGTTCATAAAGTTTCTTGTGGTATTGGATTTTTGTCTCATCTTGCTCGTTATTTCTTTTTTTTTGAGACATCCGAGCTCCCAATGGAGCCAATCTCATCGAGTATCTTGTTGATGGATTGGAAGCAATTCTCAAGTGTCATGATCCGAGAGTTTGTGAATATGTCCTCGGCATTTTTGCGATTTTGACTGATGAGACGTTTACTGTTAGTGTGAGTCGATTTATTATTCGTAGACATTCTCAAAAATTTCTTTTGAATTGGCTTTGATTGTTTAGAGCGATAAATCGGCGAAGGATGATCTCGTCTCACATACTTATGGATATTTGTGCGTTTCCAAATATGGCGAGAAGGTTTACGGAGTTTATGAAGCCATGCAGACGTTTGCGATTTTGGAGCATTTGGTATTATTCAATGAATTTTGATTTCGATGTTTAATGATTCAGACGGTCTCGATATATGTCGCCAAAACGATCACTCCGCCAACTGTGTTTGATATTCGGATATACAAGAATATGATCCGATTGGGTATCAATGAGTATGAAGTGGTATTGCGATGATCGACTTCGACTTCTTTAATTGATTCGATTCAGGTGCGACTCTCAGCGAAAGGTTATTTGAAAACGATCGCCGAGAAGATCTTCTTCTGTCGAGAATACCTCATCGACGAGGTCGTCGCGATCATTTCGGATCCGAGTTCGTCGATCAACACCCTTAAAGGCGCATTGTCGGTGTGTTGCGCGCTCAATTGGACGGAGACGACCAATTCGTTCATTCGCAACAAATTTTGGATAGCGGTTTTGAAAATGAAGGTGAATTGATTGGGTGTGAATTTGTTTTGGGTATATTGTGATTTTATTGTAGGTCATCGATGAGCCCATGCTCAGGCAGTATTTCGAAGCGATCGCCTCGTGTGTTTACAACAATAGCAATAATGTGATTCATTCGATTGAGAACAAGGATTCGCCGCAGGTTGAGTTTGGCTTCTTCTAGAATCTCTCGTTCATTTCATTGGTCGGATTTTAGAAACGGAATCAGAAGATTCGCGAGATCGGAATGAGATTGGTTTCGGCGGCTGAATGCCCGGAATGGGCGCCGTATTTGAGCGATGAGGGAATTCAGAAGCAGTATCGAATTATTCGGGAATGGAAGGCGCGATCGCAGGAGGTTCGAAAGGAAATGGTTGCGAAATTGCTGACGAGCTATGTCAACAATGGCGAATTGCACCATACACGCGAGAAATTGGCGCGATCGATGGTGTATCGATGTCAGCGCGAATCGGCGGGTGTTGAGACGATGAAGGTGCTGGTGCCGCAATTGATTCACGAGGAGCTCGAGCAGCGCGAAGAGGCGCAGAATGAGCTTGTCGTTTGGCTCAAATACAACAAGCCGAAAGTGGCGAGATTCGAGTTGAAGCCGACGAACTCGTCGAAGAAGCACTTGCTCGCGTCGGGACTTCGTCCGGATAATTTGTTTCTCGCGTATGATTCGCACAATTTGCCGGACACCGCCGAGAAGTGGAACAAGACGTTCTTCATTGACAAACAGAAGGGCTGCTGTCGATTTGCGAAGACGATTAGTGTGGCGAGACGATGGGCCGATGGGCCGCCGCTGCCGTCGAGGGAGCTCAACGAGGCGGAGAAGGTGATAATGGAATGGTTCGAGGTCGAGGAGAATGTGCAGAAGTTTGTCGAACTTCGCCGTCATGACAAAGAGGCGGAGGATGCCGGTGTGTCGGCGGGATTCTCCGGTGTGATCAAGGTATTCGAGGCGTGACATTCGTGAATATTTGAATCGTTGTTGCAGTTGGTGATTCGCAATTTTCCGCAGAGCACAAAAATCATTGACAATTTTGCGATGAATCTCGATGAGAATCTCAAGTCGAAGAAGCGCGAGAATCAGATTGTCGCCGCCGAGATATACGTCGGAATTGCGGCTGGAATCAAGCATCGCGAGTTTGCGGTAGTCATCGATTGAATGCAACGTCGAGGACCATGTGTTTTGATTTCAGATTCAAGAGAGATTCTGGAGCTGGATTGCGATTCGTCTTGACGCCTTCTTTGATGTGATGAGCAGCGAAGCGAAAGCGGATTGGGACACGGCGATGACATTGACGATGTACGGCGATTTGAGGCGACGATGGTGGCTGGTCGAGAAGTTGTTTGAAGGAATGAGGAGAAGCAATGTGGAGGAGTGGAAGCAGGCATTGTAATCCGAATTTGTAGATGAAGTCGATTGCCTGATTTTGTTTCAGTCGGATTGAGATGTTCATGCTACCCAAGTGGAGGCATACGCAGATTTTCAAGCGGATCGCCGAAATCGCGTTTGCCAAATTGCCGTTCACTGTCACTGACACCCTTCGAAGTGCGATCTCGAAGTCGATTCAGGCGATCGCGCAACTGAGGGAGATCAATTACTATAGTCCTTATGAGGATCTGCCGGAACGGTTCCGGATCGACGACACTGACACGTGGATCAAGAAGTTCACATCAAACGTAGCGTCACATTGGGCTCGAGATAATTGTGGCGACAATGTCGATGTGGTTTCAGATTCCGCAACTTCGCAGTTGTTTGGCATCGTCGTCGACGTCGTCGTCGGTGTTGATGAGGAAACGGGTGAGATCGGGAAATGGGCGATCGCGATCGACATCGCCGGCACAGAAACGCAAACGGGTTAGCGATTCGGTGGCGTTGAGCACCACGGCGATTGCTGAGAAACGGGTACGTTTTTTTCTTCATTCTCGAATACTGTCGAAATTGGCTAATAGCCAGAAATGGATCTACAGTAGGACCGCGACATCGACAATATTCGGCAATGTTTTGAATGTTCGACAATACATATTTATTTTCAGGCTTTGATCTATTTCCGGTCACTTTTGGAGTTTTTGACGCAATATTACTATAATTGCTATCATAGCTGGACGCCGGCGATTATTGAGCTTTTGCCGAAGCTCTTCGAGTTTTCCAATGAGGACTCCTACGAGTTTGTGCGAATTGTCTTGAAGTGAACGAATTTTGAGGGGGGAGGGGGTTGAGAAATTTTGAAAGAAGTTTGAGTTTTTTCATATTCGTTCCTTCTCCACAAAATTATTGTTTGAGAAGCTTCATCATCTTCCAGATTCGCTGAGGATGCATGTAAGGATGTCGACATCATCCAGAACTCATCGATGCTCATCCATGAGTTCATGTCGACACTTTGGTTGTCGGATGAGTTTATCGATTCGATTCTTCAGACGTTGGTCAACACGTTTTCGGTGAACGAATGCGTGTGGAGGACGCGTTTGGCGATTTTGAAATTTGTCTCGGTATCTCATCGCGATTTTCGGCGCAGTTTTCACTAATATTGATTTGAGGTTATTGTGTACTCAAACTTTTTTCCGATGATGGAGGAAGGCCGAAAAGTGAAAATTGAGAAGTTGGTGTATGAAGCGGTCCGGGATTCGTCGGTGATTGTTCGCAAAGAGGCCGCCAAATGTATTTTGCTGTTTCTGAATTGCGAATACTTGAAAACGAATGATGAGAAAGTTGTGAGTGTCACCACCTTTAAAAAAAATTTTTTTAATGCAACATTTTGAAGGAGAAGTGGGCTCGAATATTGAATGATCGAAAAGAGTCGACGGCTCATCGTCATGGTGCGGCTTTGGCTCTTGGCGCGATTGTTATGGCGTTTCCGTTCAGCCTTCCGGAGATTATCTTGAAGCCGCTCGATGTTTTGGGATCAGCGTCGACCTCGTTGACTACTGTTCAGGTATGGTGAATTTCAAGGCACATGTGGAATAATTCGAGTTTTGCCATTGAAAAAAACTGAGAAAAGGGGAGTGATACGTCATTTTCACAGTTTTTTTTTTTGGAAAAAATAAACTTATCCGTGAAATTGATTTTTTTTTACAAAAATTCCATTTAATTTTTTTTATTTTGCAATCTGCATTGAAAAATTATAAAATTTTAACATTTTTTGAATCCACAAGATTTTGGAAATTCAGAAGACGATCACGGAATCTTTGCGTGAATTCCGACGACAGCATCGAGATGATTGGCAGAAGACGAAGGAATTCCTTGGAGAGAGAATCACTTACGAAATTGAGAATGCGACGGCTCCGATTTATTATGCGTAAAGAAAATGGGTAGAATGTTGATTTTAATGCATGTGTAATAAAAATATTTTCTATTATTCGTTTTGTGGAACAGCTAAAAATTAGGAGAAAATTTAGTTTTTTAAAAATTAAATCTAGTTTTAATTATAAAAACTGATGAAATTGTTGTTTTTTCGAAATTTAAATAGAATTTTTATTATTATTTTAAAATAAATAACAGTGTGTGCTCTCGGGAAAAAATTCTCGAGAAAATTAACCGGTACTGAAAGCTCGAATGCCGAAGAGTTGAGCGAGGTGCCGACATCCGAGTCTCGCGATTTCGATGCGAGATCCGAAGCGCTCAGACAATAATTCATGGATTTGATAGCGAATAATCGGTTTGCAATTTTAATGCTTGTATACCAAAATAATAAAAATCAGTAGTTTTTTGAGTTTTCCGAATTACATAATATATTGCGAATGTGCGAGAAAATCAACGAAGCCAATTAATTACTCATCAATTTGTCGAATCCGATTAAAAAAAAACAAGAGGGATCCGACAATTTTACAATCTTATCCGTAGAATTTCCATCGGATAAGGTTGATTCTGGAGCAAAAAATTGGTTTTAACAACCAAAACAGTAAACAGTAAAAACACCTCCCTTGTAAGTTACCAGAGATGCTATTTTATAATTACCGTCTACGCTATTTTATGATAATGTGAATTCTGAAGCTCATGCTGCAAATTTAGAAGAATTCAGCAAAAGAAAATCTCGGAGCATGAATTCAAACGAATCTCCTTCGAAACCTGTATTCCAGGAATTGAAATTAAGGAGGAGTCAATTAATTGAAAAACTAATGTCTAATTATTCTTACACACCGAAACGCTACATTGTAGCCAGCAACAATCCAAGCCCCGCCCTGCGATTGTTTGTTTCATGAGGCAAGCGCGCTCTACAGCACTTCAGCGTCGATCGGGAAAGCGCGTCTGATGGGAAAGAGTGCACTAATATAAGAGAGTCAGCGGACACTTGGCGTCAATTTACAGTTTGATTCGACAAATGCGCTCTATTGCAAGTTGTTCACCGACCCCAATGGCACTATAAAAGGCCGGCGAGATGGGCAATTTGGTCAGTTCTCGCAGCTCCCCGAGTTGCGGGAAGCCCGCCTATCTTGCGGGCTCCGCGTGTCCCGCATAACCTGCGGGCTCCACGTGCCCCCGCATATCCTGGCGGGCTTGTCATGGCCAAGGATCCACACGGTATGTCACATTCATCGCAATCCTTCTTCTCAATTCCTTGTATTGCAGATCCGATGAGAGCCACAGTCGTTGCTCATTCGAGCTCTTCTGATGTGCTATGTTGAAAGTGTCGGGGATTCTCGACTGGTGCGACTCCGTCAGCCAGTACTAACCCTACTGCAGTGTCGCGTCCAGGCCGACGTTAAACCCATATTCATGAGTAGACATAGCACGTGAAGAGGAGCATGAAAGGGGAATGGCGAATGAGGAAGCGGGTTCGAAAGGTAAAGAAGGAGGCACAGTCTATCAGAATAACTCGGATCATTTCAGGCATCTTGAATCGAATGGATCTAATCAGAGGCGACGGCTCAAAGAAGCGACGAGGACGGAGCAAAAGCGTCAGGTAATTGGTAATTTTTGGTCCTGGCCAATTTTTTTATTATTTTTTTTCTCTTGCACCAGTCGTACCACTTACGACTGTACTTCCTCCCGGTCCTACCGTTTGGGACCACTCTCTTCTTTTTTCACCAGTCGTACCACTTGCGACTGTCCCTTCTATCTATCAGTCGACTGATTCCCCCTTTCCTGCCGTACTACTTGCGGCTTTCACCCTTTATATCCCACCACTTGGGATTCTCTCTCTCTCGGTCCTACCGTTTGGGACCATCACTTCTTCTTTTTCGGGGAAAGCCGGCTTCCCCTTCCCTCTTCCTGCCACCAGTCGTACCACTTGCGACTGTCCCTTCTCTCTATCAGTCGACTGATTCCCCCTGTCCTGCCGTACCACTTGCGGCTTCCACCCTCTATATCCCACCACTTGGGATTCTCTTTCTCTCGGTCCTACCGTTTGGGACCAACCATCTCTTCTTTTTTTTGGGGGGGGGAAAGTCGTACCACTTACGGCTATGCCAGTCATTCCACTAATGATTGGCTTCCCCCCTTCCGTTTTGTACTATTGTTTTACTTCAAGTTTTCAGGTTTTTAGGTATTTAGGTATCGTCGCTGCCGCCGCCGATGGAAGGATCCGGTGAATCGATTCACCACCACAACCCACCATTAAGCATTAGCCATACTGAGGACCCCTCTTCTATTTAATCTGCCGTAGTCGGCTATATTAGGGCCGTAGTCGGCCATTCCCCCAAACGCCAAGGCTTCCTGATCCCCCGTAGTGCCGAGGCGTTGGTTGGATGGCGGCTTATCCGCTGTATCCTAAATTCGGGTGATTGGCCTGGCAAGCCTTTCAGCCCTGATTCCGTAGCCGGGAATCGAACCCTACCCAAACGCCCCCGTTTCAAGTACTCTCGAGTGCTTGGTGGGCGTTATGGAAGGTTATGCTTTAGAACTTTGCTTCACCGGGTGTCCTCCATACTAGTCAGGATGTCATCTGGCCCAGACCTATATTGACGTGGATTGGCCAGCTATGTCAATATGTCCAGCCTTTCGGGTGCACATGGACCGTGCTTCTTAGCATGGTAGCTTGCTACTTTGTAGTGTCTTGCTACTACTTAGTAGTAAGCTGCTATGCTATGAACACAAAAACCACATTACCATATCACCAGTAGACCCGGGGCCCAGCCAGACGTGGCTTGCCCAACCACTTCTACTTCTATTATCCTCGGATGATAGTTGTGGGATGTCCTTGGGTGATCCCCATGGTGGGATCGGCGATGACCCACATCAGGTTTCGGCCTGATGCTGGTGAGCCTCTCCTTCATGTGTCGAGCCTCTACGTGGCGAAGGAGATCAACTGACTCGACACTCCTTCAGGGGGATCGCGTCAGGCTAATCGACACACTGTCTCACGCAGGTCGAGGATTCTCTTCCTCGACCAGGCGGCTTCTTGGCGACCTAGCAAGTCGCAAGAAGTATTCAGAGAAAACTCAAATGACGCGAATTCCAATGGCACTCTTTGGGGCCATCGGAATTCTTTTTTTTAAATATAAATATATAATAAAGAATATTATTTCTCAATTAATCTTTTAAAGTGAATTTTAAGAGTCGTGATCGGACCATAGCGTCATCAATATCGAGAGCACTCTAACATATCTAAAGAGCTTTTTTTCGAAATTTCCCAATTGCTTCGTATTTTTTTGCTCGTGACCCTTCGAAATCTCAAAATTTCCACGAAACAATTAAATTATTTCGAATAAAATAACAAAAACCTCCTTTTTTGCCAATAGGGATATATTTGATGACCCATCATAGTCCGATTCGAAAAAACTTTTCCCTCTTCTTCATTGCAAATCGAATTTCTTGAGTGTCTCAATTCTCACGAGAGCACACACTGATAAATAATTTGAAAAATAAAAAATGTTACAATTGAAATGGGAATAATTTTGGGATAATTTTTAAGAAATTGAAATTATTTTGAAAGCTTTTTTTTTAAATCAAACTTGAAAAACTTTATATAATATTTTCATTACATTTTTTCTAAATGATTGTTTTTTTTTTCTTTTCAATTGACGCGAGCGTCATTCAAAATCAACGGTGGTGCATTATTGCGTGTCGGTGTTTGCGGTTGCCCCGTTGGATTCGCAGGCGAACATTCTTATGGTTTCCATTAAATGCCAACGTTGCGTTGCGATTCCTGAGTTTTGTGGGAAATCAATGATACCGTAACGTTTGATCTATTATACTAACCTCTATTAAAGTGCCGATCGTTTAATTTGATAATTATTAAATCATGCTTTCCATGTTATCGTTTCAGCACGCGCCAATGTCGCTGCTCATCAAATTCGAGTCGAAATCAGCGCGAGTGAAAGGTGAATAATGGAAAATGAGAGAAAACTGAATGAAAGATTTTAGGAATTTCGTTCCACCCGACTCGACCATGGGTTCTCACATCGCTTCACAGCGGCGTCATTCAACTATGGGACTATCGAATGTGTGTGCTACTTGAGAAGTTCGATGAGCATGATGGTCCGGTGCGTGGAATTTGCTTCCACCAAGAGCAACCGATTTTTGTGTCCGGTGGTGATGATTATAAGATAAAGGTAATTTAAAATTTTCGATGAAAAATTAATATTTCGCAATTCACGTTTTTAGGTCTGGAACTACAAACAAAAACGGTGCATTTTCACCCTTTTGGGACATTTGGATTACATCAGAACAACATTCTTCCATAATCAATATCCTTGGATTATTTCGGCTTCCGATGATCAAACTGTTCGTATTTGGAATTGGCAATCGAGAAATTCGATAGCAATCCTTACTGGTAACTCTACTATTTCAATAATACAATTTAATTTGCTCTTATTAGGTCATAATCATTACGTAATGTGCGCTCAATTCCACCCAACTCAAGATTTGGTGGCTTCGGCTTCTCTTGATCAAACTGTTCGCATTTGGGATATCTCTGGATTGAGTAGGATATCGATGTCTCATTTTCCATTCCTTATTTTTTCGAATGTTTAGGAAAGAAGCAAATGCCCGGTGGTGGTGTGCCGAGTCGGCCATCTGGAGCCCAACAAGCTGAGCTCTTCGGACAACCAGATGCGGTGGTGAAGCATGTGCTCGAAGGGCATGATCGTGGAGTCAACTGGGTTGCATTCCATCATTCGATGCCGATTCTTGTCTCGGGATCTGATGACAGACAAGTCAAAATGTGGCGCTATAATGAAACGAAGGCGTGGGAAGTGGATAGTTGCCGCGGACACTACAACAACGTCTCATCGGTTCTCTTCCATCCGAACGCCGAGCTCATTTTGTCGAACTCCGAGGACAAGTCGATTCGTGTTTGGGATATGCAGAAGCGCACCAGCCTTCACGTCTTCCGACACGAGAATGAACGATTCTGGGTGTTGGCTGCCCATCCGAGTTTGAACATGTTCGCTGCCGGACACGATAATGGAATGGTGGTGTTCAAGATTCAGCGGGAGAGACCGGCGTATTGTGTCAACGACAATTTGGCATTCTACGTCAAGGATAAACAGCTCAGAAGGCTTGACTTGACCACAAAGTTTGAATATATTCTCCTAATTTGCCACTAATCATCATATTTATAGCAAAGATGTTGCTATTTGTAAGCTTCGCGCTTCAGCTGCCTTCATGCAGCCCTACTATGCTTTGTCATTCAATCCTGCCGAGAATGCGTTCCTACTTACCAGCCGATCTCACAGCCGCGAAATGTGCACATTTGATTACTACAGGGTAATCGAAAATTACGCCGTTTTGAAGCGTGATTTGAATATTTCAGATTCAGCCGAACAGCGATGGCAACACTGATGCTCAGGCGAACAGGAGCACTGGAATCGCGGCTCTTTGGGTGGCTAGAAATCGATTTGCTGTTCTTGACAAGGCTCAGAATGTAAGACGAATGACAGAATAAAAATAAAATCAATTTCGGATTTAGGTGTCTCTTCGCGATCTTTCGAATAAAGAATTGCGCAAACTCGAGAATATCAACACCGCCGTTGATGATATCTTCTACGCTGGAACTGGAATGATCCTTCTACGCAACGAGGATGGATTACAGTTGTTCGATGTTCAACAGAAGACGGTCGTCGCTTCGGTGAAGGCGAGCAAAGTTCGCTACGTCATCTGGAGTAAATCCATGGAGTTTGCTGCACTTTTGTCGAAGCACACGCTGACATTGGTGAACCGCAAACTTGAGATCTTGTGTACCCAGCAGGAATCGACTAGAGTCAAGAGTGGTGCCTGGGATGGAGATTCGGTGTTTATTTACACCACCAGCAATCATATCAAGTAATGATTTGGGATTCCGTTTCTTTTTTTTTGTCTAATTTGGAGTTTTTAGATACGCGATCTCATCGGGAGATTGCGGAATTGTTCGCACACTCGATTTGCCGCTTTACATTCTTGCTGTTCGCGGCGCCACACTGTATTGCTTGAATCGCGAGGCGACGCCGGTCGAGGTTCCGATTGATCCATCCGACTACAAATTCAAACTTGCGTTGATCAATCGCCGAATCGATGAGGTCGTGAATATGGTTAAATCGGCGAATCTCGTCGGACAATCTATTATTGGATACTTGGAGAAGAAGGGCTATCCAGAGATCGCATTGCATTTCGTCAAGGATGAGAAGACGCGATTCGGTTTGGCGTTGGAGTGCGGAAATCTTGAAGTTGCACTGGAAGCGGCGAAGAAGCTCGACGAGCCGGCGGTTTGGGAGGCGCTCGGAGAGGCGGCTCTCCTTCAAGGACATCATCAGATTGTTGAGATGAGCTATCAACGGACGAAAAACTTTGAGAAGTTGGCATTCCTTTACTTTGTCACTGGAAACAACGAGAAGCTAGTGAGAATGATGAAGATCGCGCAAGCTCGCAATGATGCCCACGGCCATTTCAATACGGCGTTGTATGTTGGAGATATTGAGGAAAGAATCAAAGGTGAATTTGGAATTCGTTTCAATTATCATTTTTGGAATTGTTTTAGTTATTCGCAACTCTGGTCAATCTTCGCTTGCTTATCTCCTTGCTGCTACTCATGGATTCGAAGATGAAGCTTCGGAGTTGGCCGCCGAGCTTGAGGCCAAACAACAACCAATTCCTCAAGTCGATCCGAATGCTCAGCTTCTGATTCCACCGCCACCAGTTTGTCGGGTAATTCGACGATTTCATATTTATTTATTCATTTTTCCCGTTTTTTTTTTCAGCTTGAAGAGAACTGGCCATTGTTGGCGTCGGCTCGCAGCGCTTTCGATGCTCAGCTTCTCGGTATCTCGGCTCCAGGAGCTACCACGAAGACCGTTTCTGGTCTCAAGCCGGCTGCTGCTGCATTTGCTGCTATTGAAGATGAGGATATTGATGCTGGAGCGGATGCTTGGGGCGATGACGAGTATCTTGTTGGTGAAGACGGAGCTCCCGAATTTGACGAAGGCGAAGGTGGAAGTGGTGTTGAGGATGGTGAAGAAGGAGGATGGGACGTTGACGATGATCTTGTCATTCCGGATGTTGCTGATGAGAATGCCGGCGAGGGTTTGTCTTGCCAATCGCCTGTTTGTTTCATAAAATTTGTGATTCAGATGACGAGGAGGTTGTTCCGAATCCAGCACCGCCAGTTTCCTCAGAATGGCCGACGGCTTCTCGTCTTGCCGCTGACCATGTTGCCGCCGGATCTTTCGATACCGCCATCAAGATCCTCCGCAACACCATTGGTGTCATCAATGCTGCGCCATTCAAAGAAGTTTTCTTGCGTGTCTATGCTACATCGCGCCTCTCGCATCGCGGATGGGGTGGATTGGGTGCTGCTGGTCCGATCATGATCCATCCGATTCGCAACTATCAGGATGAGAAGAACCACTTGCCGCTTCCGGCTGTTCGACTCTCGCTTTTGGCTAAGAAGCTTCAAAAGTCATACCAATTGACGACTAATGGAAAATTCGGTGACGCGATTGTGAAACTTCGCGAGATTCTCCTCTCGATTCCTTTGCTTGTCGTCTCGTCGAAGCAGGAAGTCGCTGAAGCGGAACAATTGATTGCTATCACTAGGGAATACTTGGCTGCGCTTCTTCTTGAGACCCATCGCAAAGAGCTTCCGAAGACGAATGCGGCGGAGCTTAAGCGAAATGCCGAGCTCGCCGCCTACTTCACCCACTTTGAATTGCAGCCGATGCATCGGATTCTCACTCTTCGTTCGGCGATCAACACGTTCTTCAAGATGAAACAAATGCGCACTTGTGCGTCGCTTTGCAAAAGATTGCTCGAGTTGGCTCCGAAGCCGGAAGTTGCGGCACAGATTCGAAAGGTGCTCGCGGCGGCTGAGAAGGACAACAACGATGCTCATCAGGTAGGAGTAGATTGCGATGAATCGAACAAGGCTTAACATGAATGAATTTCAGTTTGCTTATGACGAGCACAATCCGTTTGTGGTGTGCTCGCGAGAGTTTGTGCCGATCTACCGCGGCCGTCCGGTGTGCAAGTGCTCATTCTGCGGTGCGTCGTTCTCGGAGGGACTCGAAGGGCAATTGTGCGATGTGTGCCAAGTGGCTGAAATTGGCAAAAACGTGCTTGGCTTGAGAATTTCGACGCTTAAAAATTAATTTTTTGTGATTTGTTCCATGTGATATGACATAATTTATTGATTTTTGAATGCCTGCCCGTCCCCCACCCATTCTTGTGTCCTCCGCTTCCACTGAATCTTCGATTTTTCTTTTGTTGTTGCAAAAACAGTTAATTTATTGTGCCTTTCTTTCTGGAAATTGGCATTTTTTTAAAGAATTTGTAGCCGAAAATATTTTTTCTTGCGTTTTTTTTGTATTCTTACTCTTTGGGGGATTTTTAAAAAATATTTACTGAGAAAATATAACTGGATGCTGGTTTATTGTCGAATTGTATTTTATTCAATAAACAGAATTGCTTGAAATTATTGTTTTCAATGTTTTTGCGATTAAAAAGAATGCCGATATTTTCCGCACTGGTGTCGTCAAATGTGGTGCATTGGTTCACTTTGGGGCGTCGCTGGCTGTGCAAACACCGCGCTGATTCATTCACTTCATTTATTTTGCACAAGCAATTAAAAGGAACTTTTATCTAGTTTTTGGAAGCTTTGTTTTAATTATGGAACATTTTTGTTATAAAAATTATTTTAAATGGTCTTGCGACGAATAAAAAATGATTTCGAAATAGTGTGATGCGATGGAAGGTGTAATTTTCGGATTTTCCTTCTAATCGCCAACATTCCACTCGTCTTTTTGCCGACCCATTTTTTATTATAACTTTAGAATTCAACAAATAAATTTTGCATATTTTATAGCTTTTTTATACTTGAAACTTTTGTATTCCTTTTTTATTGACATTTGGGATTTCTGACGTCTCTTCGCATTCGCTTTCGTTACATTATTTGATTTCTCGTTATTCTGATCGATAAATGTATATATTCAGAATGTCGGCGCACGCTCTTCCGGCATGCGTTATCGATAACGGAACGGGTTACACGAAACTCGGCTACGCGGGTAACTTCGAGCCGCAATTCATCATTCCTTCTGGTGAGTTTTGGCAATAAAAAAATGTGATTTGTAATTTATTTTGTTCAGCAATTGCTGTTAGAGATCGAGTTGCCAGCTCGAACTCGCAAGCGTTGCGTTGGAACACCAGCGGCGGCGCCAGAATTGACGATTTGGACTTTTTCATTGGTGATGAGGCATTGTCGCCATCCGCTGCTAATTATACCGTCAAGGTTGATTATTAGATTGTTCTTCTCAGCAATTTTCATGCATTTTTAGTACCCAATTCGTCACGGAATCGTCGAAGATTGGGATTTGATGGAACGATATTGGGAACAATGCATTTTCAAATACCTTCGCGCTGAACCTGAAGATCATTATTTCCTTTTGGTAAGCGTTAAAAATGTCTATGCGGATGATAATTGAAAGTTTTCAGACAGAGCCTCCACTAAATACTCCGGAGAATCGAGAATACACTGCGGAGATCATGTTCGAGTCATTCAACGTACCCGGCTTGTACATTGCCGTGCAAGCTGTGCTCGCGTTGACGGCCAGTTGGCAATCAAAAGCGGCGAATGAGAGAAGCCTCACTGGATTGGTACGGTTCGCACGTCTTCTATAATACTTCGGTTGCTTAGGTTATCGATTCGGGAGATGGCGTGACACATTGCATTCCGGTTGCCGATGGATATGTCATAGGATCATGCATCAAGCATATTCCAATCGCCGGAAGAGACATCACATACTTCATTCAAAACTTGCTTCGCGATCGCGAGCCAACGATTCCTGCCGAGCAGTCGTATGAAGTCGCCAAGAACATCAAGGAGAAATTCTGCTATGTGTGCCCCGACGTGATGAAGGAATTCGTCAAATATGACACGGACGCGGCGAAATGGCTTCGAACCTACGACGGAATCAATAATATCACGAAGAAGCCGTTCTCGATCGACGTCGGCTATGAGCGATTCCTCGGACCCGAGATATTCTTCCATCCCGAGTTCTGCAATCCCGATTTCACGACGCCGATCTCGGAGACGATCGATTCGCTGATTCAGCAGTGTCCGATTGATGTTCGACGCGGGCTTTATGAGAATATCGTGCTGTCGGGCGGCTCGACGATGTTCAAAGATTTCGCGAGGAAGCTTCAGAGAGACGTGAAGCGATTGAGCGATGCGCGTCTACAGATGAGCGAGACACTTAGCGGCGGACGATTGAAGGTGAGGTCTCGTCGCGATTTTTGTTGCTGATGCGCATTTAACAAAAGCCGTATCAAATATTTTAATAGTAAGACCTGATCCCCAAATGGGGTGTCAAATAAGGAATCTTCTTTGGGTCTCGCAGCGAAGCACCTTTATAACAGCGTTTTTTTTACAAAATTCGAAAATTTTCAGCCGAAGCCGATTGATGTTCAAGTGGTTTCCCACAAAATGCAGAGGTACGCTGTATGGTTCGGAGGATCAATGCTGGCTTCAACGGTTCGTCAAACATTCAGAATTCAATTCTCCTGATATTCAATTGCGATCATTTCAGGCTGAATTCTACCAAGTATCACACACGAAAGCTGAATATATGGAGAAGGGACCATCGATTTGCCGCTACAATCCGGTATTCGGCGCGCTCACCTAATTTAGGCATTCAATTCTCGTTTTCCTGTTCGATTAATTCCATTTATTCATGTATATCTCTCTCCTCCCAATTCTTTTTCTCGTTGTGATTATATTTTTTTATATTATAAATTTATTCCCGTATTTGCCTTTTCTTTTAATTTTTTTTTTGACGGCAGCTCACACTTACAATATTTATATCCTATTTTTTTGCATCCCCCCAACTTTCCGCTTTAATTTATTTTGCAAAAAAAGACACATTTGGATCAGTTTTATTTTAAATTTTCGTTTTTGCAATAAAAAATTGAGTTCTCGATTTTTTCGCCTTTATTGCAGGCATTTTTCCGTATTGAAATTATCTCAAAATTTTCGAAATTTTGAATTTGCATTCTTTTAGGCATGGATTTGAGTGTTGTGAATTATGATGAAGCTGAGTTCGCCAAAACGAACACCGGCAATAAGGTCAGCAAGAAGCACGCGATAACCGGAACACAGAATATTATTATTTCCGGAAAGGTGGGCGACTTTTAATTGAGTATTCTCATTCTTCGACCCGAGACCATTTTTAAAGGCGCAACACATTTTTTGGCTTTTGGTGGAATAAAATTCTGCGAGTGTTTTTCTTTCATATCCCGCTATTTCAATTCTGAATGTGAATCGTTGTAAGACCCACGAGCCCACAAAAATTCCTATATTCTGTACGATGTCCCTTTAAAATGTCGATGCCGAAGGCGGGAAAGAAGCTAGCAATTTTTTAGTATTAAAAACCAATACATTTTTTTTCTTTGGAAGAAATTATGCATCTGCGGACACTGTTCGACATTTCACCCAACAGAAAATTGGTTTGAATGAGCTTTTGCCTCACAAAATGCCAATTTCTCTAAATTTCCTCTACCAATTGGTTTGCGCCTTTAAACTAGGTCTCGTCGCATTCAGTATATATATAGTTGAAAAATTTCTTCTGCGCACAATTTTTTGACTGAATACATGAAATTGTTGGCAACCACCGAGACCTTAGATTGAATTCAGACGATAATCGAAGAAGGCGTGTCGATTCGAGGCGATCTCGCGGCGGCGAAAATCGGCAAATACTGCATCCTGAAAAGGAAAAGCATCATTCGACCGTGTCTGAAAATTTTCAGCAAAAAACCGACAATGTGCAATGTGACAATTGGCGATTTCGTGTTCATTGAAGAAGTATTTAATCGTCAATTTTTTTTCGAAACATTAAAAACACGTAAAATTGATTCATAGGAATGCGTTCTGAACGCGTCGCAAATCTACTCATTCGTGCACATCGGTGCTCGAAGTGTGCTCGGCAACGGTTGTGTGATTCGCGAGTGCTCGAGAATTCTGCCGGACACCGTCGTGCCACCCGACATCGTGTTCCCGCCATTCTCCACCATTGGCGGCAATCCTGGTGAGCCTCGTTTTAAATGCTCCTCTTCTTTATCGCTTTCTTTTTGCAGCTCGAGTCGTTGGCGCCGAGCCGGCGTGCACGGAGAGCCTGATGATCGAAGCGTGCACAATGTACTACGATAATTTTGTGCCGCACAGCACGCACAAGACATCGTTTGCTTGAAAAATTGCCGCTTTAATATGATAAAACCTATTTATTTTCGATATATTTCTTTAAAATTACATAATGAGATCACATTTTTGGGAGGGGGGGGGGCCAAATTGAAAAATGACAAGGCTGCAGACACGTGGCACAATAGGAAGACAATTGAGTGAATGGAGGATCTGAAAAAGAAAAGAAGAGCCCTTCAATGGTTTTAAAGGCGCGAAACACGAAATTTCTAAACTAACTTTTTTTTTCAAAAAAATTCGTCGAGCAACAAGACTTTTCGTCTCGAGACCCGTTGACGTGATCTTGTCACGAAAAAAAAATCTAATCTGATCTAAAAGACCCTTCAATTTTCAGGAAAATACCATTTTTGCTTAAAACTCGGCGCTGTCTTCAACGTCTTTGTCGGATTCATTGTTCATCGAGCTGAAAACAAAAATTGAGAACGTTTCGCGAAGAGAAATGTTCGCTCGATTACTTATCCAAAACGATTCGATCACGAAATTTTCGCACAAGATATCGATATTCGAACGAATCGAATTCCATTTTGTAACGGGCGATGTTTCGCGTCGTGTGTCGCCGAAACCTATCATATCAATGTCATTCGAGAATCAATCAATCAAACTAGGGAGGACCCCTCCCTATTCGGGGTTCGATTATCGCTGACCGACACGAGTACGAGTGAGCGGAATGACTCGCATCCATCTTCTCCCGATAAACTTCCCATAGCTTTAATCCGAATGGTTCAGTTGTGATTTGTTTTCGTTTCATTCTAAAATTTTCAAATTTTTAGATTCTTACTTATCAAGTTATACTTGATGAAGAATTTCAGCATCGCTATGTCATCTTCTTTCGAGAAGCGGGTTCTCATTTTCATCTGAACTCAATATTCACTTTTTCAAAGGGGGGGGGGGTCTTCCAAGTAGAAACAGAACTCAAACTGGAAATCCAATTTAATAGCCAACATTTGTTTATTTTAATATACCATAGAAATCTGTAAATATAAGGGTTAAACATTGAACGAGCGATAAAACATCGAAAAAAAATGTATGAAAAATTATAGGGTAGAAGGGGAAAGGAAGAGGAAGGCATTGGCGAATAACACTTGTTCGAACGAAAGTATGCGAAATGAACATGTAATATTCGTCATATGCTACACTAGATTTTCAATTTTGTATACAATAATCACAAGAAAAGGAAGAAATTAATTAAATATGATACACAGAGAAATGAAAAATAAATAACCATCCCGCGAAAAAGAAAAGAAAAATAAGGCCTCAATTGGATATATCGTGACAATTCTGATGGGAGCAAATAATATGGAAAAATAAATTATAAATACAGACGACGAAATTTTAAAAATATATATATATTTAATTCCTCTATAATCACAGTAAGTATAGCGCAATTTTTGCTATAGGGTTTTGGACGAATTTTTTGAGAAACAAAAGAAATGATTTGAAAAAAAACTCCAAGTTACTTAACAAAACAAGTATATGGAACTAAGAATGTTGGCTGGAACGTCTTGAAGGAGCCATCTACAAAATGGAGAGCTTTGGCTGCTCCTTTTGGTGCTGTTTTCCTTGATTTCCGCCCTTCTTGTTGTCACCCTTATTAGGGCGAGGTCTGCGGCTGATGTTCTCCGAAGAAGTGAGCACCGAAGTGTCGAGTCCGCGAGCAGCAAGAGACATGGCCAACGACTGCTGAAGAGCAGACAATTGATCGGCGGAAAGGCCTTCCGACGACATCTGGAAGCCACCGGCGCTGACGACGGTTTGCTTTTTCGCTGGAGCCTTCTTCTCTTCTATAAAGAAAATATTGATTTCAAACAATTACTACAATGATACCTTTGTGAGTTGGGCTAAGATTAACGCCAGAGTCAGCTCCAACCGAGCTAGTGATGCTCGACTGGCTAGTGGCGTGTTTGATTGGTGCGGCCGGCGCTGGAGAAGTAGTTTGCGGAACAGACTTTGGCTGGTTGCTAGGCTTGCCATTGGCAACCAGCTTCTGAGTGGTTCCGAAAGAAGAAATGGCGTTTAGGAGTGCCGTAGCGTCCAACGAAAGCTGAGCTTTCGGGTTGGCCGAAAGAGTCGCCTTTAGTGCCTTTTCGCGATCGTTTAAAGCTAAACGAATAGCGTTAAAGGCCGTGCTCAATGGGTCAGATGAAACAGCAGCAGCGGGAGTTCCAGTTGTTTTCTGCGCAACAGCTTGAGGCTTGCTGACAATCTCTGGAGCAACGTGGGATTTAGCGGCTGGCGGAACTGCATCAGTTGTTGCAGTCGATGGTGTTTCGGTAGCGGCGGCAGATTTTCCCTTCGACTTCTTATTCTTCTTCTTCTTGGCTGCGGCGACACTGACTCCACTAGAGGTTACCCAGTCTCCGAGAATGCTGGCAGCCCCATCTAAAAAATAAATACATTTTTAATTATATCCTTTAGTATGTTACAAATTACCCTCGCAGAAAGCTTGAATGGTTTTATTGACATCGAGATCGAAGGAATGAAGAACCATAACGATATCATTGGTGGTGGCGTTGTCGACGACTTCGCGCACCTTAGCCACTTTATCGGCAATAAGCTTCTTCTCACTCTGATTTGGTGCCATGTTCTGAAAGAATTATAGCTAGAAACCAAGCAAAGAAAACCACAAATAGGTAATGGAACTAAGATAACGATTGATATGCAGAAAAGTGATAAGTTGGATTCTCAATTTGTGGCCAGGTAAGCGGCGCGGTCGCGCTGCGTTTATTGTTTACATTTTGACGTTACTCAATCATTAATGGAATGTTTTCAAATAATATATTTTCGACATTACAGGTGGTGCGCACAAAAGATGAACTACGACACAAGAAAATAAATAAGATGAAATACACGGGGAAAAGAAACGGGGGCACAAATGCCACGAAGAGGAACCGAGTATACTTGCAACGCGTGGGTCTCGCCGCGCGCGAACTACGGTAACACACTTTTGAGTGTGCGCAAATTCACTTGTCATAAAAATTTCGTTTCGCTCCTAAATTTTTTGTTTCCTTGCGATTTGTCGTTAATTTCTCGTCTTTTTCATCGACATTCTTCGCTTTGCCATTGAGTAATATTTTTTCAGGGTAAAATGTCTAAGGTTTCGAGAGAAACTTTAACCGATGCTATCAATGAGGTCCTTAAGGGCTCTCAGGAGAAGCCACGCAAGTTCCGTGAGACCATCGAGCTCCAGATCGGTTTGAAGAACTACGATCCACAAAAGGACAAGCGTTTCAGCGGATCCATCAGGTAGCTACCACCTGCATTATGTCAGGAAGTCGTTAATATTAACGACGGACCTCCACCCAGGGTCTTAAATATTGGGAAGGCATTTAACGCCGAAATTTTAATTATCTTTTTAAAATTTATGTTATGAAGATCTGGTATGATTTTCTGTTGTTAAGAAAATCTTATTTTAATATTCTTATTTCAGACTGAAGCACATCCCTCGCCCAATGATGAAGGTGTGCGTCTTCGGAGATCAGCACCATCTTGATGAGGCTGCCGCCGCTAACCTTCCAGCCATGAGCGCTGATGACTTGAAAAAACTCAACAAGAACAAGAAACTCATCAAGAAGCTTGCCAAGAGCTATGATGCTTTCCTTGCCTCCGAGTCGCTTATCAAGCAGATCCCACGTATCTTGGGTCCAGGACTCAACAAGGCCGGTAAATTCCCGTCCGTTGTTTCCCACGGAGAATCTCTTCAAAACAAGAGTGACGAACTCCGCGCTACCGTGAAATTCCAAATGAAGAAGGTATTAATAAATACTGGCGACATGTTTTAAACATAGAATTTCAGGTTCTTTGCCTTTCGGTTGCCGTGGGACACGTAGAGCTTGCTCCAGATGAGCTCTACTCCAATATCTCTCTTTCCATCAACTTCCTCGTCTCCTTGTTGAAGAAGAACTGGCAAAACGTCCGCTCGTTGAACATCAAGTCGACCATGGGAAAGCCGCAGAGAATCTATTAATTTGTTATTTCAATAAAGTTGTTGACTCAATAAGTGTTTCTGACATTCCCGTTTAGTTTAATCTGTCAATTTGTTATCTTGAAACTAATAGGAACAGATACACGTTATGCTGGAGATGAATGGGTGTGTCCACTGCCAGATAAGACATCAAGTTTATAGATTGTTTATGAGAGAGATAAAAAAAAACGTTTGGTGAAAAGTGGGTTGAATTTTCGGGAATTAAAAAGTATTCAGTTGGAAGCGACTATTTCTAAATGTTCGGAAAATTGGCGCGTAGGAACTATGACAAGTTTTGTCGAATTAGCGCTGTTGAAAGAATGAGTTATTAACTGATTCTGAGAAAACGCTTCTTTTCATCTGCATTTTGTGGATAACCATAATTCGAAAGAGTTTTGGACTATGCATAAAGTGCGGTGGCAGTGGTAAATAAGCCACCATCTAAGAAGCTTAGTGCTCTGCATGTATGCACTCTCTCAGCTAGGTGTTGTATAAGGCAAAGCTGCTCCGCCGGAGTCATGTATTACAAATCTAGCTGACAAATCATATTTTTATTCGTGATGGTCAACTTCAGAATGCAAATCGACGGGCTCTCACCACCGGCTCGTCAATTTTTGGCGATAGTTGGCGACGAATCAAATGAAATCAAGAATCTTCTTTTGGACGAGTTGAGTGCTAATCGTAACCAAAGAACGTTCACCATCAAAAATGAGTAAGTCCATATTTACTAAAAACATTTCTGAGTTTTATTGTAAAATTCTAGCTATTACAAGTGCGACGTTGGACTCCAGCAATTCTCGGACATCAAAAGTGTGGCTGACGCTGCCGAACACGAAAAAACGATTCCGGCGGTTGTGATTTGGTACAAGAATCTCGAGGAGCTCGAGAACATCTCAAAGTTTACAAAATTTCCAAAGCTCGATACAAAGGTACTCAAAAAATCAGACAGATTGCCATGAAATGGAATTTACAGGCAATTGTGGTGAAATCGTCTGTGGATTTCGCAGATCGCGACAAACTCGAAGCATGGGCGATTGAAAACGACTTCGAGGTGGTTTATTTGCATCTATCGCCGGAGGAAATCGAGGAGCTCGAGGAATATTCCGAGAAGTACGGGATTAAGCGTATTCTCGAGCTTCTCGACGTTTGCAACTGGCCGGTTCGTCAAGATACCATGTCGACGGTAAGAATAAAACATTTATCATTGTGAGCGTCGCGAAACTGCGGAAAATTGGCTAAATGCCAAAAAATTTAATTAGGTCTAGATGCGCGGTGTGCGCCTTTAACTTATCCTTATCCATAGTAATTCCGCACTTTTAGTTTTGCCCCAATATCACGGCTAATGTTTTTTAGCCAATTTTTTCAGTCGAGCGACTTCGACAATTTTATTTTTCAATTATATACATTAAAAGTTTCAATTGAAGTTGAGCGGAAATCAGTTCTTGGATCGACTTCTTCGCGCATTGAACGACCGCGATCACGGAATCCCGGAAATGGATGATGTATCGCTTGAAGGAAAATCGGCAGGTATGCAGAAAATCATACCAAACAATGATCGCTATGAGACCAAAAAACTTTGTTTTTTAAGTGTAAAACATTTTCAGATTTGGTTTACGAGTCTTTCATGGGCCTCCTCGATAATCGCGACGATTGCGCGACGCCGGAGCCGCAGCACGCCGAAATGGTGCATCTGTCGCCGGATACGCCAAGCGAGGCGTCGATCACCATCGATTGCGAATTCACGCCAAATGTCGTCAAAGAGGTGAACGTCGAGGCGAAACCGGGAAGCAAAACGGTAATAATGGGGTCTCGTAGCGATTATAAAAACACTATCGACGTTTTCCATAATAAAACAATGTGCTAACGTTTCCAGGTGGCCGCGGAAATCGCGCCGAAGAAGAAGAACAAGAAGCGTCGCGTCAAGAATAGCAAACCGACTGTTCTCGCCTCCGATGAAAAATCGTCGCCAGGAATCTAGAGCACGTCTGTTATGCATTGTTTTATCTTCATGTAATTAATGATATTTTTTCTTGCCTTTCATAATATTTAAAAAAAAATCCTCATATCTCTGGTTCCATAAGTTGTGAATCTCTCGAGGAGCGCGCTATCACTCCGCTTTAAACAACACTGTTAAATTCAATAAATCACATTTTGTTCAAATAGCATGAAGTAGTAATGAAGGAAGGAACAAACGCACACAAGAAGGAAGTAAAAAATAAACACAAGAAAATGAAACACACACGCACACACAAAAATGGTGAAAACGAGAAAAACTGTACAAGATGTACAATTGGTGTATTTGTTTGGTGATAATGACTAATAATGGATTTAGGCGGCGAATTCCAAAGACGGTAAGACAAGGAAAAGCTGAAACAACGAAAATTGCAACAAATAGAAGAAGTCGACCTGTTACGAAACCAGAAAATCGAATTGGAACGAAGATAGTAGACACAAGATGAGAGAGGCGGAGAGAAAAAAAGCGAAATCTCTTCGAATACAAAATACACATAAAATATAGGCATTTTCAAGTTCGCGTACAATGATTGTTGTTTAAATTTATTCATCACCCGGGTGTTCAGGACAGCAGTTCTTCCTCTTGAACCAGTCATCAATACATCTGAAGAATAATATCGATTTTGACGGCTAAATTGGGAATGCGCTATTTAAATTAGTATCGTTTGGAAGCGAAATGAAAAAAGAGGTGCATAATTTCGTTAAATTTTCTGGTGATTCAGGAACTTAAAAATTTCGGATCCAAAAAAATTGAAATTATTTCAAGAGCCAATTTGGAATTGTTTCTCCAATTCACCAATCAAAAGTTCATTTTTTAGCATTTTCAGGCAAAAAACGCCAATTCTGACCTTCTTCGGCTCAATATTTCGAACTTTCGCTCTCACAATGAGTGTAATTAGGCGTTTTCTCTCGTAAAACTTGCTACTAACTTTTTGTTCCGCAAAAAAAAGAAGAAGAAGCAGAAACTCACTGTTTATGGTAAATGCAAAGGCACGGAAGTCGTGCAATTTTGTCACCCGCATTCATTTCTTCAAGGCAAATAGTGCATTCGCCCTTTCCTTCTCTCAATACATCATCTAAATAAGTGTATGTGAGCGCGCGTGTTTGTCAACTATGCAAAACATTTCGCCTACCGTTATAGGTAATTTTGGGACGAGTAAGGCACATTACTAAATGGATGTCGGCGTCGTCGGAAGGGACGACTTTATGGCAAACCGGGCACGTCATATCTGAAATCAAATAGAAACCTGTTTAAAATCTGACAAAAAATCGGTTTACCCATCATAAAAACAGGAACCGATCGTCGACTTTGGTGTCCGTGAAGGCGTCCGGCGCGCAAATGGGAACCCATGTTTCTTGATCTGAAAAATGATGAAGGGAATTGGTAATTCAATACATTGGGCATGCATATTCAAGAATACCTTCCATGCTGTGACGATGACGATGGTCCGGCGTCATCTTCGGAGCCGTTCGAATCTGACGACGAGCTCAAGAATCGCGCGTTTCGCATCGTCTGCATGAATTCGGACGCATTGAGCGCGTTTCGTTGCGCGGTGTGTCGCGCCGAGACCTGCGCGGTGTCCACCGAATTCGAGCGCGGTCTTTCCTCGGCAACCGATGATTGTCGGCCGCCCATGCCTTATATGAGTGTCAATCGGGGGCCAACTTCCGCCCCTGATTCGTCGAGTCCTGCTGCAAATTATTACATATAGATGAAACATGTAAAAATCGATGGAATGATAAGATAAGAGCTACCGATAGGCGACGAAAAGAACGAAGAATTCGAAAAAATTGGCTTCTCGATACATTTTTTGCGAAATGCTTGAATGCCTCACAATAGAAGGAGAAGCTTGAAATATTTGTTCAAAGGGCAGAACACCATGCAAAAAATAAATAAAGTAAAGCGGCGTTTTTTTCTCCTCGGACAAGCTTAACTACTGCGCTTGAAGACAAATGCATGCCTCCAAATGGAATGAAAATGATATTGAGGTATAAGCTCTGAAACAGAAAAACAAAAAATGAATTCCTTGGTTGCCATCAAAAGTTGAAATGAATGTCGCGTGACGAAAAATACGAAATCGTGTCGTCACATGGTTTAAAATTTATCTATAAAATGAAATAAAATTGTTGCGAGAAGATGTTTTTTTTCGACAAGAAAGACGGAAAAAATGAGCGAATGTGATATTCGAGGAAATTCGAAACCAAGTCTGCGTACACCGAGACGCAATAATGCGGATGACAAATTGGTGTCTTATCAAAAAATTAGCAAGAAAAATAGCTTGAAAGGTGGCGAGATGAGGCTAAAAATGATGTTATTTGCAATTTTTCGAGCAAAGCGACGGACCTTCTCCTTCTCCTCAAAAAAAAAAACGCATTGCGCGAGCTTCAAGTGAGTGCGCGTGTTCGTCTCACTGTCTTCTCTTTTGCGTCTGGCATGCTTCTTCTTCTTCTCCGTCCCTCCCATTTTCGTCTCGCAGTTGCTTTTTCGACGGCATGCGAAAAATGAATAGGAAAAAAAAACGAATGAAATTTTCCAAAAAAAAAAAAAAGAAAATGAAGAACACAGCTCTTACCAATCAACGTAACTCCTCAAAAAAGAAATGCGCGCTATCGCACGCATATATAATTTATATATTAATCTATGATTTTTAAAAATTGACATATATGACGTAAATCGATCAGGTTTAACGAAAACACTCATGAAATCATTCAAGCAAGGTTTTCGAATATCGCGGGCTTTGGATCCCGCAGTGATGTGACATTGGATTAATGGAATTGCGATTTTGAAATCGCTTTCAATAAAATTTGAATTTGGCGCGAATTTTTTGGGTCTCGCACCAAAATAATGGTTTTTCATTCAAGACTCAATTAATTATCTTACTATGGAATTTGAATTTTGCGCGCATTTGAAGGGAATGATTTTTTTTACTTGATTCCTAAAAGTAAAATTTTATTCTTAAAAAAATTCAATTTCGCGCATTTTCAAGTTTAGAAATTCCATGCGAGACCTATTGATGATCCGAAATGTCCTAAAAAAATTTTAAATGCTTTTGGGTCTCACAACTAAGAAAGTTTTAAATACTCATCTAGGCGCGCTCCAATCAAAAAAATATTTTCAAATATGGAATTGTCTGCAAAAAAAATACAGTCGACAGTCCACACGAGACCCAAGTATATATTTTTTCCAATGACGTAAAATGATTAAAATTCGAAATTCGGCGAGTAAAATGCGAATCAGAGATTCGCGTTGACACCCAAACTTCGAAATTTGCACGTTTGCGAAAAGAGCTCTTGAGGCAATAACAAAATTAGGAGATTCTCAAAAAGTTGGAAAAAGTCAATTTTGAATCGAGAATTGAAATCAGACACATGTGACACGATTTCATCAAGAGGGCATACGGCAGAAATGGTGTTGAAAGAAAGGACAAACACAATGATCGATAACATCTTTAAAAAGCGAATCGTTGCGGGACCAGAAAAAACACGGCGCCAGGCATACAGAGTGTCTCGCTCTCGTCGCGCTCGCAAAAAAAAAACGAATATAATATTTTTGTTCGCTTGTCTTGTGCTCTCTACACCTGGTGCGGAATGGAGAGGAGTTGTAAAAATGTCGAACGGCACATTGCTCGGGCACACGGATGAGATGATAGATTGATTGAAAGGCGAGACGGCAGCGCGGGCAGCGGCCAATCAATCGATACCGTTCGACCGCGATGGTGGTTTCGGTGGGAGGGGTGTGCGACTCGTTGTTTGTGCATTTAATTGCCCCCCGCTCTAATTTCAATCATCGAGATGACGACGACGGGCTGGCATGTCGAAAACAATTCATGTGAGGGGCTTCTTGATAAGAATATCGTTATCTCTGATACGCGTTTCTCAACAAGTTATTCCCTCACTTTAATCGAAAATATTTTTCTTTTTCGGCCGCCGTCATTGCGAAATTTGAATGTTCCAGAACAATTCGGGGTTCTCTTGTTTTTTTTTTCCTCTGAAATTCCCACAATTTGACAACCTACACTTTGTTTAGACTTTGAGAAATCATTAATAGGAAACCGGAAAAATTAGAAAAACATGAATGATAGTGGAACACGTGAGAACGCGGCCGTGTTGTTCGCGAATGACCTAGAAAAACAATAACTAGGCCGCCGGCCATGCACGCAGCCCGTCAGCGAACAATATTCGCCAATATTCCGTTGTGATTTCTTGGTGTCAATCGCAATTTTTCAGAACTGCATGCGGTAAACCCGTTCGTCATCATTTATCAGTACGTTTCATAATTTCTTAACGATGTATACTAGACAAGTCTCGTGTTATCAATCAAACACCTTCATTTCGTTTGCAAATTTCCAGAAATGGAGGAGATCTTAACGAATTTCCGTCGGAATCGACTGTTCAGCATTCAAAGTTTGGACGCCGATGATCCGAATTCGATGCGTTCGCGAGCCGCAACAATGTCCGCAGCAGCTGGAGCGCAAGTCGATCATGGAATCAAGGTATGAAAGTTTCATATAATGTAAGCAGCCGTGATACATATTTTAGGTTCTTAAAGAATTGTCAATAATTGTGCTGGAAACCGCTTTAAGACTACCAGGCCTGATTTTAATGGAATTATGGTGGAGAAATCTGGATCTCTCGTTCGAGGACATATCGCAGGAAATGCTTAAAAAGGTATCTGCAAGAAAAAGTTGGCTGACAAAATCAGTCGCCTTGGGACCCATTACAATTTTTGGCAAAATTAATTAATGGTTTTTTAAATTGAAGTTTTCAATTATTTAATTTTTGAATATTCGAAAAATTGAGACGAATCACAAAATTTCAACTCAAAATTAGAATAAATAGTTGGGTCTTGTGGCGATCAATTTCCCTGGTTTTTTTCTCAGAAGCAGACTATGTTGAAAAAAAATTAGTCTATAATCATTCGATCATCAGGTGATAAGAAATTTAACTTGTAGGCTCCATTCAACTCATATTTGGATATCACCACCGTTCTCGATTTCGTGCATCGCCGAAACTTTGACAATTCCGCCGCCATCATTCTCAATTATTCAGTGATATTGATAAGTTTGATGTTCCTCACGCTTCCGTTGAATCGACTCTTTCGAATGTATTCGCATTCGATGTCGATCGCCGTGTTCGCGTTCGCCCATTACATGTCGTTCACCTACGTTCAATTGGAAATTGATGCCGGCGACGAGGATATCAAACTCGACGATTTCGTCAAACTCGAAAGACACGGATTCCATTTTTTGGCGCAGGTCGGAATTGGCCGAATCGCAAGAAATATATTCCTCGTTGATTTCAGATGCTGTTGGCTCTTTGCCAATCTCTGCTTCTCGAATTGGAATCGGAGCATTGGCGCGTGTTTCTCGCGATGTTCTGCATTCCGATCGTCTCAAGAATGTGCGGTTGCCCTTTGGACAAATTGATGCTGAGTAAGTGTAGATCACATATTGATGTGTGATTGCGTCGAACATTCCAGCGCACAACATCGCGTGCGGTCTCGTGATGATCTTCGTCTGCTTCTACATGCTCTACCGTTTGCCGAATCTCATCAAGGCGATTCGCGTCGCGTTTCGACAAATCAAGGCAATCTTTGTGATTCGCGGTTTAGCGATGGGCTCGGTGACGGTGTGGCGACGATTGAGAATCGCCGAACTCATGGCGTTCACGTGGATCACGATATTCTCATCGCGACTTTATGTCGAGATGATCGAGAAAGGACGACCGTGGTGGGAAGCCGGGCCGGTGCTGCTCGCCGGTGTTGCCGAGAGCACCAACACGCCGATATCGCTGCTCGCGCTCGCCATCACTGTCTCATTCTTCTGCAAATGGGTTGCCGATGCCGCGCAGTTGGTCGTCGGCGGCCAACGCGATCATGGGCATGTTTTGGCACATTCCGGGTAGATAGCATCGTTCGCCGACGACTAGCTAATCGCTGGCGTTCTTTCAGGTACACTGAAGCGTTCACCCTGGTGGTTCTATGCGCTCAAACTGGATTGCTCGGAATGAAGACGGATCAGAAGGCGTTCCTCCTCGGTCTTGTCCTCTTCATTGTGATGTCCGCTCTTCTCCAATCGCTCTATGAGCTCCTCGAGCCGCAACTATTGAATCTCGCCTCGAATCACTCGTCAACTAGGGGCCGTCACATTCGATGTCTCGCGTTGGCGGTGTTCTTGATGATCGCGCCGGCCGCCATGTGCAAAACGATTCTCACATTCCTACCATTTGATTTATGGTTAATTAATCGTGCTGATTAGTATTATAATTACGCATAATCATTTCAGGTGCACTATTATTATTTCGAATTGCTCGTTGACATCGGTTCACGCGATCTCGATAACGGCTCAATATGTGATTGCAATGATCGATGTATGTCATTCTCAGTCAATATTGAAACATTGTTCCTTTTTAGAGCAAATCCGAAGAGCCATGGGAGGGAAGCGACAATTTCACGTTTTACGTGAACTGCGGCACTCGCGTCACCGAATTGCTGATCGCCAAGATCGTCTTGATCTATGGATGTATTAAGATTGTTCATGATGGCCTCACATTCTCAACAATCGCAATTCTCCTGTTCCATGTAATTGTAAATATCTACAAGAGGTTCGGCTAAAAAAATGGTTCTGAAATTGTCTTTTCCACATTTTTAGAATTGAACATTTGGTGCTAGTGATTCGGTCGAGATCGGAGGCCTGTAAGAACATTGATCGCCTGTCGAAGGCCAACGCAAAACAGCTAAAAGGCAATAATTTGTTATTTGATTTCATCTGCGGACATTATTAAATTTTGTTCCCGAAATTTCCCCGATTCTTAAAGGTGCATTTGGGAATACGTTTTGAAATATCCCGTAGCGAAAAAGAAACAATTAAATGTCTAAGAGTTACCGAGAAGAAGGGAAAAGCAAAAAATGGGGGGGGGGGTTTTGCTTTTTTTATATTTTGGTTTATTGAGAATTTTTTTTTGAAATTTCCAATTTGAATAATTTGTTTGGAAAAACGTGACGTAAAATTGAAATTCAAAATCCTCGTATTTTTCTGGAAAAAAAATGTGTCCGCAGGTGGTTCGTAAATTTATTATTGTTTTTTTAATTTTAGAGCGTGAAGATGTTTGCGCGATTTGTTTCATCGAGATGCGCGAAGAAGCCCGTATCACGCCGTGCAATCATTATTTCCATGGTCCATGTTTGCGCAAGTGGCTCGCAGTGAAGCTGGTATGTCCGCTATGCTATTCGGAGATGAAGGTTGACGACGAGAAGGCCAAGGATTCTGTAACGACGACGACGGCGGCAGCGGCGGCGGCGGCTGAGAACGCACCGCAGGTTTGTTTCAGATTCCTCATGATTCCGAATTTCTGTTCCATTCTCAGGCGGATGTTAATAGAAGGCCAGTAAACGGTGAAATGTATTTCGATTGGGATGATATGTTTAGTAGTTTCGCGCATATTCCCGGAATGGAACGAGGCCGAAGGAATCGCGATGAGCAGCGTCTTCATGAAGCGCGCGATATGTGGCCGTTGCTCATGGACAAGTTGGTGGAAAATTGAAAATGTTTGAAATTTGGATTTTTTCCAGCCAAGCTTATGAGAGCGACTCGTCGACGACATCGGAATTCACGATTGCCGATGAGGCGAGATGAGAATTGCTGTAAATAACTCAAAAAAAAAGCTGGTCTTTTATACCATAAGGGTCCATTTTTGTTGTAGTTTGCCCCCCAATTTTTTTTTGTAAAATTAAACTTTTAATAAATATTAAATTATTTTCAAATTTTATTTTTTTGTCAAATCGTGAATTGGACGATTTTCAATACCTTCTTTATAGACTCGAAATTTTTGAAAACGATAAAATTCAATTCAGATGTACCGTCCATTTTTGTCGCGGATGGTCTGCCGCAGCTTTTCGTGCAAATCGGACCCTCAACTAGCGGCTCCGATTGCGAATCGAATTCGAAGCGAGGCCGAGCAGATTGGGCACATTAACGCATTTCCGTACGAATTTTCAATTTTTGATTTCGGGGAAAATGAATCATTTTTTGTTTAGTGAGATTTACCCGGATTTTCTGCAAACGCCGGTTTGGAATCGCCGAAATCCGCTGAAGGAGGAGCTTGAGCGACAAGATATGCTCGAGAGACGAATGAATATCGATATTCCCGAGTTTTATGTTGGTTCGTTGGCTATGATCATAGCGAATCGAATGAGTTGCGAGTTTAGGGTCCATCGTCGCCGTGACGTCGTCGGATCCGAATCTTGGAGCGAAGGAGCACCGATTTGTGGGCATTTGCATTAGAAGAGAGAAGGAAGGCCTTCATCATCAGTTCACTTTGAGAAACACAATTGAAGGAATTGGTATTTGAAAAGTTTCAAGCACATCTCTTTAAAATATTGACCGTTTTAGGTGTTGAAATCATGTATGATTTGTATAATCCGACGATTAAGAAGATTGAGACGCTGAAGCTTGAGAAGCGGTTGGATAACGATTTGAGCTATTTGATTGATGCTCTTCCGGAATATTCGACGTTTGATTTCCATATGGAGCCGCTTTCGCATCCCGCTGGAACGCCGGTGCCGATTAATGAGACGAAGGTGAAGCTGAAGCAGCCGCCGTGGACGCGACGATGGGAGATTCTCGGATGCAAAGGGATTGAGGACTCGTGGACGTCGGCGACGCCGTGGTTCAAGCGAAAATTGCAGAAGACAAAGGTTGGCGAATTGAGAGTGTGAAATTTGAGTGCTAAAGAATTTTGTCTAGGTGAATGATTATGAAAAGTATGACTTGATTGCCGATTATCGTCGTTCATCGACGTTGGAGCATGAGGTGGAGGTCGAGAAGAAGATGCAGAAGTGAGCACCGATTTAGGCGCATTCTGAATTCATGTTTTTGTTGTAGATTCGAGAAAGAGCGACACGCGGCTGGACTCACACGTCGTCGGATTCTTCGAAGCGCGGCGGCGGCGAAATAGAAAGATTCAGAATTTTTTTTATAGAATAGATTTATTGTTATAAATTGTTGATTTTTATTCGATTTTCCAAGTTTTTTTTTGACTGTGTTTCTCATGCGTAATTATCGCATCAATTTTCTACTTTTTGTTTTTTGCCCATTTTTTAAAAACTGGCCCATTTCATTTTTTAAAGGCTCACTCATAAACATTGATGGCGGAATTCAATTGACTAACTTGGTATAATCGGTTGTGAAACGGGTATTTTTCAATCAGAATGGTATCGGACGAGAAAGACGGGCAGCTAAAGCGGAAAACGAATGAGGATGAGACGAGAGGATCGAATCCGAAGCGAGCGAGAGAAATGGTGGGGCGTGAAGGGGTTGGATGCGTATCAAAACTTTCACAATTTGAAATTCCTCTGCTAGACCCATTATGCGTTCTTGCTTTTAGCAAAATGAATATATTTAAATTATTGTTTTAAAAATTTAATTTTTTTGAACATTTTTGGCCAAAAATTTCGAAAAAATGAAAACTTATATTCGGTTATTAAACATGTCAAAATTACCAAACATTGGTAATTAAACACTAATTATTATTGCCGCTCGAAGAATTTGCGGGTGCTTTTATTTGAATTGCCGCCTTTGGTCTTGTATTGAAAAAAAAACTCTTAATTTAGTCGTTATAATGAGAATGACCACGAATTTTAAGGATTTGTTTATTATCACTATAGATTTTAAAGGGAAAACCCTTTAAAATGTTTTGCAGCGAAAATTAAATTTCAAAATTTAGGAAAGGGTTTGTTTCGTTTATTTTTTCGGATGTTTCCGACAGAATAATACCGGCTTCTGTTGGGAAAATAGGCTTTTCGTCATTTTTTTTTGATAAAAAAATCAACTGAAATTGCTAAAAAATCAAACAAAAATGAAATTTCGCGGATTTTTCAATCAGACAAAAAAATTTTCCCGGCGGGACTTTCCCGTACATTCTTGGAGCAGCGGAGCGAATTTTCACAAATATCATAATTTCGAATTCAAGGAGCCCGGCCCGTCGACACTCCTTCAGCGACTTTCGTGCGGCGATTTGGACGGCGTCGATGGAATCGATGAATCGCACGCGCGGCTCCGCAATCGCACACATTCCGAGTTCGCGCCGACGCGAGTCTCGCTCGACTCGACGACGCCGCCGACGACGAAATCGGCGTTGCCGACGCGATTGCGACGGCGCAAGTTTGACGCGACGCTTCGCCAACGAATCATCAATCATTCACGATTTCAGCCTATCGACGTCGGAAGTCGTCAATCGGAGCCTTTTGGGCAATTTCACCGAAAGCGCGCTGAACGGCCGCCTCGATCCGGTCACCGTTCTCGACGGCTTCAGCCTTCAGATGGTGGCGAGCTCGCCGACCTACACGGGACCCCATCAGACGTTGCCGATAACCGTCTACTTTTTCGATTTGAACACCACCGGCGACGCGTTCTTCTCATCAGCACCGGTGCCTTATTTGGTATCCATCCATCGGTCATCATCCATCCATCGGCAATCATTTAGGGTCGATGCGAGCTCGGGCACGAGTATCGAATTCCGCGAAGGGGTCAAATCCAGTGTGTTCTGTTCAATCCGCAGCGTACCGTCGTCAAAATGTTTCTGACGCCGTATGACGTGGAGGATATGCCGCCGAACGCGAAGACGTTCATTCGACACGTTTGGCATTGGCATGTTGCCAATCAAATTGGAGCTCCCAAGCATTTACAGTACCTCATTCATTATAGGTAATAATTAGTTGGCGACGGTGTGTGCAATTAATGCCAATTGCCGCGCCCGTTTCAGATTGGCGTCGGATCGCCGAAATCGAGTGTACCTGCACACCGACATTCGCATTCTGTTCGCGCAGGACTCGGCGCGCGACGCTCTTCTGCTTCCGATCGACGGCGACGGCACACCGGGTTACTGTATTCGCGATCGCGTCGAGATGCCGACGAACCCGAAATATTCGCAAGCGAAATAAAAGAGAAAAAAAATCAACTCTCATTTGCTATTTATTATTTTTTCTTTCGGTCTTCAAAAAATTTTGTTTTTATTGATGTGGACTTGGGGATTGTGGAAGCGCGTTCTCCGAGCATGACTGAAAATCAAAATTTTTCGCCGGAATGCAAGACACATGACTACTTTGACGTCTTCGCCGAACTCTTTGAGCTTCCTCGCTCGCTGCTTCTGCTTCTTTATGATCTTCTTATACTTGGCCTTCTCCTTTTGGAATGAGGCTAGCGGTTCGGCCCAGCAGTGGAAGTTGCTGCAGCCGTAGGAGCCTGAACATGAGCGGACGGCGTTTTGTGTCGGATTATATAATGGCTAATCAATCGCCACAAGACCTAACATATTTTTTTTCATGCACCTTTAATCAATTATTGTTGTTTTTTTTTTTTCAAACTTCGAAAAAAAATGAAAAGTTTCGTGGATATTTTGGTTATTTAAAGACGCGTGCAGTTATATTTGAGTTTGGGTCTCGACGCGTTTAATACCGTCGGGATTTTTGACGATGCCGTAGCACGCTTTGCACAAAAGATGCTCGCATTTTCCCATCGCGATCATTTGCTTCGACGGCAGAATCGCGGCGCACGGTCCGTCGCATTTCGTCATCACCACTGAAAATTTCTCGACCAAAAATTAAAGAAAAGAAGAAAAAAATCGCGTCGAGACCGTTCTCCTCGATTACTCGATAGGCGCCGGCAGCCTGACAGCACACCGTATACGTGTATTCGTCTCTGAAATTCGGCGAATTTGAGACTCGTCGACCCATATTCGATCTGCCAACTTCTTGGTGATCGGATTGTTGACGACGCTCAGATTCCATCCGAGAAGCTGATCGCACGGTATAAACGCCGGCAACACATTCGTCTTACTATCGCTAGAAAAAAAAGGATATCGATCAAATCGCGAACGGCTCATACTCAAAAGTGCACGTCTGAGTCGAATGCATATCGTAGCAAAAAATGGGCGAATCGATTCCGACTCACGCTTTATTCGACATTTTTATAATAAAACTTTTTACACGAACATAATGATGATTTAATTAATGAGCCGCTAATTATACAGGATTCGATAAAAATAAAAATAGGCAAATATTGAATTGATTGGGGGGACCCGTTGGAAATCACGCGTTTTTTGTGTAGTACGCCAGAATCGTGTGCGACACTGTGTAATCGGCTTTCATCTCGTCTAAACTCAGCGATTCTCCCTCCTCAATCTGAAATCCATCAATTTAAGGACCATAATAAAGGATCAATGGAAAAAAAAACATGCATTTATTATAAGTGCGCCTTCATTACCTTCTTCACGGGTCTCACCGCGTTCACCATTTCATTGACATGATCCAACGGCATCTGGAGTTGAAGGCACGTCATCATTTTCGAGCAAAGCCTTCCGCCTTGGCAATTTGTCACTTCGCACGTCCACACCTTTGGACGTTGGCTCTCGAACAAATTTTTGCTCAATCTCGACAGCGGCAGATTGATGTCGAACGTGTACGAGAGATCGGCTTGACCGGTTCGTGATTGGGTGATCAGCGCCGCCGAGAATTTGCCGAGAACCCGTCTGGAATCCAACAATTCAATAATTGACGAACGAACGAAGAAAACGAAAAAGCTCTGTCAGCTCAGACCTCGTCATCTCATGCATCACCGTATTCGTGTTCTCATTGATCAATGCGAAGAGCTGGAAGAGCGCTGACAGCGACATCGAGACCGGTAGTAGGGCAATGGCACGGGATTCAACGGCCCCTTGGCTCGCCATCATCTCCTTCTCGCAATCACGAAGCGTCATTTCCACTTCCTCTTCAGGGAATCCGAACGAGCTCGCGAATTTCGCCGTCAAAGCTCTTTCAAGAAAAAAATCTACAGTTTGATATTTTTCAAAATATCCTACCTTCTAAGGTATTCAACACCAATCTCCATGAGCATTTCAATAGTGTAAAGGCGTTCGAGTCTCGGCATTCGGAATCCGCCGCTTTTCGAGGATTTGATGAGCTGCGCGAGTATGCTTCGGTTGTCATGATGAACCTAGTAACCGATTGAAGTATTTCAAAAGAGATGAAGTTGGAAAACCTGAGCTTTCACCATTCCATACTGTAAAGCTTGAAGGAAGTTCTTCAGAAGAACTGTGACTTGCTTCAAAGATGTGCATAGGCAGAGGACGTTCCAAACCTGCTCGGTGACCTCTTCACCACTGAAGAAGAAATATTTCTTTTGAGTTGGTAACAAATTTCTAGGATACCTCTTGCTCACCGCGAATCCCGTCTCGGCGTCAGAGCATTTCTTCACAACCTCTTCCATTTGGGCGACTAATTCGTCGAACGCGACCTCGGTGACCGGATCGAAAATTACCTCGTTCTCGGGGTGCTTGAGAACATCAGCGAGATTCTGAATTCAAGAAATTTGTAATGAAAACAAATGAACACGTCATCGTACCAGAACAAAGAAAAGTTGTTTGAAAAACGCGGTGTCGGTGAAAAATCGCTCGTCTTTCCAGCCGAGATCGATTTTGATCTCGCAATTCGTCATGCTGTTCGGCGCGGCGAGCAGAGGCTCGAGGAAACGCTGAAAATCGAGGAGTTAGGAGATTTCAAGTCGAAAATGCTACCCCAGTGGTCCATGTCATGTCGACAGTGACTTTTCCCGGATTTTTGCGCACTTCTGTTTTCGAGCAAGGCACAACCTGGAAAAATTTCGAAGTTTTGAAACAATTTTGCGAAATTTACTTCATGAATTGCCCGATATTGAATTGATTGCGAATAGCTATGCTCGCTGATGGTATTCATGAGATCTGAGGAGATTTTCTCAACTTCCGGGCAATAGTAGCCGAGCACTTTTGTGCATCCCGCAAACTGATGCCCTTTGGATTTTGCGCCATGGACGAGAAAGGCGACGGAGGGGAGATGCTTGGAAGTGGTTGAGATCCAAATCGGAAGCTTCGAGATCTCACCGGCAAGACCTTCAGACGATTTAGTGAGATTCATTCGCAATTTCAGAGCATCTTCTAGAGGAATCGGATTGCATTCTAATGAATTTGCTTGAGTTGTGGCGTCGAAGCCGACAATTTCAACATTTTCCTCTAAAAAATTCGTATTTGAAACTCCAAAAATCTATTTTCTTGCCATCTTGATCTTTTCGAAGTTTTTCCAAAGTTAAAAATGAGGTTTCTAATGGTCCGGTACCATTCGCTTTTATGGAATTTTCTTTATTATCGTCTTCATTGCTTGTATCCATCTTTTCCACGGGTTCATCGTCTCTCTGAATAATTGTTAAATTAAAAATAAATACAAGATTTTCTTTACTTCTGGACGAGGATTTACGCATTCCGGCATATCGAAGATTAATGCGTCTGAAGATGAGAATCCGAGAGTGTCAATTGAAGTGAAATTGTTAACAATTGGGAGATTTGAAAATGGAAAAAGTCGGATTCGATATTTATCCTGAAACGTTTCGCTTCATTACATTTTGCAAATATCGAATATTTTACATAAAGAATTGGCGATTTATCCGTGTCATCTTCTGCAGCGAGTCGATTATTATAATCCGTTAATGTTTCAAGTGAGATTGCCATGGCTGAAATCGAAAAAACGTAAATCTGAAGAAAACTTTGTTTAAAAAATTGAATGTCGCGGTCTAAATGTGATGCAGCAGACCTGACGCAAATTTGCGGCGGCGCGAGAGGCGCTAAACGGCGCGTAGAAACTAAAAAGTGAAAATGGTGAATGGGACGTTTGATAAATAAAAAAAGTGGAAATAAAAAAATAGGTGAATTGCTATAAAATTATTCCAGTAAAAAATGCAGATAATTAATTCTTTTTAATTTTCGACCAGGAACAGCTCGAAGAATTGCGAAAATTGAGAAAAATAAATAGAAAAATAAACTTGCCAAATTTATACGAAAAATTAATAATTACAGTACCATTCTTTACAAGATATTATTTGTCAATACTCGCATGTTCCTTTAAGTTACTGTATACCTCATTTTGTCTGAAACATTATTTTCCCCATTTTAACACCATTTAAAACGTGATTTTTCTGATATTCACGAAAAAAAAGTTAATAAAATTGCAGATGCACACCGCTGAAGAATTATCTCGTTTAACCGAAGTTCCCCAAGATGATAATCAACCAATAACGGTAGCGCTAGTTGAAGTAAATGAGAAAATATCACTTTTGCAAAGTGTAGTGTTAGAAAAATCCGATTAAACCATATTATTTGTATTCAGGGTCTTCCTGTCGATTGGCTGGTTCGTGCTCAAAATGTGAGAACAATTGATGAAATGGTCTATTTTCATTCTCTTATAAAGCAATACCCGAATAGCGAAAGGCAAAGCGTTTTGAAAATTCTACAGGTATAAAGCGCAATATTAGTTGATAATAAATATTTTGAAATTGTTATTTAGGAGTATGAAAGAACGGGGAGAGGAGTGCTGGAGGAAAACACTCCGAAGAAAATTAATAGAAAGCATAAAGGAAGGTTGGGAGCACGTGCAAATTAAAAAAAAAGTAGTGTGGCGAATTTTCAGCTCTGAGGATCCCGAAGAAATCCAAGAATACATCACAGAGCTTCTGAATCTGGTTCGCGACGAGACTGTGATTTGGGATCGCGTTTTTAATCCCAAATATGGTCATCATAGGGAAACTCGTCAGGCGTGGTGCAACATCTCGCTGAAACTTGGCGGTTGGGGAACAATGCAGCACGTTTCGATGCTTAAATCGGTAAATTGCTCGAATTTTGATGAAATCCTTGTAGATTATTTTTCAGATTTATCGACGAAAACGTACACAGTATCACAATGATTATTTGAGAGCGAAACGCAAAAATTTCCAATATGTTCAGTAGGAATTTTATTTTTTTTTCATCACTAATCGTTTTTTTTTCGCAATTTTCTTCAAGTGCTTTGAATTTTTTGGATAATGTTTTGATGCTTTCGTCGAGCTCAACATCGCCAAATAAGGATATCCGAATTGCGGACTATGTGAATGACACCTGCGAGGGAATGGATTATGATAGTGAGCTCTTTATGGCTCCGCAGAGTGTCCAAAACGTGCTCAGGTGATTTTTGCGAAATTTTCCAGCGCAGTTTTTGATCGCAATCTGGAATTCCAGCGGCTGCTCAGACATCATCGACCAGATTATCAATGATTATGGCGGCGAGGCTATCAAGGAGTTCATGGCGAATTGCTGTATGCGCATCGTCGCGAATCGCGATGAGCTCGCCAGAATCGCGGTAAGCTTTTCCTTCATTCCGTCTGTCAATTTTCAATTGCAGATTGAATCGAATAATGGTAATGCTGAAGGTGATGATGATGAAGAAGAAGAAGAAATAGAAGAAGTGGTGCCGTTGGACGATGATGAAAATGAGACGAATTTTATAGGGAATGCGGTTGACTATAATTCACCGCAAAGGGTGGAGAAGGTAGACGAATTATTTGAATTTGAAAATGCCAAAAATTAGATTTGAAACAAGACGTGGCCAAATTTTTAAAATTCGCCGATTGTTCATAATAAATAAAATTGGAGAAACAATTTTTTTCCCCAATTTTTTCATTGTTGAGTCAAAATTTCCGTAATTTTAATTTGAAAAATTAATTTTTATCGAAAAAAAATCAGTGATATCTGAAAATAGAGTCAATATCTTCGAGGCGAGACCCAATTATATTTTTTCAAGAAATCGACTTTTTATAGGCTAGCTGGTCCTTAAATGTTTCTGATAATTTTTTGTCGAATTCAAGTAATGCTTTGATTGTTTTCGAAGCTTCGTGGTGAGACCCAAAAGTGGGATTACTACATACTTTTAAAAAAATTTGAAATTCAAAATATTTTGGCCAAACACGGTTTTATTTTTTTTTTTGCACGCCTCGACTTTTGTGGTGAACCCTTAAAAAATTGTCAGATTTCAGATGGACGCTGACGGACCATCGAATCCCCCGGCAGAATTCAACATGTAAATAAATCTTTGCGATATGTTTTATATAAAAGTTCGAATGAATCATTTTGTCGCGCCGAATTGAATAATATGCGTATATGGAAAAAAAACGCGTCGTATCATCGCGTATCTTTTATCTCATTATTTTTTCGTGTCTCGAACCGATAACTATCGTAAAGAAGCCGAACACCAAAAAAAACTTGAAGAACGGTCGTTCGTTTCGCAATTTTTTTCCACTCTCTCTCTCTCTCTCTCTCTCTCTCTCTCTCTCTCTCTCTCTCTCTCTTTTCCTTCGATTGTAACATTCGATACGGTAGCGAAATGTGTGGTGGGTTTGTATACGATAAATGATGCTGTCCTCTAATCGGTTTCCATTTTCGTCTTCATTTTTTTTTCTTCTTGTTCGCGTTTCAGACAAAAAACGGCTAGAAAATGACCTTGAGAAGAGCGAAAAAATGACTTTGATGCGTTCGATAAGGCCCGATTTTTTTTGTTTGAAGAAAATGTTCCGTTAGGCGCTCGATTTCGTTTTTCTTGGTGTTTCAAATATCTGTTTATGGTATCATTTCGACTCTAGTATGATCTTGATTGATTTATTTGATCATTGATATTAATTTTTTCATGTATGAAGAATTGCAGACAATTCTTTTGAAGAAATCTCGATTTTTCCGCATTTTTCGATAGGTTTTTGAATTTTTTAGCGGAATTGGCTTCGATGGTCCCTATTTATTTATTTTATTCTATTTGAATGCCCGCCGACTGGTTTGATTGTGGACGAGAATTGAAAAAGAACACATTTTCCCATAAATATTAAAATCAATTTCAATTCTCTTGCAAAAATTCTAGAAATTTTGAATTTGGCTTTTTTTCAGAATTTGCTAATTGTCTGAATAGGTCTTAGCACGATGCGTAAGATTTTTGGAAAAAAAGTCTCGAGAAATTTTATGAAATATTCTGAAAAGAAAAAGCCAAATATAGTGGATTTATCATAAATTGAAATTTTTTCCAAAAAATGCATTAAATGTGTACTTTTTTCACAAAAATGGCACTGATCGTAAATTGATACGTTTTGCATCTTGCCAAGACCATTTCCATAGATTTTTGGCACTCCGCCAAAATTTGAAATCCCCAATTTAATTTAATTTTGTAGATTTTAGTATGAAACGCAACGCGAAAAAAAATCACAGCCTTTAATTTTGTCCGCAGATGATTTGAGTGATAATAGAAAAGCCGCATTCTTCGAGTTGATTCGATTAATCAACGAGTGTGGGTGGGTGGGTTCTTGCGACCCCCCGATTTCGACCAAATACGGTATAAGGCGCCCCGAATCTTTCGAATTTGCGATGAAGATAGGCGACACAACCAAAAAAAGGTCATGCACATAGTTGTATACGTATAAACACATAGCTTAATGAACTAAGAGACGGTAGAGGTGGAGAGATGGCGAGAAGAGTGCAGGCGCCATGCCTTACTAGGCGCGCTCTTGACCCAAATTTGGTCGTCGTCGCCGCCGCCGTCGTCGTCGGTGGGGAAGTGTTGTAGTATTCGGAATAGGTTATTTTCGATCGCAATCGTGCACTTTGGTAAATGCAACTACTTCCCCTCCGCGCGCCAAACAATGTCGTCGTCGTCGACACTTTAAAGGGACATGAGGCGGGGGGGGATTAAAATTGAGGAGGTCATTGTGAAAAGTTGCCCGCGATTCATGTAGTTGTTTTTTTTTTTTGATTGTGAACCACTGGAATTTATTGTTTGCGTCGTTCCGGGTCTCGACGAAGCGATTACTGTAATTAGTCGAGGGGTTTTTTTTTGGTTTTTGAGGCAGGGTCTCGACACGACGACACACATGTTCCAGTAATAATTGAAAATTGTGACGAGACCTGCCGATTAAGTCATTTCAATCAAAGTTTGACGATTTAAAGGAGCATTGAAATTTTTATATGTATTTTTTTCCACCAAAACCCATTAGTATAGAATTTTTTCGTTCGCACACCAAAAATTCGTCTTCCCATGCTTATCAACATGAAGGCGCGGGAAATAGTCGAATTGTCGCCCCCCCCCCCAGCCGATGTCCCTTGAGGGTTAATCGAATTACCGCCCGATTGCACTATTCGCCGACGACGGGGGCCCCGACTGAAGGAGAAGATGCGAAGAAGGACAAATGCATACATAGATTGATATATAGTTAGCGGCTATGTGATAACGCTGAACGGTTACGGTAGGCTGTCGCCGCGTGACCTCCGCCCGCCGGTTACGGTAGACCGTGATGCTTGTATTGTTGTGTTTGGTTGTACTTGTTGTGGATGCTTCCGCCGGCCGCCGGACAATACATTAATGTTGCAATAGACGGGCGTTATCAATTCTTTTCTTTCGCATGACCTTTTTTTCGCTCATTCACTTCGTTCTTCTCCAAATCAATTTTTTTTGCGGTTCTTCGTCTTCGAAAATTTCGGGGCATCTCTTTTTTTTTTAACTAAAAAAAAATTTTTTTTTAATTATTCCGACCTTGATTGCTCTCCTCGCTTTCTTAATAATGCCCAATTTTTTTGGTGTCGATTTACGAGGTCGCGAAAAATCAAATCGAATTATTTTTGTACTTCGAAAGAAAAAGACGACATCACGGGAGGTCTTCGCACGCTTGCACTTTTGATCTGCCTCGTCGCGGCGGGTCTTGTAGCGAATTAGTGCAGAACAATCGAAAATGGATGCTGCTCGACATTTTGAGGGTAAACTTATCCAAAACTCTTGGCTCTTGCCGCGAAATTAAGTCACGCCTACTCTGGTAATTCAAAACCAATCGGATTCGACAGAATTCGGCTCAGGAATCAGGCTTACCCGATTGGAAATTGTGCGGAAAAAAAAATTTAAATTTGGTTTGAATTTTTCAATTCGAATCGGCTCCGACAATTTCACAATTTCCAATAGTTGATTCCTCTGATTCGAATTTTGTCGAATTCGACTGGTTTTGAGCTTCCCGAGTATGTCGATTTACGAGGCTCCTGCAACGAATGGTCTCTCGATCTGCCCACGTTTGACGTCAGAAAGGATATCCTTGTTCGGAATTCGGGTGTCCGTCCCCAATGAATTGACGGTGTCCTAACAAGGGCACTACGCGAATTCTTTTGTTCGAATCTTAACACCGCAGAACAAGAAAAAAATAGAATTTTGGAGATTTTTGAATGTGATGATGTTAAAAACCTACTAAAAACATTGCAATAATTAGGCCCGTTGGGGGGAAACATGATGTTAGGCCATCTTCCACCCCGCGGTGGCGCGATTACCTCAAAAAAAAAAATCGGTACCTGGGATTTACACATGACATCGCGCATTTATATGTATGACAGCTGAAAGCTCTCAAAAATGCATGGCGAAAAGGTAAGCCAGCGGCGCCTAAGCGATTCGGTATTCATGACCTTATAAGGAGCGAAAGGGGGGAGGCTTTCTTTCGCACTTGTCACCCACAGATTTTCAACGAATTAATATCGTTATGAGCCGATGTGAACCCGTCGAAAATGGGTCCGCAGAAGCGATTGCACTTGTCGTCGTGTTGATCGAGCGGAAAACCGAAGGCGATCGTTTTCTGCAACACATACGCACACACACAACGTGATAAGGCGACAACGCATGATAAACTATTCCCAATGAATAGTTCATCTCGAACTTTTTTTTCATTCTTCTTCTTCGTCTTCTTCTTCTTCTTCCCATTCTTCATATTTTTTTTTACGCGTCTCATATCGTCTCTACTCATTAATGATATATGTGTAATGACAACCATAAAAAAAGTGGGTAGATAGTATATATGTGATAGTATACTTTGTGTGACAACACGTGCATCCCATATTTGGTGAGCTCTCGTTTCCCAAAGGCGATCATTTCTAGGAGTATTTCATATATTGAAATTTTTATGATGGCTATTAAAAAGTGTCAGGTTGTATAAATCATAATTCATTGGGGGGGGGATACTGTAGGTCTTGCGACGATCCATCTTTCATGGCTCCTGCCTGCCCAACGACTTTCATGTAATTCTAGAAACGTTTTGATGGGTTTCAGTTTGTGGGGTCCCCGCACAAAGTTTCGCTCCGATTTTCTATACAGTAGGTGTCAATTTCGAATTTCGATGGGTCCCACGCTTCCAATTCCATATATGTATATAAATGCATATTATGTGTAGTCAACTAATCAAACACTCAAATCAAACTTTTGATAATAGTTTGAGGTGAACTCGCGCGAAGAAGTTCGCCACCAAAGCGCTGACGTATGGTAAACGATGCAATGCATAGTTTTTGAAGTTGAAAGGGGTGACAGCGAATTGCGATTCGCTGATAACATAGGAGGTTGAAATGATTTGACTATACATGGGGTGGGTCGACTATGCCCTTTTTTTTCTCTTTATTCGGGCAAGGTCAATTTCGCCGCGAGGGTTACGGTAGTTGTAGCTGCCTACTGGTTAGCATGATGAACACAAGCAAGATGATGCAGCAGCAGCAGCAGTTCGGTTCCCTCGCGGTGTTCAATTGTTGCCCTTTTCTCTTCGATTTCTCTATTTCTCTGGTCTAAGACCCCCCCCCGAACAACCCGAAAGACTCCGCCCAGTTTTCGATGAAACTCCCGTCCTCGCAACACAACACACACACACACACGCACCGATTTGTTCTCACACACACAAATCGGACACCCCATCAGAAGGCCCCGCCCACCAGCATAGTTTATTTTTTCTTTGGCTATCATCATGTCTACCATCGAAAAAAAAAATTAAAAATAAATCGTACCTGTTTATTTTCTTTCTTTTTTTTGTTTTACACAATTTTCCATTGAGATTATTTGCTTTTACCCACTTGTATAGTTTATTATCAATTGTTGCTGTTACGATGCCACCATAAAAAGGCTCCACTATATTAATCATTTTGATAGTTGACGTTATTGTTGTTGTTTTCTTTTTTTTGCAGAATGTCGTTGTTCACTGTTGAACAGCTCGAATTGATACGACGACTCCGCACCACCGGCATCTCGTCGGAGCAGGTCCTGAAGGTTGGCGTGTGTTGCGAATCGATTTCGATTGATCTCGTCGATTTAGGCATTCACTGAATTGGAGAAGGTTGATCGCGAGGAGACAAACAATAATATTGACAATGAGAGCAGTAGTAGTAGCAGTAGTCGAAGTAGTCCGCCGACGCCGGAACTCCTCGTCGCACAATCGCCGCCGGCGTCGATGTCGGTGGTGACGGTGCCGAACGCCTCGTCAGCAGATTCGCCGCCGCCGACGTTGATCGCCGCCGGCAGCTCATCGCCGCTGCCGCCGCAACCGCCGCCGCCTCCGCCGCCTCCGCCGCCAACCGCCTTCGAGCAGATGAGCCAGGGGCCGCCGAGGCCGATTCGAAGTCAGCGAACGCCGATGAAGGAGATCACGACGCTCGACAATCCGAATGAGCTTGATGAGTTCATGACGCAGGGCGAGGAGGCGTGCATCGCCGACATGCGCGCATTCATCACACAGTACTCATTGCGGCAGACGACCGTCGCGATGATGACCGGCGTCAGCCAACCGTATATCTCGAAACTTTTGAACGGCAATCATCGCGAGTTGTCGTTGAGATGCCGAAAGAATATCTATTGCTGGTATTTGAATTGTCGACGACATCCGGAGAAGCTTGGTATGAGTTTTGACATGTGGTCCATGAGCATTGTATTTTATTTTTTTTTTGCAGCCGCCTTTCTTGCCGATCCATCGACGAGACTTGAGACGAATTGCGATGGCGAGCTGATTCCGCAACGTCGCGAGCGCTACGTCTTCCGGCCGATTCTTATCCGAATGCTCGAGAGCTTCTTCGCGCAGACGCCGTTTCCCGATTTGCAGCGGCGCATCGAAATCGCCACCGCGTGCAATCATGTGCTCTCACTTGACAAAAAAGGTGTGTGCCAATTAAACACTAATTATCATCGTTAATAATTGCAAATGTTAGGTGTCGGACTCATGCCGAAGGAGATTGTCTCGCCGCAAGTGGTCTCGAATTGGTTCGCGAATAAGCGGAAGGAATTGCGAAGGAAGAACGCCGAGAATTATTCGTCGTCGGGATTCTCGAACACTGGAAACTCGACGAATAATGATTGTACTAGTGGAAGTGTTTCCAGCATGAGTCCGCCGTCGAGAGACGAGGAGGTAGTTTTTTTGGGGGCGTCGTCTAATTGCATAGTAAATTTGTAGAATGGCTCGAGAGCGCTCTCGCCGACGGTGAGCGCGTGCCAGAATCATGAGAACACGATTCCGTTCGATCTTTCGGTGTCGTCGTCGACGCCGGTGACGCCGACGACGACGACAATGTCGACGGCAGGCGCCGTCGACATTTTCGCGGTCGCCAAACGACTCGGCTTCCAGCTGCCGTCGCTTCCACTGATTCCCGACGCGAATTTTGCGGCGAACTTGATGAATGTCACGCCGTTCCTTCCGTTCTCGATGTTCGCGACGACATCGTCGCAGGCGAACGTCGATGAGCCGCTGATGGCGTCTGGATTCAAAATCGAATGAGATTCCAGGTGCTCATTTCTTCTGTTATTTTTTTTCTAAGAATAATTCATGTTTAACCGCCTCTCTCTCTCTCTCTCTCTCTGTTTTTTTTTCTCGGTTCGCCTGCCTTTTTTTCTGTTGATCTCCATCTGAAACCCATTTCATTCTTTATTTAGTCCGATTCCGAACAAAAATGAAAAATGAAGAGGAAAAAGTTTTAATTGGTTAGTACGGGTGTAATCATCCACCATTCTTCTTCACCCATCCAATCACAAATTTTGTTTTTGTTGAAACGTTAATTAATAATTAATAATAATAATAATAATTTAATTAGTTTAGCACCTTATTCTCTCGCTTGTATAGGAAATGATGTGTAAATTTTCTGACCGATTCTTGCCATATATGACTTGTAAAGTGATTCGACCACGATTTTTTGCGGTTTTCTTCCTTCCCCACCCAATCCCCCTGACATTTTTATGTACAAGTTGGTGCCTGTGACCCTCCCCCCCCCCTTGATATATTGCATATTATTTTGCAGAATATTTTGTTTCTTTAACCGTTTTTATTTAATTTCATAAACACGTTTTGCGAGTTTTTAAGTCCTAGTTGCGATGTACAATAAAACGAGGGCAAACGCGGAGTGTCGTTTGACTTAACTTGGCGCGAAGCCAAAACCGAAACATGTTGAGAATTGTAGAAATCGAGTGCTTCGGACAATTTAAATGAGCCCAAAAAAAAATGCAATTTTGCTCTCACGATGGCTTGTTGACCTTTGCGGGAGATTAATAGAGCTGAAGAGCAACAACATGAAGACGACAACACATTCACACATTCATCGATACACATTTTTTGTTCCGAAGCAATTGTTGCCTAATCACCAATTCTTTCCTTTTATGCATTCGTATGCGCGTGTGTGCATGTGAGCCATTGAGCATTTGTGTGTGTGTGTTGCACATGCCGAAACTTCGCCGCTCACTTTCATTCAATTAATGCGCCAATCTTTTTTTTCCCCCGTCTTCTTGGTCCATCACAATTATCACCAGCCAGCGTATCTTTTGGCTTTTTGCTCGGGCTCAATTGCACATAAATTATGAATGAGAATGTATCGAATATCAGCGTTTGCGTTTCATTCGCCGATTTTGCGCCGCCGCACACATTTTGATCTTCGTTGTGTCGTTTTGCTCGTTGAGCAAGACCAAGAAAAAAAAAACCCAAAAAAATAGATACTTGCTGGAATCCTCGCGGGACGTCGAATGTCGCGAAAATGACTGACAATCGACCCCGATGCGTTGGAAGCGGGTTTTTTTCAGAATCGCCTATTTTCTAATTTTTTGTTTCAATTTGCTCGCGCCGAATTTTCCTGAAAGAATTGCGTTTTCATGGGAAAAATCTGCGAAAAAATCGGGCTAAAAAAAGCGATTTCGAATTTGGCCGCATTCACCGAGTCACCCCATTGCGGACTTTTTCCGCTACCGTACACCGCAATTAAAATTGATTGTAGCCGTTTTGTTTCCAGTAGTTTCAGGCTCACCGAATGTTGTAATCATGTCGGCGAGCGATGGCTTTGCTCAAAGTGCGCGACGAATGCACGAAACTTGTAGGTCACCGGTAAAAATCGCGCAATTTTCCCCCCCCCGCATTAAAAAAAAATTCGATTTCAGATTTCTCAACTCACACATTTGCCTTGTCATATCAATTGCTCAGCTGGCGGTTTGTTGTTGGGCAGTCGCCCAGCACATCAATTCCTACGTGTATTATAGAAAGGTAAACATTTTAAGGCAACCCGAAATAGTATTGTTTTGAGATTTTAAAATGCGACTTCCTCGAAGGCAGCCTTCCACTGGAGGCCGTCGACGCCGTCATCTTCGACATCCGACTTTTCCACTATCTGTGGGGCATTCGGGGATGTGTCGCCGAATATCTCGACGGCGGTATTTCAAAAAAAAAATTCAAATTTGAGCGCCAAAAATTTTTTTGTCTTCTAGGATTCGGTCGCCTCGCCTGGTGCGTTTCGCACTCGACATCGCTTATCTTCTCGATGCCGGCGACGTTCGCCGCCCATCCCAAACCATTCTACTTCTATCCGCTTCTCGTGCAGGTTTGTTCGTCAATTAAAGTGCAAAAATGGCGGCATCGGATTCGACGCGAAATTGCACACATTTGAGTGTGCTCCTCACTCGAGACCTCCCGTTTGACGTCGTTATCATTTAATGACATCTGGGTCGCGGTGTGTGTGTGTGTGTAACGCCTACCCCCAGGAACACGAGGGTAAAAAAAATAAACGCATAAAACTACCGTAAGCCGGTATGAGAGGGGAGAGAAGCAAGCCGATTTGTTGCACTCTATCTCTCGACGCCGAACGCTTCGTTCCCGACGGGAGGCCCGCTGGGCGCCCCCTCTGAGAAATACCAGGCGAACGGATGAGTGGCGACGTGAGACGAAAAAAAAAGTGCAAAGAAATTAGCGGGGCTGTGTGTGTCTCATTCGTTCTTCCCCCTCTCTCTCACCCCCAGCTTCCTCGCCGTCTCCCCCAGGGTCCTTCTTCAAGCTTGCTGCGTCTCGAAAGCCACACACGAAACGCATAACTATAAAAAAAAGCGGGACAGGATCGAAAAGAGAGAGTGTGGTTCTCGGGATCTCATCGGAAAGAAATCCTGGTGGCGAGATTGGTTTTTTTTTCTTGCGTCGATGGAACTCCTCGTCCGAGGGAGGGGGGGGGGGATCGACAATTCTCGTTTTTCTGGCCTCGATTCATGTCCGCAGCTGGAATGCCCAAAAGTGCAACGCCACCATCCTCTCGTCGCGGTTTTTATTTGTTGATTCGCCATTCGGCGAGATATACAAACAGAAAATGGAGAAAAAAATTGCTCAGAGCTCATTTCGCACTGTCTGCTCGCTGACAACGAGATAGAAGGACGGTAAGCGAGAGAGAGATCGGATTGGGGGGGAATCAACGAATCGCTCTTTCTTCTTCTTCTTCTTCTTCTTCGTAGTTATTTTTTTTGTTGTTGCTGAGAATTGAAGATATAATAGTTAGGCGATGAATCACACAGAAACGAGGAGATCTTGGGGTGGGACGGGCTTGAGACCTGGGGGTCGGTTTGCGGCGTCGAAACACAACAACGCGCCCGCGGCGGGGGTTTCGTTGCACTTTTTGCTGAGAGCCGGACTTTCGTTCTTCTTTTTTTCCGTATCGCTTTAGGACCCCAGATTAAAGGAGCGTTGCGTTGGTTCGAGAGATCTTCAAGAATTGGGACCAATATTAATAGAGGCATCATCACTGAAAAAAAAGAGGCGTTGAGATTTGAGACTTCGCATTGGGACCCTAATTGAAAAGGAGCGATTCTCGCCTTGCATATAGATTTCAATTAATCGTTGACTGAATATTAAATGCGCGTACGGTATAATGCAATGTACGCAGTCTCGCGTAATTCTCGCTGCCTTGAGACACATTGGCACCTAGCCAAACCTGCAAAATTGTCGGCAGCTAGATAAATTGAAAAATCACCAAAAACGCTTTTGTGGAATAAAAATAACCAAAAAACTCGGTTTTTTCGAAAAAAATATTTAGATGGCCTAGTTATTTCCCGGCCTCGCTTCTTCGGCCACGAAGGTTTTCAAAATTATTGTCGACGTCAAACGACTGATGGGAAGCAGGGCCTTCAAATTCGTGAAATTAGAGTAGATTTAAATTCGACTGAATATTAAATGCGCGTACGCTATAATGCAATGTACGCAGTCTCGCGTAATTCTCGCTGCTTTGAGACACATTGGCACCTAGCCAAACCCGCAGAATTGTCGGCAGCTAGATAAATTGAAAAATCACCAAATTTTATGAAGAAAAACGCTTTTGTGGAATAAAAATGGCCAAAAAACTCGTTTTTCCGCAAAAAAATATTTAGGTGGCCTAGTTTTTTTTTTCGCGGCCACGCTTTTTCGGCCACGAAGGTTTTCGAAACCAAAATCGATTATTGTCGACGTGAGATAAATTGAATAATTTCAGCAATCCGCCTACGGCATCTGCCTTCTCGTCCTTCTGCTCGCCGCCCTTCCGCGCATCGTCGTCGCGTTGGCGTCGCCGCACGCGGCGCCCCTCATCCCGATCCTCTTCTATTTCATCGGAACCGCCCTCAACTTTTTCCATGTAACCCGTCGACAGTTGACGTCGTCATCGATTCATTAAATTGCGTGTTCAGCTCTATGTGTATTGGCATTGGTATTGGCACGTGACGGCGATGTGGAACTCGGCGGTGCGCGTCAAATTCGGCCAGCGGCTCGTCAACGCCAACAATCGGAGTCGACGCGACAAACCGCGTGCGCCGACGGTGGCGATCGACGACGCCGTTCTTCACTACGTGCCCGGCACACCGATCATCAACGAGCCGAAACTGATTCTGCCGCTGCCGACGGCGATCGCGACGAGACCCGTCGACGACGGCGATGAAGCCGACGTTGATGATGATGATGATGATGATGAGGATGACGCTCGGCCGACACCACCGCCGCCAATCTACGCCACCAAATTGTCGGCGAACTCGATTGAGAATCGCGGGCTCCGCGAGCAGCGACGTCGTCGTCGTCGTCGTCTGCCGGCGACGCCCGATTTGCCGGCGCACGGCGAAGTGCCGAGACCGATTTTCTACATACCCCATGCTCGTGTTTAGCTTTTCGCAAGGGGGGGGGGAGGGACCATTCAATCCCTCTTACGGTAGCCGTTGTTTTGAATGTGTATTGAACAAATCGAATTTTAAAATTGCAAAAAAAAAATTGAAATGACCCAAATTCAGAATATTGGAATTTGGAATGTTGAAAAATATTATTTTTTTATATTAAAAAAATTCCAAACAAGACCCAAATGAAAAAATATGAATTTTTAGATCACAAGAAAACGATCAAGATTTTTAATATTTTTTTTTGTGAATTCCGCATGAGACCCAAATTTTGCGAAATATCTGAAATGGGCAAACCTAGAAGTGGTCTCGTGTGGAACATCGTTTTTTTTCAAATTCCCCCCGTTTTTCGATTACGAGTTCATGGAATTGCTTTCATTTCACAAAGTGATTTGCCATTTTTCTAGTTTTTGTTGTTTTTTTCTTTTCGACAATAAATTTACACTTTCGACAATAGTTGGACATATTCGGCCGGTTGTCATGACAATCCGACAGAGAGAGAGAGAGAGAGAGAGAGAGAGAGAGAGAGAGAGAGGATAGACACAGAAACAAAGAGAGTTGCACCAGCTGCTCATGCTCATTCTCGACGCTCGTCTTCCATTTTTAGTCAAACCACTCATTTTGATTGGTTATGTGCATTTTCGTATGGGTTCGCTCATCGCGTTCGCTTCAATTCTTTTTGCCGCCGCAAAACATCAACGAGGCTCGATGCTATTTCGACGCTTGCCAGTCGCTCATTTCGACGACGAAACGCAATATCAGGTGGGCAAATTTCGTTGCGAGACCCTCGTTCAATTTTTTTTTCACAAAATTTCGCACGATTTTATTGAGAATTGAATGAAATTTCGGAGGAAAAAATGAAAGTACAGTACTCTGTTTTAAAGGTGCACGATGAGAAATTTTCGCGTAGTTGCGAGACCCATTCTTTTGTTTTTTCTGATATTTGCCTATTTCTACCCATTTTTAAGGTTTTCTCGTTCATTTTTCAACGATTTTCATTTAAAATTATTTTAAAACAATGATAAATGCAAAAATTAGCTGAAAAAATATCATAAGTTCATGAAAAATCCACAAATATTCAACTTTTGCCTAACTATTGCATTTTATTTCAATTTTTTCTTCAAAAATACACGCAGCTGAATTTTTTTCTAATTTTTTTCCATTTTCAGCTTCTCCGAGTTCCGTCAAGTATGCGGCGTCGATATTCCAGACAATCGCCTCGAAGCGATTTTTCAGAATGCGTCGGATTCCGAGAATGTGAGCGGAGACGTGTGGAATCTCATGCGATTTCTCTTTTCAGAAAAAATGCGCCGTTTCCAATTTGGTCCTATCGCTGATTTTCGCTTTTCTTCAAAACTCTGATTCGAAGCAGAATCGCTCCGAGACCATTGTGGAAAAATTAAAAGAGCATTTGGGTGAGCTCTCACGAACACGGTTCAATGTACATATTTATATTGTTTAGCTGAAATTCTGAAAGTTCTCTACTTTCTCAAAATCGGCTCAATTCTCGGCGGCGAGCGACTCGATGACGAATTTCGTGCAATTCAGGTATTAATCATCGAAAATCATTGACTATAATTTCTTTTCTTTTCAGACATACGACTTTCTCGACGTCATTTTCGAGGGGACGACGAAACGCCCGAGCGGCGGAATTATGGTCAGTGTGACGCCGAGCTCGCACCTACTGCAGCCCGCAGCGACGACGGTAAGCTGCATATCGAAGTAAAGCTTAAATTCTGAATTTCAGTTGTCCGGTTTGGCTTCCATGATCAAGCAGATCCTAATCACCGACCCTTTTCATATCGATGAAATGCCATTCGACAAGGTACGAGCGCAATTTGAGAAGCTAAAATATGCGTATAGGCTGCTACTGAACAATTCGGCGCAAGACCAAACGCCCTTTGCGGCGTGCGCCTTTCAAAAATGTAATTTTAAGGAGAAACATTTGTTGATTCAAAAATAAACCCGACATCCTTTTTACGTAGCAGCAAGTTTACTCAAAAAAAATTTCAAATTCAATTAATTCATCTGCGGACATTTCAATGGTTTGGTCTATTATTAAAAATCGTTTACAGAATATTCCAGCGAGTCCGATATCGATTCGGAAGACGACCCTTGCGCACAACAGTCGTCGAGTTGTCCATTTGCACAATGTCAACAAATTCGAGGTATTTCATTTTTGCGAATCGCGGCGAGACCCAACAAACGATTTCCAGCTTTTCCGAAAAGACGATCTTGCCGATGTTCACCTTCGAATTTGCCATGATCGACCGAAAGCCTCATTCTTGTTTGTCCCTTTAAGGTTGTTTCGTGTCAAGACCATTTATGATTAAAGGCGCATCACAGGTGTGAAAGTGTGATTCTTGAACACCTGGAGTACTGTAAGTCGGTGCTCCTCGGAGCCGTCCAAGGCCTAGTCGTGGTTCGATCTTGCTCGAATCTCCGGATTACGGTATCATGCGAGACACTCTTCCTCATCGATTGTGTATTCATCGACGTCTACATCATGTCGAAGCGCAAGCCGGTGATCCTGAATTGCTCGAATTTGAATTTCGCGCCATTCAACACAACGTATACGGTAAAAACAAGGATTTTCTTCGAAGATCAAATAATGATTGTTTAAAGGGACATACCGAAATACTCGCTCAAAATGGGCATAGCTTTGTGGAGAATTCGAGTCTAAAAGAGCCGATAAATGTGAGTTTTCTAAAAAAAAAAAAGAAAATGTCAAATTTAGAGGAATTTTTGAAAATTTCAGCTTGGAAATTCGAGTTGGCAATTCATGGACACTTCAAAATTCATGTGGCAACTCAATCCGTTGCAAACTGATCAGTCAGATATTGAGGTATTGAGCGAAAATTCCAATTTTTTGGTAAATTCATAAAATTTCCAGATTCTCATAAACTCGTTGCCTAAAGCCTATCGCCGCGCGGGTTTCGAGAATCGACAAGAAGCTTGTCGTCGTCTCGAGAGCAGTCCGTTAAGGATATGCGATGTCGTTTCCAGTCGAGACCTGATTTATTTGAAATCGAAAATTGAAAAAGAGAAAAACGCGAAGAACAATTGAATATTTCTAAAGCGAGTTGCGAATTGTGATAGCTGCGAATGTCTGTGATTCGACAATAAATCATTCGGATTTTGATTTGAGCAATCTCATTCGCAAAAAGTTGTGCGCCTTATATAGAACGTAAAGGACGACTGAGAAGACAACAAAATAGGCGGAGCCTATTAGCAAATAAATATCGAGCATCGTTCGCTGGAAGTAATTGAGTTGTCTCGAATAAGGGTCCAATTTTGTGAGTGGTCCGTAGTTTCCGACAAACTCCACATATTTCACGACGAGCTCTTTCGGCTTGAGCGGCTGATTCTGAAGCATCGCGGCGAGGCGTTGGGCGTTTATCGCGAATGTCTCATTGAATAGTATCTGCTCGATGGCTTCCTTCATAATCGCAAAATTTTCTAATTGGCTTTTATGACGAATGATGATGCTCGACTCGTGGCGGGCGAGCATCAGCGAGTTGCGCATCTGATCGCCGAGCACCGGTACCTACAAAATCGGAATTGATTGACGAGGAGTCGCGTCGAGACCCAACTATTTCTATTTCAATGATAATAAAAGAAAAACTCGTTTTTCGGCAGACAAACTTACAGTTATTGCCGGTTTTCCGCTATATGCAAGTTCGTTTGTACTCCCAAGACCGCCGTGCGTCAAAAATGCGGACAATCGATGATCGGCTGAAATGCGTTGGTCTCGAGTGGAAATATTACTGTACCTAGAAGAGCCGGCTGCGGGACCCATTTCGAGAAATGAATATTATCGACCCCGTTGGCCCATTCCAAATCATCGGTCTCATATTTCCAAATGAACGTCACTTTTGCGAACGACGCGAACACATTCAATAGATTTTGTCTGAAAATGACAAAATTCTCGAGAAAACGCGACGATTTCATCTACCTGTAGGAATTTGGCATGACCGAAGATTTTGTCATTGTTCCGAATGAGACGAGCATTGTCTTCGGTCGTCGATTCAGCACCTCATCCCATTCCTAAATCTCATAATTTTGTCTTTCACACAAATCTGAAATCTGACTTTTGACATCGTGGTGGCTCGAATCTTGTCCAAATCCATGGCGATTCCGCCAATCGGCACCGTTTTTTGGATGACCGGTCGCGGGAAATCGAGGAACGCGTTCGAGTTGGTGAAAATGATCGAGGCGATCGCGAACAAATCCTGCCAACGCGGCAAATCGCCTCCGATGATCTCGCCGAATAATTGGTGTTCGCGCGCGAACAGCCGCGTCATTTGACGGGTGACCGCCATTGAGAATCGCAAATTCTGGTATCTCTCGACAATGCTCATTCGGTCGGCGGATTGCGAAGCGAACGACGGCACATAGCTGAGCTCTTCGGGCTCGCCGGTTAGCGGCAAAACGAAATCGAGCAAGACCGGCGAGCTTGCGATTATCTGCTTTGTGATTCCCAAATGCCACGCGATTGCTGACAAAATTGTGGGGTCTTGACGCGATTCGGCGACGACAACAAACCGATTCCGCATTGCGACATCGGCTCCGCAATGAATACATCGTATTTGATGGAAGCCAACGTTTGAAGCGCTTCCCTATTCTGAAGAAGATTGCGATACGTGTTCACCATCATTTCAGTGAACCATCGATTTCCCTAAAGAAGAAATGAGCTTCAATTCGACTATTCTATTGAACCTCGTCCATCGATTCGGGTGTCGTTTCGGCGAGCCACGCGGCGCCGAGAAAATCGTCGGCGACATTTTGCTTCTTTCGCAGTTCGTCGGCGAGCTCGACGAGTATCACAGATTTTGTCGATTGTACGCCGAATTGCGTTTTTTTCGTGTCGTCGGCGACCGGAACCAGGAATGTCTGCAAATATCGAACTCGATTTTGTGGCCCCGCGCGGATTTATTCAAAAACAAGGATTATTTCGATAATTTGATCATTTTTATGAAACGATTCACGTGAAAATAACAAAAAAAATTACAACGATTAAAAAAGGCGTTTGAATTGCCGCGAAAAACTATGTTTTGCGGCTTGCGAAATGTGTAAAAAATAAAAAAAAATTGAAATGAAAAAATGAAAGCAAGCGAAAATGTGTGCAAACACCGTGACGCAAATATCACAGAAACAATTTGAATTTAAATTTTTTCAATCTCTTTATTTTCTTGTAGCTAAATTGCAAATTTTCTGACTTTGTTTTAAAATTTTAACGGCAAACTCCTTGTTAGGAAGTTTCTCTGAAGGCAGAATTTCTGACTATTAAAAAATTTTATTTTTTTTCTGAAAATTTAAAAACGATTTTTAAGACATTTTTTCGAATTTTTGCTTATCATATAAAGCAATAAATGAAGCAAAAATTGAATTTTTCGTGAAATGCAATGGAATGAAAAATCTTTTATAATTATTATTTAAAACAAGATATCACTATGCAGATTTCCTAAAAAAAAAACTAAATTTTATTGGTTGTTTGAGTTTTCTTGCAAAATCTGCATAGAACCATAACTCAAGTTGAATTTCAGAGCCTTTAAACATACAATAACTAATTAATTTTTCTTTTCAATTTAAATTGGATCCTCACCAATTTTTCACCAATCTGCAGTTTTTTTTTTCAGTCGGCAAGCAACAAAAATACGATGAAGTCTAATTGTTGTAGTGGTGAGAATTAAAGCAATCACAATCGAAAAGAAAAAATAGTCAAACTGAACACTGATCCCAAAATTTTCTAAATGACAAAAATGGAATGGTTAGTACTCACGACATTGTGTCCAGCGTCGGTGAGTGTGTCAGCGATGGTTCCCATGAAATTCATGTGGCTGCCAGCAAATGTCGGCGAATATACGAGAACATTGAGCGCATCGATGAGCGGCATCAGGAGAATTATGGCCGCCAAATATGGGATCATCGTTGAACTGACCGACTTCGAGTCGCCTTTTATCAATTGCGCATGTGTTGCACAATATTGCGAAATAACCTTGACACTAATTGAACGATCAAAAATCACTAGAAATTCCGCTGGAATTCGATTTGGACGAATTTCAGACATTCCTTTAGATCAAAAATTAGTAAAATTCAACGGAAGATCAAAATTTCTGACGATCAGGAAGCCAATAATAACCGGTTATGTCAATTACAATGAGTGTTGAGTTTTCTTCGCAAAACAATTTGCGGAGGAAATTTTCCAAATTCCTAATATAGCCTTTTTCTAGGGTTGTGGAAGCTTAAAATTTTTGAAAATTTCAAAAGTCCACTTTTTGACATGAAACCATTTAATTTTGAATTTTTGAATTTCAACACCTTCTAATGGACCTATTCATGCAATGGAAAAAATATTCATTTGAATTCCCTATGTACGTCGAAAATCACAAAAAAATGACGCGATATATCGTAATCTCCGCGCGTTATTTTTAAAGGCGCACGCGAAAAGTTGCGCGGGGTCACGTCGCGAAGTCGGTACTGTAATTTTTTATTTTTCTTTCTGTGTGCTAATTTTTCGTATTTTTCAAAAACTTCGAAGAGAAAATGACTAACAGATTTAAGAACGAGTAAAAACAATTATTATTGGTATAATTACTTCTTAATTCGACAATATTAGTCTATATTTCGTAATTTAGATACCAATTATCATGTGAAATAATGATTTTTGTGTTGATTTGATGCAGACTTTGCTCGATGACGCTTCCGATGCAACTTTATCGTTGATTAAACAAAATACTTTTACAGATTTCCAAAAAAAAAACGTTTCGAACGCTCAAAAAATTAAAAAATCGAAAAATACCATTTAAAAAATTACAGTACTAACTTTTCGCGAGCGCCTTTAAAAATAAATCGCGGAGAATACGATATATCGCGTCATTTTTTTAAAGAATTTTCGACGTGCCTAGAGGAATTCAAATGAAAAATTGGTTTTCAAGATTTCTTTTCATTGCATGAATAGCTCCATAATTGATTTTTTCGCCTCTGTCCAAATTCCAATCTGGGCCATTTTTCAATTGGCATTTTGACCAAAATTGATGAATTGCACCCAAAAAAAGAAAACAGGAAAATAATAAATGATCTCCGCCCACATTGGGGGAAAATTGCAGAACAGATATCATATAAGGAGTGAGTTCGTATATAAACACAATCGCGTTCCATCATATCGCATATCATCATGCATTTCATCGTCAGCGGTTTTCTTCTCATCGCCGCTATTTTTGTGGCGAATGTGACATGCTACAATATTCTTGTATATTCGCCAATTTTCGGCGCGAGTCACACGAATTTCATGGCGCGTCTCGCCGATGTTCTCACCGAAACCGGCCATCATGTGGTACGGTGTTGGGCGACAGTCCGCAATAATGCGTCGTCGTGTGTTGCAGACGTTTTTGGCGCCCGTCATCGACGACAATCGAAAACATCAGATGAGCGTGAAGTTGACGAGTGATGTGATTCTTGTTGAGCACGATGCGATTATGAAACAAAATCGAATTGATCTCGATGAGGAGCTCAGGGACACATGGACCGATGATATAAATCCGGAAATGTGCACAAAGGTAATTTTTTTTTCAAAATTCACAAAATGCGAGAAAAATTGAATTTCAGAATTTTGAGTTCTTCGCTCCATTGTTCATCAGAGGCTGCGAGAATTTTCTCCGAAATCGGACAGTCATAATGGAGCTCAAAAATCGACATTTTGATGTGGCGATTGCGGAGCCATTGGCAGTTTGTGGGCTCGGTTGGAAGAAAAATTAATAAAAAAAAACATTATTTTATTTGTTTTTAGGATTTATAAAGTATATTGGGATTGAGAAGACGATTCTCGCGTCATCGACAGTTCTTTACGACTCTGTGATATCGCATAGCGGCGAGCCGTTTGATCCGAGCTATGTGCCTTCTTGTTTGGCACCGCATTCCGATGATATGGATATTGTGCAGAGATATAATAATGCGCGGTTCAACGAGGTTAAAAATCTTGTATTTTAATAATTATTTAAATCATTTTTTGTGTATTAATGAGTTTTTTGAGAATTTATTCGATTCCGAGCAAGATGTTTATAGGAAATATTTGGGACAACATTTGCCGGAGTGGAAGGTTTCTATATAGCGCTTTCCTTTTTTGTTTGATCGATTTCCGAAATATTCAGGAGCTCATCCCATCAGCATCGATAATGTTCACCAATTCGAATCCGCTCATTGATTTTCCGAGACCCATTCTTCAGAAAACGGTGCCGATTGGCGGAATTTCCGTACAAATCGGCAGCCCACTTTCATCGGTTTCGCAATTAATGTCAATTAGTGGCAGGCAAAATTAATAATTAATTAAGGAATGGATTGAGATGCTTGAGAAGCGCCCGAAATCAATGCTCATCTCGTTCGGCACAATGGCGTTCTCGTCGAAAATGCCTATCGAATGGAGGTTGGAATGATGGCAATTTGAGCAATTTCGTCATTTTCAGACAAAATCTATTGAATGTGTTCGCGTCGTTCGCAAAAGTGACGTTCATTTGGAAATATGAGACCGATGATTTGGAATGGGCCAACGGGGTCGATAATATTCATTTCTCGAAATGGGTCCCGCAGCCGGCTCTTCTAGGTACAGTAATAGTTCCACTCGAGACCAACGCATTTCAGCCGATCATCGATTGTCCGCATTTTTGACGCACGGCGGTCTTGGGAGCACCAACGAGCTGGCTCACTTCGGCAAGCCGGCGATCACGGTGCCCCTATTTGGCGATCAAGTCAGAAATGCTCAAATGCTCAGCCGGCACAATGGATCAATATTGCTCGACAAATTCGACCTAGGAAATGAGGAGATTCTGAGGGACGCGATTCGAACGATCCTCTATGATGAATCGTTTTTGAAGAATGCTCAACATCTCGCCGAGCAGCTTGACAATCAGCCATTCAAGCCCAAGGAGTTGCTTGTGAAGTACACGGAATTCGTCGCCAAATACGGACCATTGACGAAATTGGACCCAAAATCGAGGAAGTTGAACTTCTTCCAGAGGCACATGTTCGATGTATACGCCACTATTGGATTTGCCTATTTTTCCGTGGCTTTAATCCTCTACTATAGTATACGATACGCGTTGAAGCATATGCAAATTGAAATTAAGAAGAAAGTCTAAATATTATGATTTGTATATACATATTAGGTGCAGAATTACCGGTATACAGGGTGTCATTTAAGTTCCCGCACAACTTTGAAGACGTATATTTCTGAAACTAAAAGTCCAAATCAAACGAGACTCGAAATATTTTTTATCTATAGTACAACAAATAATTATCTATTAACTCTTTTCGATTCGGCCTCTTTTCGCAGCTATGACTTCGCGGAGACGCTTCGGGTAGGATGTGACTGTGGTACGCAGGTATTCGATGGAAAGATTGTCCCATTCCGCCAGTAATGTCTTCTTCAGAGCCTCTACACTTGAGTGGGGTTTTGCGTTGACCTTCTCCTGCAAGACCCCATCACGGAGAAGTCAAGCGGGTTCAGGTCTGGGGAGCAAGCAGGCTATTCGGATGACTTGATGAAGTCGGGAAAATGGGTCTGGCACCACTCCTGAGTAGTTTTGGCAGTAGGGGCGGGTGCTCCGTCCTGTTGAAAGACCCATATCTTCCCACCGAAATGCGTTTGGGCCCAGGGCATCATATGCTTCCCCAAAATGTCCCGAACGTAGACTTCTTTGTTCACTTTCACCACCTGATCCACTAAAACCAGGGGCACTTCCCGGTTGAGCAGATGGCACCGAAAACAATCACACTGGCAGGATGTGAGGCTGGATAAATTGTTATTCCTTTCTCTGAAGCTTGCTGGGATGTCTGGGCAAGTACTCAATGGTTTTGTGAGTTGAATGCCGCCTCCACAGTGAACAGCTTCTCGTCGGAGAAGACAGTGGCGAGGTGTTCTCCAGACCGCGTGCGAGCAAAAAGTTGTTTTGCTTTTTCGAAGCGTCTCTGCTTGTTGACGGCCGATAGAATTGCCACTTTTTGGACACGATATGGGGTCAGTACAAGCTTTGTTTTGACGATTTGTTCCATAGCGAAGATGCTCATTCCCATGTCTGACGCCATCTTTCTTATGCTCCTGTGCGGTTTTCGCCTGATCCTCGTTTTGACGGCGTTGATCTTCTGAGGAGTGGTTACTGAGACGAGTCTTCCTTGTCTGGGAAGGTCACTGGTCGTATTTAGCTCCTTGAAACGTTTGTTGGTGTCTTAAACCGTTCTACGAGGCACACCGAGGCGTTGAATGATCTCTGTCGGGCGCTCATTTCGCTTATGAAGTTCGATAATGGAAGCGCGATGAATGTTAGCCTTCGCCATTTCTCGGAAACACATCCGAATGAAGTGAAACTTGAAAAGTAAGTAAAATACACCTTATTTAACAAAAATAAATTGTATTGGTGCACGAAAAGTGCGACAGCCAAGCTTTTCATGGCGTCTAACATTTGTGCGGGAACTTAAATGACACCCTGTAGTGAATTGATTTGTGTCGTCGCAAATAAATTCGAGAATAAATAATAGGGTAAATTCGAATTCGAATTTTATAATATATGTATTATTTGAATTGCCGCCACCACTAATAACACAGCGGAGAAACGGCAAAATTTCATTTGATAAGATTCCAAAACCAACGCCTTCAGTCCAGAGTTGGAATTGCGCATTCGGCCGAAAGCTTCAATTATTGTAGAATATTCTAGACGTTTTTTTGAGTTGTATTGTGGAAAAATGACGAATGTGAACAACTGCAGCGATATCTGATGCATTGTGTGCGTACACCGAGCCGCACATCTCAATGTTAGCTACAGTAATCTCAACTGAAAATTATTCAATCAATTATTTTTTTTCTGTCTTTTCTTGGTGAATTTATGGCTTTATTGTTGAACAATGACAAATGTATCCAGGTGTCGTAGGATCCTGCGTTTTGTACGCAATGCCTAGAGGCAGTTACCGTAATCCTCGCAGCGATTTACGGGGGCTTTTTTTTTAATTTCGCATTTTAATTTTTTTATTTTTCGCCCAAACTTCCGTATTTCCCTTCGAAATTTTGTTATTTAAATTTTGAAGAAACCGAGTTTAATAATATATTTAGCAGAATAAGCACTTTTAAACGATATTTTTTTGGTAAAAACAGCAGAGATTTAAAATAACACATTTTTGTCATTAATAAAATTATTTAATCGTGTTTTGCTTTTTGTACGCGTTTCTATTATCTTGTTTTTGTATTCTTCATTTTCAAAATAATTTTTAGAGCGACAAAATCTTCACAATAATTCCCAACTCAAAAATGGAAAAGTGCATAGTCTGAAAATTAAATAATTAAACTCGGTTTCTACATGTTTTAAATATAAGATTTCTAAAGAAAATTAGAAAATTTAGCAAGCAAAAAAAAATTGAAAGAAAATTAAAAAAAAAAAAACTCCGTAAATCACTGCGAGGATTCTATTGCGTACAAAACGCAGGATTCCACGACACCTGGATACATTTGTCATTTCTCAACAATATGTATATTGTTGTGTTAAATAAGTGCATTAGTAATCATTTTTGTATATTATTAAAAATTAATAATAATTGTTTAATGGAATCAAGAACACCACCGATTTGATTTCCTGTAACAAAACCCGCGCACAGCTCTTCGATTCCATCGTTCTCCCAGCGCTGACTTACGGATCAGAGACTTGGACCTTCACCAAAGCTCTTGCCGAGAGAGTCCGAATTAGTCACGCTGCGCTTGAGCGAAGATTGGTTGGCCTCACGTTATCACAACAACGTGAACAAGATCTTCATCGAGAGGACATCCGCATCATGTCTAAAGTTCGGGACCCCCTACACCACATCACGAAGAGGAAGATGACCTGGGCTGGACACGTTGCTAGAAGAACAGATGGAAGATGAACTACTCTTCTAACGGAGTGGCGGCCGTGGAATTGGACCCGGCCAAGAGGAAGGCCTCCCATGAGATGGTCGGACTCGCTTCGGAAGGAACAGCTGAAGGAGCCGTTATCACACCCCTGGTCCACCCAAGCCAAGAACCGAAAAGCTTGGAAAGCTGTGGTTCGCGCCTCAACAGGCGAAGAACGAACCGACTAAGTGACTAAGTAAGTATGTTTATAAAAAGAAAGGATCAATAATTAAATAATTTTTAGTTGAGATTACTGTAGTTAAGATCGAGATGTGCGACTCGGTGTATGCACACAATGCATCAAATATCGCTGCAGTTGTTCACATTCGTCATTTTTCCACAGTATAGTAAAAGCTCGCCGATTCCGATGGTAATCCGAAATCGTGTCATTCGATTTGTGGACCATCAACGTGGACGGACCACGTAAATTCCAACGCCACTTGGAAAAGGGTCCACGTCTTCTGGTTGAGACGGACACAACACAGAATTACGTGCGAATTGAAAAAAAAGAATAAATTTGTTGTTTGTTTTTGGTTTCCCGCCTTCAACAATCGAATATTATCCATTGAACTGGAAACGAATCGAATGTGTTCCACATGATTGATCGAAACCGACTGGAATCGAATGGGTTCCGTCGAGAGTTCAATACGACGATGTTGATTCCGATTGTGTTGGCGCTTCTTCAGCTCGCCGACTCGTTCAGAATTCTCGTCTACTCGCCGGCGTTCGCCGGAAGCCACACCAATTTTTTGGCGCGTCTCGCCGATGTTCTCACCGACGCCGGACACAATGTGGTAAGATTGTCTCGATGGTCCGTCCCACCTCACGCGGGCGGGGGGGGGGGGAACTTGGATCATTCAAACTTCAGACATTCGTCGCGCCGATTTTTGACGAGTCTCGACGAGATCAGTTGGCGGTTCGACGCGCGAATGACGTGATTCGCGTCGATGCCGATGACGAGATGACTACGAAGAAGGCTCGCATGAGCGCGTCGCTGTTGCCATTCTGGACGAGAACCATCGACGCCGATGATGTTGCCGACGTGAGTTGGGTCTCGCCGCGCGCGACGACACATTCCACTTCTAGACGTTCCACCATTTCTCCGAGCTTTTGACGTTGGGATGCGAGAATCTCGTGAGACATTCGAACGTCATCGACGAGCTTCGACGTCGACAATTCGACGTGGCGATCGCCGAGCCGATTTCGGTGTGCGGATTGGGTAGGCCGAGGGGGGTTGTCCGTGTGGAGTACACGCGTTTCTTTTGCAGCTCTAATGCATCACATCGGAATTTCGAAAACGATTCTGGCCTCATCGGTGGTATTCTTCGATCCGATCGTCGCCTACAGCGGCGAACCGTTCGATCCGATTCTGTTTCCGGCGTCGCTCGCCGCCAACTCGGACGATTTGGACTTTTCGTCGAGATACAGCAATTACAAATTCATGGAGGTGGTCTCGTCGGGAAAACAAAAATTGGGTTTTACCAATTTTTTGCAGAACACAAAATACGCGTTTGAGCAGCTTTTCGACGGCGAGCAAGACGCCTACCGGAAATTGAGTGCTGATATTCCGGATTGGAAGGTTTCTATATGGCGCTTTCATTTTTTGTTTGATCGATTTCCGGAATATTCAGGAGCTCATCCCATCAGCATCGATAATGTTCACCAATTCGAATCCGCTCATTGATTTTCCGAGACCCATTCTTCAGAAAACGGTGCCGATTGGCGGAATTTCCGTACAAATCGGCAGCCCACTTTCATCGGTTTCGCAATTAATGTCAATTAGTGGCAGGCAAAATTAATAATTAATTAAGGAATGGATTGAGATGCTTGAGAAGCGCCCGAAATCAATGCTCATCTCGTTCGGCACAATGGCGTTCTCGTCGAAAATGCCTATCGAATGGAGGTTGGAATGATGGCAATTTGAGCAATTTCGTCATTTTCAGACAAAATCTATTGAATGTGTTCGCGTCGTTCGCAAAAGTGACGTTCATTTGGAAATATGAGACCGATGATTTGGAATGGGCCAACGGGGTCGATAATATTCATTTCTCGAAATGGGTCCCGCAGCCGGCTCTTCTAGGTACAGTAATAGTTCCACTCGAGACCAACGCATTTCAGCCGATCATCGATTGTCCGCATTTTTGACGCATGGCGGTCTTGGGAGCACCAACGAGCTGGCTCACTTCGGCAAGCCGGCGATCACGGTGCCCCTATTTGGCGATCAAGTCAGAAATGCTCAAATGCTCAGCCGGCACAATGGATCAATATTGCTCGACAAATTCGACCTAGGAAATGAGGAGATTCTGAGGGACGCGATTCGAACGATCCTCTATGATGAATCGTTTTTGAAGAATGCTCAACATCTCGCCGAGCAGCTTGACAATCAGCCATTCAAGCCCAAGGAGTTGCTTGTGAAGTACACGGAATTCGTCGCCAAATACGGACCATTGACGAAATTGGACCCAAAATCGAGAAACGCCACCAGAATTCAACGAAATATGATTGACGTTTATTTGGCAATCGCCTTCCAAAATTTTCTAATGATTTTCATTGTTTTTCGCATAATTCGATGCGTTTTTTCGGGTAAAGTCGATTGTAGATGATAATAAAATTGGAAATTTTGATCGAAATAAAAAATTATGACAGAAATATCGCTTCAAATAGAATGATTTTTGAAAATGCAAAAGTAATAATTATATAGCGCTAATAAGACATTCACATTTTTTTTGGACGAATAAATCCGAGACACCATTTTTTGGAATCTGCATTGGGTCTCATCTGGAAATCCCCTAAAAGCAGTATTTTGATTTATAATGATCGTAATATTAAAAATCATATTTTTAAAGCGAATTTCAAGTGTTCATTAGACGATCGATGAAATACCAACCACCAAATTTTAAATCATTCGTTCGAAAAGATATTCTCCGAATTGTTTTATGAGTTAGTCAAAAATTTTGATTGATTTAATTGTTTTTTATTATATTCAATTCATTTTTTTTATAAAAACCTGACGAAATAACATTAAAAGTGCATAAAAATTGAGCTAACAAATGAAAAATTCGAAAAAATGGGCGGACGTTAAATGTGGCGTGGCCGAACATTTCGCGGCCGCGCCCGTATGAATGCCTTATTCGAAACAGGAAAAGAATCAAAACCATGATTTTGACACATTTTTTCGATTTTTAAGAAGAGCCGAGAAAATGGGATTCAAAAGATCATTGGTCCGAATAATTGGTTTTGCGATAACGCACGAAATTGCGAAAATCAAATTAGCGGCCCCGTATTCTGCAAATAATTGTCTAGCAATTAAATAAGAAATTGTGGTTATTGATCGGCCATTGAATGTTTCAAAGAATTCGGCCTCGCGTAAACACCCAAAATACTCATTTTCGGGCTCTTCCAAGTAATTGACCTTCTTCAGCGAGAGCCCCACATTTGAAACATTAAAAACTGGTCCAAAAAAATACATTTTTTTGCTCTCAATTTGCCCAAAAATGGAGCCGTCGGAGAGTATTCATGGTTTGTTGAACGATCTCGAAAAAATCTACAAATATCGCGACGAATATTTGAATAGTCCGGTGGTGAAATTCACCGCAATCGGCATCGCAATTTTCCTCGCCGTTTTCATTCTAACTATTCTATTTATATTCCCAATTTATGTGATCATATTCCAATTGAATCGTGAGCATGATGGAAAGGTGATTTCGAGATTCCTAATGGACCTATTCATGCAATGAAAAAAATTTTTTTTTAATCAATTTTTTTCATATGAATTCCCCTAAAAAATTGACGCGATATATCGTAATCTCCGCGAGTTATTTTTAAAGGCGCACGCGAAAAGTTGCGCGGGGTCACGTCGCGAAGTCGGTACTGTAATTTTTTAATGGCTGTTTTTTTCAAATTTTTTATTTTTTGAGCGTTTGAAACGTTTTTTTTTGGAAATCTGTAGAAGTATTTTGTTTATTCAACACTAAAGGTTCATCAGAAGCGTCATCGAGCAAAGTCTGCATCAAATCAACACAAATATCACAATTTTTTATAATAATTGGCATCTAAATGACGAAAAATAGACTTATATTGTCGAATTAAGAAGTAATTATACCAATAATAATTGTTTTTACTCGTTCTTAAATCTGTTAGTCATTTTCTCTTCGAAGTTTTTGAAAAATACGAAAAATTAGTACACAGAAAGAAAAATAAAAAATTACAGTACCGACTTCGCGACGTAACCCCGCGCAACTTTTCGCATGCGCCTTTAAAAATAACTCGCGGAGATTACGATATATCGCGTCAATTTTTTAGGGGAATTCAAATGAAAAAAATTGATTTTTAAAAATTTTTTTTTCATTGCATGAATAGGTCCATTAAAAAAATGCCAATAATTATAATTTGCAGTCTTTGATCTACACTTCAATTCGCCATTTTTCTATCTAACCGTTCTCATCGAAATGCTTCTACCATTTTGGATTTGCCTCATGGCTTATTATAATTATTACATGTCTCATGAGCGCAGTTATGCTCTAACAATGAGCATGACAATTTATGGAGCAGCAATTTATATTTGCACAATTATTATGGTGAACGTCCAAAATATTTTGCTCTTCATTTTGGCACTTCAACGATTTCTTTTGTACTTTTTCCCGGCAATTGGGAAACGATATTTCAATAATAGGTTGGTTTAATGGGATTTGAATGAAAAATCGGAGTCGCTTAGGAAGAAATGCAAACGGCTCATCATGCTCATTTATTTTATTGTTATAGTTATGAATATTTCGATACGAGGTATTGCCATCGATGAAATTGAGAGATTTTGGATTTTGAGGGTCATCTGTCCCCCAAATGATTCAATTATTCGAAAAAAATTGTAAAAAAATTCGAAAAAAAATACGAAAAAAGCATTTCGCGAAAAATTTGAAAACAAAATTTTAATTAGAAATAAAATCGAAAAATAATTGAAAAAATTAAATCATCTAAATAGAATCGAAAAAAAAATTGGAAAAAATTTCGCAAAAAAATCGAAAAAAAATTTCGCCTAAAAATTCGCAAAAAAAATAAAAAAAAAAAACTTGAAAATGAAATTTCGAATAAAATTTTTTAAATCGAAAAAGTGGGGAAAAAATTTTTATTCAAAAAAAGTCGAAAAAAAATTTTGGGAAAAAAAAACTCGAAAAAGAAATTTCGAATAAAATTTTTTTAAATTTCTACGAAATATTTTTTCCCAGGTGCAAACATCCCACGCACAAATGCACTTTAATGGTGTTATGTTGAAATTTTCGCAAAAAAACTAAAAAAAAATTCCAGAAAAGAAAACTCGGAAAGGTTTTTTCGAACGAATGATTGATTCGCTGCAAGAATCGCAAAATATTATCACATGCGCCTTTAATATTAAAACAAAAGAATTTAGAGAAAGTAATCGATAAAAATGCCTTTTCTAGTTTTTCATTTCTTCAAATCCGCATATTCTGCATTTGCGCGTCGGGTGTTGGCACGGACCCTTCAAAATCATCCTTCGAACTTCCAATTTGAGACCAAAATGAAGCAAATTTTTAGAATTAATTGAAAAAAATGCCAATATTTCCATGCGAGACCCATCACCTCAATTTCATCAGTCAAAAACGAAAAAAAATGGTCTGAATTGCGAATTTCAGCCATAAAGGCATACTGTTTTGTTCGCTCCAACGACTACCTCAATTGTAGTTCATTCTACGACGATATTTATATGATATATTATATATTTTTTGAGTTTTCTTGTCATTTTATCGGCTCTCGCTTACCTCGCCATATTAGTCAGTGTGAAGCGATTCGCGAAAACGATGAAATATCGAAAAACGCGACCCGAAACGCTGTTGCTCATCCACACCGCCTTGATCGTTTTGATTAAAATCGTATGAGAAGACAAAAAAATCCAATGGATATTTTTGAATTTTCAGTTTTACGCGCCGTTCGTCATCTATATCGCTGCTTATTTTCCGGTTTATCCATTAGACATTGTAAGATTGAAAACGGGGTTTCTTTCTCGGTCGTGTGAATGGTCCCCAGCGGCCCGAGAGCTATCCAGAGAGGCTGACGGGTCCTAAGAGGGGGGTCCCCAAAAAAGTTGGAAAAAAAAGAAGATACGCATGCTTTTTGGTGGATTCGCTTCGAGACCCATCGCATAAATAAACGGCATGCGTCTTTAAAAAAAAATACCGTAAACGAAAGTAATTCATTGAAAAATGAGTGTTGTTGAAGAAAGTCAAACGACTTGACGAAATTTGAGAAAAAAATTTTTTTGAACGAAAATTTGTTTTTCTTTTTCACAGGAATACCTCTAAACTAGAAATTCCTCTGAAAAAACTCGCAAAATATTAGGGTTTTTTGGTTTAAAAATTTTTGCTTAAAATCTTCGGCAATGCTCCTTTAACAACCAAATTATTGTCGAAAAAAGCGACAATCGAGATAGCGCTGCTAGCAAGAATGATAAAGAGCGGATGCTCCTTTAAGAATTTTTGAATATAAAAAAAACTATTGTAGGAGTTAAACGACTTGACGAAATTTGAAAAATGTATTGGCTAGGTGCCAATGTGTCTCAAGGCAGCGAGAATTACGCGAGACTGCGTACATTGCATTATACCGTACGCGCATTTAATATTCAGTCAACGATTAATTGAAATCTAATCTAATTTGAAGGCCTTCCCTTCAGTCGTTTTTTTTCGGCAAGAAAATTCCAAAAAAAAAATAAAAGCAGCATGAAGCAGAGATACGGTATTTTAAGACGCGTGATGTTTCAATTTATCCAGCTGCCGACAATTTTGCGGGTTCACATCGAACCAATTTTTGCCACGAATTTGAAGACCCTGCCTTCCCTTCAGTCGTTTGACATCGACAATAATTTTGAAAACCTTCGTGGCCGAAAAAAACGTGGCCGTGAAAAACTAGGCCACCCACATATTTTTTGCGAAAAAAATTGAGTTGTTGGTCATTTTTATTCCACAAAAGCGTTTTTCTTCATAAAATTTGGTGATTTTTCGATTTATCTAGCTGCCGACAATTTTGCGGGTTTGGCTACTCTAATTTGAAGGCCCTGCCTCCCTTCGTTTTTTTTTTCGACAAGAAAATTCCTAAAAAAAAGAAGCAGAGATACGGTATTTTAAGACGCATGCCGTTAATTTATGCAAGGGGTCTCGAAGCGAATCCACCAAAGCACGCGTTTCATCAATTCTTTTTTTCCATGACTTAAAAAATTTTTTTTCAGCATTGTCCCAAAAAATGCAGAAAATTGAGTGTAATTAAAAGAAATTCGAAAAAAATCAATCATTCACCGAATCCGATTAAACCAATTGATTCCAGTCGTTCTTCTTCGTCGTTCTCATCGATATTTTCACGACCTCGTTCGTCGTTCAAGTCTCGTATTTGAATGCGCATCGCGAGGCGATCGGCTCGTTGATGAGTTGGCGATTCTCGTCGATCTCGCTGTTCGACTGCTACAAGGTCAACAATGTCGCACCGGAAACCAACGACAACGAGCTCATGCTCTCAATTATTCACAAATAAACCTTTTTTCGCATCATATTATGAACAAATCTTCACCGAAATTCGATTTTTTCGCATTTATTCCATGTTTCGAAGGCGCAATTCACGCGTGGCCTAGAAAAATTTTGTTCGGCCACGGCCACGCTTAATAGATTATTTAATTGAATTAAGTAGAACTAAATGAATAACTTATTTAATTCGTGTATTTTTGATTTGAAAATCGTGTTCAGAGTTTTAAATTATCTTTAGTTAGGGCATCTGGCGTCTGATGTACGTTGGGTAGATTTACGGGATGCGCCTTTCGAAATGGTCCCGCCACACGCGAATCCTTATTTTGAACAGTTTCATTTTTCTTTATGAGTCCATAATCTCCTTAAATTCTTAATATCATTTGAATTTTTGAAAAATTAACGAAATTTTCCCTAAAATGCAACATAGCTAGTTATTCCGTGCGAGACCATAGTGAAGGCGCGTGCGCGTAAATCTACCCAACGGATGCTGACTACATCAATTTTTATGTTAATATTTTTAACAAAATCAGCACTTATTATGGCAGATTTTGCAAAAAAAAAAAATTCTGAAGCCCCATTAACTACGAAGCAAAATTTGTCCACAGGAATCGAATTCCATCTAGAAGACAACATTATTAATAAAATTAAAAGCAACATTATTAAATTCACACGGAAGCACATTTATAAAACAAAATATGCTACTGATAGAATCCCGCAGACTGCAAAAGGGCTGACGCCCGAGCGGGGACCGAACCCACGAGCTCCACCTTATGAATCTAAAAGTTTCGCCACTGCGCTATTGCGCGCTCTTGGGACGGGATATAATTTGATGACAAGTGCCACACAACGCCCGTTTCGAAGCCAATTGGAACTGCTGTATATAAAATTGCAGGGGTACAATTAAACCGGAACCCATATTTAATAAATTGGAATTTTTTTTTAAATCGGACTTTTCTATTCCGATTACCTTAAAATTGCCTGAAAATTGGTGTTCGTTGATTTTTTTTTTATTTCGCTGCGAAAATATTGAATATCACCACTACCGTATACCGCGATTATTGAAATTGGAGGCATCGAAAAAAAAACGTTATAGGTTCCGATCGACACTTTTCAGCACATCGATTATGATAATCCAAATTGATATACAATGGGTGTGCGAGAGATGACAGTGTAAAGCATAACGATGATGAGCAGGACGATGATAATAGGAGAGAGAAAGGGAGAGAGAGAGGAAATTGGAGGGAAGAGAGGGGGAAGAGAAACGGTCTCTCTCTCTCTCTCTCCCATCGGTTGGCTCATCGTGTTCCCGGGGGCTGTTTTGTGTCTTTTCCGCTGCTGACAACGAACCCCTCCTCTTTTGCCTCCTCCCCAATCACATAGAGCACCCCTCCTCCCCACCTCCCGTCTTCCCCCCCAAGCACTACTCATCATACGCACGAAAGGCGATTCGAATACGGACCTCTTCTACTTCTTTTTCTATCCTTTCTCTTTCTTTTCCTTTCTTCTTCTTCTTCTTCCTTTCTTTTTCGCACACCACTGACTCATCATTCGAACGATTCTTTATTAATTGTCATATCGTACCCACTACACCCAACGAAATTGAAAAAACAACCCCCACCAATGCTTCACAATTCATACGATGTTGCTGGCGAGTTTGGCGCCAAAATGAGCATTAGCGGTGGTGGCGCGACGCCGCCACCAAGAAATCAGCTGCTGAGTGTCGGTGAGTGATTTTTAAAACTTCCATCTGCCCACAAATATTCGTTAGGTAAATTGCTTTGGCTAAATGAGCGTTTAGCGACTTAACACCAACCATCTGCGGACAAATGGCGGGTTGTAAATTGTGTGGGGGGAGAATGCAGCGCGCGTATGCGGCTTTCACAATTCTCATCTGCGGACAATTGACGGGGTTACGAAATGCGCAATTTTTGCGTGTTCACTGGAGCTCGCACCTGCCGACATGATTCGGGTTCTCCAGACAGCGGCCGTGTGTACACCGCGACGCGAAATTGCACCATATGTGCGCGCCTCAAAATTTTAATAGTGCTCGTCCCATCAGCGAGAAAAAAAAAAACGCACACAGAAAGAGAACCGCCCGAAAGTTTTATGTTCAGCAGCAGCGACGGGTGATATATAACGATAAGTGATATATGAGACCCCCCCCACCCCAAAGTGTGTAAAACTCTCTCTCTCTCTATCATCAGAAACACCTGATTTTTGACGTAATCGGATTCGGTGTTGTTTAAAGGCGCATTCGATTTCAGACTTGTCGTGTTGAGACCACAATCAAGAGACTACACGAAACGTTTTTTTTTTTTTGATCGACGCCACTTGAAAATGAGCATGTCAAACAAGAGATGGGAGAAAAATGAAATTTTTGATGATACCGTAATCCGATGGTAGCGCGCTCAACCCCATACTGATGATCATCATCAAAATGAATGTCAATATTAGGACGCGGCTTGTATCTAAACAATGTTAACCAGAGAGAGAGAGCAAGCAAGAGGGGGGGGGGTCTGATCCGCAAACAATCAAAAATTTTGCGCAGGGTTGCCCTTTGACTAAATGCGCCGCGGGCGGGGGGGGCCCGGATGATTGTCGGCAGCACGCAATCGATATCAATTTTGCAGACCAACAACTCCAACTCATGAACACCATCAACAATATGGTGCGCGCGAGTCAGTTCACCTCGCAGCTCGCCAACACGATATTCACACTGTGCGCCCAACTGAAGACGTCCGGCGCGATGCTCGAGCAGTCGCACAAAAGTTTGTCGGCAGCTGAATGCGTTGACAATGAGGTGAAATTTTGCAGACGAACTCAACAAGGTGTTCACGTCGCTTCGACAGGCGTGCTGTCGCGACAACGGCCAACTCGGCACACCGTGCCGTCTGAAGATCATGGAGCTCGTCGAGTTGCGCGCGATGAGCTGGCGCACCAATTTGGCGCACAGTCAGTATTATGTGAATCGGCCCGTGCAGCGTAATGGCGATTTTTGGCCCCCCTGACATTTTTTTTTGTTTTTTGTAGAACGCGATCCGGCGCCGTCGGTGGGCATTCCGGCGAGCAGTGTGCAATCGACGCCGTCGCCGACGACGTCGCCGAACGCGCCGATGCAATTCGTGCCGCCGAATCCGATGTTCATCGCGACGCCCGACCATCATCATCATCCTCATATGGCGAGCGCGCGTAGGTCATCACGTCGATCGTGCCGATCGCGCGTTTTTTTTTCTGATTTCAGCCAACGCCGGCGGCATTTTCTTCATACCGGCGGCCAGCACGTGGATGAATCCGCTCATGCAGATGCCGCCGAATCCGTTTCTGCCGCAGCCGATGATGCCGCCCGATCAGATGTTCATGCGGCAGAGGAGCTTGAAGAAGGTGAGCCGAATGGTGTCGACGATGAGACTGATTTGCGATTCAGCCGAGCATGGGCAATAAGACGGTCCAACTACGCCATGAGATGATCATTCGCAATTCGGATTCGGGCAAAATTATGGGCGTGAAGGGGCGTCGCGTCGCCGCCGTCGAGCAGCTCACCAACACCGTCATCTCGTTTCAGAAGGTCGACGCGAAATCGAAAGAGCGCACGCTGACGATCACCGCGTCGACGATGGACGACATCGAGAAGGCGAAAGATATGATCATCGACACGATTCGCCGCAATATGAGTCCGATACGCGCCGAGCCGATGATGACGCCGACGGATGTGACGGCGGCGGCGGCGACGGCGACGCCAGCCGATGATGATGATGGCGATGAGGCGGATGATGAGCCGGATGAGGATATCAAGTTGGAGCAGACGGCCGATGGAAAAATCACGTTTTGTTGCGATGATCCTGTGTTGCTAGCGGTGAGTTTTTTAGAATGGCCGCGGAATCGCCGGCCATCAAAATTAGGCTACTTGGATTTTCTCGTTTTTTTTTGGCAGCTTTTCTAAAGAATTCCGAGGCATTTTTCAATTTTTAGTGACGGAAATGATGAATTAAAATTTTCGAGAAAGATTTTCGATTGAAACTCTGAAAATTTCTGCCGTTTTTCACTAAAAATGCACTTTTTTTGAATTGTGAGCCAACGGAATTTAATTTTTGCGCAAATTTCAGATTTTTGGATTAGAACGCAAATAATTTCCGAAAATTGATTGTTGATTTGTTTTTCGAATGCTGAAAATAGCGATTTCTAGGCGGCCCAGGAGGCGCTGTCGGCGTACCTCCGCGTGCGCAATCGTCCGAGCGCCGATGAGCGCGAGAAGAAGAAGGAGCGTCGCAAGAGTATGCCGCTTCAGCAATCGAATCAGCAAGAGCCGTCGGCGATGTTGAAGCCGTCGAAGGCGTTCCACGGCTCGACGCCGAATCTCGCCGACGGTCTCGCGGCGACAACTAAAACGGTGGTCGTCACCAACTCGGCAGTTAGTCAATCGTCGCGAAATCGCGTCGACAATTCGAACGAGTTTTTGCAGACGTCGTCGACGACGACGCCAGCGGCCATTCGATATGATCGCGACTATTTGGTGCGTTTTCGCGACGAGACCCGTCCGCGAATGTCGAGCGAAATGCGAAACGAAATCCGTCGAGTCGCCGCCGATATTCTCATCGCCTAACCATCATATTTATTAGACGTGTGATACCATTTTATCTGCCCTACCATATTTATTGATGTGTAATTGGAAAATGAAATTGATTGCAAGGCAATTCCAATGCGTTTTGGCGACGTCGCTCAAAAGTGTGCAATTGCGCGTGCGTGTGTGTACACATCTATTCAGATTTCATCAAAAAACCATCGCTGTAGACGTGCGCGTGTCTGCGTACTATGCATTTTAACCTACGCGCATATTATATTTGGGCCGAGCCTAAAAAATTCCATCCACACACTGATTTTTGAATTTCCCGCCAGCTAATACAAATGGAAGAAAAAACCTCGGCCACGGCCGCTCTAAAAAACTTACCGAGTCCCCATTGTTAAGGGGCGAACCACAGAATTCCAAGCTTTTCGGTTCCTGGCTTGAGTGGACCATTCGTGCTCCGTCAGCAACTCCTTCTGAAGCGAGTCCGGCTCACCGTCGGCGGGGTCCGACTCGTGTTTTTCGGCGGCTTCGAACCGAACGCGAACATCTCGATTTACTTGATTAAAAATCTTGGAATCGCCTTCCACTTCTACCCAATATGACGAATCTTAGAAAAAAGAATGGAGTCCCCTAGAAACGGTTTATATCGTCATTTCAATCAAATCAAAATCAAATTCGAAGGTGCCATAGACGGATTGTGCCGTCGTCGGCGGTGGTGACGGCGAGATTCTGGCGATTCTCGACGGGACACCAAGCGATGCTGTTGATCTCATCGCCGAGACGAGCCATCACTCCCATCGGCTCGATTAGAGAGTTCTCGATGGTCCCGCTCACTTTGAACAATCTGCAAATTGGATTTTCTTTAAAAAAAAAGAAATTATGAAAAATTTTATATAAAATGTGCAAAAAAAAAACGATTTTGCCGATTTTTTTAAATAAAATTTTTCAAAATCTATAAAAACTGAATATTATGGAATTTGCAAGTGATGAGAGGCACAATCCAAAAAAAAAGACCTTCAAATTATAAAAAAAATCGCTTCAAGATATTTTCGAATCAGCGAATTTTTGAATTTTAGAGGGAAATTTTATCGCGATTGGTTAAAAAATGTATTTTTTTCCGATTTTTATTTTGGCGTTTTCTTTTTTTGAAATAAGCAATTCGAAAAGTTAAATAAAATTTTCGCATTTTAAAATTGCATTTTCAAAAAAAAAAAACAGATCAAGGTCCCAAGAAAAGTGTCAAAATTTTTCAGCTCACCTAATTTTTCCATCACCGCCCGCTGTCAAAATGAAATCATTGAATCGATTCCAAGAGACGCTATAAATCGGCCAAATCGTGTCGTCAATCTGAAGCCTGCTCGCAATCTTCCATTCGTCGTCGACAGCCGACAATTCCGTCGGATTGCGCCGCGTGTACACCTGAAAATTGCGATCAATCGATGGAAGGCCAATAAAATTTTTCAAAAACTCACCTGAATGACGGCGTCCTCGCCAACGGTGACCATTCGATGGCCGCGCGCGTCGAACGCGGCGCACCACACAGTGCCGGCGTGCGCTTTGTCGAACTTCTGCTTCGTCACCCAATCATCGCCATCGTAGGTGAAGAATCGAACGCTCGAATCATAGCTGCACGAGACGAGAAGCTGAAAATCATCAATATTAGCGTCTTGAATCGCTTCCCAAACTTCTTCGCTCGGATGCCACGCAACAAATTTGACATCTTGCGTATGAGGTTGAAGAATCGAGGAAACGTTGAAGTCGTCATCCTCGTCCACTGAAAAATGAATCGTTCAAAAACCAAGGTTCATCTTTTTTTTTTCGAAGGCGTTGTGTGTGACTTTGCCAAACCCAGACGGTTTTGTCGCGGCTGCACGTCGCCAAAAACTCGTCGCTCATCGAGAACGCGCACCATTTCACCTCGCTCTCGTGACCCTCCAACTTGTTGACTTCGGTGAACTCGCCGCTGAAAATCGAATTCATGCGTTTTTTTGGGACCTCCAAAATGACGACAACAAATCACTTCTCATCTTTTTGATAGATCACAATTGTGGCGTCGAAACTCGCCGACGCCAATAATTGGCCGGAATTGGAAAAATTGACGCAGCGAATTGCGCGCGTATGACTCTCGTCGAGAGTTGTGACGCATTCCAGCGAGAATTTACACGATTCTATAATTAAAAAATTTAAAAAACCGTCGATATACATGATAATGCGCTCACCGGCGTCTTGTCGAACGTTCCAAATGCGAACCGTTTTATCTTCGCCGCAACTCGCCAATAAATCGCCTTTGTGGTGCCATGCGGCCATCCAAATTCGGCTAGTGTTGCCCGAAATGCTCAAATGACTCGATTGCGCAATTTCTTCGAGCGACATTTCTGAAAAATTGGGGAAAATTAGGGGAAAAATCGAAATTCTAAAAGAAATGAAAAATTAATTGATGGCCTGGTTTCAGGGCATGGCCGAGTTTAAAACTAGACCATTTCGGGATTTAACACGAATTTTTGCTGAAAATCCCGAAAAACTGAAAATGAGTTGAAGGAAATCATTAATTTCTCAAAAAAAAAAAATTGGAAATTGTTCTCCTCTCCATCGAAACATCCATTTTTTTGTCATTTCATCCTTTCAATGCAAAAATTCCTAATTACCTTGCCTTATTCGGCGCACTCGACCGATTGCGACGAGGAAAAGAACCGGTCAGATTTCGTCGGTGCCCAATTATCTGCAAGAGGCCATTTTGGTCACCAGCATTCTGATCAACTCGTGATTCGATTCCCCCCAAATATGGTCAAATTGCGAGCGGCGCCGCTCGAGTCCGCGTGGTCCGCAATTGTGGCAAAATATTGCGTTTTTGTCGCCAAGTGGGTCCCAATAATTATTCAAAAAAAACCAAAATTCCCCTTGAAAAATTCGCTTTTTTTTGCGACTTCCAATTTTTGCAGACATCCATGGCACTTCATCATCGCGCCAACAATTCTAACAATTCTCCTCTCGATCGGCATCGTCGCGAATTTTCGCATCGTTCGCGGCGTCAACTATCTCTATGCGCCTTTGAACGCCACGTGGAAAACCGAAGAGGCGGTGTTCGGCGAGAATTGGGCGATGGACGACGAGCACTTCTATCCGGGCAAAGATGTGCTCCGACGACGCGGAATCTATTTGATCGTCACCGCCAAAGACGGCCAAAGTGTTTTGCGGCGGCGGCACGCCAAAGAGTTTCTCGAGGTCCGATTGAAGCCAAAAAAAAATCGAAAAAAAGAAAATTTTGTTTCCCAGATCCTCAATTGGGTGTCGGCCGAGAAGTTCGTCTCGCGCAACGGCTCGACGTTCACTTATAAGCATGTCTGCCTTCATTTTCAGGTTTCTCAAACGCAAATTTCTTCCATTGTCCCTCATTTCTCCCATTCAGAATGATTGCTTTTCGAACACCCACGCGAAATTGTTGGCCGACGTCTACTCCAAAAATCATTCGGACGCCTTCAACATCACGTTTCCAATTTATCGCAGTCAATATGCCACCGAGCCCATCGACATATCAAAGGTACGCGATTGTGCGTCAAATTTCGACAAAATTCCAAATTCCAAGGTTCTCGGCAACGTGACGCTCGATGCGAACAATCGTGTCGCGTCGGCTTCGGCGTGGATGATCCTCTACCAGTTGCGCCAATTCGGCGACGATGTCGCGCGATTGTCGAACGATTTCGAGCAGGGTCTCGCCGCGAAAATCGAGCGCGGCGAAACGCCGACGCGACTACTCAATTTGTACTATTTCCATTCGACGACGTTCGACGAGGAGCTCGAAAAAGAGAATCGACGATTGGTGCCAAAGTTGGCTTTTTTTTTCTGATGTCGCCCGTATTTCTGTTTTGTTTCAATAGGTTCTCGATCACCTTCACCGTTCTCATCGTTTTCGCCGTGTTGACGACGTTCACTATCAAATTTGTCGACATCGACGATCGACGACGACCGCTCATCGATTGGGTGTTGAGCAAACCGCTGCTCGGCGTCGCCGGCGTCGTTTGCACACTGTGCGCCATCGTCTCATCGACCGGATTGCTAATGATGTTCGACGTAACATTCGTCGACATGTGCACCGTGATGCCGTTCCTTTCATTGAGTTCGTGTTATGCAATTCGTGCTGCCGACAGTCTTGCGGGCGCGCGCGCCCCCAAAATTGTCCGCAGATGGTTATTTTTAAGAGGATTTTCGAAGCATGCCCATCGCTACGCTTCCATTCATATATTTATCATGCTGCCGACAGTCTTGCGGGTGTGCGCGCCCCCAAAATTGTCCGCAGATGGGTATTTTTTAAATGAGAAATTTCGACGTCTTTCAGCCATCGGCATTGATGACACGTTTCTGATGCTTGCCGCTTGGCACGAGACCGATCGCAATGATCCGTTCGAGGTTGGAACCCATCGAATCGACTCCGAATTTCACGTCGCCTCCTCATCCCATATTTTCAGAAGCGCATTGAGACGTCGATGAGGCATGCGGCGGTGTCGATATCGATTACGAGTCTAACCGACAGTCTCGCTTTTTTAATTGGCTCGATTGCACCACTGCCAGCGGTATGTGGCGAAAATCATCTGCGGACAAATAGTGTCTCTTTTAAATTGAAAAAAAAGTCCGCATATTTGCGTAAAATTATGATTTTTTTTTCAATTTTTTAAAAAGTCCGCAATTTTGCGTGAAATGTTGAGTTTTTTTTTCACTAAAAAGTCCGCAGTTCTGCGTGAAATTATGGTATTTCTTAACTAAAATAAAAGTCCGTAATTTTTCGTAAAATATTGCAATTTTAAATCTTTAAAAAAGTCCGCAATTTCGCGTAAAATATTGCAATTTTAAATCTTTAAAAAAGTCCGCAATTTCGCGTAAAATATTGCAATTTTAAATCTTTAAAAAAGTCCGCATTTTCGCGTAAAATATTGCAATTTTAAATCATAAAAAATAAAAGTCCGCAATTTCGCGTCACGTGTCCCTCTTTAAGGTGATCTACTTCTGCTATTACTCAGCGGCCGCGATCGCGTTCATCTTCGCCTACTGTATGACGATGTTCGTGGCGGTGCTCTCGCTTCAAGGCCGCCGCGAGCAAAACGCGCAGCATTCCGTCGACGGCTCCGACACGCTGGACATCGACACCGAATACGGTACGTCGACATTTTCTTTTTTTTTTTTGACGACGACAATCTCGCAGGAAGCGCGTCGAAACTCGATCTGTGCTTTCGAATGGGTAGTCGCGCTCGAAAATTGAACGAGCCGAACAATAATGAGAGCGAGAAGGTAATTGCGGACGCATACATCATAATTGACGACACGTTTCGTTTAAAGGCGCATCATGACGGCCGAATGTGGTATCAGCGGTTGTTCGAAGACAATTACGCGCCATTCATCGCCCGGCCGAATATTGGTGTGTTGAGTCTATTGGCGTATGCCGCCTATCTTACGATAGCCTTCTATGGTTCGCAAAAATTGGAAATCGGATTCGACGTGGGCGAATTGTCGGCGTCACAACCAAAACTTGCGAGATTTCAGCTCATCAACATCGTTCAAGAGCGCTCGGCGTCGCGGACATTCCTCGAGGTTCGCGATCGGCTGTTTCCCGACGACACGAAACTCATGGATGTGGCGATAATGCGATGTCCCGATCTCGCCGATCAACACCATCGCCGCCAATTGTTGGCGATCATCGACGAGCTCGAGGTGAGTCGGTCCTGGATCAATGTCGTCGGCCAGCGATGGGTTTCAGACGACCTGGTGCTCCGTGGGACGCAATTCCACACAATTTTGGCTGTTCGAACTCGAGAAGTACGTCAGAAATTTGGGATTCGCCACCAATTTTGACGATATTCTTAATGATCCGAAGGCTCGTTTTTTCGAGAGAGAGACGCCTGCAATTAAACAATTTTGTAGAAGCTCTCAAAAACGAAAAAGACGTTCCTCATGTCGAACGAGAAGTTCGCCTACGACGTTCTCGACGACACGAAATTCCGTTTGTCGACAAGACTGAAGAACGTGGGAAGCGATGAGCTCATCTCGAAATGTGCGGCGACAATGAGGTACCGACAACCCAACCAATGATTGTCTTTCTTTCTTTTTTTTCAAAGGAGCCTCTGCGCGAAACACTCAAACTTCTCCATCACCACTTATTCGCCGTTGTGGAACTTCGCCGATGAGTTCGACATCATGTGGCCGCAGACAATGCAGGACGTCTACATTTCAATTGCTGTCATGGTGCCGGTCGCCCTGCTATTCATTCCGCAACCGCTTTGCTCGCTCATCATTGCGCTCAACATCGCTTCCATCGCGTTTGGCGTCATCGGTTCAATGTGGTTTCTCGGCGTGAGTCTCGACGCGACTTCCATGATCACCGTCGCGATGAGCGTCGGCTTCTCTGTTGGTATGTCACCAATACAGTGCGTTTCACATTTATAAAACCACCCCGGTTTTTTGGGTGTAGCTTTGTCAATTGTAAAAAATTTCAAATTCTGTTTTCAAAATTGAATTCAGGGCTAAAAAATACATAGGTGTACAAATTTTCATAATGATATCTGAAAAATTGGCCGAGTGACATTTTAAAAACTGAAAATTGGTCACTTGCAACCGTTTCACATTTATAAAGCCACCCCCGTGAACTCAATAAAAACTCTATTATAAAACCAGATTATTATTTAATTGCGGCCCCTTTTAAAGAAATAACGTCTTATATTATATTTGGAATCGATTGGACCAGGTTTTCCACATTTTCGGTGGTCTTGGTGTTGAGTTTCTGGTCCAATAGATCCCACTCGTCGGTAATCGCCGCTTTCAATTCATCAATGGGTCGATATTGCTTGCCATGACGATAAAAGCTGCTAACCAGCTCTTCCTAACCATTCTCCATCGAATTTCAATTTTGAAAACAGAATTTAAAATTTTTTACAAGTGACAAAGCTACACCCAAAAACAGGGGTGGCTTTAAAAATGTGAAACGCAGTGTAGACCAGGGCTGTGCGGTAATGGAATTGCCGATTTTTCAAATTGTCGAATTGCCGAAGAGAACGTTCGATCGGCAAATTGCCGAATTGCCGGATTGCCGAAATTTTGATTTTCGGCAATTTAATATCAAAAAAAAATGGGCGAAACAAAAATCAATGTCCATTGAATAATTTGGGATACCGTGAAAATTCGATATTTATATTTCGAATTATCGTTGAAAACATTCAATAGTCGAAATTTTGATTTTCGGCAACTTGCCGAATTGCCGAAATTTCCGATTACCGCACAGCCCTGGTGTAGACTTCATCGTTTTCGATCCGCTCAGATGAGCGAGCCACTGCGGCTCCAAAATTCATCGGCTCCGCGCGGTCATCAAGCACTCGAGGTGCTGCTTCACGCTCGCGGCTCGCCCGTCTCCCATTCATCGCGGATGGCATCTCTACCAGATTGATGGGAATAACGAGATACACACTACAGAAATGATTCTGTATAGTATGGTCTCGAAGCTGGCAGCGACAGCGAGGCCAGATAACGCGCGCGCGCCGCCGACACATTGCGGGTTTCGCCGCCCGCTATGCTGAGTGTGCGACGCGGCCACGCCCACTCGGCAAAACGGATTTTCGCGTTTCGCTTTGAAAAAAAACATCGTTTCCCACTAAACAAGACGTGCAGAATTCAAAAACAGCGCGAAAAATGCGAAATTCGCTTGAAAATCGCCAGTTTTTGTTGCAGATTTCGCCGCCCACGTCTCCTACGCGTATATGACCGAGAATCGAGGCGATGGCGACGACGAGTATGGCGTCAACTCGATGTTTTTTTTTGTGATTTTCGGCAATTTTCAGCGCGGTTTTGTCGCGATTCCGCCGCACGCTGGGCACCGTCGGCTGGCCGGTCATTCAGGCCTCGTTCTCGGTGCTTCTCGGCGTCTCATCCCTATACTTCGTCGACAGCTACGTCGTCCAAACGTGTTTTCGGACGGTGGTCCTTGTGATCCTCTTCGGCACCACACACGCCCTCCTCTTTCTGCCGCTTCTCCTCCTCAATTCTCACAAGCTTTATGTCCATATGAAAGGCGATTAATAAATGTAATTTATATTATATTATATTTATATATATATAGGCAATAGGCGACGACAATGAAGAAAAAAAAATAACACGAAAAAAGCTCATTGCGATGAAAACAAAAAAAAATTGAAACATGATGAAAACGTGTGGGTCTTGTTGGGTGGGGGGCGACAAAAGAATCAGAGAATTACGGTAGATACACCGGTAGGCCGAAAATAGACGAAAAAAATGAAGAGAAGCGCATTTCGTTGTTCAATACCAAATATGGGGGGGGGGGGCAAGTGAAAGGTGGGCGGGGCTTGTTACTGTACCGAACAGCAACCGCATTTCTTCTTTTTCACGTGTATTAATTCGACTTTGCCCGCCGGCGGAAGATCTTCGATTTGCTCTTCTGTCCTGCAAATTTAAAGGCGCCATTCGATGGTGCTTGAAAAATTTTTTTTCAATTTTGTCGATTTCAGTTTTTCTCTTTGTCGACACTCCCAAAAAGTCGCATTTTTTTTGGTGAGAATTCTATTTTCTTCATTTTAAAGGATTGTCGAAATTCCGTTCAAAATTGCTTTGGTTCGACAAAATCAAACCCGCAACAATGTCCGCAGCACGATTTTTAGTTGAGCCATTCGAGCGGTTCGGCGGGCAAACGCCAGCCCATCAAAAGGTTATGGCAAAACTTTGCTGCGGACAATTTCGAGCAACCAGCGAGTTGTCCGCAGCACGACTTTTAGTTGAGCCATTCGAGCGGTTCGGCAGGCAAACGCCAGCCCATCAAAAGGTTATGGCAAATCTTTGCTGCGGACAATTTCGAGCAACCAGCGAGTTGTCCGCAGCACGACTTTTAGAAAACTCCCCGTTAAAAGGTTTGCTCGCAAAGTTTTGACAATTTCGAGCAACCAGCGAGACGTCCGCAGCACGTTTTCAATAAACGCCACTCGCCTTTTGTGTTCGGCCAATAGTGGCTCCGACGTCGATTGAGCCTCGCTTTTGCCATTGTGCTCCATTAGTTGCTCTTTGCTGAGCCCGTTTTGCAAATACATCGGCGATTCGTGGCTCGGCGGCGGTGTGGCGCTGCAAAAAACAGAAATCAACGATTCGACAATCGTTGTTTTGAAAAACTAGGCTCAAATCGTACCCCTGCCCACTATAATTGATCTGTTTCGTCGGTGTGTTCATCGCCGAGCCGGGCCGACTCGGCGGAAACGGCTTCTGAAGGTATTGCTCGACGATCGGATCGACTTCATGATAGAGAATCTGCAAGAAACGTTTTTTGGATTTTTTGATCTACCACATCGAAACCTACCTCTTCGGGCCTGAACGGATTCTCAGCGTCGGTCATTTTTCTGCAAAAAATAAATGAAAAATGCAAATTTGAAATTTTAGCTTTTGAGTTTCGCCAATCACACCCACACACACAAAGTTGGGACCATTACAAAGCGTGTCACAAAATTTTTTTTTTTTTGATTTCGCACTTTTTTTTTCACAACCAGATGACCTACCGAAAATGAAGATCCATTGGTCTGTAGGAAAAACGCAATTTTTTTTTAGATGGGTCTCGACGCGACTACTCATTTTTGGTGCAATTCGAGCGAAAAACAATTTTTTCTCCAAAAAATTTGCCATGCTGAATTATTGAATTGTTTTTCGATTTTTATTTTGGCTGAATGTCAAATTATTGAATTTTGGGATGTAATTTCGAAAAAATCAATTTTTTTTACCTCAGAAAGCTTCTAGACATCAATGGTCCCTAGTTTTCTATTAGAGTTGTCAAAAAAATCACATTGGAGTGATTTTATGTAGTTGAATGCAAAGAGAATCAAAAATGGCAAAAAAAAAGAAAATAAATATTTATTTTCCTCCACATTGAAGCGATAAATTCAAATTTTCTCAAAATTCGAATTTTCGATGAAAAAAAAATTTTGGCTGAATGCCAAAAATATTCAATGGCATTGGTCTTGGCGCGAAACTAAAAATGTCGCGGCGCTTGCATACGAATAGATTAAAGGCGCATTGTAAAACCTTTACCAAAATTTTTGCCAATTTCGAAAATACGACAACAAATAGGATATTCTTTATTTAAAAAAAAAACGCAATGTGATTTATGTTGTGTCTACGGACCATCGTAGTTTTTTTTTAATATGGTATTTCTAATTTAAGCTAGTGGAAATTCGGCTACCGTACTACCAATCAAATTGCTTACTGTAATTTAAGCACTTTTAATTGTTGACCAGTAATTAAGCGGCGAAAGGCAAATGCTGCGCTGGCAGCACTTGTTACCAAATTATAATCGCACACACATGGGCGCAATAGCGCGGTGGCGAGTGTTTTGGACTCACAACTGGAGGTCGTGGGTTCGATCCCGCTCGGGGGCAGAGCTTTTTGCAGCGTTAATAGGAATTCAAAAAAACTTTTCACAAGCTCATTTGGAAATAATAGTTTGCTGTTTTCTCGTTTAAAACATTTTTCATTGAATTTTATATAAAATTGATAGGTGCAATTTGAAAATTTTGCCGATTTTCGAATTGAATAATTTTTTTTGCCGCGCATTTTCTTAATAAAAATAAAAAAAGGGGGTCAATTTTGAGAATTTCTTTCGATTATTTCAAATCAAGCCTCTCAAAAAAAATGTCAATTTTTGATTCGTTCAAATCGTCACACGTCGAAATTTTCGTTGGGCACCAATTGCACCATCGATGGCGCCAAAAAAAAAAAATGAAAGTCGGACTCACTTTGAGGGAAGCGGCGGCGACACGGCGATTCGTCGGACCTCTTCGAATTGCGCCGGCGGCGGTATCGGACTCGGCGATTCCGGCAGCACGGTTTCCGATGTGACGACGACGCGGCTCACTGGCGCGTCGGGACTGCAAACAAACAATTTCAGCTATTTCTATCATTTTCATCAAAAAAACATTTCTTTTCCCATCATCTAGTTGGTAGAAGGACCATACTGGCGGGAAATAATATAATTTCAAAATGAGGGGGGGGGGGGGTTGAAGCTGGCGGCACTCGTCGCCTAATTAGGCTAATTGAAAACGGATATTCGAGATTTTGAGAGAAAGAAGGTCGCTGAACGATTTTCTTTCCTTTTTTTTGGAAGAAGAATTGCGCACTTCAATTCTGAAAAGCCTAAATTTCAAGAAAAAAGAATGTCCAATTTTTCTGGTGCAACAAAAAATGCGAGGCGACCTCCAAAAATGGACAAGGCTCCGTCGGACAGCGGCGGCTGGAGATGAAGAAGAAGACGAAGAAGAAGCATCCGGTCGAGCGAGCGTTGGCCGGCGCGACGAGAGAGTGTGGCGATGTGAGAGAGCGCGCCAGAGAAGCGAGAGCGACGAATGCAATTAGAATGGGTGGGACGCCGATGCCGCGCACCAACACACCCGGCTCGAACCCTTTTCTCTCTCTCTCTCTTCGATGAAAATGTTGCAATATTGAGAGGTTTGAAAGGGCCTTTATTTGGCTAGGGGGGACGAGCGAACGCGGCGAAAATTGGCGCCGGAATTCTCGAATGAAAATGTTTCAAATTGGCCTTTCCTTTTTTTTTTGAGCAGGATTGAAAACGAAAAATGATATTGATAATGCTCCCATTGGCTCCAAAAAAAGAGGGGAGGTGGGTTTTGAATAAAACGAACACGAGATTTGTTGGTTTTTGTCAGCTGGCTGCGTCCGAAGTGCACACGGCGGCCCACTTTACACCCGACAATGCCAACTGCCAACGCCCCTCCGGCAAAGGCCGAATGCAGCAGGCAGCAGCGAAAAAAAAAACAAGAAGAGCGAACTCATTAAAAAAAAAACTAGTCCCGTCAACCAACAACAATACAAAAAAAATGGCACGCAGACAGATAGAAAAAATCGGAAACCACATGGAAAATTGTGTCGGTTTGCGTCAATCAATCATGCGCGGTCTCTCCTCTTCGATAATCCTAACAAAAAAACACACACGCAAACAAACAACTGTAGTTGGGGTCGAGTGCGCGATCGTCAGCGCGCTGGGCGACGCGCCGTCAACCACTCCGCCGCTTAGGTCTTGCCGCCGTTCGGTGCAAGCTGCTAATAAATGCATGCACCCAATTACCAGGCGTTGCAACAACAGAAAAAAAAACTCAGCGCTTTTTGTTTGCTCAAGGAGGCGTTGGCACCATAAATGCCGCAATTCTGCGGACCTTCGGAGTTTCAACTTTGTCAAATGAGTTTCGAAAGAGAGAAAGTTGATATATTTGCGGGTAACTCTAGACGATAAGCGTTGTTGATCTGTGGACAGTTGAACGGGTCTCGGGGGAAATGAGAAACATTCGAACGATGAGATTATTTTCGTCTGGATTTGCAGACATTTCAATCGTGCAAAAGGAGAAGTGAAGAGAATTGGAAGGTGGTGGCGGCTATCTGCGGACAACTCGGCGGGTATCGCAACAACAGTAGAAACGAGAAAAAAAGAAAGAACAAAGAAACAAACAAACAACTTACTTGGTCATTGAGCAACACGACAACAAAATATAGATATATAGATAAATCAGCAGCAGACAAGCACACAAGCACAGAGAAATGAAATATGAATGACTGCGACGGGTGGGGCCGAGAAGAAGAAGAAGCCGAGTTGTCGGAAGCCGATGTGAGAGCACACGATCGTGTGTGTGTGTGTGCGTTTTTCCTCGTTTTCAGAATGTCCAGAGACGAGAGAAGAAAAGTCATAGGCGGCCTTATCACTCGTCGTCCTTTTCCCCCTAGTCATCCCCAGCTGGTTCGATCAATCAAACATACAAACACACACAGAACAAAAAAATGCGGAAAAAATTTCATTTTGTTCATGTTTTGACGATTGGGGAGGTGGGGGATACATCAAAATGTTCGAGTGGTTTTCAAATAATGGATTTGGGGCCGAATGTGTGTCAACAATTGTGTTGTTTTAATGAGCAAATCGCATTTTTTTTTCCGCGTTTCAATTTGAGAGATATTCGATTTGTTCAATCATTTTCGCAATGTTTAATTTGATTGAGGGTTTCGCGATAAGCTGCGGACAAGTCGCGGGTTGAATATCGATGAGTTCAACTGGGCAACGATTGCTGATGGATAACTATTTTCAGCTGCCGACAAGTTCAGGGTTTGAAATAGAAAATTCAACATTCTCTGGGAATGTTTGTTCGCGTGATAAGAAATTCATGCTGCGGACAATTTGTGGTTTGCTTTTTTCGCAATTCTCGAAAAATAAATCCCATCTGCGGACAAGTTGCGGGTTGAATATCGATGAGTTCAACTGGGGCAACGATTGCAGATGGATAACTATTTCGAGCTGCCGACAAGTTCAGGGTTTGAAATAGACGATTCAAAATTCGTTGGGGACGTTTGTTCGCGTGATAAGAATTTCATGCTGCGGACAATTTGTGGTTTGCTTTTTTTGCAATTTTCGAAAAATAAATCCCATCTGCGGACAAGTTGCGGGTTGAATAATACCTCAATATGGGAAAAATTCAATGGGTCGAACTAAAAAAAAGGGGTTTGCCCCCAACACGCTAAACCGAGGGCGACGGGTAATTGGAGTGTCGTACTGGTATCGTTGAAAAAGTTTTGACACGATGTCGATTTTTTAAGTGTGATCTTCAAGCGAATTCGGAAGCATGATAAGAATTACGAGCTGCGGACATTTCACGGGTTTGCGCGCTGCTTTTACTGCAAGTTTTTTTTGTCATTTTTCAAACCGCGTGCTGCGGACAAATCACGGGTGTGCTGTTTGCAACCAAAGCAAAAAAAAGGCGAGAAAAAAATCGCATCTAAACCCCAATTTAAGCCTTGCGAATTCGTCTCGACACCGCCAAAAAAAAAATCGATTTTAAAAAAGTCATAAAACATACTCGGTGAATGGCTGTCGGGGGATAATCGGCGTGCCATCCTCATCCTTCTCATACACAAACGTGTGATCATCGCCGAACGAGACCCTGCAAACAGTGAAAAACCGGTAAATTGTCGGCAGCAATCGAAATCGAAATAATTTTGTGTGACAAACGTTTTGCGTCGATTGCCGAACCCGAGCGCCCTCAGAATGCTTCGCATTATTTTTTTTTTTGAAATCTAAATTAATAATAATAATAATAATAGTCGGCGAAAAATATTTGTGTTGGTTTGTGCGGGAGACGACAGGTCGGAATGATGATGATGATTTCGACCTTGAAACGCGAATGCGCCAACACGACACACACACACACAACAATTTCTGATTGAATACAATTGAGGTTCACCCCACTTCTTCTTTTCGGTTTTTTATTTGTTTATTCATTGTTTGTTGAAATAACAAAAAAAAACTTTACTAAATATTGAGACACATGCATGACTCGTATTACAGGCAGCGCAATTTGCGCGTCGAAACTTCTATACCGTTTCATCGCCTTGCACTACGTGCGCGCGTAGAGCAGTCGGTAAGGCGATTGAATTTCACGCTGGTTTTGCACCCTCCCCCCCCTGGGTTCGACGCCACTTACCTTTTACGCATTTTTGCAATAATTTTCTGCCAGCTTCTTGCTCTTTTAAAATGAAAACAAAACAAATGACTAACACTTGAAATCTCGAGTGCTCATTTCAATGTTCACTTTGACAAGCAGGCTGGTTTTTCGTTGCAAAAAATTGCTTTTTTTTTACAGCAACAACAAAAATGAGAAGACAAAATTACCGTTTATCTTTATTGGCGAGCGGCGAGATTGGCGGCGATGAGACGGCGACGGTTGCCATTCCGAGCACCCCCAACGTTTTCCGCCCGTTGACGACTGACTTTCGCGTTTGCGCGTAACGCTGAAATGAAATGATTGTCGAATGTTGCGAACACAATGACCCTCCGGGCGTCGCCGCCGCATCAAGATGAAAAGAAATGATATTGGAACAGGAGGAAACAATACTAATAAAAGGGCAAAAAGGGAAAGTTGTGGGACGGGATTGAAATCGCGAGGCTCGGCGCGCAAAGAGCTGCGAAGCTAACCGCCTGCGCTATAACCAACGATACCAAGTTAAGGGGAATCACTGTATACGAGCGCGCACAACGCAAATTCATATTAAAATGAAAGCGTGCCAAAATTGATTGGCTGGTATTGTGCGTGTGTGCATTTTGCAGTATATTTGACAACTCTCGGCGAAAGCGATTACTGTCATCATCATCATCATGACTCGGTAAACAAAATCAATACACAAAGAGTCGCGGCGGTTGGTTGCGGAGAAAATCGACGAGACAATTTTCAAGGAAAAGAAAAACGCGTTTATGGCAAAATCAATAGAAATCAAATCGAAATTCCCGTTTCACTTTTCAACAATGCAAAAAAAAAAGGAAATCGTGTGTGCGAGCGTGCGTGTGCCTGATAAGGAGAGACGGCACGGAAGAAACACGAAAGAGGACGAAAATAAATTTAAAAAAAGTTTTCGCTTTTTTTTTGAAACAAAAATTGAGGGAGCGAGGCGGGCAGCAACAATGCCGCTGGTCGCTTGGAAACCGCCACTCAAAAATGCTTATGCTGCTGTTCTCTAGTATTATTATTATTATTACGCCGCGTGTAGTGATTACATGTCATGTCGGTGTCGGATTACGTGCGCACGCGCAAGACAAAATCTGATATGAATAAACTATTTGGGAGGCTGGTCTGTATGAATGAATGCAAAAATTTTCGCTGGAGCGGGGATCGAAATCGCAATGGCACTGATTAAGCGCGACGCAAGCATAATGGAAGCATTGTGGGAAATCTGTGGAACGGAAGCATAATGCTTCCATATAGGAAGCATAATGTAATTCTTAGTGGCTGTGGAAGAATTATGGGACGAATATGGATGGAATGAAAACGGGATGAATATGCTTCCGGTGTTTGCGAGCCGTGGAACAAATATGGATGGAATATGGATAAAATAATCATATGTCAATAAACATTATACAATTGGCGTCTGGACGGCAGACCAAGACAATTTCTAGAAAAATCAATACAAAAAACTTATGCTATCATATAAACAATGAAAATTTGAAAATTACATGATACACAACGGACGAAATTTAGCTTCTACCATTTAATGACTTATGCTACTCAGATTTATGTTAATTCAGTCAACTGTTCCTTACTTTGTTTAAAGATTGCCAACTACAATTTAGTCGTATTAATATATTTTTGCCGGTTTTTCCGAAATTGGCATCGCAAACTACTCACAATTTGCTCCAAACTGGTAGCAGACGCGCGTAGAAGAGGCGTGCCGCAGCATTGCAAAACCGTGCGCCGCTTTGCACAATGCGGCCACGCCTCACATTTTCGAAATTCGTTTTCAAAATTTTTGTCCTTTTGCTTTTTCTCAATGAATTTTCAAGATTTTTTGTGTTTTTTTTTTGTCAAAAATTAAAGAATTTTTTTCAAAATTAAAGGAAAAATGTTTTTAAAAAATAAAGGAAAAATTTTCATATTTATCATCAAAATCGAAACCAAAAATAAATTGATAGCATTCGAAAATTTTAAAATCGATACGATGTTTTCAAATCGTTTCCGACACTTTTAAAATCGAATTTAAATATTTTCTCAATCGAATTGTGTTTAATTTCTCATCGAATCCGTTTTATTTTTATTTACTTTAACATATTTTTTATTATCGCTCGCTTTTTTCTTTTAATAAAACATAATGTTTTGAAATTTTTTACAGATGAAGACAAGATCGAGAGTGTTGTCAGATATAACTGAAACTGCTCTAGAAGTCAATAACAAAGAACCAGAAGTCCCTAACATGGAACCAAATTCGCTCGACACTTCAGATCCAGATAGTCCAATTTACTCGCCAACTCAGCAAAAAAATTTTTCTCCACAGTCCTCACAAACAACAAAATCAACGCCAATTCCTAAACCTTCGTACGCCCAATTTGTAAGTTGTTATCATCAAAAATTGGCCTGTTCGACTCCAGAAATGGTTTCAATTAGAAAAATATGCGCAATGAAGTCTTTATAAAGTACTTCCTAAGTTTAAAGCTTGTTGATTATTTGGTTCCAATCAGGGCTGTGCGGCAATGGAATTGCCGATTGCCGAAATTGCCGGTTTTTCAAATTGCCGAAGAAAATTTCGATCGGTAATTTGCCATTAGCCGAATCGCCGAAATTTCCGATTGCCGTACAGCCTTCGTACCAATATCATTCAGTGGCATTTATCTTTTTAAGTGGGGCTCTAGTACAGAAGTCGCCAGACGCCGACTATATAAAGATCCTATACTTTATTGCAAATATCTATATTACAGATGCTCTTATCCATGGCTTTGGGCAACAACCGACAAATGACTTCAAAGCGAAAGCATTACGCATGGTTCGAGAAGTCATGGATAATCTTCTGTAAGATTTTGAACTATGACTATTAATTTATTTATTTGATTAAGCGATAGAATGCGCCAACGACTTCAAAGGAAATTTGGTGTAGCGCCGGAAGCGCTCGCGGCGCAATTAAGGAAGCTGCTTGATTCTACCAGCAACCCTCAGATGTGAGTATTCATATGTCTTTGAAATTTTAACCAAAATGCCTTTTTGCTTCAAATTTTGGAGTTGTTCTTTCTTCCGCCTATTCACTTTTTATTTTGTGCACTAAAGGGTTTCCAAAAATGCAATAAAAATAAATTATTTTTATTTTTAAGAAAATTATTGATGTAAAAAAACTGATTGTATTTTCTCGAAAAATTTAGTTTACGTAACAATGGTTTACAAGTTTTTCAAATTAATAGGCCCATTATAATCTACTTATTACAGCGTCCCGCTCGATGTCAGTACTGACAATGATTCGAATAGTTCGGCAGTTGCCAGTAACTAATGGTTTGATTATATCTTAATTGAAATTCATTTCATTGTTGTTTTTTTTATTTTAAATTAAATAAATGTGTTAATATGAAATAAATTTTGAATACAGCAATCAAATTGTTTTCTTATTTTCCCATATGGAAGGCATACGGCTCATTCCATATACGAAACACGCGGTTCCGCAAAAAAATGCTTCCATTATGCTTCCATATAACTTGCATATAAGATTCCTATGATATCCACAGCCGTTCCACTATGCTTCCATTGTGCCTATGCCGCCGTTTATCTGTGGGTCGGCGGTAAAACGGCGCACTAACCGCGTGCGCCAAAGAGGACACAAATGTGGGCCAGCGGAATGGCAAATATGAGGAGGAAGATTGATGCAAGCGCGCGGAAAAGCAATTTCATTTCAAATAAATCGCAGAGAAAAAAATCAATAAATGGTTGAATTCGACACTCATTAGCATATTTGCACCCCGAAAATGGGCGATTTATACGCAAGATTGGCGCACCCACGCCAATGCCAGCGGATATTCAAGGTCGAAAGTGTACTCGAGATGATTGGCTCTCAAAATGAGAATGAAGAGAATCGCACACACACACACACACCCAAAAAAAAGAGGGAGAGAGGAAAATGCGAAATGAATTCGAAATGATGTCCAGGCTTGGTACAAACTGTCTTTGTTGGCTGGTGTGTACGCATAATTATGCGCGAAAATGGGTGTCAAAAGATGCATTCAATTTTCGGCCGTATATTGGGGGGGCGGTCTCGAAGCGCTACCGTCACACTCGCATTCGCTTTTCAAATTCTATTAAAATGTTTCGACGAGCCCTGCAATTTTTTCGTTGTTCCTCTTTGTTCGCAAAAAAAAAAACATAAAAACCGCGTGACAATCTCATTTTTTTCTTTGGCGGTGCAAAGAGCAAAAGCTGGATCTTCGATGAGTTTGGAACATATGGCAAACGGATTCGCAATTCTTTTTTTTTTTTTGCTCGCTCTCATATTGAACTAATCTCGACACCCATGAGCCGATGTTTATATGAAAATCGAAAAATTGCGTCGGCGCGTAAATTATGGCGCATTGCCGGACGCGGCGGCATTTTAATTGACGACAATTGTTATTTGTTTTCTTTTTTTTTTATTTCCACAAAAAAAACCGGAAAACCATTTCACATTAACTCATTAAAGACGGGAATTTTATTTTTTTTTTTTGGCAATTCGCATGGATATCGAATTTGGCGTCGTACAACCCGTTTTTCGTGAATGGCGAATTGTTGATGAGTTGGAGCAAAACGGCGGACCACCACACAAAACAAAGAGAAACGTTCAAGGCTCATTAGAAGAACAAAAAAGGCGGGAGGCGATGGGGGCTGGCGGGGGTCGACGAGACGTGGTGTGAAAATGAGATAAATGAATGAAGTCGAGGACGCACGCTGGTTGGTGGTGGTGGTGGTCGGATAATAAATGGACAGCGACAGAATGATGCCTTTCATAAATGACACGCCCATAATGATGAACCACATTCGGCAAATTGAAATGGGAAAAAAAAGAAATGATTGAATTTTTTTGTGTCAACAAAAAATTTGAATATTTTGCCACAAAAAAGAGCCGGCATAGAAGACACGGGTAATCGAATAAAACGGGCTGAAGGGAGAATAACGGAAACCCCCCCCCCCTTTTTTTACTTCGGTTTTCCCTTCTAGAACACCATTTTTGGGCACAACGAGCGGATGAGGGTCCACCGAAAAACAAATTTTGACATTTTGCGGGCGAAACTCGATATGAGACAAAGTTGCGCCAAAACGAAACATATAGCGGAGTCGAGGGAGCCGACGTCCATGAGCATTTCTGAAGAGTGCGCCCCTCGCAAAACCCCGTTGGGCGATGGAGTACGCCAAGTGGCGAAACGCAGCGATGATGAATGAGGCGAGCGCGCGTTACGGACCCCGCCGCCTCAAGGGTCCCACCCCAAAGACTTTATAATTTCAATTTTATGGGTAATGTCATATATATATATCTGTATGGGCACATGATGCCATTTAGGCTTTCGCCGGCTGCCGCCCGCGGAAGTTGTCCATCGACGTTGTGATTCCGAAATAATCGCCATAGAGGAGGTTGACTTCGGTTGGAAGGCAGCTCATTAGCGCCATCACCAAGTAGCATGTCTTTGGCAGCGCGATGAAAGCGCGATTTGTGAGTATCGCCTCCATTATACAATCAACTACGTATTCGGGCTCGAGAATTGGCAAAAGTGTTGGCCATCTGCAAGTTGGACGCTTTATTAATAATTGATATAAGGCGAGACGTTTCATAATTGCCTGACGGCAATCTGGAAACCAATTTTTAAACTATATAATTTTCGTAATTTTGTTTTTAATTCAAGATTTGTCTAAATTTTTAAAATCTACTTTGTCTGGGCTCCATCGAACATTCCAGTGTTGATATAAAACGGGCACACCACTGTCGTCTTCACATCCTTTTTCATCGCGTAGATCTCATTCGCCAACGAATCGTTGAATCCGACGGCTCCGTGCTTCGAAGCGCAATAGTCGACAAGACCGGCGGCACCGGTTTTGCCGGCCATTGAGGCGATTGTCACAATATGGCCTTGGTTGGATTCCAGCATCGCTGGCAGGAAGTTCTTTGTTGTCTGAACAACACAATTTCAAATAAATCAAAATTAATTTGAAGCAGTTTACATAGAACAGGGCGTTCGTGTTGACGGCCATTGTCTTCTCCATCATTTCGTCGGGGCAATCGAATAATTTTTTACCTAAAAATTTGGAAAATTTTGATTTTTGTGTGAAAATTCAACGAACCTGTGACAATTCCTGCATTATTGATTAGAATATCGATTTTTCCAATTTCTGATTTCACCAGATCTGCAGTTTTATTGATTTGGTGGCGATCTGACAAGTCGACGGTGTACGCTTTGGCCTGCAATTAGAAAATCGATATTCACGGTGTTTGCACATTGACATTATACAGTAACCATTTGACGGTTATTATTAAAATTGTGATGATATTTCTGGTTTCAAGTTGAAATTTTTAATAGAAATAATTTTCGAATAATATTTTTTATTTAAAAAATAAATAAAAGGAAGGATGGTACGTTGGTGGTAGTTAAAAATAATTTTTAATTGATAATAAAAATGTGAAAAGTCCGCAAACTCATTTTGAATGGCTACCGTAGTCATTTTATAATATTTAATTCGAATTTCCGCAATGCGCTCCTAAATTTCGATTTTTCGCAATTTTCTCGCCAACACAACTCGATGTTACATCCAATTACGAATTGCATCATTAACAATTAACTAATAAACATCTTCATTCGTCAAAATCCAACGCATTTTCAGGTGAAATTTATCCGAATTGTAAATACGTTTAAAACGGCGCGTTGAAAACAAAAAAATGAGTTGCACGAACCTAAAAGGTTCTGGCGGCAAAAAGTCGGATACGCCTCACGGAAAACCGCACGGGTAGGGTTTAATTGAAGCGAAAACAATCGTTTTTTGGAATTTCTAGGGGACGAAGAAGCACATCGCCATTTGCGACACGCGAATGCCCCGATTTCGGCGCGCCGTTCTTTTTCATCGGCGACGACGAGAAAAAAACCGTCGAAATTAAAGTAAGCGACGTGAGAATTTTGCGAAAATCGCGCAAAAATTGAAAAAATGCGTCATTTCAACAAAAAAGGAATAAAAACATCACTCGTTCTCCTGGATGAGTTCTTACTAGGCATCATCATCATCATCATCAAGGATATTATCAAAAAATGAATAATAATCAAAGTTCGCCGTGTTTCGTGCCGTCGACGCGCACCGCCTCACCGTTTCACTATTTATACAATCGAAATTTTGGTGGCGATGAGAATTTGTACAATTTTCACCAATATTATCACAATAATTATCTAGGCAATTATGATTTGCACCAGGTTTAATTACTTATAATCAAAATGCATTATTGTTTGCAGGCGAATCAACAATTCGAGCAATTCCGTGGCTTCTCAACAGAAATTCCAACTCAGGTTCGAATTGTTTGCTTTTTTCGCGGAGAATATTTTTTTTAAATGTGATTTTTCGTTTAATCACTAATTATTTGAATAATTCAGCATGGATTAATAGCAAATACTCACAATTACGGGCAATTATCTAATCTAACTAATTCAGCATCTCAACTGACGTCTGCTAATATGGTTAGTTGTGTTTGAATTCAATATTGCCGCCAAAAAAATTGAAATAAAACGATCGCCATCAACAAATTTAGTATCGAATGTCGGCGCAGCAGCAAGTGCGAAACAATAATCCGTGGACATCGATGCCGAACGCGGTCGGGTTTGGGAATAGAGCATGCGATACTAACAATCATCGGCTACGCTCGTTGAGCGTCTCATCGTCGACGACATCGACGCGCGAGCCGAATGTCGCGTTGAAAAAGGTGCATTTCTATTCATTGATTCGATTAAGCATGAGTTTGCCTGCCCAAAAAATTGCTCGTCGTGTGTCTGGCGTGACCTTATCGCCGCTCATTTTCGACAAACAACAAGTACAAGATCAAAGTTCAAATGATGAGAAATCAATGCAATTTTGACGGCTAAATTGTGATCCAACTATTTTGAATAGAAGGGAAATTATCAAACATTGGAAATTTCGTCAAAAAATCACTTTAAAATGTTTTTTTTTTTCAAAATATTGACAATCGTTAAAAAACGTGGATTTTAATCGATGAAGGTTGATTTTTTTTTTGGAATTTTATAGACTTTTTGAGGATTTGGATTAAATAGGCGAGAAAAAGATTTTAGACTTAAGAGCTTTGAAAATATGAGCACCTTGAGTTTTTTTTTGCGATGGGACCCAGCGTGCGTAAATCTCAACACCTCCTAACCCTTATAACTAACTAACAAATCCATGAAATTTTCAAAATAGTAAAAAAAAATGAGGAAAATTGGGCATTTCTTTTGTGAATTTCTAGACGAAACTTTGCGATCATTGGCGTCGATCCGGCGTTTGCACGTATGGCGAGAATTGTTGGTACGCGCACGGCGAGAATGATTTGCGACGGAATGGAACGGTACGTTTGAATGCGAACGCTATTCGTTCATCGCCTCGGCTCATCGCATGCTTCAATCTTTCTATTATTTTTTTTTCCTACTTTGTTTTCACTCACCACGTCGTTGAAATCGCCTCGTTTTGATTTTTTTGTGTGTGTGTTTTTTTTTCCACACTTTTTCGTCTGAAAATGAGCCGCTTCAATTTCAGACGACGCGAGAAACGAGTAGTGCGGAAACGCGAAATTCGATGAAGATTCAACCAAATATGGAGAACGACAAAGGTGATATTGGTCGTTTGTCGTCGCACAAACCACACATTTCTATTTGCAGTTGTTGTTGGGACCACGTCGACAGCGAAAAAGGGCGAGACGGCAAAACCAGCGGATGAGCACGGAAAGCAGGTGCGCGCTATTGATAATGTTCGGGGGGGGGGGTCGCGTCGTGAACACACGCCAATGACGGACGGCACCCGCCGCAATCAGTCATTCTTTATTCATTTCGCTATCTCGGACGGGTCATTGATTTTCTTGGTGGTCCAGTGAGGCCACGTTTTCGTCGTTGAGCTCAATCCCGACTTGAGTCATTTTTTTCATTCTTTCAGAAGCGCACTTCGACGAACATTAAGAACCTGACGGTCAAGATTCCGATGGCACCAACAACCACCACCACCACCACCAATGACAAACAATTGCCGCTGTCGCCGGCGCAAGAGCGCTGGATTTCGATGACGGGCAGTCCGCCGAAGTCGGCGACGTCCGACGCCGATGAGCGATCGCAATTGTCGAACTCGTCGGGCTCGACGGTGGTTTTGCGGAACGTCGAGAATTTGAGCACGAAATTCGCCAAATTGGCAATGGATGAGCAGCATTTGGTAAGAAGGCGACGATGGATGGCTTCTGATGACCACCATCTACCATTTTTTTGTTGTGATTCCCTGTTCGAAGAAATGGAATTTTTCAGTTTATGGCGCAACCGCCGCCGCAAATCCGCACCAACATCCAGGCGGCATTTGCGAATCGATTCGCGAATTCGTCGTCGGCGTTCAACGGCAACAACAATCAGATGAACGTCTACAATCGTCCGATTGGACGTGCCGCCCCTCAAGCGAAGAATTATGCGGCTGCTTATGGTGGAGGTAGCGAATTTTTTCATAGAAGACTGGAATCGATGAGGTCTTGTGGCGATTCCGGTTTTCCGAAATCAAATTTTTATGGAAATTTATTGATTTGAGGTCGTGTGAATCCGCATTTGGACGCTTATGGCGGCTATCGCCAGCCGTCGTACTTTGAGCCGCCGATGAGGGACGCGTATGTTCCGCAAATGCAGCGGACCAACACGGTCGGTTTGACGCTTCAACAAATTTGATTCTTTTTATTTTGTAGAACTTGGTCGATGAGATTTATCGCCGACAGCGCATCGTCGAATCCGGCGGTGAGCTCGAGGCACTTCGCGAGCAGCAGGCGATTATCGAGCAACAACGCAAGAATCATGAGCTGATGCGTATGTATGGTGTCGACGATCCGTATGGATTGATCGGCAAGGCGAATGCGGGCGTGTGCGCCGTCGACAGAAGCGCCAAGTTTACGCCGAACTTCTATCACGGTCTCGATTACAATGCGAATCGGCCGTATCCGCCGGCGGCGATCAAGGCGAATGAAGCTCATTATGGATATCAGCACTATCCCGCTGGATATGGATGTCAGCAGCAGAAGCAGCAGCCGAAGGGCGAGTTTAAGCTAACTCTGGCGCCGAAGATCACCGAGTCGTTGCTTCCTGATGAGGATTTCTCGATTTGGTTGGATAAGGCGGAGAAGAAGGAATCGGCGATTCCGGGTAGGAGTTGGTAGTGGCTCCAGAATCCGAATTAAGATTGTGTTGCTTCAGAAAAGAAGGAGGCGAAAGTTTCGTCGCTTTGCGAGCTTCTCTTCGGCGAGACGCCGATGAGTTCGAAGAAGGCGAATAGTGGCGTGTTCAATTTCGACGCGGTTTTGAAAGTTTCGCCGTCAGACAAGCCGCCGATCAGTCCGACGCCGCTTTTTGTGATCGCCGAGAAGACGCCGAATCAGGTTAGTTTTGATATGGGGGGAAATTGGTGGAGATTTGAATATTTTCAGGACGTCGCTGAAAAGGAGATCTGCGCGTTCTATTCGACGAGCGGCTGCTGCCCATTCGGCGATTCGTGCGCTCTGGATCATAAGTTGGAATTCAGCGAGTCAAAAACGCCGATGTAAAGAATAATTACGCGTTTTATAAATGATAATGTGTCATTTTTTGTAATTTTGTAATCAAAAATCAACGTTTTTTTTTCCATTTCATTGAAATTTTCATGTAATTATTTGATGTTTGGGTAAGTGATCTCCGCATTTTCTTTTTTTTTTTCGTTGTTCATTCGTTATTTTGATTATTATTTACTATTCCCCCATTTTTTTATCGCAAATTATTTTCTATTTGAATTTTTCCTTTCATAATTTTGTTTCTTTCTTCTAATAACCCCCCTTGCCCATTTGCTTTGCTTCCACCCGGTTTTAAACGACAAAAAAATGTTCAACTAACAAATTCTTGTCGATTGTAGGTCCCGCGACGACGCTTACCTCAACCCCGTGCGCCTTTAAATGCTCCAATGTCTCTTGGTTGCCATTCTCGTTGATGTCCCACAAAATGAGATTGGCGCCGAGATTGCCGAACTGAAAATTGCCTATATTGATTTTTTGTTTACACATTTTTGATTGATTGCGTCCCTCGTAGGCCATGAGACGACCCAGACCGCTTCCAGAGCCTGTGATGAGAACATTTTGACCTGAAAATGTTCTCGATTTAAAGGCGTATCGATTGTATGGTGTTGTGCAATGTGCTTGAATAAAGGATGAGTCACCTCGAACGGATTTTCGCGGAAGCACACCGTTGGGAAGGCAGCTCTTCACAATTGAGACGACGACGAGGATGAGCGCTTTGACGGTGACGACGACGCCCTGGATGAGGTCGTCCATGGTGTCGACTGAAAGGTGGGCGAGTTGATTGAATGATTATCAGGACTCGACAATTTTCTTTTTTTTTTTGCACACCACTGTATTTTGTATTGATAGCGATTGAGAGAGAGAGAGAGAGAAAGAGTGGGCGTTGAGGAGAGACGCAGAGGGACTCGAGTCTAGCCGAGTGTTGACAACTCGAGCGAGTGACGTCAAACACGGTTTCGAGTTGGAAAATAATTGAAGCGACACGCATTTGGGACCCCGATGATTGTCGGCAGATGGAAATTGTGGAAGCCGCGGAGATCTCGGCGAGCTCTTGTGAGAATCGAATTTTCAACGAGGCGTTTTTGCACGATCATCAGGATTGGGACAATTCTGGAGTAATTCGAAATGAACTTGTCTGATTGGTGAATTGAGTTTGAAAAAAAAGGAATTTGCGTCGAGACCCGCAAGAAGAAAATTTTGAATGTTTGACGAAAAATTCGCCATGGAAAATTTCTCAAATTTGTCGACAATTGATGATTTGATCACATTTGCTTAATTAATTACCATATTTGGGCAGATTTTCGAATTTTGACGCGAAAACATTTTTTCAAAATGTCCGCAGATGTCAAAAATTAAATTTCTAGTGGATTTCTTGAAATATAGTTCAAAAAATCAAAATCCCCTGGTCACACAATTTGACAATCCTGAAATTTTTAAAAACAATCTCAATTAATTGTTTTTCGAAATTTTCGATGCTAATTGAATTAAATATATCAAAAAATTTCAGAAAATATGCATTTTTTATATTACTCGATGCTTTTTTTTTCAATTTTTAGGCAAGAATAGGTCGATTTGTGAAGTTTGGTATTTTTTTTTAATTGCCCCGGATTATTGTCCGCAAATGGAAATGAATGTTACGATTATTTCGGCTAATCTATACAACACCGAATTTCCCCGCGTAGCGCATTTTTTCTAGTCGAGCGACCTCGTCCAAGTTTTCAGCTATTTATTTCAATTTGGTTGCGATTTGAGGACCCGGATGATTGTCCGCAGATGGATTTTAAGAAAGAAAAATCGTTCGCCTACAATTGGGAACTTTTTTTGGGGGGAAAACGAATATAATTATATGATATTGGTTAAGGCTTTTTTTTGGGGGGCAAGCGGATGGCCTTGGGATGAGTTATCAGCTAGTAAATCAGACATCGGTTGGCAACAACAAGAAAAATCAAAAATCAGATGTCGAAATTGAATTTGAAAAAAAAAACAATAACAAAACGGGCCGAATATGGGCAATTAGTGGTCGGGACTCGTTTTCATTAATTCAGTATGCTGTAATTGGCGAAAGAGCGCGCGGAATTGAGAGAGTTTGAGAAACAAACGACCACGCCCATCAGTTTCTGGCCTGCAAGATGTCCGCAGATGAAACTGCATATTGAGATTTACAAAAATTGTCTTCTTGGGTTAATTCAACGACAAGAATCCCTTGATATTCATAATGGTCCCTTATAAGAGTTGTTATGCTATTGGCTAACAATTTCGGTGTCCTTTAAGATGTCCGCAGATGAGTTTGCTTATCAAAACCAATTTTATTGAAGCTTCCAATTTCTGATATGCGAAAGCAATGAATTGTCCGCAGATTAGTTTTTTTTGAGTTTCTTCAAAAGTCAAAAGTTGAGACGGCGGTTGAATTGTCCGCAGATGGTTTTTCGTATCAACTTTGGAGAATTGAGTTGATTGAAATTTTATTACCATACTCGAATAATTATAACCCGTGGTGTCCAATTATGCGCTAATTATGACTGGTTTGTGTCAAGTGCAATTGTCTGCGCGAAACGATCCCCCCCCCTCCACCAGGAGATGCGAAGACGACATCTCGATTGTTCGGTTTCCGGTCGCACAAATGCTTGTCTCCCATATTTGGAGTCGTCTCGCCTCGCCGTCGGTCGCCATCGTGCTCTCGGTGTCGGCGTTGATCTACACCACCGCCGTCTGTCCGCTCATTTTTCTGCACTCGGCGTTCGTCTACACGTCGCTGGAAACCCACGATTGTTCGGTAAATGTTTTTCTTTTTTTTTTGGCTTATCAATTCCCATCTGCGGACATAATCGAGGTGTTCAGAATGAGCTGATCGAGCTGAAACAACGCGTCGAGCTCGTGAAACGGCACCTCGTCGGCGGCGGCGACGATGCGTCGCGGGCCAAACGCGAGCTGTCGGCGTGCTGCGTCGGCCGGCCGGGCCTCAAAGGCTTTCCGGGGAAGAACGCGCGCGACGGGTACGACGGCGAGCCGGGACGCGACGGCGCGCCGGGAAAGAGCGCCGAGCACGACAGCCGTCTGGTGTGCGTCCGCGAGTGTCCGGCGGGCCGGCCGGGCCGCGACGGTCCGCCGGGTCCCAAGGGCGAGAAGGGCCATCGTGGACGGCCGGGACGTGAGGGCGACGCGGCGCCGCCGTCGATTCGCGGCGAGCCGGGCGAGCGCGGCGAAAAAGGCTTCCCGGGTGTGAATGGTGGGCGCGGTGAGCCCGGCGAGCCGGGACGCGTCTACCAGTCGGATGGTCCGTTCGGCAAAGAGGGCGATGTTGGTCCGCGCGGGCCGCCCGGCGACAAAGGCCAACCGGGAAGAGACGGCGAAGAGGGTGAGATGAGGCGACACGCCCGCAACATTGTCGGCAGCAGACATACAATTGAAACCATTTTTTTCAGGATTGCCGGGCGCACGCGGCGAGCGCGGCTATCCGGGCCTCAAAGGCGAACAGGGCCGTCGCGGAGCCGTCGGCAACTTCGGACCACCCGGCGACAAGGGCGAGGCGTGGCCGTGCGAATCGTGCCCGCCGCCGCGCGTCTCGCCAGGCTACTATGTGAGCTCGAAGAAGACGGCCGCCTCCTGAATCAATCGATTTATTGCATCGATGATCAAAACTATTTCACAACACAATTCGGCGGCTCAATGAGCCCCCCCCCCATCAATAAATAAATAATGAATGAATGAATGAATTGCGACTAGATAATTAGTCAACGATGAAAACAGAATATTGATAAAGAAATGAGGAGCACCCACGAAGATAGAATGGATTATGAACAAGATTGCCTTTTTTTGTGTTTCTTAATTGCCGCCATGAGCAATTATGATAATTAGACGTTCAAAATGTACAATTATTAATCGCTGTCCGATGCGTCGCTGATGAAGCCGACGGTTTCCTCAGTGCGCAATGGTTTGAATCCCTTCTTGTCGAAAGCGATTCCGCCATTCGTCAGGTTTCGTAGACGTCGTCGAACGCACATGAAGCCGAACGCGAGAATTCCGACGGCGACGATGACGACGAACGCGTTGAAGCCGCTGCCGACGGCGGCGGCGGCGCCGCCGACGCGCGGCCAATAGACGTCGGCGCTCGATGATGATGGCGGTTGGGTCTCGTGTTGAATCTGAGCATTTTCATTTCGTTGATCTCAAATTGTTTTTTTTCGTCATTCTTGCTGCTCTCACTTTGAAATGCCACAACATTGGTTGGCCTTCGGCGATGTCGCCGATGAAGATGTGATCGCCGTCGGTTGAAACGCGCATCGCGTGCGGTTGGCCGAATTGCGCCGCGAGTTGCTCGCGACGGCCGCGCAATTTCGGTCCGAACGCGAATTCGATGAGGCCGGTGCCCGCGCGGCCGACGAACACCGATAGGCCGTCTTGACGATGATTGGGATTCTGCAAATTAGACACACTTCGAAACGCGCAAAATGATGAGCGCGCGAGGCGGCGTCGAACCCGCGACCTCTCTCTCGCCAGCCCAAAACGTTGCACTTATGCTAACTGGTTCACATTAGCGAGCGACGATAACGCGATATTTGAGAAGAGGCGCGCCCGACACATTTCAATTATAAGTCGGCTCGTTGAAAAAAATCAATATTTGGGAATTTTGTGAAAATTTTGAATTAGAGTTGAGAAAAAATACATTTCAGAAAAAATTGCATAAAATTTAACAAGCCTTTTCAGATTTTATTTTTAAAAAAATGTTACCATTCGCCCCGGCACCATGAACACGTAATCCTCATGGCTTGCCACTGAATAGATATTGGTGAACATTCTGCAATGATACCATTGGCATACTGTAGCCGGAGATTACGGTCAACTGACGATGATTTGAATTCGCTTAAAAAGTGGCCTTGCGTGTTGAATTGCTGAACTCGGCCATTCTCGCGATCGGCCACGAGTAGGCGGCCATTCGCGTCCGAGACGATGTCGTGCGGCACGTTGAACTGGCCGTGCTCATCGCCAGGCAGTCCGAATTGACGCTGAAATTTGGATTTTCAGCAACGAAAAATAAAACAAATGAGTTTTTGCCCTCCAAAAAAAAACACTTGCCACGTATTTTCCGTTCAAATCCAACACAACGACACGACTGTTACAGTAGCCATCGGTGACAAAGAGCTGATCGCCGACGCGGGTTATCGCCGTCGGTTTGCAATAGTGATTCGCGTCGGGACCCGGCACGAGAAGCTCACCGCTTCGCCAAATCAATTTCAGCGTGTCGCCGTCGATTTGCCATTTGGCGACCGTGTGCGCGCCGACGTCCGTTGTGTACACGTAATCCTCCTTGTCTACGTAGATTCCGTGAGGAAGATAGAATCTGAAGTAAAGAAGAAGATGAGAGAAAGAGAAAAAGAGAGAGAGAGAGAGAGAGAGTCACACGCAATTTGATGCGGCTTATACAGAAATTGGGCTGTTGCCGCCAGCAACACGCGAAGTGAAGTGAATTTGGCTTTGCTCGGCGCGCGAGACGTCGCGGGTTCAACCCGACGCCACGCATTTTATTCACTTACAATCCTTTTCCAAGCTTCTTGATCACATTGGTGGTGTTTGAATGTTTGTCGTAAGACACCATGAGAATGGTGTGATCATTAATCGGCGTTTTGTCGAGCATTCTATTGTAATTGTCAAATGTGCTGCAAAAAAAAATTGAACGTGAAAAATCAGCATAGGCGACCAACTTCATATCCCAGACGCGTGTCGATCGATGGAACACGAGAAGATTGTCGCGATTGTCAAAAGCCAAACCGGCGACTTGGCCGAGTCGCACGTCGCCCAAATTCGCCAATTTCGCCATCTCGACAATTCCAAACGGCGTCGTGCTCTGATGGGCGTGATGTTCGAGTTCGGGCCGAGGCGGAAGCAGCTCGAAGCCCTCTTGCGGATAGTCCTTCATCAAATTCGGCATGTCTTGCGCACAAATCGCGCCTTGCGGAAACGGATTCGGCATTTTCGAGCTCCAATGGAACATCATATAGAAGTTGCACATCTCGTTGGAGCCCATCGAACTGCAAAAACTCGATTGTTGCGATGGTGGACGTTTAAAGGCGCAGCCGCTTTTTTTAGAAGCTTCAAACGGCATTAAAATGAGTATTTGCCTCTTTAATGATTGCATTCATCTGCAGACACCCACGCGGGTTTCGCACATTTGAATTGCCGCCGAATTGGCGATTGTGGCGTATCCCGGAAAATGTCCGCAGATGAGAAGTGTTAAAAATAACAGCCCCCGCCCCCAGGACAGTTTGAAATAAGGAATCATGGGAATCGGACGGAAAGTCTCGCTTATTAAAAAAATCGCATCTGCGGACATGTTTGCGGGTTTCGCCGACTCGACGACGCACCCACCCCATTGTGATGGTGACATTCTTGTCGTGCGAATCGAATCGACACGACGCCGACATCTGATCGCCGGCCGATATCGTCAATCGGCTCGGTATCGCCTCGAACAATTGCGGCCATTGCGGATTGCGCGCGCCGATCTTCGTCCAACGGCCGTCGTGTCGATAATACGCCGACACGACGCGTCCCATCGCGTGCGTGTGCGTTCGAAACGCGAACGGATGAATCGGCGTCGTCGCCTCGTAGACGCACGTCACGTTGTTCTGGAATTGGCGACGACCCGGCGGTATCGGTGTGCCGCTGACGAACAGCATCACCGCGGCGAGATTCGACGGTTGGCGTTGCGTGAGATGAAGTGTGACGCCGGAGAAGTCGTGCACCTCGCCGGCGAACGGCTGAGCGTAATGCACCTGAAGCACGAAGTACTTGATGCCGTCGTCGTCGTGGCCGACGCTGAACGCCACGTCTTTCGGAAGCACGAGATTCGGCGCTGAAAATTTCGAAGCGATTTTTTGAGAAAATCGTACCCCACCCCCCTAATTCCAATTTTTTTTCATTTCAAACAAAAAAAAATTTTTTTTGATTATGCGTGAGATCCGCGTTCATTTTTTTTATGTGTGATTTTTTGCGTCGCGGTGTTTGCACACATTTATTTCATTCGATTTCAATTTGTTTCTTTTTTCTTCATCAAATCATTTAAGCCACAAAATGAAATCGTCAAATAGAGTGCAAGTCCGCAAACACCGAGTGGCAGAATTTTGAAAAAAAACTAATTTTTTGGTTTTCAAAATTTTCGGTAAAATTCAAAAATGCAAAATGCGCTTATTCGGTGACATCTACGAAAACTGTGCAATTCGGCGTCACGGTGTATGCACAAAAAAAATGGAATAGTAATTTCGAAATTTTTTTAACAATTCAAAAAAGTAGCATAGCAATTTTTGAAATTTCCAGCCATCCTAGTGCGACGCCCATTTTCAAAATTCAAATTGAAGCCTCCATAGAAAATTTGCGGCTTCTTCTATTCCATGCGCCTTTAAACAAATGGTCGGTGTATTGGGTCTTGAAGCGAAGCAGCGGGATTTTCAAACCGCCCCCCAAAATGATCGTTTTAAATATATACCGTTTCGCGCCCACGCGTACAAAATATAGCTGCCGCCGCCCCAACCGCACGTCTCCATTCCCTTCCAGAATCCGTCGTCGCGCGCCGGCGTCGTGCAGCCGTAGAGGAGGATGTGATGGATGCGGTCAGCGTGCGCCATCGGTTCGAATCCGACTACAATTCTGCCTCGTGTTAACTATATGTATACAATGTAATATATACGATATACCAATGTATCCGGGAATCGCCTCTCGTGAAACCGCCACATAATCATCGTTCTGCAAATGTCGGCCGGTTTTTGCGTTTAAAGGGAGATGCCCAAACCTTTGTTGGCGAGTAGCCAATCATTTGAATCGTGAATTTTTGAATTTCGTCCTGACTCGCCGCTGGCGCACATTTCAGCGTCGATATCAGCCATAGATGAAATATTAGAAGGTGTCGACGTAGGTCGACGTGACCCATTCCTGTAGACCAAACGCGATATAATAACTAGGAATGAGATTGTTGTATGACGAACGAGGAGGCGTGGCTTATACTCATTTTGATGAGGAAAAAACATGATTCGGTCAATGCTGGGCAAATAGTACGGTTTTTTGATTAAAAATGCGAAACAATCTGTAACAAGAGAGCGTTGGAATTGGGGAGACGCAGAGAGTGATGCGCGCAACACGCATACCGTGTTTACGCCTTCGCACGTAGTGCTCTATGAAGAGTAGATGGAAGTTTTTGGGATTTGCGCGCGAGCGCTCACGAGCTCAATTCCATCCCATGGATTTTTCGGTTTTGCACGCATATTTTTGAATGACGCATTCATGAATGTATGTGTGTTTCAATAACAAAATAATTATTGAGAGAAAGGAGGGGGCGATTGGTTAGGCGAAGGCGAGACGCTGCCGATTTTTGTTCGCCAAATCGAGTCAAAGCGTTTTTGGGTTGGTTAATGAGACGAACAAGATGTGCGGAGCGAAATTTGATGGGCATCATGATGAGAAGCGAATGCAAAAAAAGAAAACATTTTGCTTTGAAAGCTTTTCGACCCATTCGAATGGCGAAAAAAACGCGTATTTTTGGATGACATCGACGAAACCTGTGCAACTCGACGTCACGGTGTTTGCACCAAAAAATGGGACAGTAGGAAATTTTGGCGACAATTTCACGTCTAAAAATGTGAATTTTTCAAGTTTCAAAAAAACGGCCGCCAAAATTGGGGGGTCCAAATCTACAACAACAAAAAAAAACCGTCTCGCAAATTTATCGATAACTAAGAACAAACGCATTGACGCACAAGACACCGAACACGTCATTAATCGATTTTGGCGAATGAGACGAGGACAGCAGGGGCCACTCTCGAAATATCCATTTTTGGAAAAGCCGAAATCAAAGTGTTGAGGCTTCCAGGCAAAACTCGGCGTTCGTATTGGAATATCAGTGTCCCAACGAGACGAGAAACAAAAAAACCGCACGTTTCGCTCATGACCAGTCCGACGAAGGCGACCCTGACAGGCGGGCGAGAGAGCGCGTCGAGACGAGAGGGCGGCGAGACGACGAGACGGCCAGCCGCGCGAGATCCTCGATTATACATGACAATTCGCCAATTTGGCGCATTCAGACACCAAACAAAAAAAACAATGTTTGATTTCTTCAAATTATTCATCCGATAAGAAGCTTTGTATTTCGCATTTTCGTGTGATTTCGAACAAATTATTTTTCAGCTTATTTTTCTTAATGCGCCTTTAATATTTCTCACGATTACTGTAGCTCAATTTCTACCGTGACCAATGTTTTTCATGGTTTTCACAAAGATTGTACAATTTAAAAGTGCACTTTTCTGACATCTTCAAGCTTCCCCCCGTAGGCACACCAGGATTACAGTAGGCGTGATGCCTTTAAAGGACTCCTAGCATCGGTAGCGTACAACACAAAAATCGACATCATTCACTTTATTCGAAACTCTCATATAAACGACAAAAATAATATGCCCATCAATCGCCAAAGAGCTCCCACCACCAAAAAAATGGAAGAAAAAAAAAACCGAATATGCACAGAGATTTGTAGAGACCAACAAAAATAATCGATAATAGAGAAACGAACAATCAACTATATTTGGGGGTGGGTGGGTGGAGGTGCTCCTGCTCATTCGGCAATTCTGAGCAATAACAGCAAAAAAAAACGTTCGTGAATCGCCACGGAGCCGCTGTTCCAGCTCCAAAGCTCCCACAGAAAAAAAAAACAACAAAATGGGGTGAAACAATTGTTCCTCTTTTTTTTGAATTGAAAGAAACACAAATGGGACGGGGATATCATATAAAAAAATGAGCTTCACCAAGACGAGAAAAACAAATCGAATTTTTTTTTGCTTTTCCACGAAAAAATGAGAAAACCCGCCAATTTTCTATACTATATTAGAAAAAAAAACAAAACTGGACGAATTGTGTGATAACATTAATATTACTAAAATAGTTTTTTTTTAAGTTGAAAGGTTGTTGATATACTGAATAAATTTGATGTGTTAATTCAAAAATGGTTCTTTCTGTCTCTTTTTTTCTTCGACCGGGGCAAATGGGAACGGGAACAACAACAAAACAATGAAACACTTCAAAAACTGGGTAATCCGGGACCGAAAAATGTGGCTAAGGACGCTAAAACACTGTTTTACTCACTCACAAACAAAAAAAGAAACAAAACAAATAAAAACAAAACAAATTTTCAACACTCTCTCGAGAGACAGCTGCTAAATATGAGAACATTCTTTGCCTCTTCAAGGGCCTAGCTTATACAATCCAACAATAATGATAATAGTATTTTAGAAAATATATATAATGGAATATAATTTTTTTCCGATTAAAACCAACAAAAATTATTCGTTTCAAGCATTAAAAATGAGACATATTTAACAGTTTCTATTATAAATATATATATATATACCTTATTTACGATTAATTCTTCGGCGAGCCGTCGCCATTTTTCTCTGCGGTTGCGAGCTGCAAACAATTGCAATTATTCAAATTTCTCCAGCCACTAACAAATTACTCACTTTTGATAGGCAAACGCCGATTCCGTTCCCGTCGAGCCGGCGTTGAACAAAATCGGTGCTCCAGTGGGAACTGTCGGTGCCGGTGCCGTCGGAGCAGCTGCTCCAAACTTGAACACACCCGATGAGTTGCTCGCACCGCCAAAATTAAAGTTCGGATTCGAATTGGTGTTGAACATACTAAATCTGATTTTTGAAAATCTGCTACTGAACAAAAATTCCCAACCTTTGAGTATCTTGTTGCGGTTGTTGACCGAATAATGAACCCGTCGAGCTGGAATTCGATATCGTTGGTTGAACCGAAGGAATTGATCCGAATCCGCCGATTGCGGAACCCGTTGAACCAAACGCCGGAGTCGCCGACGTGTTTCCGAATTGGAACGGTGTCGTCGTGGCTGGTGTCGATTTCGTCGACGAAGCTCCGAACAAGTTTGCGCTGAACGGCGATGGTGTCGCAGAAGATGACGTGGCCGTCGTCGAAGCTCCAAACGGCATCGGATTCGTCGAGAACATAGCCTTTTTGGCCGAAGGACCATCAGAAGAATCCGTTCCAAACGGTTTTCCGAACAACGGTACCGAAGAATCTACTGAAGCCGAGAAAAGCGAGTTTGTGGCGGTGGTGGCAGGAGTCGCAGAGAATTGCGGAACGCTGCTTGCCGGAGTTGTCGAATCCGAAAGTTTTCCAAACAAAGGAGCTGGCGCTGCCGGTGCTGTTGGATCAGATGGTTTTAAGAACAACGATCCAGAGCCCGAACCAAATGAAAGAGCTCCAGTGGTGCCAAATGGCGTTGATGTTGGAGCGGAAGAGGTCGGGAGTGGAGCCGGAGCACTTGAAGTGAAGTTTCCGAACAAATTTCCAGCTGGTAGAGCTAAAATCAAAATGAATTTTAAAACTCAAACAGCTTCTAATTACCTGATCCCGCTGCTGGAGCCACTGATTGCCCAAGGACTGGCGCTACTGGCGGAGCTGCTGGATCCGCTGGTTTCGATGCTCCAACCAACGATCCCGTCGTTCCAAAATTCAATGTTGATGTCGTGTTTCCAAACAATGGGACATCTTTTTTCACATCCGCTGGCTGACTTCCAAAGAGCGAAGCTGCTGGAGCTGGAGCAGCTTCAGCTGGCTTCGACGCGCCAAACAAACTCGTTGTTGAACTTTTTCCAAACAACGAGGGTTGAGTCCCCGCCGCTGGCTTGATTTGAGCTGGAGCAGAAAATGTTGGAGCTGCAGTTTGAGCCGGAACAAGGGATGGAGCAGCACTAGCAGCCGGCGCAGCGTTAAGGCCGAACAATGGTGGCTTGGTTGCAGCGTCGGCAGGTTGAGCGGTCGTTCCGAAGCTGATAGGCGCTGGCTTAGCTGTTGCCTCCTCCTTTTTCTCTCCTCCAAAACCAAAGCTGAAGTTGCTCTTACTCGAAACACCAAATGAAACACCTTAAACGAGAGATAAAAATTAACAATGAGACCATTCATCAAACCTGTTGGCTGAGTCGGCTTGAAAGCACGATCTCCGAACACACTAGTTGGCGCAGCATTGGCATCCTTGTACTTCACATGTCCGCAGCACGGGCACTTGTCATCTGTGGCCTTGTTGCTCACCATACAGTCTGGGCAATCCCAAGCAACACGATCAGAACTCGCCGCCGGAGCTTGAGTAGTCAACGTTGGTGCTGGAGCAGCTGGAGCAGGAGCAAGTGAGACGGGGGCAGGAGCAGCTGGAGCTGGTGCTGAAGCGGCCAAATTTCCAAACAACGGAAGTTTCTTCGGCTCTTCCGTCTTCTTCTCTTCAGTAGCCGTCGGTGCTGGTGGGGCTGGATCAGCGGGTTTCGACGATGCTCCTGTTCCGAATCCAAAGCTCACGTTCGTTGGTTTGGACGGCGCAAACGATGACAAATTCGAAACCAGCTTCTTTGGAGCTGGTGGAGCTTCTGGAGCAGCGCCGCCTTTCGCGGCACCACAACATCCGCATTCATTCGACGAGTTCGGCCACGAGGTGAAGCATCCATCGCAAGTCCAGTTTCCAGTATCAGCTGCGGCTTTCGTCGTCGTCGTCTTCTCAACCTCCTTTTTCTTCTCCTTCTGCTCTCCATTGTTCGGCGAGCCGTTCAATGATTGCTGAGCCGAGACGGCAGGCGAAACGGTGTCAGTAGACGTCTGTGGGCGAGATTCCTCAATCTTGGCCTCTTCTTTGGCCGGCTTCTCCGTCTCCTCCTCTTCCTCAACCTCCTCATCACTGCTCTCGCCACTATCCGAGCTGTTTGACGCTTCCGAAGACGCGTTGCTATGGCTACTGGTGTCACTCTCATTCGATGTTTCCTCCGATTTCTCGCTAGCGTCTTTCGAAGTCATTGCCGCCTTTTTCGCAACAACATCAGTTGGTGCGGCGAACGAGAACGCCATGTTATCCAGAAATCCTTTTGCAGGCGCCTTCTCAACTGTCAACGGCTTCGTCTTGCTCATCCAGTTCTAAATTTTTGAAAATCTTCCCACCGAATACAAAACCAAAGAATACCTTCGAAATTGGCTCAACCTCATTATCGCTGCCATCATCGAGCCGGAAAGTGTTCCTTCCCACCGATTTTCCGTCAAACGTTTTCAAAAGTGGTTGATGTTTCTTCGTTGGCGCGGCAGTTGTTCCATTTTTCGGCGGCGACTTTTCAATTTGAAACAGAGAGCACAACTGGATCACGTTTTTTGTTAGTTTAATTAATCGTAAAGCAAAAAAAAATAATTACCACGCTGTTATTTGCTGTTCCATTGGCGGTTTCCTGTGTAACCGTGCTAGTTGTTGTATTGACCACCTCTGTGCTCTTCGGATCACTTCTTCGTCTCGTCAAATCTCTCCTAAACACGAAATTAAGTAAAATTCCATTGAAACGAGCGTACCAATATGGTTTTCTTTGCGCTGAAAGCGCCATGGTCTTGGAGAGAAGCTGAATTCTCGATGGCACATTGTCAGCAACTTTGCGGAGTGGCGGAGCAACCGACGAGTAGCTCGTGTTCGTCGCCCATCGCTCCGGTTTGGGAAGACCAGCGCGAATCATCGGCAACCGTTGAATATCCTTCGCTGGGGTGTTCGCTTCTTCGAGCCTCTTCATTATGCCCTGAGTTCTTGAGCTAACAGAGCCATTTGGTGTAGAGCTCTTTTTGCTGAAAAAAACGAATGAGTTTATTTTTAAAAATTGTTGTAAATTACCTTAACAGCGACACATTGGTGACCGAAGGCGCAGGAGAAGGCGACGTGGATAATTGTCCGCTCCAGGTGGTATCCAATCGAGGAGCAGCCGTTGACGTTGTTCTCTACAACAAAAATAGCGACTAATAGCAGAAAATTAGCTATAAAATTACCAAATTCGGCTCTAAGAGGCTTCTATTAGTGAGGAAGCGAGATCTCTTAACGCTTTCACTTCTCAAATTATCTGGCACGAGCCATTTATCGGTTTCGGTTAGCTGTCTCTTCCGATTCTACAACACCAACGCTTGTGAATAAAAAAACGCGTAGTTAATAATTACCGAATTGATTGAGGTGCTAAAAATATCTGAAACTGGCTCAACTTCGATGTCAATAAGTCCTCGATCGTTAGAACTTTTCTCGAGAACAGAAGGACTCAAATAACGCAAGCTGGATCCAGCTCTTCTAACTATAAATTAGCAATATAAAATACAATAAAAATTAATGAGTCACCTGGAGAGTCGATTGAGCAGATATCTTTTAAAAACGATGATCCTTTAGGTGGTGATCTTGGGCTATTATTTTGCTGTGGTTGTTGTTGTTGCTGTTGTGGTGATTGTCGTTCTGGTGTTGATGATGGTTGCGAGCTTCCACCATCTCTTATTTTGCCTTAAAATTTAATTCATTTCAAAAATTATTTTTTTTTAACTCACTTATTAAATTTCCAAATTTTGAAAAAAATCCTCCATTACTGTCCGTCATCTCTGCAATTCGCATAATAAATAAATTAATAAAATGATTTTAAATTAATTTCAATCAAGGCGCTCACGCAAATCAATTTCGAAATTGAAAATAATCGAAACCATATTAAAAAAAATGCGAAATTCAATTCGCCTAAATTTGTCGTATTTTCAATGAAATTTTGTTGGAAAATGATGGAAAATCGCGGCAAAAACCACGAGGAATGCAAAAATCGCAATGGCGAATTAAAAATTTCAAATGAAGCGCTAAAAAGTTCAGAAAAGAGATAAAAAGTGCGCAAGGAAAATTGAAAAGAAGAATACGCGACGCGACCGCGCCGCACCCAACGACACACAACATTGGCAGCCGACCGCAGCGAAAGAGCGCGCTCGGCGCGGAGTGCGCAGACACGGCGCTGTAGTCCACTCGGTGGACCACGCCCCCCACCATCTGGCCATTGCAAAACTGACCAAAATGCACCAAACGTCGCCAAATTTTTTGTGCACCATTGAATTCGCCAATTTTTCATCCACAAAGTTTAAATGTTTCGAAATCAATTTTTTTTGTGAATTTCTCACTTTTTAATTTGCTGATATTATTTTAAATTTAAAAAAATTAATTTGCAGATTCCTCATGATAGCTCGTCGACGGTAAAACCAGCCAGCAAGTAGAAGCGATTTCATTTTGTTTAAAGCAATGCTGCTATTGAAAATTAGTTGTAAGTTCAATGATGAAATTAAAATTTTCAAATGTGAATTTTCAGATTTTTTATTGCAAATTTTGATCGTTGCCAATTTTTTGTTCAACTCGTCTGATGGTCGTCGACATCGTAGGCGATCCATTGAGAATGGTGAGTCGTAAAGATTTTAATCAAGCCTAGATGAAATGATGAATTAGTGTGGTCCCCATCCCCTCGTTTCACTCGCTGGGGGGGGGGCTCCGGCGGATGCTCATTTGTCCACCACGGAGAGAAGCTTGATTGCATAATCTCGTTTTGCAGACTCGCGATTTTTGGGATTCGCGTTCGAAGCGCAACCCGTGCGGAACGTCACAGCGACCGGCGCCGTTCGCCTCGATTGCTCCTACATTCTGGCGCACGATCGATATGTGCAGAATGTGCGCGTTGAATGGAAACGAGATGGGCTCGCGCTCAATGAGAAATCGAATCCGAGAATGTGAGCTTTTTTTTCGGGTCAAATTAGTTGTTATTCCTATACCGCTAAGAAAAATTGACGAAGGTTTAAAAAAATTGAAGCGCCTTTTCAAAAATGTTAACCATTTTAATGCCATCTGCCGAAAATATATTGAAATTTCTGCTAAAATTGAAACATAACGGAAATTTGAATTTAAATCCTCTTATGCTAAAAAAAATTCAGTAAAAATGAATTATTTGTTTGAATACTGATTTTCGAACGTTTTTCTTGTTAAAATCCTTCAAAATCTCATGTTTTTCAGAAAAAAAAAACTATTTTCAAATTTCAGCTGTTTAAGTCTTTCCATTTTCAAGTATTTACGTGCATTTTTCACTAGAATATTCTAAAATTTTTAGACTTGAATTTTAAATACCAGGAAATTTCAAAGAAAATCTCGAAGGCTGTCAATCTTTGAAAAGTTCCACCAAATTGGCATATTTCTTACCTGAAAGGCCATTTTTTTGGTCTAATAGCGAAATTCAAGGACGGCCTTGTCAAAAAAAAAGAGGGGGGAGGCAAAAACATTTCATTTTTTTTTGGCCCCCCTCCAATTATACCTATTTTTGGGCATTTCCTCTTCATCGTTGTATAAGGCATTTCCTTTTTCGCCGACGCCGTCGCCGTCAATTCATTCGTTCTAATCCTGTCACATTCAAGAGCTCGGCCATATATGTGCACAGAAGCATTCCTTATATGTGTGTATACATTCAAAAGATATGCAAATGGGTTGAATGTTGCGCTCAACTGCTAATCCCAGCGGCGGACCCCCCGATGTCACACAAACTATTCATGCATGGTGTTGGTGTTGTGAAATCGCCTTTTAGACTACACATTATTATGAATTGTTGAGAAGTGTTTCCTTTTATGGAAGTGAAGAAGCTATGATGAAATTGGTCGTTTTGGGAAATTTTATAGAAATCTGAAAAAGTTGGTTTTTTTTTCCCAAAATAAAAAAGTCTGGTTTCTATTTGAGGAAATTCTTCTTAAAAAATTTGTTCATTACATTCTCTAAAAAAAAAGAAATTCTTTCAAATTGCGTCCAAATGCAATTTTGTCGTCCCCATCCAACCCGATTCCCATTTTTTTGGCCCTAATTGGACACAAGATTAATGGTCCCCAGAAAGCTGAAGGTAAAGAGACGAATATCTAGGTCATACTCAAATAACGGGCCCGAAAGATTTATATGAGGTAAATTGATACAATTCAAGAACGAACAAATAAAATGCGAATTGGTGTTGGGTGCATGATGGTGCACGAGGTGGCGCCCGCGGGTAATTAATCAATTAGGGCCCCCGAGTTTTTTGATTGACAGACATCGTCGAGGCCGTTCGATTTCGTCGTCCAAAATCGATCATCACGTTGTTTCGAAAACGCGCAGATGGAAGGTGACGATACCTGACAGATGGGCGGGGGCCAGCAGCAATCGAGATACTTGAATGTTTACCCAACTCGGCGAATTTTAAATATCCAATCTGTGGAGGGGGCGTCTTAACGAATTGGGTGTGGATTACACACCAAATTGGCGGGACAATTTGGACGATTTCCCTTGAAGTGTCTCTCTTGTAAATAGCTGAAAACAAAAAGAATCGACTTTGGCAAAGTTTGACTCAGCCCGACGGATTGTAAAATTCTGATTGATGATTCGTTGGATCCAAAAATTTTTTTTTGGATTTTTTTGGATCTGATTGGTACATTGCTGAATTAAAATAGTTTTTTAAACAATATTTTCTAAATTTCATTGTTTTCTTTCAAATTGAGACCTTTCGCATTAATTTTGGATGTTTTTTTTAATTATCAAAATTCGGCTGACTTGGAGAAAAATTCAATTTAAATTCCAGAAAAGTTTTGAAAAAAAATATCTGTGGAGATTTAAAAAAATTTGCATTCACATTTAATAAAAAATCCACTTTTTCCCAGAATCTACGAATCGCCATTAAAATTGACACCAAAAATTTCGCTAATTGCTTTCGACATCATTACAAATTGCTGGTTTGCGAGCAGAAGCACAATGTGAATGAATGAATGAATGAAGTATTGCAATGTGTGTGTGTGTGCGGAGAAGTGTTGCGCAGGTTATGAGCACGAGCAGCTGGTTGAGCTCGTCCGCCACATTTTATTGTGTCGTCGCGGTGGGAAAAAAATATGCGGCGAATAATTGATAAAATATGCGCCGAATCTCACATTATTCGCTATTTTGTTGCAGAAAAACAATTTCGAATGGATCGCTTCTGATCGAGGAACTGAGCACGTCGGAGGAAGGCGTTTATCAATGCGCGGTGCACGTGAGCACAGTTCGCGACGGCGAGAACGACCTTTGGACTTTTGTTAGCAGAAAAGCGGCGGTGAAACTTGCTGATTTGCCAAAGTTGGTTTCAAACGAGACGCTCAATTTCGTCGTTCTCTTTTTGCAGATTTGAGCTTCAACCCGCCTACCGAAGAGCTTATAAAGGCCAGCCGACGGCTTTTCATTGTCTGATTGTAGGCGTTTTTTTCGAAGAGACCCTTTATCATTCTAAAATTTTTTTTCAGGCAACAAAACCGTCGCCTTCGGTTACTTGGTATCACAACGATGAGATTATTCGAAGTGGAGGTGAGATTCCCATTTTGACTTTCGATGTTTTTTTTTTCTGTTGCAGGCGAATTCCACATTTTGCCGGTGTCGAACACGTTGGAGATCAGTTCGGTTCAGCAGAGGCACGAGGGCACGTATAAGTGTACTGTCGAGGGTGCGATGAAGCGCAGAAGTAGCGTCTCGGCACGATTGACTGTTGTGAATGGTACGGTAGATTAGCTTCTTTTATTTTTTTGAAATTCCGCCTTATATAAGGTTTTTTACAACACATTGTTATATTTTTTGCATTTTTTTTTTCCAATTAATAATTCCGTTTTTTTTTTGGTCGACCATTTTCGTCCAAAAAATCGATTAAAGTTAAGCTGATTGCCGAAAAACTACTACTTCTCTTCGATTTTTGATTTTATTTCAGGAGAAGTGCCGAATGAGCTCACTTTCATCACTGCTCCGAGATTGCAAATTGTTGAAGCTGGTGATGAGTTCATTCTTGAATGTTTGGCATCGTCGAAGGTCCTTCCGCAAGTTCGATGGTACGTAGAATGTTTTATTGTTTCGAATGGTCCCTTGAATGCGCATATTTTAGGCTGAAAGATTCGCGACAAATCATCGTTGATGGAATCCGAATCCGACGCGTCGGCGTCTCATCGTTGCTCGTCTCGAAGTCGACGATCGACGATAGCGGATTGTACACGTGTCGTGCTAGCAATAATGACGACTCATTGGATCGAGCGGTGTCGGTGGAAGTTCGAGGTTTGAGGGAATTCAAAAATCTTGAAAAAAAAATCATTGTGTGATCCCCAAACGTGCTATTGTCATTGGTTTTCAGCGCCGCCGAAAATCACAACTCAGCCGGTGGCGGCGAAAATCGCCGTCGAGACCGCCGATGTCGATTTGGAATGTGTTGCCGGCGGACGGCCCGAATCGCGCGTGTCGTGGTTCAAAAATGGCGAGTCGATAATCGGCAGCGAGTATTTTGTGATCGAGCCGAATCGATTGAGGATTCTTGGCGTCGTCAAAACGGATCAAGGAGTCTATCAGTGTATAGCCGAGAATGATGTCGGATCGGAGCAGGCGAGCGCTCAGCTTTTGGTCGATAGTCCAGGTAAGAGCAAAAAAAAAGGCAATTGGAAGTTTTATAAGAATTTTTCAAAATTATTAAAAAAAAAACGTCTTAGGACCCACATTTTTGGCGAGTCGCGGCCTCGCCGGCCTCGTTCCCACTAGAATTGAAATGCCCAAATTATCGGATGGTTCGTCTTGGATTTTTTTGTGGATTTTTTTCTCTGCTAACTGTGTGCAAAAATGTTTCCCATACGTTACTGGTTTTTCTTTTTTTTTGAATAATCTTGCGGTTTTTGTTAATCCAGACTTCTTTTCATTGACACCTCGTTCAAGAATCGTTTCCAGATTCCTCATCGGTTGCCGCCTCGTCGGGCCAACCAAAAGTGGCCTCCTCGCCGTTGGGACTTCGTGTGTCGTCGGTTGGCAGTCGATTCATAATGGTCGAATGGGATCCGCCGGTGCAGCGCAACGGCAATATTATGCGCTATCATGTGTTCTATAAAGAGAGCTCGAGCGATCGGTAAACTTTAGCGCTGAGCGCGTCGTTGATATTCGAATTTCTTCAGTGAGCGAATGATGAACTCGTCGTCGACGTCCGTCACGTTGTCGTCGCTTCAACCGTCGACGCTGTATTTGATTCGAGTGGCCGCTGAAAACGAGGCCGGAATGGGCAAATCGAGCGATTCGTTGAAAGTCTCGACGAATAAAGAGCGTAAGCGCACTTTTTTTGTGTCAATTTTGAAAATACGGCGATTTTTTTCCGAATTAAAATTGAAAAATTTCAAATTCTCATAATTCCCGTTCGTTTTAGAAGCGGTTCCTGGCAAAATCACCGATTTGAATGCGATCGCGTTGGGTCCCGAAACGATTGAGATTAAGTGGAATCCGCCGGCCGGTGGCCAACCAGCGTTGAGATACAAAATATTTTATATGAGAGATCCGCCGGAGAAGAATGAGAAGGAGACGCTGATTACGGTAGGCGCAATTTGGTTGAAATTTGTGGATTCGAATCGTTGATTGTAGACGTCGGCGACGTACTACACACTTCATGGAATGGACAAATACACGGGCTACATGATTCGAATTGAGGCGGAAGGCGAGAACGGAAGCGGACTGAGCAGCGACGTTGTGAAGATTCGAACGCTGTCCGACGAGCCGTCGGCGCCGCCGCAAAACATCATGGCCGAAGCGGACAGCTCGACGAGCGTTCGCGTCAGTTGGGACGAGCCGGACACGGAGACGGTGAACGGCGAGATCACGGGATATCGGTAAGCAAATTGGGTTGATTGACAAGAATTGATGGTGCGACAAAAAAAAACGCCCAATTTTCAGTTTGAAATATAAGACGCGAGCGCGCGGCAGCAAAGGCAACACGCTGGTTATTGACGCGTCGGCGCGCGAGTACACGATGGGCAATTTGGAGCCGAACACGCAGTATCTCATTCGATTGGCCGTTGTGAATCATGTAAGATATGTCGCAGTTTGTTGCCTTCAAAAATGATTGATAATTTTCGACGAGAATTTTTTTGGGGGCATTTTTTTTTCTTCTGACGTTCGGCCTCAATATGCTGGGCAATTGAATTGACGAAATCGCGCGACTCGGCGACGAGATGGTCTCGACGAGCGTTGTGACACCTAACAACGTTGCGAGACCCAAATCTACAGTAGGCTCGCGGTTAGGCCATTCGAAATCGCGCGACATCGACAATAGTTTTAGATCAAACTATTCTGACACCTACGAATTTTCAAAAGCGATCATTGATGTGTTCATTTGCAGAATGGAACGGGTCCCTACTCGGATTGGATTAGTGTCGACACGCCCGGCGAGGATAAAGAGGAGCGGACACTGGGAGCGCCTCGAGAGATCCGACCCCACGCCGGATTGGATTATATTCTTGTGTCGTGGTTGCCGCCGGCCGATGAGCAGAATCTCGTGCGAGGCTATCAGGTAGAGATTTCGACATTTGTTGTTGTTGGGATCAACATTTTCTTGTGTTTTTAGATCGGATGGGGTTTGAGTGTTCCCGACACGGAGACGGCGCGTGTTAGCGCGTCGACGACACAATACAAAATCACGCGGCTGCACTCGGGACGCGACTACGTCATTTCGCTTCGCGCCTTCAACAACCTCGGCTCGGGATTCCCAATCTATGAGACGGTGCGAACGCTCTCGCGCGAATCGCTACCGCATCGATTCGGCGACGGTTTCGACGATTCGGACGAGATCGGCAACGGCGAGAGTACGCCGGTCGGTGTGCGCGCCGAGGCGCTGTCGGCCACATCGATTCGATTGGATTGGAGCAATCCCGACGAGAACGCGTTCAACACGCTCTACACGATTCGCTATAGTACAAGTGTCGACGGGAATCAGCAGCGCTACGTGAACAGCTCCGAGTTGTTCGCGACGATCGAGGGACTCCGACCGGCGACGGAATACGAGTTTGCGGTTCGGGCGATCACCAGCGGCGGGCAGGTCAGCACGTGGAGTCTGGCGACGAGAAACAAGTAAGTTGGTGGGAGATCGAATTTTTTTGGTAGTTTGAAAAAAAGAAACTATTACAAATCGTTTTGGGACCATCATAAGGCTTGTTGTAGAACGTTCGCCGCTCCACCGTCATCAGCGCCGCGAGACCTGACCGTGTTGCCGGCGGAGTCCGGCGATCCGCATTCGGCGTCGCTTCATTGGCAGCCGCCGAAATACGCGAACGGCGAAATCGAGGAGTATCTCGTCTATCATTCGGATCGCGCCTCGCTCGCCGACAAAGATTGGACGGTGAGCTATGTGGCCGGCGACAAATTATCGCATCAGGTCAGCAATTTGTTGCCCAAAGCCAACTACTTCTTCAAGATTCAGGCGAGGAATGAGAAAGGTTTGCGCGAATTCATTGATCATCATCGTTTCTAATTGTGCTGTTTCTTTGTTTTTTTCAGGACATGGTCCGTTTTCGGCTGTCGTCGGCTACACGCCGTCGGGCGGCGCGATTTTGTCCGGACGCGACCGCGGACGAAATGGGCACGGAACGATTGGGGCGGCGTCGGCGAACAGTTTCGACGATCTCAAACAGATGTTCGCCGAGAATCCGCTGTATCTTCTTCTTCTGATTGCGATGGTCCTTATCATCATTCTGTCGATCATTCTGATTCTGATGTGCTGCTTGAAGAAGACGGGAAGAAAGAATGGCTATCAGTCGGCGAAGAAGACGAGCGCCGCTGGCGCTGCCGGCGGTCCCGCCAACGATCTTTGGATTAATGGAACGGGAAGTCATATGAGAGCTGGAGGTTGGTTGAGAATTCGCGGTTCTCGCTTTTCTGACTAGGCAGAAATGTGAATTTTCGAAAAATTTGAACCCCATTTTCTGCAGGCTTTTAAGCATTTTCATCAAATATCCAATTTTTGAGTTTTTTTTTCCTTGCAGCTTCTGACTACATGGTCGACGGTCTTGCGACGGCTCACCTCACCGCCGTCGACATCGAATCGCCGACGCCTCGCTATCATCACTTGCAAGGTAACCGCCCGATTTTCGAGGGCATTTGAGCGCTTCCTCTCGATTTCCCCTTCCTCCCACTTCTTCTCCTCTGTTCGATTCTCTCCCGTCGTCATTATTATTTTTTTTCTATCGTTCAATGTTCGTTGAATTTTGTTGAGTGGTTGTTTCTCTCAGACTCGGTGTATGGCTCGATAACGGGCAAAAACGAGAGTAGTCGATCGAAGAGCCGAACGCCGATGGCTCAATCGATGTGCTCGGCGATCGACGAGGACACCGTCGAGGAGTTGATGACGATGAGGCCGACGGCGCGCGCGAAACCCATTCTCGTCACGAAACCGCCGATGATGGGTAATTTGTGTGGTTTGCATGTGTCTCGTTTTGCATGCCCCCTTCCCTCCTCTTCTTCCCCTATCTGTTCCCCCCGCCCCCTCCCGAGACATTGCGGTGCTAAAATTTTCGATGATCCTTGTAAAAATTGTTGGTGATTTTAGGACAAGGAACACTTCAACGAAGCTATCATCAGTCGTCGCAGAGTCTTGAAGGAGCTAGGCAGCGAACGCCGCAAGTGGTTTATACTGGCACCGGAAGGCATCAGGTATTTTTCGGTTTTTTTTTTCGACAAAAAGAAAAATGAACGAAAAAATTGGTTTAAATTTTTCGATATTTCGACATTTCAATGGGGTATGCGGGTAGATTTACGCAAATGCAAAACAAAATTTTTTTTCTGCCTTGGCCAAGAACGATTTTGAAATTAGAAATATCACTTTGAGTTCTAGAATCCGAAATAAACGGTTATTCCAAGCGAGACCCCTATCCGATTCACTGGATACCGATTATTTAGAACAAATACCCATTTTCAGAACGCTTTTGATGGTTCCTTTAAACCTTTTTCAATTTCAGCCAATTCATAAGATTGACTTCTGCGAATCGCCTTATGGCTCGTCGTCGGCGATCGGTTCAGCGGCGACTCCGCCCCTTCCGATGCAAGCGCCGCCTTCGGGTCCGCCGACGGTTATCGACGGCTATCGAACGCTGAGAGGCACACCACCGAACACGGCGAACGCTCTGAGGTGGGTTGCGAAGAAACTAGTGGCGTGAATTGAAAAATAACAAAGATTTTCTTGCGCCCATCCGGTTATGCGCCTTTAAAAATCACAAGAAGCTCGGGTTAAGATTTTTTTCCATCTAAGATCGAATCTTGAAAATTTTCGTTTTGGAAAACGAAATTTTGATGCGATAATTAAAGGCGCGCGTAACATGATTGAAGATGGGTCTCGACGCGAACGAGTTTTCTTTTTGATTTGTGAAATTTGTAAAATTTTCTAGATCGTTCACACAACTCGCTGGTGCGACACCGCCGCCGTCGAATCCGTCGAGCGCGGGACGGCCGACGATCATTGCCGCCGGCGGTCGACAGGTGCCGGTGGGACGCGCGACGGCTCAGCCGCGAGTCAACGTCGCCAACATCTACAGTCCCTACGCGTCGTGCTCGTCGGACGCCGGCGATTCGGAGAAGAAGCACGGAGAGAGCATGGAGATGAGAGAGACGCCGACGAAAACGCTCGAGCGTCCGACGACGGCGTCGATTAATATGATGGTAAGAAGCGAGAATTTCGTATTTCAAACAAGAAAAAATTGAAATTTGTATCAAATTTGAAAAAAATCAATGTTTAGCCGTCGAATTCAACGGAAGAGCTGAACGCTCAAATGGAGAATCTTGATACGATGATCGATGATCTTCAGCAGCTTCAACATGCGTTCCAAGAAAACCCTTAATTTATGCATAATTTATTATTAATATATGTACAAAAGAGAGAATTTTTTGTAAAATGTTGCTCACCGATCTACCTTGCCCATTTCTTTTCCTCCCATCCAACCGATACTTTAATAACTTATTGATCTTCATGGTCCGGTTGTAGACGGATCAGTCTACACGTTTTTCTTTTCGTTTTTTTTTATTGTCACATCGCTCTTTAAAATTTCACTATTTTTCGACGAGGTATTATTTTTTTTCAAATATTTTTGTTGATTTCTTTTTTTTTTGCTGTTATTTTTGTACCATTTTCGATATGCTCCACATTTTTTCATCATAATAATATGATTATTATTAATTTTCGGGTTTTTTTTGAAAAAAAAAACTATGCTTTTTGAAATTTTTGTCTAATACGGTCTTGTAACGAAATGGTCCGTAAAAGGCTTCATTAGAAAGTTTGGTTGAGAAATTCTTTAAAAATTCCTAAATAAACTATAGAAAATGAAAAAAAAATAAAGAATCTTACGAAAATTTGGCCCTCCTAGTAATTAAGATTCAATAATGGTCCATTCTTCAGCTAAATTACTTTTGAGGAAAAAAAGTTGAATTTTTTCGTTTGAAAAGCTCAATTTTGGCACATTTTATTAAGATCACAACCATAATTGAAAAGTAAAACTATGAAGGATTCAAGCATCGTTATATGAAATCAACGCGGTCAGTTTGACATCAGGAATCTTGGCGCGACCATTCAATGGGGCCAATTCGATGATGACGAAAGCTTCAGCGACAATTCCGCCGACCTTCTGGATTAAGTCGGAAGCGGCCTAAAAGTAATCAGAATAATGGATTTCATGCAATAAAAAATTTAAAAATTGCACATTTTTCCAAAGAAGGAATGTAGAAAAAAAGAACATGTAATTTTTTACTTTTTTTTGTAAAAAAAAGTGGCCATATTGGTGCTACGCAGATTTTGGAAAGAAAACTCAAAAATAAACAAGTATTTTTTCGAAATCTGCTTAGTACGATGGAAATATTCCCCATAAGTTACCCTCAATGTTCCTCCCGTTGCGAGAAGATCGTCAATAATGACGACGCGTTGTCCCTTCTTCACACTTCCTTCTTGAATTTCGACAATATCCTATGGAAATTATTCTCATTAAAAAAAAACCAAATGAAGCCTATTTAATATTCATTACCTCTCCATATTCTTTGACGTACGACGCTTGAACCGTCGAACCCGGAAGTTTGCCCTTCTTGCGGATTGGGACGAAAGGCACACCGAGTTGGATGGCGATTTGAGGTCCGAAAAGGAATCCTACAATCGATATTCAATTATTATTATGCAATTTCCAACAAAAACCAAAAATTAAACGTTCAATTTTTCGCATATTTTGTAATCAAAATTCATTAAATCTAAAAACACGGCGTTCACACTAGTGGGATTTACATGAAAAAAAGATTTTTCTCAATGGAGCGCACTTGCAGCTTAGCGCTATTCCGGTGCATAAATTCAACAAATTAAATTTGTGAAATAAATTAGAAACATTCTCAAAATGGATCGTTTTTTCAATAAGAACGATTAGTTTTTATATTTCTTCGGGTGGATCAGATTCACCGCAATTTATGGTCTATTTAGTTATAAATTAAATAAGTTATTTACATTTATATCGGATCTTTTTTTTTTGAACATATACATAACATTTTTAAAAGATAAAACCATCAATTAAGCGAAAGAAATACTACACAATTGAATTATGATATAAAAATTGATGATGTGTAGCAGATGAATTCAATGCGAGTAGATAAAGACGCGAGAGAGATTGAATTCGGAAAAAGAGGATATAAGGACATTTGGAAAATTGCAAAACTAATAGGGAAAAAATACACTTATCAATTTGGAAACAAATGGATAATCAACAAACACATTTAACAAGATTCTCTTTACCGATTTCATTAGGCAGCTTGAAAAGAACAATTTGATGTTATACAACACAAATGACTAAAAAAAAATACATTTTTGAGTTGAGGACGTCTTTCCATTGGTCTTTTGGAGTAGCTCGGAAGTTAAAAAAAAATCTCGAAAAGCGAATTGTCCGTGATATCGTTTCATCATTCCCCCAGCTTTTGATTTTCGAGATGGAGTGCTTATCTGAATTCAATAAATGAATTCAATGCGAGTAGATAATGACGCGAGAGAGATAAATAACGAAAAAAGAAGCTGAAAACGGTAAATTAACGTAAGAACTAACGAAATTAAAAAAAAAACAACAAAAAATTATAGAGAATCTCTTGCAACTTCTCCGCCGAAATGACACACTATTTACATTTAAAATTAGCAAAAAAAATTAAAAAATAAACAACTATGAAATGTTTTTCCAAGTATTAACAAACATAATCGTATAAATCAAACCATATAATATAACAATAAATGATATTAACAAAAGAGAGAGTGAAAAAACAGAGAAAAGAAATGTGAATATTTTTACAGTTCAATCTTTAAAAAACTACGGACCTCTGAATACTTATCCGATTGAATTATAGTAAAGCTTTTTCGATAGAAAAAAGCCTTGCGAAAAACGTGGTCGGTGCACTTTTTTGTTAAAATTTGAGAAAAATTCAAAAAACTTGAAAAATGAGCCAAAACCTGGCGATTTTTAAAAAATTCGTCTGCGCGTCAAAGACGCCAACAATCGACCACTGACACAGTTTGAGTTTTCATTTCAGGTAAATCCCACTAGTGTGAACGCCGTGAAAAATTGAAAAGAAAAACACAAATGGCCTAGAATTTTCTCTAGGCCACCACAACTTCGGCCACAACATTTTTCATCAAAAATTTAAAAAAAAATTCTAAAAAATTTACCTCTCGCTTCAAGACCCGCAATTCCGTCGACTTGTCCAACCGAATGCCTAATATGGTCAGCAACAACGACGCAAAGCTCATTAACGAGTTGCGGATTGGTAAAAAGCGGCATTATGTCCCTGCAAACTCGAGTTTTCCGTATCCAATCTCAAATATTTGTCAGCCGCTTCAATTATTGCCCAAATTTGGTTATTTGTCGGTGTTTGAACACTTCTTGCGGTCCATCAATAGTGAGAGATGCCCATTATTTTTCCTTTTTTTTCTTGTTGAACAAAAATGCCATTAAGCGAGTTTCTATGAGAATTTTGGCACCAAAATCTTGAATTTTAAGGATTTTTTTGAAAAAATTCTCAAAATTTTTATTATTTGGTCATAATATTTAAAAAAAAAACTCTAAAATTCTTCAATTTTTTTAAAACTTTTATTCTAAATTTCCGATTTTCCAAAAAAAAATTGAGATTTCTCAATTTATTAAACCAAATAAGGAAATTGCGAAAAATGATGAAATCCAAGTCAAAAATTCATCGAAAAAAAAAAACAAATTCCCACCTAAAATTGATGCCCTTTTTCGGAAAATCCTTAATTTCTCGAATATGCGCCTCGATTTTCGGGCGAATCTCGTCGAAACGCGGCAATGTCATCTAAAACACAAGTTAAGGCAAAAAAAAAACGAAGAAGACGAAGAAGAAATGAGCAAAAGCTAAATGGAGAAGGAGGAGCCGCGGGGCGAAAAAAAAGGAAAGGAGAAGAAAAGGGTCATCCACTTTTCTTATCAACCATCATCATCTCGTCGAGAAGACCAAAAACGATAAGAGGTGACAAAATCAATATTTATTACTATTCGAACTATACATAACCATAACAACTGGGTTCAGCTTTTCGTCGATTCCATCAAATCCTTCGCTTCGTTGATTTTCGCTGCCAAATATGGCGAGCCGCCTACAAAGCAATGCCGATTAATGGAAAATGTCAAGGCGATATTGTTTTTGTTCAATTTGGCACGTTTCATTTGTGCGCTGACCAAGTCGGTATTCATTCATTTTGAATTGCCGCCTTGGGGTCTCATAGGGAAAATCTCGTTAGACAGCGTCTTTCAATTTAAAATTGCTCTTCTTTTTTGAGCAAAATTCGGGAATTCTCATAAATTTTCAAAAAAAAAAAAAACACATTTTTTTAGAAAAACGCAAAAATTTCAATTTTCGATCAAATGTTTTTCATGATTTCAATAAAATCTCGATTATTTTGCAAGATTGGCAAAAAATTCCAACAAATTTTCAACAAAAGAAACGCGAGAAAAAAAAACCCAAAAATTCCGACGAAATCGCACCTTAATTATTCGAATGGGATTTGGACTAATTCGTGCCAAACCAGCGTTTTTTTTCAATTGAATTTTCAAGGAAAAGCTTAAAAATTGAAGAAATATGCTCAATTTCATCGGAATGCAAAACATATGGGAAATCAAAAAACCAAACATTACACATCGAATTTTGATGTTCAAAAAAAAATATTTGAATGACACAATGTTTCCAATCAAAAGTTTCATTGAAGCGAAATTTTCCGCCAAAATCACCTCGATCTGGATGATTCACTATCATGATTTTCTTGTGCGCCTCCTTGATTCTTTGCGGTTTCGCCGATGCCGGAACGCCGAGGATCAGCGCGGCTTCTCGTCGCGACATTTTCGCCTCGAATCCGCCGCGATAATACTTGTCGAACTGAAAATTTCAAATCAAAATTGGGACCAAAAACAATTTTAAAACAAAATTTGATTTTTTTTCGTTTAACAATGCCTTTTAAATAATCATTCTTTTTTGAAGCCATCACAATTTTAAGTGGGAAGGAAAAATTGCAATTTTCTTGATTTTTATCCTGCTTTTCCCAAATTTTTCATTAATCATTACGAAATATAAAGAAAAAAAAAATGAAAATTTCGAAATTTGACTCAATTGTCTCGTTTTTTGGAAAAAATCAAAATATTAAAAAATAATTCTTCTAAAATTTAAAAAATGCAACAAAAAAGGTTTTCCCTACGGCACCTGAAAAATCTCGCTCCGAGTCCACCACAATGTCTATAATTTTAGAAAATTTCGACTCCCGAAATGAAACGAACAAAAAAAATTCATTCCATTTAAAAATCACAAGAAATTAACAACTTCTATTAAAATGTCTCGAAACGGCTTCCAAAAAAATTCGGATATCGAGTGATTTCGAATACAAAATCGCGATTTCAACGCCTTACCGCTCCGCCGGGAATCTTCTCGAGACCCTTCTTCAATACCGCCTGATTCCGTAGCACATAACGGGCTCCAAATCCAACGGCGGCCATTCCAAGGCCGGCAAGCAGCAATCCACTGCTCATTTTGTGTTAAAACTTCAAATTCGAATCAAGATTTTCAAAAAAGAAAATGAAAACATAAACGAAGATAAACACCTGCAAATAGACAGGATCCAATGCCAAAATTTTTCCTCAACAAAAAAAAAAAAGAATTCTCAAATTTACTTCAAAAATCGACAATTTGACAAGGTTAGGGTGAATTTTTTTCAAGGCGAAAAAAAATGTAAATTATAAAAACCAGTAATTCGATGGGCTTTCAAAGATCAATTCAAGTGAACAAAATTCAATAAATATCTGCTATTGCTCAACATATTCCCCCTTTTTGCATTTCTCCTCTTGCTCTTCAAGCTGCTGCTCTTGCTGCTGCTGCTGCTCTTCGGGCTGCACGACATGGTGAATCTCATCAACCGTTTCTTCAACAATCCATTCCGGAGGGACCTCTTCCTGCTGAAAATCGTGAGATTCAAGTTCGTCCAGCTCGACTGCTTACCTTCGGTCCTCCTACATGCTCCTCCAAGACCACATGCTCGCCTTCCCCTTCCATAATGGGTCCCTGAAAATCGTCGTAAGACATTTCTCACGATCAAACACCTACCATATGCTCCTCGTTGTGGTCCGGCTCGTGTCTAACCATCAGATGCTGCTGCTCATACCCTTCTATCCTCGTCTGATACATCAGAAGAAGCGCGTCGCGCAGTTTGCGATTCTCCGTTTCGAGTTGTCTGATTCGCGCCGCGTACAAATCCTCTCGCGATTCGAACACGATCTTCTCATTCCGTTGCCGCTGTCGATAGTAGTCGGTGAGGCTCGTGTTCGCCGTGTTCAGACGATCGACCTCGCCGATGAGATAGCCGAGCATACTATGGTATTCATCGGTCGTCATCTCCTGCTCCTGAAGCACTTTGATCTTCTCCATGTCGATTTTCGACTCTTCCGTCGTCTGTTTGATGCGCTCCTCGATGTCAATCAGTGCCTGCTCAGCCATTTGAGGGCTCACCTGAAACAACAGCAAAAATATTCAAAAATGTGTCGATGAAAATGCGATATTTCGGATTTTTCAATAAAAACTAGACAATTTTCAGAATGTTTTAGGGTTTTACTTTTTTTTTGAATTAGTGAACTATCTTTTAAACTAATAATTTTAAGCCAGATTTGTTTCACAAAAATCCGATTCCAAAAAATTACCTTATTCGAGTTGGCCACCAATCTCACCACCTTCACCCCTCGATCGGCTTGCTGCTGTTGCGATTGTTGCTGGATTCTCTGCGACTGCTGTTGAGGCTCATGCCTAATCATACTGTTGTTCAATGGCACCCGGCTCATGAACATCGGCTGTTGTCCGGCAATGCGTTTCACCATCATCTCGCCGATCACGTTGCCTTCGCGTTTCCTCGTCGCCTGCGGCAGACTGATGATGCGAGCGCCGCCAGCGGAGATCCTCGACGGCGGCGGACCGCGTTGAGCCGCGTAGATGTTCTTGCTCTGCAACTTCTGCACAACATCCACCGGCGGACCGCCGATATATCGATTCTGCGGGCGGCCTGGACGACGAGGGGGCGCCGGAGGCACTGTGTACTGATAGGGACGATTGTCATACTGCATTGATTGCTGATCAAGATCGTCCCTTCCATCGTCATCCACTATCTCCTCGTGACTCACTTCCTGCCCATCTGAAATTCAAAACCTAGTTTCCGGAAAACTTTTCGGATTAGAAATTTGTCTCAAGGATTATCGTCACATTTTGAAGTGAAGCACTTTGATCTCGCCTGTTATTAAATAAATATTTTGATAAGTAAAAGAAAGATATTGACGTTATTATTCCTCGGCCCAAACCGATTAGTCACTATTGACAATGTTCTTTTACATTTTGTGTGTAAGAAAGTAAATACTGGCCTGCATCGCCTTCCATTACAATCTCGTCTTGTTCCAAAACGTCGAGTTCTCGGCCGCCGGGCGACCGCGCGCGGAAATATCTCTGACGGCGTGAATTCATCGCGTCGAATGTGCTCGCTGCAACATAAAATTCCAATTGGCCCTGGTGTTCGCGAGAAAAAAAAAACGAAAATGCGCATTGCATCATCCGATGAAACAGCTATTAGAATGTAGAGGAAAAACGGTTGGAGAGTGTCGGGGAGGAGCGTACGGCTGAATTTATTTGCTTTTTCGCGGTCATTTCTTATAGCCCTCATTTGTATTTTTTAATGGTACCCAAGTTGAAGTGGTAAGACTCATGAAATTTTCTAGAAATTCATTTTTCAATTTCGCCATTTTTTAAAGCTCCTTGCGACAATAATATTGCTCTTGTTTCAAACCAAATTTCAATTTCAAATTTTATATTCCAACATTTTCCAAAATCCAATTTCCTGCAACTGTATTATTGCAAAACATTGCCAATTGACCAAAAAACGTTTCAAATTAATTCGAACAATATTCCAGAGTATTAACAAAGAAAAAAATCCTAAAAAAAACATCGAGAAAGACATTTATTGAATTTTTCGAAAATTTACAAAAATAGTTTCCGCGTCCGAATCTCAATTTGACAAGGTCAACCCTATCAAATAAAACCGCAATTTTTTTCCTATTGCAAAATTCAATAAAAACAAGGGGTAAAATGTTAAAATCATGGAAAAATGCTCAAAATACACGCGTGGAAAAATTCGAAAAAAAATCACGCCAATATGCGCTAAACAACGGGCAACTCGCGTCAACCGCGGAACGTCGTTGCCAAATTTAGGCCCTCTCCATTCCGAGGGGGCCTAACGCCCCACGGCGCGAGTTTTTTTTCTTCTTCTTCTTCTTCTCACCTTCGCCCCGCCATCATTCATTTATTAAACATTTTATCAATTTCCAACGAACCGAATCAATCGCCGCCCGCTTAACGTCAAAATTCTTATCAATTCGTCGCATTCGCCTCGAAAATTTTCGTCGATTTTTCTCCTCTTTCAGGCTCACACAATGAATTTAACACTTTACAAGCTCATACTGCTCATCGTTATGATAGGCGGCACGATCATCGCCGGCTTGTCGCCGATGAAAGCGAGTTGTCAAATTGATCGACGCGATTCGAATGGCAAATTTCAGGTGTTGAGCAAATTGCGGCACGAGGCGGCCACCGCGCAGAGCTCATCGAAGCACAAACACGTTTCAATGGTCCTCTGCTTGCTAACATGCTTTTCGGGCGGTGTATTCCTGGCCACGTGCTTTTTGCACCTGTTTCCCGAGCTCGTCGAAAACGTCGACAAACTCAACGAAGTGTACGGCATCCATTTCGACTATCCCGTCGCCGAGCTCCTCTCGTGCCTCGGCTTCTTCCTGCTCTTCTTTCTTGAGGAGACCATCATTTTGGCGATACCTGCTCTAGCTCATGGTCATTCTCATACTTCCAGCGACACCCATCATCATCACCATCATCATCATGATGACGCGCCGCCGCCACCGCCGCCAAAAGTGAACACCCATTGCTGTATGGTGGAGACGGTGGTGAATGCGCCAATCGATGAGAAGAAGAAGCATCTTGGTTTGGGTTTTAAGAAATGCCTTTATTAAAATTTGCAGTTTTTCCAGTCGATGTCGCCGATGAGACGACGATGTTGACGAAAAGCGATGAGGGCGACGGGCACTGTCAAACGCATTGTCCGTTGACGGTTCACGATCGAAAAGGCTCCAATGAGTGTTTGGCGAAGGCAACGCAGTAAGTTGAAGCCAGAAATTTGTTTTTGTGAATTATTGAACGCTAGAAAATGAAACAGACGCCGAAAAACGAGATCGTATGGCAGTATTAATAGTAGCCTCACGGACAAAACTGAATGGTAGATCATTTGTGCAAAAAAAGAAAAATTGAAACCCCTTATCCCTTAATGTTGCTTTCAATTCCAAATATTCATCATTTCCCAATGTTCTAGAAGCTTCCCCAAATTGTCTTTATTTCTTCTGGTTTCTCCGAAAAAAAAAATGACACCAAAATTTTCAGCACATTTGCACCAGTGGCGTTCGCCGAGCCGGAGCGTTGTGAAACCAATTGTGATGATGGTAGTCGAATCAAAATTGTTGGCAAAATTTTTTCATCTCAAATTTTCAGTTGACGAGGACCCGCCGATTTTGATGAAATCGCGCCCGCACGCTCACTCGCATGGCGTTCGCTCAGTGACATTCGTGCTCGCCTTGGGCATCCATTCGATCATCGAAGGATTGGCGTTCGGCGTTCAGGATAATGCCGCCGAGGTGTCGGCGCTGTTCATCTCGCTCATGGTTCATAAGGTGATCGTCGCGTTCAGCGTCGGCCTCCAATTGTTCCGAACTCACGCTCATCAATTGAAATGGGTAGGAAGCGGGACCATCTAATCGCAATGCCATTGATTTTCTGCTCAGGTCGTCATCTCGATAATGACGCTTGCCTGCATGACCCCTCTTGGCGCCATCATCGGGCTGCTCGTGAGCACGACGACAGAAGAAGCCGCATGGAAGGACATCACTATAACAATTCTGCAAGGCCTCGCCGTCGGCACCTTCCTCTACGTCACCTTTTTCGAGGTGCTGCTTCATGAGCGCGACAACGAGCATCCCAATCTGCTCAAGCTTCTCGTCATGTTCATCGGCTTCATGCTCATCGGCGCACTGCGCCTCTTCGATTCGCACGATCACGCTCATTCGCATTCACACGACACATTGGTATGAGCGATTTCTCGACGGACACGTCTAGATGAAGGTGTTTCAGAGCCCTCAACCAATTTAGAAGTTCTCCATTTCTCGGTTGTCTGTTAATAGATCGCAAAAACAAATTACGGGAGCCGCTTTTAATTTCTCGATTCCTTGTTTTATTTATTGTTTTATGATTTCTTTTTGTTGTTGTACTCTTTTCAGTTTATTTCTTTCTTTTTTTTTTGAAACTGTCGAGCGGGTATTCGCCAACAATTTTCCATTTATGAGTGGGGCAACAAATTATGATTGCTTTATCGAATTCCTATTCTATTTTTTAAGCTTTACACCAGCATCGAGTTTTAATGCAGAATAAAGAAGAAATTCGTTCATCGTCTCAAAATTATTTTTCGGTTCTATTCGATTTCGTGGCGACACTCTTCAAGCTTTTCCCGTTTCCGCTTCTTTTGTAGGCGGCACTTGCGCGGTTCATTATCGACTTAAATGCAAATTTTGAAGCGTTTCGAGACCCTTGCTTGTTTTCCGTTTTGTTGATCTACCTTCATTATCGAGCCCTTCTGTTTTTTCGTTTTCGGCTCATCGAGCATCGTCGAGCTGGGTTGCTTGTAGAATTTGTTGCGAATGTGATCGCGGCATTCTTCCATTGTCCAACGGTCTTCGGGTTTTTCCGCCCAACAGCGTTTCTACAAAAAAAAATAATTTTTGAATGTTCGCTTCTGGCGCGAATTCTGGTGATTTTCAGCAAAAATTAATTAGAAAAATAAAATTTTCGGGCTTAAATTGCTTCAAAATCTCCTTTTTTAAATTGAAATAATTCAAAATTTCGGAAATTGTAAGCTCGAAAAAATTTAATTTTGAGATTTTCGACAAGAAAACTGTTAAAAGAGAAGCGGGAATTTAAATAAAATGGCAAATGGCGATTTTTTACGACAAAAAAAAATTCGAGCGAGAGGTCTTCGCCAATTTTTTGTGAAAATTACCAAAATGAAATCGGCAAACTCCTTGTCAACCGACGCATCGAACGGCATCCGATAGCCGCTGAGCACCTTTCCGACAACTTCAACGACTCGAAGGCCCGGATAAGGCTCTTGGCCGTCTTCGGTGATCTCCCAAGCCATAATGCCTGAATAGAAAACGTCAATGAATGGATAGCAAGAAGCAAAATAATGAATCGAAACGAACCGAACGCGTAGACGTCCACCTTCGGCGTATAGATACCCGTCTTGATCGTTTCCGGCGGTAGCCATCGAATCGGCACCTTCTTCGACAAATCCATTTTGTACTCTTTGCCCTCGCGCGACAAACCGAAATCGCTGATTTTCACCTGACCGCCGCCGTAGAGGCAATTGCGCGCCGCAATGTCGCGATGCATCAGATTCTTGTCGTGAATATAGGCGATGCCGCACGACGCCTGATAGATCAGCTCCATTTTTTTCGCCATCGCAAATTTGTTCTTTTTGAGCGCCGAGTCGAGCGCGCCGCCGTCGGCCAACTCCATTATCACATACAGCGGCTCTTGTCCGGCGCCAACCCCGTAGAATTTCACGACATTCGGATGCTGAAAAAAGAAAAGAAACCAACAATTTCTGTGGACCATCGCTTTCACAATGATGAGCTTACATCCAAATTTCTCATGAGCCTCGCCTCGTGCATGATCTCCTTGATTTGCTCTTTATTCAACGATTCCAATTTCGCCTGAAACAAACCGCATCATGTCGTCGGCGCGATGGAATCGGCGAACCGTTTTAACGGCGACTTGCACGCTAGGCTCGCCGTTGCGATTCAGCGTCCCTTTCCAGACCTCGCCGAACGCGCCTTCGCCGAGCTTCTTCGTCAATAGAACGTCGTCGTGGCTGAGCTCCCAACTTTGACGATTCACCGGACTTCGAAGGATTACAGAATGTTTGTCTTTCGTGTTGATCGGCTCCTTCGTGTTGACATGATGCTCGACGAGCTTTGAGATTGTCTCGAAGCCCTTCGTTTCAACAAAGATTTTACCGTAAGCTTCGTGTAATACAAAATGCGTTGGCTGCAATTTTTTTTTAAATTGAAAGTGAAAAAAGAAATGGGGCAGCGCCGATGTGGCCTAGAAAAAAAGGTGCCTCAAAAATTAGGTTCGGCCACGGCCACACTTAATTAAGCAGAACTCATTGATTTCAAAAAGCGAATATCAAACTAAAATAAAATCATGAATTACACGTAATTTTAAAAATTAGCCTATCGTTGTGTGCCACACTTGCAGTTTTTCTCAGAATTTGCGATTTCAATTATTGAAGCTGTAAATTAATTTTTCTAGGCCCCAAAGGCAATTTGCAACAAATTTGGCGTCGATTCAAATGCAACTCCGCAGAGTTGGGCGCGGCGTGTGTGCACAATTGTTTGTGACGCCGGTCGCCATTGAATTCCGTTTCTCATCCACATCATACCGTGCACTCATTCTCCGGCACCGCCGACAACACATACTGCCGCTTCTGGCCTTTGACGGGCTCCGTCGATCGCACCAAATACTCGCCGCTTCGCGTCAACATCGCCCGAATATCCTCGCGCGGCAGCAGGCCATGATACCATGGTTCTTGAACAATGTTTCTATCGACCATATTTTATAATTTGAATATACCGAAATGGATTCGACGCTCGATGATTGATACACGTTATCACGCCACATTTAAGTGGGCGGCTCATCGCAAAGAAACGTGTGCGCGAGGGATTCCGGTAATCGGCACACCTCAAGTGCGCTAACACTTCACAGAAGACATCGCGAAACAGAAAATCAGTTTATTAGTCTCCAATGCGATAGAAGCCGCCGTTCAAATCGCGTTTGATATAGTTGCGACAGACGGATTCGCATTCGCGCTGGTAGATGATCTGCATGCATCGGCTGTCGTTGGTGGTGAGAGTGTCGCAGCTGAAGGCGAACGCCAAGCACACTGCAACAACCATTTTTGGAAAAGAATTGAAACATTCTGAAGAGCTCAATCAATAAAATTGCTCGCCGAATTGTTTGCCTACCAAAACTGGACAAAATCATTGCAGCCGCAAGAAGCGCGAGCCTTCCCCTCATTTTTTTTTTCTGTGCGATTTTCCTTTTTCCGATTTTTTTTTTGGAAATGAATGACCCCTCGCGTTTCGATTTCCATCTCCTCTTTATTTTTTTCCCATTCATTCTTTAATTGAAGTGGCCCTTTTCGACGATTTAGTTGTAGGTGCTATCCAAACAGATATTCAAGGACGCTTTAAATTGTTTGAAAAGTTGTCGGTCGGTCTTATGATGATTGAATTAGCCTAATTCACGTTTTCAGTGTTTTGGTGTCTGAAAAAAATCGCCAGTCGAATTTTTTTTTGTTTCATGAAAATAATATGTACAATGGGTGAGTTTGATTCGCAGGTTGCTAGAAAAACCACTGCTTAAAATTAAATTTCAATTTGCACCTCGTAATTTTTTGTTTGGCAATTTTCAAAGATAATTAGAGACTGTTGTGAGAACCTTTAATTACAGCCTTTAATTCCAGTTTTCAGAAACTATTTCCTTTTGTTGAAATTTCGAGAACCCCTCAAATTTTGTTTAAATCAAGTTTTTCTAAAAAAAATTTTTTAATATTTGAATATCGGAAAATTGCCATAAAATTTTTGAATAAACTCAATTTAAATTCAACAAAATAAAATAATTGTTTAAAGGCACATAATGCGGAGGGAGAAAATGAGTTGGGTCTCGCCACATTAATTTCGAAAAAAAAAACTCTCGAATTTCAATTTTGTGGTGGTTCACCGCGACGCAAAATTGCACAATTTATTTTTTTTGGAGCTTTTATCGAAAATTCGAATATTGTCGGCGTCCGGTGTAGATTTACGGGGGAAAATGGTCTCGCACGGACTAACAAGTTATTTCAATTTTTTTTTAATCGAATGACAAGAAATGCGAAACTCATCAAGAGTGGCGAGACCTTTTCAAGGCGCATGCGCGTAAATCTACCAGCCCTTCGATTCCATCGAATTCACATTGAAATCCAATTTGTGTGTGTGTGGGTTGCATCTGGAAAAGTAAACAAACAAACAAACAAACGAAAAAAAACAATTCCGGAACAAGTAATTACCATATAATTGTTTTCGCCCTCATCTTTGTGTTGTCCCCGATTTGAAACACAACAAAACAGCGCGATCCGTGCGGATTTTGTGTCATTCGTGTAATATGTCTCGTTTCGCGGTTATTATAATCCGATGAACACTTGACGACGTCGTCGTCGTCGACCGTCTTCGTTCGATTTGTATGCTTCAACAATTTTTTCTTTATTCCATATTCGAGTTGACATTTTAATTGTGATTCGCTGCGGTCGAAGCCTATTCGATTTTTTAAATGAAAGTCGCTTAAAGGAACATTGCTCCTTTAAACCAACATTTTTAAGAAGAATTTCTTCTTTATAGAATAAAGATTTTTTTCCGCCTCTTCTTTTAACAAAAAAGGTCTTTTTTTTGCATACATATTCTTTAGAAAATTTTCAATCGAATTAACTTGGTCCCTACCTGCGCGAACTTCTAGTTATCGAGATATGGACCTTCAAAATTTTAGCCCCCCCTACCCACATGAATTTTGCATACAAATATGTGGAAACTCAAAATGAAATAATGGGATGTCTTATATCGCGCTTATATCCCCACGAGGCAAGCGGTTGTGGTTGAGTGGTCTGTCGTTTATGTTGTCAAGAATCGGGTTGCGGGTTCGGTCTCGGTACCGTCAAGCCCATTTTTGCATTGTAAAAATTAATTTTTTTATTCGGATGTATAGTCGGGGCGTCCGGCGACTACTGTACGCGGGTAGATTTACGCGCATGCGTCTTTCGAAATGGTCTCGCACGGACTAACTCGTTATTTCGCATTTTATGGGTCAGTTTGATAATTTTTAATTCGAACGACGTCAGAAATTTAAAGAAATGCGAAAGTCATCAAGAAAAAATAAATCGTTCACGTGAAAACAGCAAAATAAGCGTTAAATCGTGGTGAGACCTTTTCAAAGCGGATGCGCGTAAATCTACTCGCGTACAGCAATCGCCGGACGCCGACTATATTTTCTAAATATTTAAAGGCGCATATCATAAAGCGAGCCGCATCGCGACCGCAACGCGTCCATTTTTGTCAATCGAATCGAAAGTTCGTACTACTATTTAGTTGGTAATCGAAACGCCCCGAATGCAGGCAGCAAAAAGTTGGAAACAAGTTTCCGACGGTTTGGTAGCTGGAGGGGGGGGGGCTTCCGCAATTGACAGGCGGCGGCGAAGGTAAGAAAAGAGAAAGAGAGAGAGAGAGAGAGGAAGAGAATAGTTAGAGCATCATCATTATCATATGCTTCTTCTTTCTCCGTTACCCTCCTCCCGACTAATTCGTCCCATATTTGGAACGCGGGGCGTTTTTTGTTTGCACACAAAAGCCCCCCCCCATTTCCCTCCGCTTCCTCTCCCCTCCCCGCCAAAACTTTTCCCCTCACTACACTTTACTATTTATGATGGTCATTTTTGCGAATCCGCCGCTGATTTCATTTTTATATAAAAACGCGAAATCAAACAATGTGTCAAAATCGGCCCTTTGACATTTTCGATTTGATTGAGCTCAACGGCAAGCCGAGCCGGTCGGTCTTCTCCGAAAAAAAAAAGAATGAGTGGCTGGCTTATCAACTAAACACACACACATATATATTTTTGTTCTCGCCGACAACAACAATTGTTTTGTGTTCAATTCCATCTGCGAACATTTTTCCAACCTTCCCCCCAACTTTTCATTGTCTCATTAAAGGAAACCATCTACGGACAATTTACGATTCGGTGACGAAGTCGAACAAACCTATTATCATTCATTTTTTTAAATTTTTTTTTCTTGGCCATTAAATTCAAATAAAACATTGCCTCTCTGAAAAGTTTAAAGCGTTTTTTTTTGCCGCAAAGGATTTCGGCGAATATTTCAAATATACTGAAACCATTTTATCAACTCTAAATATAGACCCATCACTAAATGCAAATACTCTCATCTTTTTGCCAAATATGGTTGGAAGGGTGTGTCTTTTTTTTGTGCGAAAAAACCTTGAAGACGAAAGAGAAATTTATCGAAATCGTAGTAGAAAGTTTGCAGGTGTTCGACATCTGCTCACCGCCGCAATATTTCTCTTCTCTCGCCGACAGAATTGAAAAGACGAATCAAAACGACGCGAAAAGATACATGGCAATTTATGACGATGTTTCGAATTATTGCCAATCGCCAACGTCCACCGTTATCAGCTATTCCGGCTCGTCGACGCCGTCAAGCTCAATGAGTCCGACATCGCATCAGAAGGATGATAATACACCGGTTAGTTGTCGCCTAAATACATTTTTTGATTTTATTTTCAAAAATCCTATTTTTGAATTTTCACCTTTTCGTTGATTCTTTTCAGCTCTACGAAAATATTGAGGAAATGACTCGATTGTGCTCGTCATCATCGTCGCGAGACCATTCGAAATTGTCGAAGCCGAGCGTCAGCGATTTCCTCAAATCGATCCCGCCGCCGCCGCCACCGATTTATGACGACGTCGTTTACAACAAACGGTAAGAGGTGTTGATTTAAGAAATGACACGGTCGAACGATTCCTGTTTACTCTGAAGATAGAAAGTGTTCACGATATAGTTTAAGAATGACTAGAAAAACGAAGAAGTTGAAAAAGATTGAATGAATTTCGCTGCATTTCTTGTGCCTAATTGATCGGAAGAATTCGAAAATCGCTGAGAAATAGTGGAATTTCATATGGAAATTATTTTTCTCAATAAAATGGCTAATAATGAGGAAGTTTATCGAAAAACAAATTAGAAATCCACGAATAAAAAAGTTAAAAAAAAATACGAAAATAAATTGATGTAATACTGTAGTTTATTCGCTGCAGGACTATAGCAAAATAGTGTTCTGTGCCTTTAAAAGTTACAGTAATCAAATAAATTTTTTTTCGAATTTTTTAAAATATTTCTTTTAAAGATAAATCTAAGAACAAACATATATTAAAATTTGATAATTTCTTTTTAATCCCGGTACTAAATAGTAATTATAACTAAATAAAATGATTGTTCTAAAAAAAATTAAAGAAAATGTTCATATTTGGTCACAAATCAAAGAAACGCCGTTTTTTTTTTGTCCTTGGCGATAATCTATCCCGCTAGCATTATTACACAACACAATGCAGTTCAAATCACATCAGAAGCGCGGAGTTGCAGGTCAGAATTGGACAGCAACAACCACACGACGACCTCATCATTGGCGTCATCATCGGCTTCATCGCGTCGTCACATCATCGCCGCCGTTGGCGGCGGAGGCGGGACGGATCAGCACGGATCATCGAATCGTCCATCCGCCCAAAGTCGACGATGCATCGACATGCGGCCGCTATCATTGCCGCATAAGGAGATGCAGCGAATCGAACGCGAACAATCGCACAGGTCGGTTCGGCTCTTAATTAGCCCGTGGGACGTTGAGCCAAAATTGTCGAGATACTATGCGTTTATTCCATCGTGTTCGATGAGGTAGATTTTCTCTTTATTTTTGCCTTCTTTTTTTTGGACCCACCGAACCGAACCGGTCCAACGCATTAATCATTTTTCCATCATCGTGTTCCTTTTTTTTTTCGATTTTATTCGACAACTACTCTCTATTCCCTCGGTAAAATCCTATTGATCAATTTTGGATTGAAGGAAAAAATTATTTTAATCAATTGAGTGCCCAAATTCACCATAAGCTACATTAACCTAATTTTTGAATATTTCTTTTTAAAACAACGTAGTTTCCGTGCTACAAAGATTTTTTAATTCATGGTTTGTGCTTATCAGATCTCAAGCCGAAAACGAAAATGAAAAAGCCGAAATTAAAAATAGATCTCGTGGAGTTTGATTCACAGATTGTCCGTAGTTTGTTTTTCGAATTCAAATTTGAATATGATGGTCCGAAGGTCTCTTAAATCGCAATGTAGACGCCTTCTATAAATTTACATGCCGGGTCCTACTTAGAAGCTGATATTCCTCATGTTTCCATTATTTCTTCATTTTAAGTCCATTTAGAGCAGCTGATCGCCCCACCCCTTTTGAAAACCCAAAAAATTGCATTTTGAGAATTTTTAGTTTTTTTTGTTAGGCATTTAATTTTCTTTGAATCAAATTGAAGAATCTTACTTACATTACAATGCGAATTATCACAATTTGTTGAAAATTTTCATCTGCGGACAAACATCCGGGTTCGAAAAAAAATCGCGTATTTCTTTACAGGAATTTTAAAAATATGAAAACGCGCCTTTTTCTGTTCACATTTTTTCAAAGCTGCGGACATATCACAAGTTTCATTCTTGCGAAAAAATGCAAATTTTTATTGTCAAATTCGAAAATCTTGCACTTTTCGCCCATAATTGGTTTGTTTTAAGGATGCCGCGCAAAAAGCAATTCGATTTTTTATGAACACTTCGAAAAGCGCATTAAAAAAACGCCAACCACAACCAAAAATTGGATATCAATTGTGTGTTTTGAACACCGACGATGCGCCTTTAAATTATTGTAGCATTTAATTGCAGGGTTCTCATAATCACCCTTCTAATCATCACCATCCTCATTCTGCTTATCGCACTCTCAATTTACATCTTCTACGACGACATCGAACAGCATATTAATAGCATATCAGGCAGCTTCTAAAGTGTTTCAGAAGCTTCAAACACGGGTCCGAAATCCATATCGTTTGTATAAAATCCATACATTTTTATTAAAGAAATAAATAAATTACTCGCCATTAATAAATAAAGATTGACCCAAATAAAAAAGAATGAAGAGCTATTCCGGCTTCAGCGTGGAATATGAGGTGAAGTTTTGCGATGTCGACGATGAAGCCGGAAGCAGGAATCCCGGCTTCATGTCGATTAGAGTGTGAATCGCTCCGACGATTAGGACGAGCAGCAGGCCGATGAGAATGACGATGTAAGCCGGTGTGCACGAGAACGGCGGTTTCGGATGGAATTGCGATGGTGTCGCCGATTTTTTCGCCATCGCGAAACACGTTGAAGCCGACGCTGAAAAATCGACAATTTCGGTGCGGTTCGTCGCGACGCAAAATTGCACACTCTTCGAATTCGCTTCAAATCGAATCATTCGATGGCACACATTCACAATTTGCACTCGGTGCCAGTGTGAGCGCTCGATCGAGTATGATCGATCTTGGTAGCGAAAATCGATCGGGATCGATCGATCATTCTAAAAATCGATCGAGCGCTCGAGATCGATCGATCCCGAGATCGAACTTACCTGTGCTCGATCGATCCCGGGATCGATCGAGATCGAGCGCGTTCGATCTCGATCGAGCGCTCGATCGATCGCGCTCGATCTCGATCGAGCTTTTCGAGCGCTCGCGATCGATCGAGCATTTCGAGCGCTCGAGATCGATCGAGCGGGATCGATCGAGCATTTCGAGCGCTCGAGATCGATCGAGCGTTTCGAGCGCTCGAGTTCGATCGATCCCGCTCGATCGATCTCGAGCGCTCGAAATGCTCGATCGATCTCGGGTTCGATCGATCTTTAAATTCTCGAGCAAGATCGATTTTTTAACGATTTTGAGATCGAGTGCGCACACTGCTCGGTGCAATCAAACCACCAACCTTCACCGCCATTCGTCGAACCGCCGCCATCATTGATCGTACTGTGAAGCGATTCAATTTCGAAGATCGTCGATGTTGACGTTGTCGGCACATCGATGCCGATTCGCGATTCGCCGACGCCCGCCGGTGGCGACAACGGCTTGCCATCGTTCGACGACGCGCCGACCATCACAGGAAGTTTGAATCTGTAACAAAACAAATCGAAATCGATTGTGAAGACAAAAAAAAAAGACAGGCGCGAGAGAAATATTAAATGTGTGGCGTGTGTATTTCGCTTTATGGCTTGCATGTTTCGATTTTTTCCGAAAATATATTTTGAGAAAAAAAAGATGAACGACAACACAATGGTTTGGTTATGCCTGCTGATGTCACACCGAACCATCGCAATTTGCACCCAAATTTGGTGACGCGAAAGGTCACTGGATCGAATCCGAGACTCACAAAATCAATTTTTGCTGTGGATATTTGATGTCCCTAATTTGAAATGATTGATGTTTGATTTCTGAGCCATTCGATTGTTCTCCATCCTCCTAATCCAAAAATCGCACTGAGACACCAAATCGACAAAACGCAACAACAAAACAACAAAAAATATAATTTTGACCAAAAATGGGAAGAGGACGGAGAATTGGATGGATGGACGCGGTTGCAAGGGCACCAAATGTGTCGCACGCGCCCCGCGACGAAATAGCGCGCGATTTGGGGAGGCGCAGAGAGAAAACAGGTTTTCGACTGTATATATATATATATTATGCGATGACGCGACGATACCTGAGGCGACGTTTCAGCAATTCCAGAATTGTTGGCTTCGGCTCATCGTCCGGAGGCAAATCGGCGATTTTCAGAATTCCCGAGAGGCGTTGATGGCTGAAAATTGGAAATCTCGCAAAAATTTATAGCCGCAATACGAAGTTATGCCCACGATTCTTTGAAAGAACCTGCATCACAAAACTAGTGCTACAGAACTCTTCCGAAGGCTCACAACGATGGAAAATGCGTTAAAACTATCGTTACATTGAATTTTTTTAAGAATCTTTATTTTTAAAAAATGTGCAATGCTCCTTTAACCGCGATACTGTGGACAATTAATTGACCCGAGGTGCAATGTGTGCAACTTCGCGGCGGTGTGTCAACAGAAAAATGGAATAGGATCAAAACTCGTTCTCTTCATCAACCTTTTAAACACATATATGGAGAAAATTTAAGTTAGACTATAAGTTTTTAGAACACAATTAAATAACGAGTGCTACAGTACCTCTTGAAAGTCTTTACTTCAAATCCTATTAATTTTGTGCTCAGTGAACGGGTGCTACAGTAATAAATACATGGTCTTGTAGCGACAGGTGTCAGACCTTTAAATCGGATTTTTTTTTTAATTCTGCCGTTTAATTAAATAATTAAATAATGGTTTCGAATAAAAATTTCCGCAAAAAAAGTAGGAAAAATAAGCGCTTAATGGTTGAAAAAGATATGTGTCCATATATATAGATTGCACCGAGCAGTGTGCGCACTCGATCTCAAAATCGTTAAAAAATCGATCTTGCTCGAGAATTTAAAGATCGATCGAACCCGAGATCGATCGAGCATTTCGAGCGCTCGAGATCGATCGAGCGGGATCGATCGAACTCGAGCGCTCGAAACGCTCGATCGATCTCGAGCGCTCGAAATGCTCGATCGATCCCGCTCGATCGATCTCGGGTTCGATCGATCTTTAAATTCTCGAGCAAGATCGATTTTTTAACGATTTTGAGATCGAGTGCGCACACTGCTCGGTGCAATCAAACCACCAACCTTCACCGCCATTCGTCGAACCGCCGCCATCATTGATCGTACTGTGAAGCGATTCAATTTCGAAGATCGTCGATGTTGACGTTGTCGGCACATCGATGCCGATTCGCGATTCGCCGACGCCCGCCGGTGGCGACAACGGCTTGCCATCGTTCGACGACGCGCCGACCATCACAGGAAGTTTGAATCTGTAACAAAACAAATCGAAATCGATTGTGAAGACAAAAAAAAAGACAGGCGCGAGAGAAATATTAAATGTGTGGCGTGTGTATTTCGCTTTATGGCTTGCATGTTTCGATTTTTTCCGAAAATATATTTTGAGAAAAAAAAGATGAACGACAACACAATGGTTTGGTTATGCCTGCTGATGTCACACCGAACCATCGCAATTTGCACCCAAATTTGGTGACGCGAAAGGTCACTGGATCGAATCCGAGACTCACAAAATCAATTTTTGCTGTGGATATTTGATGTCCCTAATTTGAAATGATTGATGTTTGATTTCTGAGCCATTCGATTGTTCTCCATCCTCCTAATCCAAAAATCGCACTGAGACACCAAATCGACAAAACGCAACAACAAAACAACAAAAAATATAATTTTGACCAAAAATGGGAAGAGGACGGAGAATTGGATGGATGGACGCGGTTGCAAGGGCACCAAATGTGTCGCACGCGCCCCGCGACGAAATAGCGCGCGATTTGGGGAGGCGCAGAGAGAAAACAGGTTTTCGACTGTATATATATATATATTATGCGATGACGCGACGATACCTGAGGCGACGTTTCAGCAATTCCAGAATTGTTGGCTTCGGCTCATCGTCCGGAGGCAAATCGGCGATTTTCAGAATTCCCGAGAGGCGTTGATGGCTGAAAATTGGAAATCTCGCAAAAATTTATAGCCGCAATACGAAGTTATGCCCACGATTCTTTGAAAGAACCTGCATCACAAAACTAGTGCTACAGAACTCTTCCGAAGGCTCACAACGATGGAAAATGCGTTAAAACTATCGTTACATTGAATTTTTTTAAGAATCTTTATTTTTAAAAAATGTGCAATGCTCCTTTAACCGCGATACTGTGGACAATTAATTGACCCGAGGTGCAATGTGTGCAACTTCGCGGCGGTGTGTCAACAGAAAAATGGAATAGGATCAAAACTCGTTCTCTTCATCAACCTTTTAAACACATATATGGAGAAAATTTAAGTTAGACTATAAGTTTTTAGAACACAATTAAATAACGAGTGCTACAGTACCTCTTGAAAGTCTTTACTTCAAATCCTATTAATTTTGTGCTCAGTGAACGGGTGCTACAGTAATAAATACATGGTCTTGTAGCGACAGGTGTCAGACCTTTAAATCGGATTTTTTTTTTAATTCTGCCGTTTAATTAAATAATTAAATAATGGTTTCGAATAAAAATTTCCGCAAAAAAAGTAGGAAAAATAAGCGCTTAATGGTTGAAAAAGATATGTGTCCATATATATATATATATATATATATATATATATTTTTATTTATTAATATGGATATTTTTGATGGGAAAATAGGACAAATGTGTGATTGTGTGGTGTCACCATGGAGATCCCATAAAAGGGATTATCAACAATTGCGAAAGCGGTTTTTGACCTACCCGCATGTAATTTCTGCGTCATCTTCGATTATTGGATTGCTGTACGCGAATTCCGTGTGATTCTTCTTCAATTTCGAATTGCCGCCCGTTTTTGCCTAGAACATAGTTCTTCATTTTGATATTTTTCGTTATTTCAAAATTTTCAAATTAATGAATTACCGATGCAAAAAATAATTGTCTGGGTATATGTGGACCATCGTCTTTTTTTCGGGCGGTATTTCAAATTTCGATTCGAAAAGCGGGTATTTGGATATTTCCTACTACGGACAACCTGCGAATCAAACTTGCAGTTTTATATAAATTAAAGTAGCTCGTTATTTCGCCTTGGAAGATCCATGAGAAGCCGATAAAGGAAAAATTCAAAATTTCCAAAATGTATGATTAAGGCGTTAACACACAATGACGAACATTTGCAGACGACACAAAAAAATTGCCGCAATTTTCTATATTTTTAAATATTCAGGAGATTTTTTTTTAGAAATTTTCAAATCGGTTGATTTTTGTGAAAATTGAAAACCAGCTAGCAGTGTGAAATTCAAACAAATTTGAAATTAAGCCAATAATTGTGATTTTTCTTTTCGAAAGTACTAAGATTGAAAAAGGCACATTATTAAAATTAGGACAAACCTAAATCTCAATTTTGGCTAAGGTTTTTTTTTAATTAAAAAAAAAACTCACTTTTTCGCAAATCTCATCAAAATCGTCGATTCGAATAACACCGTTCGTCATTCCTTTTTTAGGAATTTCAATTCGTGAAAGTATTCTAAAAAAAACCATGATGGATGGATGTGTAAATAATCGAGAATTCGCGTAAATAAGGGAGCGACCATCGGATGGTGTGAAATATCAGACACCGTCATTTTTATTCTGGGTTAATTAGCCTAATCAATTCGTTGAAGTTTGGCGAAATTAGGACAAGGGAGATGTGCCTTTAAACCAATTTCAATCTTTAAATAAAACGTTTTTTGAAAAGTACACTTTTAATTGTAATTTTTAAAAATTAGAATAACATCGTTTCGAGACCCGTGCTGCGAAAAACCCACAAATAGTATAGAAATGATAAAACAATAATAGTTGGTGCTCGTGCGCGCAGCCTGGTGGTCACTTTTGTGATTTCTGAGTGTCTCGTAGCGCAAATACAAAACTCTCCGCGCGCCGACTCAACTCGTTCGCTCTCTCACTCTCTCTCTCTCTCGTTGGTGGTCATCATCGTGCGAAGCTTCTTCTTTTCCTACAGGCGTTGATACTTCCGTTCGTACAACACACACACACAAACCAAACAATTGTTTGTATATGTATGAGTTTTGCTTTTTTTCTAAACAAAAAAGGAGGAACTACAAATGGGTCTTGTAGCGAATAACAAGTCCGTATTTGTATTAGCTGGTTGCTAGGGTGCCTTTTCGCAATAACGGCTAAATAGAATTCATAAATTTTTCTAGATGTTTAATCCAAAAAATTTGGATTTTTAATTAAAAAATTGTACTTTGGACCAGCGAAATTGGAAATTTAGTGACATTTTCTGAGTTCTAATGGCAGCAATTTTCCTTTAATGGCCTATTTGATTAAAAAGTGCCCTTGCCTATTTAATAAGCTGACGGAAGTAACTATTGCAGTTAATCCCCCTGTTAATTAACTGTATTTGCTCACTTTCCTTTGGGGGAATCAGTTCATACTGCTAAATGGGTTTTTTAATTACCTCGCGAAGAGATGAGCAGCATTTCTCGGCGATTTCTCTGAAAAACGACATTAAAAATGAACAACTGAAAGAAAATCGAGTGTGATAAGATGCACGGCTTCCAGGTGAAGGATTAATCATGCTTTGGTGGCAAACGGCTGCAACCCTTAAAAGTTGGAGTTATTGAAAAATTAATTTGACAGCTGTTCGAGAAGATTAGATACAAATTTTCTGGGATTTCCCTTCAATTTTTGACTCTTACTTTGAGTCGCTCGGCAAAAAAATGTGTAAAGAAAAAATAAAATATCAACTTCATTCAGTTTGTCGGTTCGAGCATCCAATTCATGATATTCGCCCAAAGCATTTTATCTGATATTTTCATTTCTAAATAGAAATGGGTGAAAATCAATTAAAAATAAGAGAACGAAAATAAGAGATTTTTAGAAAATACGGCGAGAACGCTCAGCAAACTCATCGAGTGAAACACTGGAATTTCTTGGTTTGGCCGAATCATGCAGGTTAAACTCATTCTATTTTATACCATTGGTTATTCGAAAATTTGCCATTTTTGCACCGAAAACGAAAAAAACCTGTGTCGACCGATGAGTTTGCCGAGGATTTTATTCAATTTACTCTGCAATTGTGCGTCAGATGTGTTACGGGTCTCGTCGCGACTTTTGTCTTACGGTACAATGACGTCATTTTTAGGATTTTGGTGTCGTTTTTTCAAAATCGTCGTGGATTTCTTATTTCTTCGTTTTTGGTTTGATTTATTCCAAATTGTTTTCAAATTGTTTTTTTTATATCATGTCTATTTTTATTTGTAACATTTACTTATCTTATTACTTTGACAATGAAAATTTGAAATGGCAATCGTTTCGTATTTTTAGGCTTGTGAACGAACGATGCAGTCCTGCGCCACCCCACCATTTGGAACCCCCACCCAGCATAGTACTTCGTCGAACTCGCCGCCGAGATCGTCAATGATGACGCCGACCTCTTTGGATGGCGAAACTCCGCGGAAGCGATTCCCAGCGAACAATGAATCCGGCGATCGACTCACTGGGTTGAGACGGGATGGACAATGGGTTGATATTTACTCCCCAACGTGCCGTTTTTTATTGCACATTTTTCAGTCGTCGTTGCGTGCACCGCCCCCGGCACGACTGTCTTTGTCGTCGAGCAACAAAAATCCACTTTCACCAATCTCATCCAATTACAATCATACGCCGGCGTCTACCAACATCGGTGCTAGAAGAAACATTTTTTCGCCATCCAATCCATCGACTCCGTTGAGCTACGGCAGATGCTCTTTCGAAAGCAAAAGTAAAAAAAATTGTTGTGATTTTCAATTGATAATTTAGATAATAATTTAGGCTTGTTCTCTCCCGCGATCACCGAACCTGTCGAGGTGGAGGCATCTGTCGAGTACCTCGCGGATTTGGTCAAGGAAAAGAAGCACTTGTCATTGTTCCCGCATATGTTCAACAACGTTGAGCGTTTACTCGATGAGGAAATTGGGCGCGTTCGTGTGGCCCTGTTCCAAACGGAATTCACCAAAGTAGAATTACCGGAACCATCTGGAGATTTGTTGTCGATTACGGAGAAGATTTACGTACCAAAGGACGAGTACCCAGATGTAGGATAACTCAAAATATTTCTGTTTATACGTTTTTTTTCAGTACAACTTCGTTGGAAGAATTTTGGGTCCACGCGGAATGACCGCAAAACAATTAGAACTCGATACCGGATGCAAGATCATGGTTCGCGGAAAAGGATCGATGCGCGACAAAGCAAAGGTGGTTATTGCGAAGACAAATTTTGTTTATGCCATCCAAAAATGTACACGTTATGCTTACGGCACATTTAGTCATTGCAGGAAAACGCTCATCGCGGAAAAGCCAACTGGGAACATCTTGAAGATGACTTGCACGTTCTGGTGCAGTGCGAGGACACAGAAAACCGAGTTCATATCAAACTTCAGGCGGCTATCGATCAAGTCAAGAAGCTTCTTGTTCCCGCTGTAAGATTTCGTTTGTTTTTTTCTTGAAATTCCAACGTTACAGCCAGAGGGAACTGATGAGTTGAAACGCAAGCAGTTGATGGAACTGGCGATCATCAATGGCACTTATCGTCCAATGAAATCACCAAATCCCACGAGAGTCATGACCGCAGTACCGCTGCTTTCGCCTAATCCGATCAGAAGTCCGGCACCTGTCATAATGCCAACTCAGAATTCTTCGTCGGTGCCAGCGGCGGCAGCAACCATATTGGTAGAAAATTTATTAAGAAATATAATGAAATCCATCATTTTCAGTCACCAACTATGGGATCGACATCATCTGGGCAATTGCTTGGTTCAAACGTTTTTGATTATTCGTCGCTTTTGAGGTTGTTATTTTCAACGTTACGCGACTGCGAAAAATTGGCTAAATGCAAAGAAAACAGCGTCGGTGATCTCAAAACCAAAAGTGTAGATTGACAGATCTAAAAATAAAAACAGGATAAAGGCGTACACGGCTCACCGAGATTTTCTTTTAAATTTGTTTAGCATTTCGCAAATTTACCGCAATAATAATGTCCACGTCGCACGACGCCGATAACATTATTATTTTGTCTATTCAAATGTTTGTTTCAGCCCGAACATGTTTGATTCGTTCGCTTCTCTTCAATTGTCGAACGAATTCCAATTCCCGAAGTATCCAACTACGACATCTTTTGTTAACACGTTCCCATCGTTGTTTTCATCGATTTCGTCATCTTCGCAAACGAACAACGCTGCTCAATCCCCTGCTTCTGTTGATAGCCCGACTAGCAACTCATCCCGCTCACAGCATTCATTCTGATCGCTCAACCCGAGCTTTTAATAACAACCATGTTCAATTTTGTTTCTAATAACAGGTAACATCCCCAATTTTACAGTATTTAAGGATCAGTACCTTTCCACCTCCCCTCCTCATGTACCATAAGTCTTGTTCATATTTCATCATATATAATCATTTTTAGAACAATCGTTTAGGAATTTCATTAATTTTCGATTTAATTTAAGTATATTAGCTACCTGCCTAATTTTTATTAATTCGATTCAATGTAATTGTTCCCGGTGCTCTTACTACTACCAAATGCGTATATTGACAGGTGCCGGTAACAACATCTAACCGGGTCAATTTTATGCTCAATCATATGTTACAGCAGTTATTCATAATTTCTCGTAGCACCAATGTTGTTACGCATTCTGTGTTATTTGATTCTAACTTTCAATTCCCCTTAAAATTATCGGATTCCTAAGCGCTTGTTGCTTTTTCGAATCCCACTCTTCCCCTCCCCCCCCCCCTTGATTTCTTCAAATACTCATTTTGATTTCCTAATGGAAATCAATTGTATAGTAGTATTTAGGTGTTTATAAAACGAAATCCTGCATTTGTTTTTTAATATATGTCATGTTGGTAATATTCATACTGTTATTACCACTCAACATAATTGTTGAAATATCTGAACGAATAACTTTGTAATAATCATAATAAAGTCGTTTGTTTGGAGTCATTTCTAATTTTCGAAATGTTGTTTATAAGCGGTCAAGGACACATTAACCGTCCGGAGATTCCAGTATATTATGGTCAAAGAGATATCTGGGTTGCAATCTGTAAGCTAATAGGCTTTAATTAGATAAGCACCATTGGAATTCCAGTGCAATGTTTTGTTGGGTTCTCTTTTATTTTGCTAACCTTGGCTATAATGCTGATTCATGAAGCGATAACTTCCCCAGCGGCCAAAAAGAATGCAAAAACTTCGAGATTTAAGGTTAAAGAAAAATTAAAGCAATTATTTGCCAGGATTTTTAGCAGAAAGAATGCGTAGAATGGCATATGAGAGAGGAAATTTACAATGGATTAGATAATTATAGAAGGGAAAGAAGATGGCTTATGAAACAGTCGTCTTCGAGTAGTATGGATAGTACGACGAGAAAACCGCAAGTATTCATTCCATTGGAAAATCGAATACGATTTTGGTGGTTTTGAATTTGTAGGGCATTTTCCCATCGAAAGAGACCAAAAAGACGTTGTGGTGTATAACCGATGAAATTCTGAATATGTTTCAATGCGAGTTGTCCAAACAAAGTGCTCCGTCGCAAAAAATGAAAATTTCGAAAAAAGAAAAGTATTATTCGTTTAGCGGCCATTCCTATTTGAGACTTTAGGCTGTCTGATATGAAGCGAAATAATTTAATGGATATTCTGAAGCCAGCCAAATCGAAGCATTGAATTCCCATCTTTGGAAAATAAATTTGAATTTTTGTTTTTGAAAAAAGCGACGCATCGAGAAATGCGCCAGTGTTCGATGAAGCTGGCGCACTTATTGAGATTTTGCACGATTCTTGAATTTTTCGTCCTTTTCTCATTTTTGAACGCTTTCCCACTCAAATGTATATTTTTAGATATCATGGTCGCCGCAACAACAGCCTGGACAAGATTTAGGAGAGGACTCCCCATTTATGCATGGCCCATCCTTGCGGGCGCCATAATTTTCGTTGATTGGAATCACACGCGTGAATGGAAAGCTGCTGGCCGAGTATCAGCATTGCAGAAGGAGATCATTGGAACTCAATAGAAGCAATCGTCCAAATTCTAGCCTAGTAATATTCTCAATTTACAATAAAACATTATTTATTCTTAGTTCAAACGAGAAACATTGGAGGCGGTGCGCATTGTGTGCACCTCACTTGTCTTCTGATTCTCCTCATTATAATACTGCTGATTTTGGCGCGCCATTGGCGCAATGAGATTCGCGTTGGTGATGTTGACGATCTCGCGGAGGGTGAGCAAGTTGTTGTCATAGGAGAGCTTGAGAAGATGATAGGCGGATTGGAAGATCTCCTGAAGCGATTTATAGGAGCAAATAATGTGTGCCTTTGCGTTTCGTGTATTACCTTGGAGAGATCGGGCTTTCTCATCGAGAAGTAGGCGACATGGAATGTGTTGACGAGTGCGGCGACGATGAGCGATGCGACCATGACGGTGAACTGGAAGGCGGTCTGCGCGAGTTGTGCGCCAACAGCGGCGGCGGCCTCAATTTCAGCCAACACCGGCGCGTTTCCATACGACGAGCGATTCTTCTGAGTGCTGGTTGCGTAAGTTTTCGAGCGAGCCGTCGAGTTGCGGGTTGAGCGGAGGCTGGCGAGCGCCACAGCCGTCTTGACATCAGCCTCGCTGATTTCAGTCGGGCCTTGCGCTTGTTGAGTCTGACCATCGGCCAGCTCATTCAGGTTTTGTTGTTGATCAACAGAAGCAGCCATTGCGAGTTCTGCAAATTGAAATTGAATAATCTAAACGCGACCATTTGCCTCACCTATTCCTTGTTCGAATAGTAATTCTAGTCGCCGAAATCGGGATTGATGCGTTTAGCAATGGGCTCGGGTCCCTCGCGTTCCACTTTTAATTCATCTCTCCGTATTTATCTTGATGAAAATGAGTGTCACGTGGCATTATAATGCAGTTTTGAGTTTTTTTTTGCATTGTCTGAAAAAGTGATAACGAACATTTGTTTTGAAAAAAAAAAGAACAGAGGATTGAAAAAAAAGAAAAGTTAAATTAAAAATACAGTAACTGTAGTGATTTGTGACGAGACCTGCGTGAAATCCAACGTGCTCCTTTAACCAAATTACTGTAATTATTCCACATTTTCCCAGTTTTTTTCATTTTTTTATGCCGAAAATGTCTGAATAGTCGTATAGTGAACTTAATGAATTTCTTTAAAGGAAATTCAGGTTGAATTTTTTTCTAAATTATCACACTTGCCCGAGATTTTCCATTTGATCTATAGGAATGGCAATATTTACATGATAATTGAAGACTTTGACCCTGTTTTCCATCGGGCGCCTCCACCCGATTCTTTTTCGCCTGTGTCTCTCAACGTTCTTATCATTGTCGTGCTGCCCGTGCCTCGACTTGTTCATTATTTTCTTCATTTTCCACGTCCATCCTACACCGTCACTTGTTTTTTTTTTCCATCGCGTTCAACGTCAAAAAATAATTTCATTTCAATAATTAAAACGCAAATCGAATAATTGTGCGGTTTTTCAGAATGCTGTCGGCGAAAAATGTGCTCACTCGCGCCGTTCGTCTCACAAATGTAAGACATTTTTTTGATTTTTTCAATGAATTTTTGAAAATTGCATTTTTTTTTTTCTTAAGAATGTAAACTCTAATTAATTGAAATTGGCTTTTAAATGATTAAAAACATCTAAATTTGCGTTTTAGAGCTCCCGTTTGAGCAGCACTCTTGTGATTGCTGAGCATGACGACGCCAAACTTGCACCAATTACTCTCAACGCCATCACCGCCGCCAACAAGGTAGGATTTTGGGAGAAACGCGCCAAAAGATTTCTAAAGCAATTAAAAACTGAAGAGATTGATATCATTGATCACAGATCACCTAGTGATCATTGAATTCATAAAATTGTAATTAGACAATCGATTTTTTACGTTTTTTTTAATTATGAAAAAATTGAAATTTCAGCTTGGAAATGAGGTGTCGGTTCTTGTTACTGGTGCGAATGCATCAAAAGTTGCCGAGCAGGTCTCCAAAGTCAATGGAGTTAAGAGAGTTCTTGTTGCTCAGGACGAGAAGCTCAAGAACAACCTTCCAGGTAAAAAACAATATGTAATGAGAATTTTTGGGAGTAAAAAAAGAGGATTTCAAAAGAATTTTAGCAATTTTTTGATGGATCCCCTTCAAAATCAAATGTATGTGTGATTTTCAGAGCGCGTCGCGCCGGTCGTCCTGGCCTCGCAGAAGCAGTTCAACTTCACCGCCATCACCGCCGGCGCGTCGGCGTTCGGACGAAGTGTGATTCCGAGATGCGCGGCGAAACTCAACTCGTCGCCGATCAGCGATGTCACCGAAGTGCATTCGGCCGACACGTTCACGCGAACAATGTACGCCGGCAACGCGGTGACGAAAGTGAAAAGCTCGGCGCTCGTCAAATTTTTGACGTTCCGAGGAACGGCGTTCGAGCCGGCGAAAGACGGCGGAAGCGGTGCCGTTGAGAATGGTAGGCGTTTTGATTTTGGAAAAAAAGCAACAATTTAGACTTTTTGCAAACGGAGTGAGAGAGTGTGTGACTTGGCGAGACGCAGACAATTCTTTTTCCATCGATTCTCGCGTTTGTCCGGCCGTTTTTTACGACGCGATTTGCGGATACGGAAATTTTTTTGAATTGCGCGCCAGTTTTGAAATTTTTGCTCACCATTTGTCGATTTTCGGCAAGAATTTTGCGTATTTTTTTGAACATTGCTGAAGGACAATTTCAATTTTTGACAAATTTGACAAATTTCAATTTTTTCAAAAGACAATTTCAATTTTTGTTCTTGGTAATTCTAAATTTGTGTGTGATATGAAAAATGTCGAAATTTCGCGTCAAGACCCATCAATTCAAGTATACTGTGAGCATGAGTATTTCTGAAAAATAGAATCGAGATATCTTTTGATTTTTAATGGAAAAAAGTTGAGGAAATGTGTGGAATTGTATCAAATTGTTTTCATTTTTGAGACACCTTTTAGAAAAATTTGGTTCGACACAAAAAATCTTTTAAAAATTCTCATATTCAAGCACGAAAAATTGCAGAAATTTGATGGTTTGTAAATAATTTTGTCTCTCTCTCTTTAAAATAACATTTTTTTTTTTCAAATACGCTTCGAAAAGAAACAAATTCATCAAATAATTTGAGACTTTTCTATTTAGGAATCGGATTTTTGTGAAATTGGCGCCCAATTCAAATAATTTCACGACCAAAATACCAAATGCGCAAATTATTTGTGGAAAACTGTTTAAAAAACGATTCATATGAGAATGTGTAGATTTACGGGGCTAAAACCTAAAGAAATGGTTAAAAGCTTATTTTTTGGGCATTTATTGCTTTAGCGAAATGACACGTCAGTATTCAATCGTTTGATATTCAGCGCCTGCTGCGGACGACGTCAAAACAGAATTGTCGGAGTTCCTCGGACAAGAATTGAGCAAATCGGAGCGTCCCGATCTCGCGACCGCCAAGATTGTCGTGTCGGGAGGACGCGGATTGAAGAGCGGAGAGAACTTCAAGGTCTTCTTCTTTTTCGGTGATTTTAGTTCAATTGTTTCTTTTTTTTTGCAGATTATCTATGAGCTCGCTGACAAACTTGGCGCCGGTGTTGGAGCTTCGCGCGCCGCCGTCGACGCCGGCTATGTGCCGAACGATATGCAAGTCGGACAGACGGGAAAAATTGTCGCACCGGTGAGCGTTGTGTGCATTGTTTTTTAAAGGCACATGGCTGTTGTGTCGTGGCGGGACTCTGAAGAGCTCAGGCGATCGACAACTTTGAAAAAAATGTTTAAAGATAGTTTTTTTTTAAATAATAAACTTTAAAAGCATTGGGAAGTTTTCGAATTTTTGAAATCGATGGCGAAAAAAAATTGTTCAATTTTATCAAGTCTCGAGATGTTTTTAAAAAATTTTGTTACAAACGTTTTGGATTTTTTAAAGAAGGATTTGGAATATTTTAATAGTTTTAAAATGTTGAAATGATTTTTTTGTTTCAGGAATTGTACATTGCCGTCGGAATTTCGGGAGCCATTCAACATTTGGCCGGAATGAAGGACTCGAAGGTGATCGTCGCGATCAACAAGGATCCCGACGCGCCGATCTTCCAGGTATATGACGCTTCGACGAGCGTTGCGCCTTTAAAATCGCACACATTCAGGTTGCCGATTTCGGCCTCAAAGCTGATTTGTTCAAAGCGGTTCCCGAAATGACGGCGGCGCTTCCGTGAATCGACACTAGGCGTACATACAGACAGACAGGCTAATCGAGAAGTGTTCAATTAAACCATCCAGATTCTATTTATTTTACAAAAATTCGTGTGTTTTAAAACGGAGTGTGTGATATAAAAAAAATTGAGTCGTCTCGCTGATTTTTTTCTGTTTCATCTGTTGCGTTTTGTAGTAGTTTTTTTTTAAAGAAATTATATGGCATCACATATATATATATATAGAAAAAGCATGGAAAAATGTGCAAAATTCGATGAAAAAAAGAATAATAGCAATAATAATAATAATAATGGGCAATATAAGAGAAAATAGAGACAAAAAAGGTATGAACGAAAACAAAATGAACAATTTTAGCATATTCTTGTGTTTTTTTTTTTTTTTTGATTAAAACTCGAATTTTTGTGGATGGGGCCACTTTTTCTTTAAAAATGTTCTTCTTTTTTTTTTGTTTGCTGTGGGAGAGGGAACCCGAATGATTCAAAAAAAAATAATAACAACAATAAGAATAATAATAATAATTCAAGAGAGATCATACAAAATATTTGCGGGTTAATGGGCGGTTCTTTTTTTTTTTTTTGAGTGTTCGTCCAATTCCTGAGAGAGGAAGTTGGGAGGGGGGCGCGAAAAATGGTCGTCACTGGGGTGTTTTATTTGTTTCTTTTTTTTTCGTTGGACAGGAGAACACTCTTTCTCTCTCTCTCTCTCTCTCTCAAATGGGATGAAAAGTTGAAACCTGTAACTGAATATTGGGTGAGGGGGGGGGGGCGTTTTGGTTAAAAATTGAAACACACACATAGAAAAAGAAAAGCAAAGAAGCCACCGAAGAGAAAAACGAAAAACGCTTAATTTCTTTTTGTTTTGGGCACATTGTGATGAAAAGTGAAAAACAGTAGTTGAAAAAAAAAGCCAAATTCTTTCTTTCTTTTTGTTTTACTCAAACTTGAGGAATAGTAAATGCAAAATGATGAGATTATGCGCGCTATGGCTGACCAACAATACAAAAAAGGAAAAAAAATGAATACTTAGGCGACCGCCACCGTCGAATTGTCTTCCGATTTGACGGCGGCCGCTACCGGCGGCGCCGATTGCTGCGATTGCGACTGCTGCTGTTGCTGCGGCGTCGGCTCCGGCGGGCTCACTTCGAGCTCGGCGCCCGACGGCTCCTCCTCTTTGACGGGCAGCGGCGGTTCGGCGGGTCGCGGCGAGTTCGTCGCCGACGCCGTCAACGGTGTTCGGGTTCGCGAGGCGATGCCCGAATTCGACTGATTGCGCGACGGCGTCGACACCGAGATCGCCGCCGCCATTTGTTGCGCTTGCGCCGCGTTGAAGTGCTGCATCGCGGCGGCGGCGGCGGCCGCGCTCGACGGCGGCATCATGCCCGGCAACGCCGCCATTCCCGGCGGCATTCCCGGCATGCCCATTCCCGGCATTCCCATCATTCCGGGCATTCCCATCATTTGCGCTTGCATGATGGCTGAAAATGAAGAACAATCGCGAATTGCGATCAATGTCTTATATGGGGAAGCGTCGTACCTTGCATTTGAGCCATCTGCATGTGCTGCATCATCGCCTGCATTCCGTTGATTCCGCCATTCGGCATTCCGCCGTTCGGCGCGCCGCCTTTGCCAACTCGCGGCGACGCGTTGCCCATCACGTTCATCATCGGGTTCCTACAAAAAAGCAATTTTGCGTTTCTTTTTTTTAATATACACTTTTTCATGAAATTTCAGCGCCTAGTTTGAGTTTTAAGCCTTTCTCCGGATTTTTAAGCGAAAAAAAATGAATAATTGAGAACAAAAAGACGAATTTCGTTTTGAAATTTTCAGCTATTTTTTGCAAATTCGAAAATTTTCATTTGAGAATCGAAAAAAAATCTCAAAATGAATCGATTTTCACCGAAAATCATTAATTTCAGTCGAAACATGTTGAAATTTAAGGTCGAAAAACGAGTAAAAATCGAATTGCCGGGCAATTTTCAAGGAAAAAAATTTGGAAAGTCAATTTCAAGCCAAAAATGGCTCGATTTCAAAATTATTTGTCAAATTTTTGAAAATTTCGTCTTGAAGATACCACTAAAATTGCTAATATGGCATCAATTATGGGTCCAATAGTAGTGTGAAACTAGATTTTTTAAAAAAGTATAAAATTTCAATTTTTCTTTTAAAAAAAATCCATCGAAAATTTTGTTTTGGGCGGTTTCTCTGTGGCAATTGCGTCGCGGTGTTTGCACAAATCGATTTCAGAATTTTTTCAACTTCAACTCTTCCAAAAATCAAGATGAAAGTCCAACAAAATAAATAGAAATTGCGAGAAAATATTTAAAAGCGGCAATTCAAATGCCTTCCTCATTTCATGAAAAATTTCGAGTTTTGGGTGGTATCTTTAAAGCGATTTCAAAAAAAAAAGCAATTTTGGTTTTTTAAAAAAATGAAATGTCGAACCTCATCATCATATGCGGATTCATCGCCGCCGCCGCCGCCATCGCGTTCATCGGCTGCGTCATCGGCACCGGCATCGAAGCAGCGCCACTCTTCGACAGCGTCTCAAGCTCGCTCATCAATTGAACCTTCAAAAAATGGCAACATTATCGTTTTTGATACAATTTCGACAAGAAAAAACGAAAAAAAATGAAAATAATAATTCAAATTTTAAGAGCGAAAAAAAAAGAAAACCTGCATATTCGTATCGGAAATCGCCGACACATACGTTTTGGCAATCGATTCCAATTTTTTGGCAATCTCTTGAAATTTGACAATCTCGAGTTGCGCCGTCGTCTGATCGGTGACCTGTTGGATTTGCAGTTGAATTTGTCCCATTTCCTAAGAAACGCGAATTAACAAAAACAAAATACAATGAACGAAAAATCGAATTACCTGTTTCGTCTTCTCGATTTCGGTCTTATTTTGTTGTAATTGGCTGCTCATCGATTGCATGTCTTTTCGCATCGCTTCGAGATGCTCCAGAAATGACATGTTGCTCGCCGACCCACTTCGTTTCCTACTGAAAATCAATCAATTTTCACCATTTTTTTTCTATAATTCTCGATTTTTCAAGGGGGGGGGATTCTTTAAAAAGAAATCTATTAAAATCACAATGTACTGTGAATTTGATTATTTTTAGTTCATCACGTGATTTTGAATTTTCAGAATTCGACGTCCTTCTCGTTTTCTGTTAAAAATGGGCAACGTTTAAAAATTCTGAAACTCGAACCGCTCTTGTCACAAAATCAATCCGATTCTGATCGGATCCGATTGAGAAAATGTCGAATTCGATGAATTTGATTCAAAAATCTTCGAAATTATTCTCGAATCCGATTGATTTTCAAAAATCAGAGAACCACTGTTTAGAAAGAAAAGAAAATTGTGACTTGAATAAGTGTGGACCATCGCACATTTTTTTCTCGAGCCGGTATTCAAAAAGTGTGAATTTAAACCGCGAAAATTCGAATACTGGATAACCTGAGAATCAAACTCCCCGTAAATCGGAGCAGGGTGCTCAAATTTTTTTGCGTGCGAAGGGAAATACCATAAAATGTATCAAAAAATGTTGCCCCATTCATTTTTTTTAAGCTTGTATTCGGAAGGGTGGCGGCCATAAAATGTTCGACACATCAAGTCCGCCATATTTCAAAAAATTTATTAATTCTTATCGCAATTATTATACGGTTTCTAGATTATTTCGCGAATTTCTTTAAAAAAAAAACAGTGGATTAACGAAAATATTCTTAAGATAATTAAATTTTTCAAAAGAAAAAGCGAACGGCGGGAATTTGACTATTCTTGTTTTGACTAATTTATTCGGACCCTCTAAAAATGGGCAAATTCTCGCGCCAAACAGATGGCGCCTTCTTATTAATATTTTTCAATTAATTTCATGTCGGGAAAAACGGGCGTTTTTGCCGTTACCCCCGTCTGAAAGCTTTTCCGATTTTCACACGAAAATACAAAAAAAACGAAATCGCAAAACTCAAAATGAGAAGAAAAGAAATTGTTTCGAAATTCGCCATTCGCCAACAAAATTTCAACAATGAGTGAGAGAGAAAGAGAAAAAAAAACATAACCACCATCGGGTTTATTGGGCAATTCGGGGCGACAAATTCTCGTCGAGAGGAACGAAGAAGGGAGGAAGAAAAATGGAGTTCTCTTATCATTTTCGAGATTATATGGCCCCAAATGAGGGGCATTCGTTTTTCACGCCAAAAAAAAAAGAACCGGCGTCGAACCACACCATAACGCGAGTGATGCGCATTCATCATACGACGGCATTGAGAGACGCCGACGAGCAGGCGGACGCTGATGAGAATTTGAATCGCGAATATTCCGCGCGCCTCGCGCGTGCGACCCCTCAAGCTCCGCCCATTTATTATTGCGCAACTCTTTTGTTGGCGAAATTTTCGAATTCAAAAATTTGAATAGAAAACGAAAAATAACAACATTTTGTTTTTCAGTTTGCTCCCCCCCCAAAAAAAAAAGGGATTTTCTCAAAATTTCCAATTTGGACATAAAATATTCTAAAAGTCTTAAATTTCTAAGAAATAATGAAGATTTTGTTCCAAAAAATGAGAAATTTTTTTAGTTCTCACCAAAAAAGGATATTCTCACGAAAACGTTCAAAATTTTGTCAGCTAGGCACAAAAATTCTCAAATTTCAATTTTTTTTCGTTTTCGCACAAATATTGGATTTTGGGAGAAATTTTTGAATGAGGTATTTCAAAAAAAATGACGGATATCCCAATTTGCAACAAAATGTTGAAATTTTCCGGCGAACAAAAATTCAACGAAAAAAAAATAACGATTATCGAATTCAAATATTCGACACAATCCCAACCAAAATAAAAAAGGCCAATGCATTTTGTTGGACAATCAATTTCAAATCGACGCTCATAAATCACTCACTTTTCTCTATTACTAGAGCTAGGATGCGAGTAGGTGGTCGGTGTGACGAATCTCCTTTGATCAGCCGTGATTGTAAACGGGGGTGCGATCGCGTGGATCGTCCGGTGAATGCACCCAAGATGAAAATGCGCCTCCTCTTCGTCGGGCGATGTTTCAACGGGTGTCGGTCTTTGTGTGTGTGTGTGTGTGTGCTTCGAAAGCAGCACTCGAAACACGACTTGCTTCAGCCACCCTTCGTCGCCTTCTTCGATTCAACTACAACACAAATTATCATAAAACAAGCGCTCGGACTCGTCGTCGATAAGGCGATTATTGGCAACGATAACGGGTTCGATATTAGTAGAAGGGGGGGGGGGAGCATGGCTCCAAAAATAAAAATTGAATGAAAAGAAATGAAACACAGGCGAGTGTAAAAATCGCCTCAAAAAGCACTTAAAACGAGCTCCGAGTGGTTGTGTGTGTGTACAGAAGCAGCAGCAGGAAAAAAACGCGACAAAAAAAAATGAAAGAAAGTTGTAAATAATGGATGGGCGACGAGACGATAAAAACCGGCGAACAATTGCTTGCCTAGTATCATGTGCGTTGGTTTCATTTCACCTCCCCCCTAATCTTGTGGGTTTTCAACACACACACAAAAAATGTAGATTTGATGGTCCCAGCACGACAGGCCTTCGAATTCTTCTCAACAACATAAAATTCAAATTCCCGCCTCGAACAGAAATGTGCTCATTTTTGTTTTTTTTTTTATTCGAATAGCGACACAATTTTGAAAATTTGACACCATTTTTCCGAAATTTTAAACAATTTTTTATCAAATTCGAATTGAGTTTCGCGTTTTATTCAGAAATTGAGCAAATTTCAAACGCTCGATGAATTTTTGTGGTGCGATTTTTAAATATTACAAATTTTCAAGACGACAATATTGTTGTGATTTAAAATTAGCGCGTTTTCGGCAAAAAATGGAATAATTTTCGAGCGCATTATGCGATTTGCAGTAATTTGCAAAAAAGAAAAAAAAGTTCAAAATTTGAATGCAAAATAATTGGCGCGAGAAATGCACGTGGGCGCGCGCGGAAATTCAAAAATCTCGCGTTTTTTTTTTAATTCCATTTTTCGGTTTGACCGGATAAGGAGGCGTTCGTGGAAACGAGCATCATCAACAGAACGACGGAGAAAATGCGGCGATGGGAAACAACAAACAAGGCAATGAATATAAATGTAAATTGGATTAAACGCCGTTGTCGTCGTTAGAATATACATATATATATATATATATATGTGTGTGGGTATGACGACGAGGAGAAGAAAAAAAAAGAATTCAAACGAACAACGTCGTCGTCGTCGTCGGAACGACGATCGAGAAGCGTAAAAAACAATAGGCGAGAGAGACGCGAACACGAGAGAGCGCAGACGGCGAGGCGGTGCGGCGAGAGAGTGGGCATGGTGGAGGAGGGCGCGAGACGACGCGACAAAATTGTTCACCGGGAGGGGGGGGGCTCTTTTTATTACCTTTTTCGGGCTACCGGGTGACTCCCATGAGAAATTCTTTGCAAAATTTGCACTTTAACAAGATTTACGGACGAAAATCGATATTTAGCGCGTTTTCACACATTTTTGGTATTTTTTTGCGATTTTTTGAGATATAATTATGGGAAATATCGAGATTTTTTAAAGTCGAAATTCACCGTTTAAAACGCAATCCAAATAATTTGGTAATTAGCGAATTAATTAGTGGCAAAGAATTTCAACATTTCTATTTTCAAAAACCAAATTTGGGTCTTGACACGCAAAAAGAAATCATTTTAAGTATTAACAAAAGCAGCTTTTTGTTAATTTTTTCCATTTAAAGAATTTAAATATTTTATTTTTCTTTCTTTTGAAATTGACTTTTTTCAAAAAAAAAAAATAATGCGAAAAATTTTAAAATTAAAAAAAACACGCATGGCCGAATTTTAGTGGCCGTGGCCGCGCACAAAAACCTAGTCCTCAAAAAATTGATTGTCACGAATTTTTTTTTCAAAACCTCCCATTTTCTCGATTTTCACCTAAATCAATGGGAATTTTCGAGATTTGTCTATTTTCAATTTTTTAGACAAGAATTTTGAAGAAAAAAACAAACCATAGAAAACAAAAAAGGAAGAATTTGAAACGACGAAGAAAAAAAAAACAATCGGCGATGCGACGACGACGACGCACCGCATCGAATAAAGAAATGAGGCGGAAATGTGTGAGAAAGTGCGCAAATGATGCGGAAAAGATGCGCGCACAAAACGCCGATGATGATGATGATGATACGATCTCCAATGTCAGAACAACTGTCCCTTCTTCGCCCATGTGTGTGTGTGTATCCCTACGCGTGTATGTATATGTATTCTTTATGTTTTTTTTTATTCGTCCTGCTGGTTCAATCGATTAGAATCTCGCGCGTTTACTCTCAGCCGTTAATAATGCGTCGAGATAATGATCTGCACTTTTCGCATCAAAACCAACCCCCCTTTTTATTTCGCGCACAAAATTTTTCCACTTGAAGGTCACTAATGCGTTTTTTTTTCTTTGAAATTTCAAGGTTTTTCAATTCTTTAGGCCTTATTCAACGTTTTTTATCGTTTAAATCCAAAAACGAAAAAATAAAATTCGGAAATTGAAAATCGAAATTGATTTTTCAAAATGTTCAGAATTTCAAAATAAAAAATTTGAAAACACCTTTTACCCCAAAAAAGTGCATTTTTTCGTGGAAAATCGAGAAAATTAATTTTTTGGCTAGAAAAATTAAAAAATCAGCGTCAATTCAATTTCTCTTCAAATTCAGCTCTTGAAAGGGTCAAGTTTAAAGGGACATAACCCAAAAAGCGAGAACCAGCAACAAAAAAAGTAAGAAAGCAAAATCTCGAAACGAAAATCGAATTTTGTTGCGAAAAAAAAACGTTTGGGCGGGGTGGATCGCGGACCAAAATAATGCAATTTTCGGGCACTTTAAACCAAAAAAAAGAGGGGGGGGGGTTTAGAAACACACAAACCACCGTCTATTGTCAAATAAGGAATCGACGGAACAAAAAAAAAGTAATACATTGAAACGATGACGAGAAGAAGAAGAAGAATGGGGGGGTGACTAATCAGCGCGCACCAAGCACAAAAGAGAATGCCGAGATATATATATTTATATATATATATATATATACGTCGCCAAATATCGAATTTCGTCGATGGAGACGTCTCAAATTCGTCTAGAATTTGACAAAGTCGAGAAAAACAAGAGCGAAAACGAAAAAAAAATGAAATGGGCCCGGAGAGAAGAAATATAAATAAGCGCTGTCACTTCTCACATTTCGAATTAGGCTCCTCTCGCGGCTTGTCTTTGCTGTTGATCTCGTGTGGCGGCGGCTCCCAAGGGGCGGCTGGACAAGAGCACACACACACACACAATGCCTAATAAGGTCTTCAAGGTTGACACGCGAAAACAATGCGGAGAATTAAGGAAACAAATAGGATGTGGGTCTCGAAGCGACTCTCTCTCTCTTCAAGTTGCTATACTACTAATCGGTGAGGGGGGACGCTCGTAAATTGGCACACATCGGCATCTGGCTTGTCGTCGCCGATTTACGATGGGTCACGCCGCATTCACTTCAGACCGTCAAGATCAGGCCCCCCGAGCTCGATTTTTGAATGGTAGATCAATTTTTTACTGATGGGTCTCGACGGGAATATAAATCAATGAAGATTAAAAAAAAAAGGAATGATGATGATAAATTGATGGGCTGCCCACCGGGCGGAATCGCTATCAAATCAGAAATCGAAACCGACCGACGAAATTCCACGCAATTCTCATCGTAAATGCGTTGAAATTCATTGGGTTTTGGAAACTCGTAAAAAAAAACAACAAGAAGGACATCGTCGAACGAAAAAAAAAAACCATTTTCCAAATTATACATGTTGTTGATAATGAGGCGACGAGTGATGTCCGCAGATGGCGGGCGCCTAATTGAATTAGGCGACGCGCGCCGCCCCCCCCCCCACCAACAACAACGCCACCAATCGGTGGTTCGGCAAAATGCCCAAAAAGAAAAAAGAAACACGGACTGTGGTCTTGGCGCAAAAAAAAATGTAGTTAGGATTGGTTAAAGGCGCATACCGCGCACCACTGACAACGCAAGACATTTTACCTCCCGTCTTGGAATTTTTGTAACTTTGCACTAGAAGGTCTTCTGAGTGTGTTCACAAAATTCTAGCTTGCACTGGGGGGAGGTTACAGGCGGGTTATGGCCATCTGAAAATTCTAGGTGTCAGCAATCATTTGGGCAAGAGGTTACAAGAAGAAGAAGAAGAAGAAGAGAGTTCAGGAAATTTAAAAAAAACTGTAAAATGCAAAAAACATAAAATGTAATATTAAAACGACATGAAATTATGCGTTTGAAACCGATTGGCATTGGAATTTACTATGGAAAAAGAAAAGAAACGCGAAAATGCACGCGCCGGGAGCGAACCTTCGCCATAAAATTAGTGCCCTGCGCACTCGCCCCTTCACCTCATCTGGATCACAGGCAAAACGCGACGGATGAAGTCCGGGCGAAGTCCGGATATTTGAACGTCACGGCTAAAAAACGGGCCAAGTACGGACCAAAAATTTCTTTGAAAAACGCCGCGGTAAAAAAACGGACAAAGTCCGGAGATTTATAGGCCACGTTTTTAAAACGTGTTAATTACGGATCTTGATTTTCAGTATGAAACGCCACGGCTAAAAAACGGATTAAGTACGGACGAAATATTTCTTTGAAAGGCATCACAGACAAAAAACGGACCAATTACGTGACAATTTTTTTCGAGTGAAAATGTCACCGACAAACAAAGGACTATTTACTGATCGACACTTCCTGGCTGAAACGTTACGACACAAAAGTTAATTAATATTTAATATAACGGCTTCACTGGAAGCTGTGGCGACCGATGGCTGATAATTAAATTTTCTTGTTGCAGGTTGCCCGATACCGATGCGGTAACCATAGCACGGCTCGAGACTTCCTTTCCTAAGATCGATGTGTCTAAGTTCGCTGCTGTCGATTCACCGTTATGCGTTCTAACTGTTCCGCTCCATATTTATATTCGTTGTTTTGTAATGTAGAGATAATGTGGAAATGGGAGAGTGGGCGAGACGATGAGGCGGTGGGCGAGAGAGAGAGTGCGAAATGAAGAGACGCACGCCATCATGCCATCGGGCAATGTCCAGCAAAAAGAGGGCCGCGGCCGAAGTTCACCTTTATTTAAATGCAAGTCCCCAATCGTAAACACCGATTTAGTCAATTACTTATGCTTTTAGTCGTATTATTTCAGTTTATTAAGTTGTTTCCCCAAGCCCACCATCCACCATATTTAGTATCATCAAGTTTGTTATTAGTTTGTATCGCTTTGTTAACATTTTGTTCGTTTTCGTTCAATAATGAAGGTTTAATTACCCAAGTTTGAGGTTTACTCGACTTGTTTAACGGTTCCAATACCGTATCATTATTTGGAAAAGTTACTGTTTTATTCCATTGTAGTTGAAAAATGAATAGTGTTCCTTTGAAATTGTTTTTTCAGATTGTAAATGGGTCATTAGGTCATTTAAATAAATACAAAAATTTCCCAATTTTCGTTCAAGTTTTGATAAAGACTACGATTTCAGTCATGGGACGGTCATATCGAAGATTTCTACCATCTTTACCAACAAAAAGTATGTTAAAATTGCATAACTATTTGCTATACTCTCTTTTACTACAATAGGATCAAGAGAAGTATCTTCTTCAAGTGAAGAAAACTTATCTGAACCGATTGATGTTCAACTTTCTGAGTCGCTCAATATAGACATCGATGAAGAGGAAGAAATGTTTCAATGGGATGTGAATTGTGACGAAGTTGAGGAAAACGATGTTGAGGAAAACGATGTTGAGGAAAACGATGAGAAATCTTCAGAAGATTGTCCCCACAGCGGTAGGTAATTTGTCTTAATACTAATCGCCATTTTCGAATAGACTTGGCGCAGTATTTAGCGAATGTGTCGGACGAAGTTTTGACATTCGTAACTTCAGCGTGCATAGCTCGAAGTACCGATGCGGGTAAATAGGAAAAAATTACGAAGAAATAAAGAGGCAATTACAGATTTCAAGAGATTCCTTTCTTCTCATAAAGATTTAACATTCCGTCGGCAAAGCTTCCAGCTATGGAAGAACAATATGACTATTTATAACGCGCACTATGTGTGCAATAGTTGTGGGAAAGAAACAAATAATATGTTCGCAAAATGGTATAGACGTTGGGCACTTTTTATCTATTGTTTGGGTTTTCAGTTGTGGAACTATAATTAAATATGTTAGAATTGGAGGAATTCAGCAACTCTCGGAGATAGTGGAGGAGTACTGGACAGATATTCATCGGATAAGAAGCGAAATAAAAAATGGGACAAACAAGCATCACAATCTGAATGGAGAGTATGTTTCAAAAGTGTCCCAGATGGATACGGACACGGAACTTCATTTTTCAATTATTGGTAGTATTGACGGTGTGTCA